AGTAAGAAGCTAGATAACTAATAAATTAAATTATTTTAGATAGTAAATACTATAGAATAATAAGCCTATAAGCTAAAACCTTTATTACTTTACTATAGATTATACCTTATCTTTTATATCTTATTATTAGAATTATATAAAAGAACTCTAAATATAGACCTAAAATCTAGTTTAGTAGAGCTTAACAATAGCTAGAAGTAGTATATAAAAAAAATTATTATAAATAAAATAGTCTATAAAAATTAATACTACTTAGTTAAATAATTAAGATAGCTAGACTCTAAAAATATATAAGAACTAGAGGCCTATATTACTAATATTATAGCCTTAGAAACCTATATTACTATATAGAGATATAATATAATAAAAAATATACTAAGTACTAATTATTATGGCACCAACACCATTGAGTGGACCTAAGGGGCAGAACTATGAGATAATGATAACTAATCAATCCCTTAATCATGGCATCTATGCAAGTCAGCCTATAAGGCACTAGGATCAGCTAACTAGGATAAACCATATTATATAACTATTAGTATAGTAGTAGTCTAAACTATAGAGTAGTAATATAATATTTTAGAGTACTACTATAAAATAATATAGTAAAGCTATATTAGGAGGAACTATATATAGATACTTATCTATACTATATCTAGTACTCTTAGTTTTAGTTTCTTATACTTAATATTAATTATAAGTTACTTATAGAGTATAAGTTTACTAGTCTAATTTACTACTACTCTTTACTATTAAGTATATATACTTAATAGGCCTTACTTCTATCTCTACTATTTAGTTATTCTTATATTACTTTAGAAGTGATACCCTTTAGATCCTAAGATAGATTATAGTCTTTACTATTAAATCTTATAAGTACGAGATATATTATATAAATAGGTATTTAGGCTACTAAGGTAGTAGGCCTTAGGCAAGTATAGGATATAGTTCTAGGAACTATATCACTTCAGTCTAAAGCAGTGACTAGCAGAAGAACAGCAGAGACAGATCCCAGGGTGTGACACTAATAATATAGGAAAAGATTAAACTTTAACTAAAATATAGATAAAATAGATACTAGCTATTAGTAATAGCCTTAAACTAAAAAACTCTACTAATAAAATAAGTATAATAATAAAGAATAGGATCTAGTTAGGCACAGAAAAGATATAGATTAATATAGAGACTAATCCTTACCTCTCTATTAATTAGAACTTAAGACTATCTTATAGTCTAAAAGTTATTAAATCATTAATATACTATCTAATTATTATTTAATAAGGAGCATTCCTACAGCATCCTAAAGCCTCTGGATGTTTTCTGTTATAATAAGATTCTAAAGATATATAGACTATACTTTTATATTTATCTATTTAACTAGTCTATATATAATTAATAGCTAAAAGGTTTACTAATCTAATTAATAAAATAACCTAAAATAGAAGAACTAGTATCTACTATAATTGAACTTTTCTAATCTTATAAGATTTCTAGGGTAGATAGTAGGAGTATTAGGCTTAATATTAGAGATATTATAGAATTAGAGTCTATAGTATTAATAAGTAGAGTCTCTAATATTTTAGAGATTATAAGAGTAAGAGCTCATAAACCTATAATAATAAGGAAAGAAGCTAATGAAGCTAGTATTATAATTATAATAATAGAAAATAAGAAAATATTAAGGATAGAGAGAGTATTAATAAAATCTATATCTAAATTAAAGTTTTTTATAATATAGGCTATAATAGCCTAGATATCTAAAACTATAGCTATAAGAGTCTAGTATTATTAGGATTATAGGATCTAAAGAGTAGTAATAATTTATTATTTTTTAATCTATAGAATCTACATAATATTAGTACAGCTACTAAATCTAATAAAAATACTATAAAATAATATTAATAAATACTATATATAAATATACTTCTACTTAATATAGAAGTATAAAATATAAGTTTTTTACTTATAGCTAGATACTATCTAATAATTATAATACCTAACCTTTAGATTATAGATTTTAGCCTAAAGATAATAAAGATAGGGGTTTCTATATAGAGAAATACCTAAAAATTAGCTAAATTAATTAGAATTAATAATATTTAATATATCTTAATAAAAAAATTAATATACTTAGTAGACATCTTAACTAAAGATATAAAATGAAGTAGAAAAATAGTAATAAAAAGATAGTAATTAATACTAATTTAGAGTTGCATAACCAAACTACAAAAATCAAACCTAAACCTCACCAAACTCATAGTAGTATAGGGTTTAGGGGCAAGCCTAGGGAATTACTTTAGGTTTAGTTTCTATACCCTAGACCTATTTTAGGTTTAGTTAAAACTACTAGTTATGATTTTTATAGTTTTTTAAGTTAGGTAAAACTACCTAACCTATTTAAAGATATTTATAGAAGTATTATATAGTTTAAAATAGACTAAGTTAACTAAGTATTCTAACTATAGTTAGATTTTATAAAGACTATATACTAAAGTAGAACTCCTCTATTATATTTAAAATAATCTATCTAGTAACTTACCCCTTAATAAGATCTTTAAAATACCTTAGTAGAAGGGCTATATAATAAGATTATAATAACTAAGGGATAGTAGGGACTTAGGATGCTATGTAAGTAATAATAGTCTATATTATAAGTAGATAATGATCTTTAATATTATCTCTATTAGACCCCTCTTTATAAGCTATCTCTTACTAAGATATAAGAGTATTAGTATTATCTATCTTATTATCTTTATTATCTTTATTAAAGCTACTCTAATCTTCTTTACTCTTACTAATATTAGATATAATATCTAGATTATCTTAATTATTATTCTCTATATTAATATCTCTTTTATTAATCTTATTAAGTAAGATCTACAATTCCTAATTAATTTTAAGTTAATTAATATATACTATATTAGGGTTTAGATAGCTATATTAGTAATAATAGATATCTTAAGCTATACTAAATAGATTCTCTAGCCTAATATTAGTTACTAGAATAGTAAGAAAGTCTTAAGTAATTAAAATAAGTATTAGAAATTAAGATATATTCTACTTCTACTAATTAAGAATATTAAGGGAGTTATTATCTAGATAATAACTTAAAATCTTACTATAATTAGATTAATAAAAGAATAATAAGAGAAGGATAACTTATATTTATTAAGATAATTAAAGAAGGCCTTATTTAGCCTTAGTTGAATATTAATATAAATCTAACTATAGTTAGATTTCTATAACTCACTATATTAGGTATTTAAGAGTATAATTAGTCCTAAAATTCTTAAAAACTTAAATATAATCTATATTATTTAGCATGTATAAGAATTCTAGCTATTAGTTAATATATATATATACTGGATAAGCTAAAATAGCCTCCTAAGCTTTAAAAGCTTAATTTAAGTCTAGTATTTAGTAAGGAGTAGCTAAGAAGTCTTTTTCTTAGTTTTTTTATTTTAGTAATCTTTATATTTTAAAAAGAAGAAAATCTATAATATAAGATTTAGATAGCCTTTCTTAATTTTAAGGATTTTTAATTAATTACTTAATAATATAAAATACTTTTATTTATAGAATATTTTTTTAGTAAAGTTAAAGAATTTCTAGAACTTATTAATCTAAATCTAATTATAATTAGATTAATTATTATATCTTATAAATATTAATATAGACTCTTACTTATTATATTAAGTTTTATCTATATAATATTATTTATTAAAGTCTAGTTAAAATACCATTCTTTATATTATATTATATAGTATTAATAAATAAATAGATAGAATTAGTTATATCTAAGGATAAAGTTATTAAGATTAATACTAAAGATATTATTTATCTAGTCCTCTATTATATTTAGCTTAAGTATAGTCTCTTATTCCCTAGGGGAAAGGCTTTAGAATTAGCTAATAAACTATATAATATTAAATCTTTTAGTATTAGATTTAGAGATAATTTATTAATTTATTATTAATATCTATAGAATCTTCTTTAAGATAAGATTCTCTATATATATATTAGCTACCTAATAAAATATCTATTTTTATTAATAAATATATAATCTTATTTAAAAAGTAGAGCCTATTTAGCTATAAAGAATAATAGAATAATAATAAAATATTATAAATTAATAGACCCTTAGTTAATTAGATTACTAGAGCTAACTAAGAGCTCTATCTCTTTAAATTAAATAACTAGAATTAGTAATAATAAAGCTATTTAAATTACTAGAATAATAGAAAATTTATACTTTTATAAATTTTTATTATAATAATTAATTAGAAAATATTATAAGATTAATATAATCTTATATTTAATAAAAGAGCTATAGAACTACTGAACTAGCTACTCTAGAATAAATTAGCTAATTAAAAGTAATATAATTATTAAAGAATCTAGAGAATTAATCTATATCTAATAAGTTAATAAATTAGAGGTTATATAATAAGTAAATTTAATTATAGGATTATAATCTATAAAGAGAGAAGGTAATTATTAAAGATAGTACTAAAGAATAATTCTACTAAATACGCTAGATAAGATACTAAGGCTATATGTTAATAGATAATAAGGCTATCTTATTATATAATAGCCTAATATAAAACCTTACTAATAGAGGAAGATTCTATAGATTAGTAATTAGTTCTTCTATTAATAGTAATTTAACCTTATGCTCCCTTCATGCTGATCTATTACTATCTTCTATCAGATATTATACTGGTCTTACACAGTAAGGCATATTTAATCTTAGAGTTATTAAAAGTTATAGTATCTCCATCTTACTCTTTTAGAAGGGAAAGTTAAGTGAGTGAATAATATAGAAGTCCATCTATAGAACTATAGCTCCACTGTACGAAAAAAAAGACATCGCCCCTATTTTCGTCCCGCGAAGACCACCACCATTCCTCCTCTGTTCATCGGCAAACCCGCGCCTGTACATCCCTGAGCATTCTCATCCCGCATCACGGACGGGTAGATGGATGGACAGCAGCAATCCTTTAATAGACAGTAATGGAGGAGGAACCGCTGCTCTGGTAGCCCTCAGTAGCAACGATCTGATAGTTGTGGGTGCCCAAACTCATACCCAGCTGAGCCCAGGCGTTGAAGTGGTTGGCAGTTGTAACTGTGCCGCCAGTCCGCTTACTCTGGCGCACAGACCAGTACTGGGTGAAGGTCTTATCACCCTCAATGGAGGGAGCATTGTAGCGAGTGGCCGTGTAGATGTTATAGTTGGCACCATCAGAGTATACACTGCCCCTATAGGTGCCACCATTTCCAGGGTTATAAGTACCATAGTTCTCCACTATGTAGTACTCCACAAGGGGATTAGTGGTCCAGCCATACACGGTGAGATAGGCATTGCCGCTGGGGTTGAAGCTGCCCGAGTAGTTGATGGTTCTGCATGCCGGTTAATTCTTTGTACACCCTCTGGCTTTCTCTAGATACACAAAGACATACCGAGCGCTTCCAGGGTTCCAGCCCTTGCCGCCAACAAAGTTGCCTGTGTCCTTCCACTGGACTGAGTACGAACCGCCGTTGCCGTTCTGGTAGTTAACAGTGCCACCATTGTCAGTCCAGAAGGAATAGTAGTAGCCATTATTCCATCCGGTCGAGCTGGGGGTGCCCGCACGCTCAGCAAACTCGTGCAGAGCCGTCTCGTTGAACCAGGAAGACTCTTCCACTTCAACAGGAGCAGCCAGCGCTCCCAGGGCAGAGGCTGCCAGGAAAAGATACTTGAACGACACCATGATGGCGGAGATGGATCTGACTTTGGAAGAAAGGAAAGATTTGAAAGAGATGATTGAGTGAGTGAGTGATGGAGGATGTCTACTGATCCTCGACGATCTGGCCGGTCTTTATATGTTTGGGGCGTCTTCAGAAGCAGTGGTTCACAAGCCGGAACAAGGTCCCGCTCTTCCAAATTTCGCCCGGCTCAAAAGAGAACCAAGTGCTTGAGCCTAGATTAACCTCATCATAGTCGTGCTTCCTTTTTTGGAATGCTAGCAGGCAAATCCGGGGAAACAGCAGAGAATCTGGAGAACATCCTGAAGTCTTCAGGAAAATCCGGCTGAATTAGACGAAATCAGGTCGTGGGGTAGAGACTGTGAAGAAGAAGACAATCCAATCGGGAAGGGCACGATCTAAGGTGTATAGGCTGAACACATTGGGGGAAGGTGACATTCGGATAAATTCCCTGCATGAGGAATATCATGGCCCAAGCCTCGACTATCACTTTAGCCTCTAAACCGGCCCGTTGCTACCGACTCGGAGAGCGCCAACACAGTGAAGGAGTCCAAGTGCCGAGTCCATTTACCCTCTATATGACAGAAAAGGGAAAGAACACCCATTAGTATCGAATAACTATGCCTTGAAACAAATTCTGAAGTTGTTCAAGGATCTGGTGTTTCTCGATCCGATTTCGATCATCGCTCTGACGCGTCGAGCGTCATGTGTCCTGCATGGGATATCTTGCCTGTCCCTGTCAACTTCACAATTCCATAGAACTGACTGGAGAGATGGATATACTGACAGCTGTTTCTTGGCTTGACGAGTCGGACGAGAGCCTTAACGCTGACCTGAAAACACGCCGTATTACTTCTGATGAGTTCGTCGCAAGGGCTAAATATGTGATCTATAAAATACTTTATACCTTTGGCAGCCACGATAGCAAGCCGCTGGAGAACCCTATGGATTGAAAATTCGTATTGTGCAGGGTGTTGGATTTTTTCAGTAACTGTGTTTACGGAACCTGCTTTGCTTGTCTCGACAGCATTGGCTTTGGCACTACACACCCGTATCGACATGCGAGGTCGATGGTTTCAGGTAACTTCTCGCCTTACAATGCAAAGTTTCTCGGCTAGGCCTGCGGGGCTTTGCAAGCTCCTGCTGGAATGGTAACCAGGCTTGTCATGTACTGGATGCGTCGATACAAATGATTAGGCGTGGCAGGTGCTATTCTGACTCATAGGGTACAGATTGCTGATTCGCCTTTACACACACGCAAGCTCCATACTAGAGCTCTTCTCATCTAGCTAATATAGGGCATGGGGTGAGGTTGGGGCAACATCTTGTGGAAGTGTTTAGCCGGATGGACATCATTTGCCGAGAATTGTAGCTGGATATGTTGCAATGGAGAGCATGATGCCATGACTTGACCCAGTTTTGATTCAGGCGTGGGGGGGTACCTGGAGGCTCCTTGAGTATCAACTCTCAAAGGATTGCTCCCAGGATTAGGATTCGAGGCGATGGCCTTGGTCCCTTCCACCCAATGCCGCCAGCGTAACCCGCTAGATAGATGCTAAGGCACCGAGTCCCTGACCGGCTGGGGATTCCCTGTTCAAGATCAGCCGCGGCACCGTCATAATCGACCGGCCTGTCATCTCCTTGTCTGTAAAGTCAGTTGTTGACATTGATTTAGAGACCTCTGCCACTTTGAAGTCCCGCAAACGGCCATTGAGACGATTGATCATTGAACCACCCAACATACCCCAGAGTCCCGCTTCTCCAGATTCCCTAGCTGATCGTCCGGGTAATGTCTATTGCACAATGACCGCAGTTTGAAGAGAGGCAAGATAGCAGATATCCTCTCAATGGGCTCCATGGTGCCAAGCCTCCTCTATCAGGAGGGATCGGCGAAATGAGACTTGTCACAATTTGTCACACTCAATCCGCATTCCCCATAGAGCCATCGTTGTGTTGCTGCTGGCGGCGCAAGACCGTGCGCGGTGATGGATGTTACTGCTTTGGGACTGCAACACCTGTTCTCCTAGCCGTGCTCTTTTCCATCAAGGCCATAATTCCAGAGAGAGGCGAGAGGCACTGACCACTACCTTGATGGGGAGGGTTGACTAAATGCAAGGGCCAATCCTCCTACAACAAAACATCGCAGAGCTTTGAGAAACACGTACATTCAATAGTTTGGTCGATCATTCTTAGCTTCATTCTAACACCTGCCGAAACATTGAGCACAACTAAGCATATCTTGACCTGGGGATGTCGTAGTGAGGAATCCTCGACAGAGGAGCTCCACGAGGCTCCCTCTGCTCTCAACAAGCTAACAACGCTTCCTTCTATGTCCCTTTACCACCGTACTTACCACCTTCTTCATAGAGTAACATCATTCTAAGGAGACTTCAGAGGTCAGAGTCCTAATCTCTATCGTCAAATTGAAATAAGCTTAGTAGACTCTGCTGGCAGAAAGTCCAAAAAATGGGGTGCGCTAGATACTGCTGTGTTACATAGTACAGGCTTTCCATTCCTGACCCAGACATGACATCTCAAAAGTAGAGAGTCAGTATAGCAGGAGGGGAAGATTGTTTATTTAAGCTCTAGCTCACTCCCCCATTTGTTTTACTCACGCCAACCCCCCCAGGTGTTCTGTCCACTGTGGAGATCAACCCTTGCCAATATGCTGTTCGCCGTTCTGTTGTGCCTCCTGGCGGCTCTTCTAACCTTTATTGTATCTTGTCGCTCTTCCCAAAGCCGGGAGAAGCCTCTCCCTCCGGGCCCGTCTAAGCTTCCTGTAATTGGAAATGTTCATCAGGTTCCTCGATTACAGTTCTGGAAAACCATGGCGGATTTTGTTGATCGGTACGGGCCGATCGTCAGTGTGAAACTGGGGCAGCAGCAGCTCATCGTTCTGGGAAACCAAACGATTGCCCGCTCTCTTCTGGACCGCAAGAATACCAAATACAACTCCCGGCCCCATCTCAGAGTCGCAGAGAGAGCTTGGCTCGGGCCAATGGTCGCACTCATGCCTTACGGGCCCGAATGGCGTACTTACCACCTGATGCAGACAGCTGTCTTGAGCTCTCGTGCCGTTCGCCTCTACGACAAGATCTACAGCACGGAAACCACCCAGCTGCTGCATGACCTACTCTCTACCAACGACTATCCACCTCGGATCTACCGCTATTCGTCCGGCCTCGCTTATGCCGTGGCATATGGCATGCGAATGCCTCGCGGAGATGAGTTTGAGATTAGCGAGATTAACGAGATTGCCCTGAAATTTTTCCTCGCCGCTCAGCCAGGCTACTGGTCGGTAGACGACTTCCCGTTCTTACGATATCTTCCCGGCTTTCTGACGCCGTGGAAGTCATATGCAGCCCATGTCAATCAGATAATCTCGGATGGATTTCAAAGGGCATACAGTAATGCGCTGCAACGAGACTCTTGGAGCTGGGCGCGAGTACTCGCCGAGCAAGAGACCCTGAGAGCCTTGCCAAAGGGCTCGATATCCTTCGTTGTTGGCGAGCTCTGGGCGGCCGCACATTTCTCGTCCTCCAACATGTTGGTTGCATTGATACGGTTGATACTCTACCACCCGGAAGAGGTTCAAAGGGCCCAAGAAGAGCTGGATAGCACGGTTGGAGTACAGCGACTGCCCCAGCTAGCCGATCTGGACAACATGCCGTACGTCAGAGCTTTCATCCGCGAAGCCCTTCGATGGCTGCCGAGCTCTGGAACCCCTCACGCCAGTACGGAGGATGATGAGTTCATGGGGTACCGGATTCCACGAGGCTCCATGGTGGTTCCCCATTATTGGTTCGTGGATATGGATTCAGACGTATACATGAATCCCCTCAAATTTCGGCCCGAACGATTCGTCAATGACCCGAAGCTGCCGCTGAGAACCTTCGGGTTCGGTAGTCGCATCTGCACTGGCCAGTACTTTGCCCAAAATTCCTTCTCCATGGTCATCATGCGACTCCTGTGGGCGTACAACATTCGCTTTCCGGACTATGTCGATACGGAAGCGGAGCCGATTGGGCAGCTTGAGGCGCGGATATTTACGATGAATGAAAAACCCACTGAGGCCGTCTTCACGCCCCGCTCCGGTGCCCACAGAGAGCTCATTGAACAGGCATATGCGAGTCTAGACAGCGTTGACGATGCTCTCAAACCCCTTCAGAGCATCAAAGTGAATATCCCGAAGAGTTTCTAGATATGGCCATGAGGAAAAGATTTGGCACAACCTAGCATATTCACTGAGCTGAACTTCTTGAACCCAACGCCCTCGGATTAGCAAAGCCTGTGCTCGCGGGGGGGGAAGCTCTTAGAAACAGTTGGAAGATCTGAAAAGAGGGATTTCCCCGTTTGCTGCCTAGTGCAATTAGAGAAACGAGACTGGACATCGTCTACGTGAATGGCTGTGGGCCATAACGCGAGTCAGTGTATATTTGACTAACTACAAGTTCAGCAAGCGACTGCATGAGACGAGACTAATCTTAACTCCAATGATGTAGTCCGACCAGAGCACTGTATCTCAGATTATATCCAGATTCCCAGTCCAGATGATTCTGCTGGCCAATAATAGATGCACACATGCACCTCGCAGTGACTCATCTTCCACATGATTACTGGTCTGATTTCAAAGCATTCCTCCTCCTGTGCAAATCAAATAAGCAAACTCCTATATAATAGTAAGAATTAGCTGGACTCATCTCGTCAGAGGGTACCTAGTGCTGCTAAGCATTTATTCCAAGACCCAAGCTTGACCTTCGGCTATGGCATCCCAGCAGTCACCAACCCCTTCGCGCGTCCTCTCTGTGGCGACATCAGCGTCGCACAATTTCTCGAAGACGGCGCTGTCATCTATCAAGCTCATCGCCAATATCGGTATTGAAGGAGATTGCCATGCCGGTGAAACAGTACAACATCGCTCCCGACAGCACATCAAGCCACCACCTGCGAACTTGCGACAAGTACACATAATACCTATAGAGATACTACAAAATATCGCCTCTAAGCTGCTGACGGACGCCATGAGGCAGCAGCTTCTTGCCCCCGGAGCCCTGGGTCAAAATATCACCACTGAGGGAATCGACCTGTTGAGCTTGGGTTCAGGAACAGAGCTTCATTTCATGGGAGACGATGTGACGCCAGGCGAAGAGGCTGTGCTTTTCCTCACTGGTCTTCGCAACCCATGTCCCCAAATCGATCGCTTTCAAGCTGGACTAAAAAATCATTTCCTCGTTCGTGACCAAAATCGACAGATTATCCAGCGTTTGGCAGGTGTCATGACGACGGTCAAGCAAGGGGGAATCATCAAGCCCGGAATGAGGCTGCAGATTGCAAAGCCTTCTACACATACTCCTCTGAAAGCTGTTTAACACCACGGAATGTTGTATTCTTAGCAATAGAGTGTTGGACTGGTGGCTCGGTATCTTCATAGAGATTACTATTCCGAACATACCGACAGGGACGGATATCCGTCCGAAATCTGCAGCGTCAAACATCCCGCCTCAAAGGTTCAACCCCAAGTTCACTCTTTGGGGATGCTCATCATATTTCAAGGCAAATAGCGAGGATTGGCGGGAGGTATGTCGATCAAGGGAGGCACTAACCCTGTTATCGACGTCCTTTATCTACCATCAAATTCGACAGGGTATAATTGGACAGGGTTCAGGTCTTAATATATCGACACGGTCATTCCGAGCCGATCTTCCAGGGGACCAGGACTCTCGGCCCCTTGGGACTTCAGATCGTGGCAGAAATTGCATAAGCTGAGGTTTCTACCCTTAGCTCCATTGGGAGAGAGTATGGGCACCCCGCAGCAGCGACAGTATCCGCTTAACAGGCCAACAAGAATACGATACGTCTCATGCCCCTATTGGCACAAGGCTTTGCTGGCGTCCTTTCGACATGGTATCCGGATAGTATCAACGGTCTTCTTCATATCCCCAAGCTTCGCATGTCGTAGGGGGATAATTCGAGCAAGGCGAGGGGTGTAAATATCCGGCCAGAGTACCTCAGCTTTGCAATCAGCAGAATAGAAGCCTCCTTGCATCCGATCCTTCAGATACCAGGAGCTGAGGGCCACTCATACAACATCCTGCAAAATAGGGTTTGATCGAGTCTGAGCCTGAAGGCGACAACAAACTTTCTTTTGTGAAGAAATCTCGTCAAGTTGCCTCTCATACGCCCACCTCCATGTTATCGTTCTGGGTCCTTACGCCCAGTCACCCGGGTCCCCCGGAAGCCATACAGCTTGATAATAAGCGGGTTAGTCATCGAGGTAAAGCAAACAAGACGCGGTCTATCAGCTGGAGAGAACCATAGGCCCAGGTGCCTCTGAATATAGAGGCAACAGCGGGGGCGGTGCTTGATTTGTGGAATTATCCATTTTACCTGCCCTTTTCCGAGAAGCGCTGTTCAGCTTGTATCTCAGCGCCATGTCCATGCCGCCAATGACCTTAAGTGCGTGCGCCCTGCGCAGCTGTTGGGATCCTATATTATGCGCGCTCTCCCCAGGCCGGCGGACAGGTGTTCAGACAGCTTCATTGCACTTCATCTCTCTTTGGCATCCGAATATTTGACTCTTTTAGATATACCGGGTGTCTTAGTAGCTTAGCCAACATGAAGGCAGTTATCTACAACGGCAGCACAAGTATCTCGGTTGAGGATCGCGCTAAACCGTCTATTCTTGAGCCCACGGACGCCATCGTCAAGGCTCTTCACACCACGATCTGCGGGACGGACCTGCACATCCTTCAGGGCCATGTTCCAACCTGCACGCCTGGACGGATTCTTGGCCATGAAGGAGTAGGTACTATTGATTCTGTTGGAGCAGCCGTCGACAACTTCAGTGTTGGACAACTTGTTCTCATTTCGTGTATCACGTCTTGCGGGACATGCCACTACTGCCGCCGAAGGATGCCCTCCCAATGCCTGTCTGGTGGATGGATTCTGGGCAATAAAACTGATGGCACGCAGGCGGAGTATGTTCGGACGCCCCACGCTGCATTCTCTCTGCACGCCGTCCCCGAAAGCATGGATCCAAAGGTGGCGGTCACCCTGTCCGACGTCGTCCCTACTTCGTATGAATGTGGTATCCTTAACGGGCAGATCCAGCCGGGCGCCAGCGTTGCCATCATTGGAACAGGTCCTATCGGGCTTATGATACTGCAGATGGTGCAAGGTCTCTTTGGCCCTGCCATCACGGTGATGGTGGGCCGCGGACAACCAAGACTCGACACGGCCAAATCCATGGGGCGCGACGCATACACTGAGTGTGCGCGATGGCCTGGAAGCTGTTATTTCCTCTGCTCTTGAATTAACCGAGAAACGCGGGTTCGACGTGGTGATCGAAGCGGTGGGCACGGACGACTCGTTTGAACTTGCTCAGAGCCTGGTAGGCGCCGGGGGTACTATTGCCAGCCTTGGTGTCTTTGGCAAACCCTGCAATCTGCATTTGGACAAGCTGTGGAATCGTAACATCTGTATGTTTCCCCTGAACTGTGCACGTTCGTTTGCTGACAATCCGACCTAGGCTTGCGAACCCGACTTGTCGACGCTGTCAGTACGCCGGATTTGATAAGGATCATCGAGTCAGGGGCGATCAACCCTAGCTTCCTTGTCTCTCACAGTATGTTGAACTGTTTTTTTTTTTTGAATTGGTGAATGACTTGCTCACTCTGATATGTAGACTTCTCATTCGATGAAATCGAGAAAGCGTATGAGTCCTTCGAGATGTCCTCCAAGCATGGTACCCTCAAGGTCGCCGTCAACCTGTCTGCTTCCGAATCGTCTCAAATACTATGTGCTTCTTGCTAGATGTCTGCGTTTTTAGGGTGGATTTATCTGCTTTCGTCGGCTTTGGCATGCAAAAGACTTCATCGCCTTCTCTTCCGTGATCTCTGTGCTGCCATCTCCCCTGTTCTAACTCAGATTTCAACCTCGAAGTTAGAGACAGTCAAAAAAAACTTTTTTTTCTTCAACACATGCCACGAGGCACAGATATTCAAGATCATTGGTGTCCTAGCTTCGCACCATATATAATACATTTAGGAATTATCTGAATGAAATCACGTCAGCTGTGATGACTGTTCCCTGCACCCGGCATTCCCCAAGCTTTCTCTCCATTATGCATTCGATACCACCCATGTTCCATCTCCAGTACCCCTGCACCGCATGCCGGGAATTTGGTCCATCCTGGTGTTCCCCAGGCCTGTAGATCCATTGTGCGATCTAGAAGCATCTCGCCGCAGTGTCCCGTGTGTCCCAGACCAGCGATATAGCCATCGAGGTGGTCAAACGTAGCCTCCATGATGGCCTGGTGCGTTTTCTTCCACATATACACGCAGTGGACTACGTGGTATTCGTAGCTCGTGAAGAGGAACTCAAAGTCTCCCTGTTGCACAAAGTGCTTGGAAACCATGTGCTTCCCCTCCGCGTCCAGCGACCACTGCCAGTCTGTGTGGTTGAGGAAATCATTCGTGAGGTCTTGGTTGTAGCACTCGGGTGGAAGCCAGGAGAAGGACATGAGATCGAAGTGACATCCGGCTGCTTTGGCTTCGGCGGCGGATGTGCCACAGCGAAAGAGGCGCGGTGAGGAAGACGGTTCCAGCTGGCCTGAGCGCCCGATATAACCGAGTAGGGTGAAAGCTGCTGTTATGATGGATATCGTGAGAGCGAGACTGGAGATGACAATTGCAGATGCACGGTAAGTGCCATGGGGCAGGGTTTGTCGCGAGTGCGTCGGTTTCTCGCCGATGAACTCGTCATGTTCGTCTGGTCGAACTCGTGTATAGTCCATGATCTTGGATAGGATGTCGCTTCTAGGGAGGTGTCCGAGTCATCACACCGTGGATGGGAATTTCATGTAGGTCTTGAGGCTTTTCCGCGTCTCTCTGGTTGATATCCACTCCACGCGTCGTCGATGGCATGCAAGGGATGGTCTTGAAGAATTTTGCACCTTGGAATTCGCTGAGAGAATTGAGTATCAATTCCTTATTAATGAGCCTACAAATCGATAGCTTGCGTTATTCAAAACAACATATCCCAACATAGAATCCATGGGTCACAATAGACGGTTGTCTGTCCAGCAAAACATGTCTTCAAATCCGAGCCAGCATAATAACAACCTCCCAACTCCAGGTCAAATGATAGAAAGTGCGAACATTCGATCAGTCCTCTTCGTTCACATGAACGGTTCGAATTCGGCCTTTCATGTATTTCTCTTTCTCCAGCGCTGCGAATTCCTGGATCTCCTTTCCATCTGCCAGAGTCCAGCTGGCGTCGCCGCCTCGCCCCTTCAGAGCAGCACAAGGCCACTTGGACAAGTTCCGATCCTTGACAGATTCATGGATCCATTCGTTTGTAATGTCTGATTCTTGGCCAGGTGGATTGTATCGCAATGGAGTTCTGTTTGACCTTCCTCCTAGCCATCGCTGCAGAGTCCGAGTGAAGCTGGCGTGATCGACCCCACCCAGGCTTGTTGCCCAGGGCGCGCTGTCGCTCTCGCGCGCCCGTGGAGGTATATCAAACAGATACTCGTCAATGTCAAAGCTAAGCTGGTCGTTTTTCATGCATTGCGCAATCATCCATGCAAGGGTAATATTCGACAGACGGGGTTCGTCGCCTCCGCCTCCGCCTCCAATGTCCGTATGCACCCCAGAAAACCACACCTGTGGAAACTCCTGCCCTTCATTCTCCTTGGGGACATGCCAGAGCGCCGGCTGGAAGGCCGTTCGCTCCTCGTCCAGCGACAGCGCATGGAATCCATATCTTACATCCTCATGCATCACCGTGTTGCGTAGCTCCAGCTTCTCCCCAGAGTCTCGGCCCAGCCACGCTTTCTGGAAGCCTACCGTGTCCCAGACGCCGATAATCTCGACGGTAAACCGTGGCAGCCGATCTCGGAACCCCATCCTCGTACGCTGCGCCGGCGTGTAGCCTTCGATCTGATTATTGTAGAAATCGTCATACACGGTGGGAAAGTTGTCCATTCCTCGCGGCGTCAGAAGACCCCATTGGCAGACCAGCCCGGCGATGGCGCGGGCCGTGTACGCGCCGCGCGAGAAGCCAAAGAAATAGATCTTGTCGCCCTCGGCATAGTTGTCCGCGAGGAAGCCATAGGCCGATCGTACGTTGGCGCTGACGCCGAGTCCGGCCACCCCTGGTTCAAGATCAGACAGAATCCTCTTGCACGCGCCCATGATGCAGCCGTACCACCCCAATATCTATCACCCAGATTTGTGCCGGCTCCCTTTTGGTAGTAGACGATCTGTGGAATCTCTTGTTGTTCGCCGTTCTCGCCTTGAACGATGGCCATACGGCTCAATACTCGACTGAAGCGAGTGACATTCGAGGGCGGTTGTGCCGCGTCAGCGAGCGAGTCTTGCCATGTGCCTGGGTCGAGTTAGCGATATTCTACACTTGGGTAGTTTCTTTGAAGAGATTATAGAGGATTCTCTTACCATCGCAACAGACTATGAGTCGCTTGGGTGGAGACCGCTTGATTTTCGACATGGCGATCTCAATTATTTTTTTTTTTCTTCTTCTTCTTCCTTTGCAGCAGAAGGACAGATTTAATAACAATGGATGTCAAGGATGTCAATTTCACGTCATTTCGACTTTGCCATCATGGCAAGCAACCACGGTCTTATAGCATGGTTCACCCCGTCAATGACACTGAAAGAGCGTGCGCCTGTCTCTGCTGAATCTCAGCTGGATAGCCCAGTCCCAGCTGGGCGCAGTGGCCATTCCGAGAGCAGGCTCTGTGATTGCTCAGATTCGAAGCCAGATGATGCCTTAGGGCTGGCTGACAAGAGGCGCGGTCAACGCAGAGAACCACAAACATTGGACGGTTTTCCTTTGGTTTTGCTGCATTCGGCGTGTTGTTTGGATTTCCCCGCGACTGATTGGAGGAATGACTCAGCTGGCTCCAATAGTCTGAAGAATTGGGGTCATTTTGATGTTGCCAAGCGAAGGACTGAACTCTCAGCAGCCTTGGATGAAGGTGATTGCAGAGGGAACTGTCAACTTTTCTATTCGACATTCACATTTATCTTCCCTTTTCGCTCAACGGTACAGTCAGCATCTTCAGCTAGGAGTATTTCCACTGAAGTTGGTGGGTAATCCAGATTCCAGATGATATATATCCCCATCCGCTTCACTAAGTACCTTCAGTCTCTATCGCTGGAGCGGGATTATTAAAGAAACACAGCAGAGATGGAGCAGGAATAGGCCGTTTACAACCCTTGAAGCAGACATTCTGTAGCACTTCGCGTTTGCGGTGTGTAAATAGGCTTTACAACGTCTATCTAGCCCATGTTTCTACAATCTCGATGAGCACGGTACGTCAAATCAGACGATAGGCGATGAGACCAGAACTCGTCGCTCGCATCCACTCTGCAGCAATCATTATCCTCGCAAAATTAAGCCAAGCTTTCAGGGTTTTGGAAACCGGACCTCCAACGGAGAGCGTCGCGGGCTGGCGGGGGTGGCGTGGATACGAGCAGGATGATATCCGATCGTGCGATGGGTTGCAATGCATATTCGACTGTCCTGGAGGTAGACTATTTTATGACAGTCTAGAATGGGCTTTCTTTGTTTCTCTGCATCGCGCTCGGTTGATCGCGTGTGGGATTGACAGTCACACTGCATGTCGCAGACTCCCAGTATGGAGTATGCTACAGCACAGTGGTACAACATACAAACTATCCAAGCCACATGGACCTCTTACAAATTAATCATTCAGTATCGCCTCAGATCCGCTTGGCGATGCTGCTCATTCATTCACCAGCCAGTACAATGTCGCTGGTGATCGGGAGTCTCCTCGAATTGGCACCTCATCCACCCCGACTCTTATCTCTGCCAAGTCATGCCGTCCTCTTGGCTGGTCCTTCACTCCTCCCGCCAAGGGCTCTGAGCTTGTTCCAAGTTGAGACGATGCAACTTCAGACGGGATGAGGTGCCATTTGGTGATAAACAGCTCAGATGGTCGAGCGGAATGCTTGATTGCGGCTGGATAACGAGGGGAGATGGAATGGCAGTGGCGATGGGCGATGGCAGATGGTATGTATATTATATAAGGCCGGGGAATGACCAGCGAGTTTTGAGCTCATCCACTTCGTTCTGTGCAGATCATTCAGTTTATTCTTAGGGAACAGTCAACATGAAGTGGCTCTACCTGGCAGCGTTCGCTTCTCTTGCCTTGGCCAATGCCCCTGGTGGGCCCGGTGGCCATGGAAGAAAGCTCCCAGTCAATCCTGTAAGTTTATGCCGGGTAGCAAGTGGGCTTGTGCGATGTTCCCTGCTGACCATACAGAAAACGTTCCCCAATGAGATCCGTCTGAAGGATCTCCTCCACGGATCGCAGAAGCTGGAGGACTTTGCGTATGCGTACCCCGAGCGCAACCGTGTCTTCGGAGGCCAGGCCCATCTGGATACTGTCAACTACCTCTATCGTGAGTTGAAGAAGACCGGCTACTACGATGTCTACAAGCAGCCTCAGGTCCACCAGTGGACCCGTGCGGACCAGTCACTCACCCTCGGCGGCGATTCCATCCAGGCCAGCACCATGACCTACAGTCCCAGTGTCAATGTCACCGCGCCGCTCTCACTGGTCAGCAAGCTGGGTTGCGCGGAGGGTGATTACTCGGCCGATGTCAAGGGCAAGATCGCCCTGGTCTCGCGTGGCGAGTGTTCCTTTGCCCAGAAGTCCGTGCTGAGCGCAAAGGCTGGGGCCGTCGCGACCATCGTGTACAACAACGTCGATGGTTCTCTGGCCGGTACGCTGGGCGGCGCGACCAGCGAGCTGGGCCCGTATTCCCCCATCATCGGCATCACTCTGGCCGCTGGACAGGATCTGGTCGCCCGTCTCCAGGCCGCCCCCACCGAGGTCAGCCTGTGGATCGACAGCAAGGTCGAGAACCGGACCACATACAATGTCATCGCGCAGACCAAGGGCGGTGATCCCAACAACGTTGTCGCGCTGGGTGGACACACGGACTCGGTCGAAAACGGACCGGGCATCAACGACGACGGCTCCGGGGTGATTAGCAACCTGGTCGTGGCCAAGGCGCTCACCCGCTACTCGGTCAAGAACGCGGTGCGCTTCTGCTTCTGGACGGCGGAGGAGTTCGGCCTGCTGGGCAGCAACTACTACGTCGACAACCTCTCCCCCGCCGAGCTCGCCAAGATCCGCCTGTATCTCAACTTCGACATGATCGCGTCCCCCAACTACGCGCTGATGATCTACGACGGTGATGGATCCGCCTTCAACCTGACCGGTCCCCCCGGTTCCGCCCAGATCGAGAGCCTGTTCGAGAACTACTACAAGTCGATCAAGCAGGGCTTCGTCCCCACCGCCTTCGACGGACGCTCCGACTACGAGGGCTTCATCCTAAAGGGCATCCCCGCTGGCGGCGTGTTCACCGGCGCGGAGTCGCTGAAGACTGAGGAGCAGGCCAGGCTGTTCGGCGGCCAGGCCGGCGTGGCTCTGGACGCCAACTACCATGCGAAGGGCGACAACATGACCAACCTTAACCACAAGGCGTTCCTGATCAACTCCCGTGCCACCGCGTTCGCCGTGGCAACGTACGCCAACAACCTGAGCTCGATCCCGCCGCGCAATGCGACCGTCGTCAAGCGCGAGAGCATGAAGTGGACGAAGCGAGAGGAGCCTCACACGCATGGCGCTGACACGGGATGCTTCGCCTCGCGTGTCAAGGAATAAACGAGGAGTGTATTTTTACGGCAGAAGAAGAAGAAGAAGAAGAATGAGTTGATTCTGTGTAGATACAAAGACCAACATTATTATGATCCATATTTTTCTTGTTGATCATCATTATCATCATCATCATCACACCCCCGGTATCCTGCAAACCGCCGTAGCCACTTCCTCCCGGATTATTGTATCACACACTGCGAGACAGCTAGTCAGGCGGGATTGGCGCCCTTGGGAGGATATTCCTGGCCCTCAGCGTTGACCTTGGGCGTGCAGGTGCATCGCTCAGACTCCGGCACCTGGTCCATGACGGAGGGGATGTGGTTTCCGCAACCCCACCACGTTTTCTTCTCTGGACGAGGAGGGACGTTAGTGGTGTTATTAATGGTGGGGAGAAAGAACATACGGCAGCTGCTGCACTTGGATGGGAGACACATATTGAAGATCTATGTCTGAGAGAGGTAGGAAGCTGTCGGATTGTGGTTGTGTGGCTGAAGGTCAAAAGCAGGTAAAGAGAGGGGACTTTCAGATCATGGAATCTCAGCCAGATAATCAATAATAAATCCGAAATCATAACATATAAATAATAGCTGCATTCTTTCCCTTGGAATTCTCTTAGTCATGACTCGGCCATCAGATCCAGAGTCGCCGATTCCTGATCCCCGAGACCCCGAGGTCGCCATTCGGAGGTTGATATCGAAGGGAAAGTGAGAGATGATGAGATTTAGAGATCAATTTATACTTCTATAGAGACTGAAGAACCTGTCAGATTAAAGTTATCAATCATCCATGTTGATCTGAGGACCTTGGGGCACTCCGGGGTATTTATTCTCTTACTCTTCACGCGGTCTTAGAGGGACACCACGGCTGGCTTATAGCTAACTGGTCCTGGCTGACTTTATAGGAAAATATATGCATAATTGAAGAGAGTAGCCAATGAAAGCCTAAAATATCCATGACGGAGACTGCAATGCATAGTGAATAATGCAAAGTGGGATGGATATGCAGACATCATATCTCCATCCACATCGAGAACAACAGGGTATACGCTAACTATCAACAACAACAACAACAACCACTTTTCTCTCCCGTCAAATCATGCCTTTTTCTCAAGCTTTTCGTTGAACATCAACGACACCGTCACAATCGACTTGCCAACCGCACACCATAACAGCGCAAACGAGGAATTGACCGCGCGTTCGGCAAACGCACCCACAAAACAGCCCCCCGTCAACATCACCAGGAACAACACCCGCCGGTTCCGCAGCCGATTGTGCAGCTGCAACAGGTTCGGGTCCACCACGACATCGATATACGCTGCCGTCGCCATGGCCGTCGTGATCTCCGTGATCTTCAGCGACCGGCTCATGGCCACCTGACCGCCCGCCGAGAACGCCAGACACGCGATCACCCCGAGCGCCGTGGGACCGTCGCGCCGCAGCGGCAGCGCGTACTGCAGGCTCAGCCCGACAAACACCAGGACGGTCTGGATGAGACTGCTGAGGATGAGCCAGAGGCGGCGGCGCACGCCGAACCAATTCCCTAGCTGGCCCATGATGAGGCCGCCTGCGATGAACATGCCCAGGCTCATGCCGATGTTGGGGAAGGAGTAGGAGTTTTGAGCGAGGCCGGCGACGCCGATGGCCAGGAAGAGGGTGTTGCCCGTCTGGTTGGACGCGAAGCAGGAGTAGTCCGGCCATGCGGCGGCGTCCTGCATCCCCGTTGCGAAGGAGAGGAGGAGGAGTTGGGATTCGAGGATGATGTCTTCGCGGATGTCCTCGTTGAGGTAGCGCCAGAGCTTGGAGAGCGAGAGCGTCATGGTGGGCGCGCCGGGGACGGGTGAGGCGGAAATGACAAGGAGTGGCTGGACGTCGGCATCTTTTTGGGGAGGGGGGAGTTATATGTGAGGTTTTTTTCTTGTTGATTGATGTATGTGCCCGACCTGGCTGCCAAAGAGTTTGTCGGCCGGGACGCCGGGGACTCTCGGGGATCCAAAATCTGTATAGAACTTGGCCTGCTGGTTTGGTGACACTATTGGAGGTCGCATCTCGGGGAGTGCGGATTGGAACGGCGAATGGGGTCTGGAGACACACTGGATCTCTCTTCCTTCTTCATGGCACAGTTGGTTACAGAAAAGAATTGGATCGAGGTAGCCTACCAGCAACTCTATCAGTCAGCTTCCATGTAATTCGGCTTCCGTTGCTCTAGTTGTTGGGGATGTCCGTTACCTCGATTCGCCACCTCGGGAAGCATCATGATGCCCTCATCGCACCTCCCCGAGCTTCATCCACGGGGCTCGGGGAAGTAAGTGAACAAACATCCGCACAAAACCGATATAAATACTCCAGGGAACGATCATTAGTATGGACTATTATGGTCAAGGTCATATTTCCTCCTCAGTCATGTCGGATCTCATCTCTTCAACCCTAACAGGGGCCCTGTTCGGGGCTGCCCTGACCGTCTCGGGCGTCTATCTGCCCAACACGATCATCTCTCAAATGAAACTGCAAGACTTCCACATGCTCAAGGTCTTCCTCACGGCCAGTTCCGCCAGCGCGTAAGTACCCTCCCGACTTCAACCCGCAAGAAAACCAAACCCTAACCAAAACCCCCCAGCCTCGTCATCTCCCTCTATGAGCGTCTCATCAAACGACCGCTCAGCCGCCGCCCCCCTTCATCCATCGGCTGGTTCGGCTCATACGATGGCAACATCATCGGCGGCGCCATGGTCGGCGCCGGCATGGTCCTCACAGGCGCCTGCCCCGGCACCGTCCTGGTCCAGGTCGGCACCGGCATCTCCTCCGGCCGCTACGCAATGCTCGGCGGCCTGCTAGGCGGGATCCTGTACGCCCAGATGGCCGGGCTCCTCGGCCGTGCGCCCGGCGCACCCTGCACCCCGACCCCCGCACCCAGCAAGATCGACCACAGCCTCCCCGCCAAGCTCGGGGTGAGTCCCGCCAGCGCGGCGCTGGCCTTCCAGACCATGTGCGTGTGCCTCATTCTCGCGACCAAGACGCTGGCGCCGAGTTTGACGCGCAGCACCGTCGACCCGGTGGTCGGCGGTCTGTTGATCGGGGCAGCCCAGCTCGCGAGTCTGATCATGACCAGGGCGCCGGTGGGTGTGTCGACGAGCTACGAGGATATCGGGCGGTGGACGTGGAGCTGCCTCAATGGGGGCGGGAGCGTTGAGCCCGTCGCGGACACACGGCCGGCGTTGTTGCCGCTGACCAAGTCGGTTTGCTTCTCGGGTGGGATCCTGGCGAGCAGCTATGCGCTGTCGCGGATGCTTCCGGAGTTGGCTACGGTGGATGCATTGCCGGTGTCGCCGCTGCAGGGTGTGCTGGGAGGCTTGGTCATGGTCTTTGGTGCCCGGTTGGCGGGAGGGTGTACGAGTGGGCATGGGATCAGTGGCATGAGTATGCTGGGGACGAGCAGTATCATCAGCGTGGCCTCGATGTTTGGAGGCGGGATCGCCTTGGCATTGCTGCGTTCGTGAATTGGCATTGTCCCTACGGGGGTTTCGTTCTTTCTTGGAAATAGGTCTTGGCGAAAGGGTGCAAGTGCACCAGGTATAATTGAAAAAGCTATATACATCTACCTGACGGGTATAATTGATTGTCTTGTCTGGATCATCACTCGTGGCACGCATCTCTATAGTTTGCCCTTGGCCGGGCCGCAACATGCCACTGGCTCGGGGTGCAGTGTCGACTTGTTGAACGATTGGGAGGATGGAGGGACGTCCAGCGCGGGGTTCTTGGTGAAGAATCCGTCTGGCTTGAGCATGACACTGACTCGTTCGACCGGCATCACAGGGAAATCCTCGATACGAGGGTTGTGCGTCAGACCGAAACCTGATGAAGTCAGTCTCTGCCTCACTCGCAATAGGACGATCAAACTTACTATGCCATAAAACCAGATCCTCATTCTCCACGGGATCATTGCGCTTGACCCATGTTTCCACCCCCTCGGACTTCTGGCTCTGGTTGGTGAATTCTCCCGCCGCGAACAACTCGTCATCCTGATACTTGGTCACCCAGATGGGCTTGGTCGCAAATTCAGCGCGCTTGTGCCCGAAGGATCTGGGGCTTGCCAGCAGCATCTGACTTGGCACGGTCTGCAACTTGTAGGCCACTGGCTTGTATGTGATAGGGTTGATGCAGGCATCGTTCCGGATCTTGAAGACACGGTGCCGATCCACACTGGTGTTGGCGGTGCCGCTGGTCCTCAGGACGGTTTGTTCCGTGACGTATCCCACCCCATACGGGTTGCTCTCGTCTTCGGGCATAGGAACGCTGTCTTCATAATACACCGTATTCTTGTGTCCGTCTAGAGCAGGGTCCATGCGGAAGGAGAACATGTGCTGGTGGAAGGGAGCCATGACACCGGGCCCGACATTGGTTCCCCAGGGAACAGTGGTGCCGAACTTGGAGTTATCAAAGGGCACGGTCGACAGGATACCGGTGGCGCGGACCTCGAGTTCGATGTTGGCAGCCTGGTCGAAGATATAGGCGAAGATATACTCGTAGTTGGAGACAGTACAGATCATCTGCACCACCAGCTGGCGGTTGCGGACGACGGTAGCAGCACCGCTGCGGTAGTTGGTGTGCTTGTGCTGGAGACCATTGTCCTGCTCGTGCAGACAGATCACGTTCTCAAGGTGCACCGGGTTACCCTTCGAATCCGACCGGTAGCCATCGAAGTATTTGATGTGACCCAAGCAATCGCACCCGAGAGAGAGCTGGTTGGCCGTGATGCCGAACCCGACATCGCCGACGTCAAAGGCCTGCTTGCGGTGGTAGGGAGCACGAGGGTCTGTCGATCAATTAGCAGCGATCGCCAGCTGCGGCGCTAGAGAGCACATACCTCCATATGGAACGGTCATCTCCGATACGGATAACCGGTAGAAGACATTGCGTCCGTCATAAGTAGTGTTGTAGATGACCAAACCTTCACGCGCATTGAAACCCACGCGGAACTTCCACTTCTGCCACGAAATCTCCCGCCCTTTCACGGAAAAGGAAGGCCCCTCCGGCTGCTGGACAATATAGGGCTTCAGATCCGTCCGCAAGGGTTCGCCGAGCAAATCATGCGCATACTGAACTGTCTCAACCACCTTCCATGGCTGAGTCTCCACACCTTTGGCCTCTGCGCTGCTAGGCAGATAGTCCATACGGACCAGCTCATGGGTGAGCGCATCGAAAACGGGCGAGAATTTGCAAGGGGTCGAATAGTGGTTGTTCTGAGGGTGGTCCGTGGTCACCACGTACATGTAGCACTGCCATAGCCGGCGAGTCTCTTTGGGGTCGTCGGTGCCATAAATCCAGGGGTCGTTGCACACGCTGACACCGGCAGGCAGCTGCAGCTTGGCAATCTCCGCTTGCACAGCGGGATGTTTGAGGCACAGTTGTTCGATTTCAACGATCTCATCCGCATCACCGGGCCCCTGACTCTGTTAGCATAGAGGTCCATCAGGATGGGTTCCACGATCCGTACCTGTACTCCCTTCGGCAGCTCCTTGGCATAGATGATCGATCTCGTTCCCGCATTCAACAACGCCTTGTGGAATGCCCCACTGTCCAGACGGTGGAACAGCACTTGCAATAGCCGGGTCGGCTTCGCGGGGAGGGGCTTCCCCAATCTCTCTGCCTCGATGTACGGAACAACCTCCTTCTTCAAGGGTTCATTGACATCGATCTTCTTGTATCTCAGCGGGACTCCGGGGAAGGCAGCCTCGAGGATCTTAACCGCCAATTGGATCTCCCCGGGAGTGATAGGGTCAAAGGGATGTAGGTAAGCCGCCATTTCTCCGGGTTGAAGGATAAATGACAATGCAGGGGCGATGTTGGTGGCTTCAGTAGAACATGCATGACCGACCAGGATCGTCCAGGCTCTATATATACTCTGCGTTGACACGGCATATCGGATCTGGAGAAAGATATCTCTACTTCTCTCGTCATTCGGCGTTGGACAAGAATTGGCGGCGCTGCTGTTGATTGGCAGGGGGGAAGCCTTGGTTCCTCAGGTATCAGTCACGTGGGCGCTCTGATTGGCTGAATCCAGAACCAGCGCATCTCCTACCCAAAGAGGCTTAGCGCATCACGGGACCCCTCTCCAGTGATCCAGTGATCCAGTGATTACCCAAAACGGACAAAAACGAGAGAAACCGAAACAACAACTCATCAATGACGAAGAAAGAATGAAAGACCGGCGTCAGCTATCATGGATCCATGGTTATAAGAATGTAAGTAGATACGACAGTGGTCCTTATGTGCTGACCAGATAGAGATACCCTCCCACTAACATCCCCACCACCGCCGTGGCAAAGTTCGCGACGACGCGGTCGGTTCTCGTGATAACGCTGAGTTCGCCCAGCCAGGCAGGTTGATCCGAGGATCCTCTTTCTGTCCCCGTCGCCCCGTTCCCTCGACTGGTCCCTCCCGTTCTATTCGTCAGGGGCCCCGCGACTGTGTCGAACAGCGTCGCCTGGACCACTTCCAACGCCGACATCTGCTGCCCCACCCCCGTTGTCCCATCATATTCGCCGGTCGTCCACCGCATCCCACAGTATGTTCCCGTTTCACCGCCGACGCATTGTGCTGCTGCTGCCGTAGCGGAGGCCAGCAGTCGGGTCGCGATGGTATCGCGGGTCCAGGGCGCCAGCTGCGCCACATCCCCCATCCACCGCGCCAGATACGCTTTGAAGGAGAATTCGTCGGTTTGGCAGGTGTTGATCGTCTCGCAGGCATACTCATGCAGAATACCGGAGGAGGACTTGTTGGGAGAGAGAAAGAGTTTCTGCGCGTCAAGGAGGCCGTCGATTCGGATTTTCCACTTCCAGTCGCCTTTGCTCTTACGCTAGGTCAGTATCTTTGAACTCGATTTATGAGGCAGAGCAAAAGAGTCCCTACATGGTTCCACATGTGCGCTGCTCCATGCAGAAACACGCCGTTGTTATACGTCCATTCGACACGGTTGGGTTCCGAGCAATTATCGCCCTCATTGAGCCCGTCCAGCACATGGTACTGTGAATTAATCAAACCTACGTCCATTACCCAGTCCCAGACCTTGTTCGCCCATTCAGCATACATCACCTCCCCCGTATACCGTGCGAGTCGCGCCGCGATGTTGAAGAAACAGCCATTGGAGATGGCATTGCGATAGGTATATCCGTTGTTGAACGGGAAGATCTGCCACTTCAGCCCACCGCCGCAGATTTGATCGTCCCAGCGGCCGGCCTGCTCGTTGAATACGGCTTGCGCCATGGCCAGCCATGATGGGGAATCCTTGGGTGGGTTTGGGAAATTGTTCTCTGCTGCCATGAGCGCGGTAATGGCCCAGAAGGCCTGATCGTCGTTGCCCTCGGTGTGCATCTGATTAGCGGGCATAAAGTTACCTATTGCGCCGGCCTGTTGTAGGATAGCCTCTGTGGTGATGTCGTTGTAAGTGTCGTTGCCGGTGTACCGCCAATAGTTGATGAGAGTCCCGAAGAAGGCACCGGCTTCCCACCAGTAGTAGGGCTCGGGGAGGTTACCAGGGACATCGCCTGTCTCGTTGCCAGTGTAGAAGCTGACGAGGTCCCACGCTAGGCGATTGGCGACCTGTTTGACGTGTTCTTGTAGAGTCAGTGCATGCGGAGACAGCATCATTCCCACACGAAATATACCTGGATCCGTAACATTGAGGTAGATAGCGATCGCCCGCCAGGGAAGTAGTAGGAATAACGAGAGTTTTAAGAATACTAGGCAGTCAATCTGGCATATGCGCCCCATGCTGGTTGCGCACAAGAGAGAAGGAGAGGAGTGCACCATACGTCCAGAGTGAATTCAAACGAAAAGAGCGACTGACTTGACTAGAAGAATGACAAGCCCACGGTGGCTGTGAGGATCATCCATCTCCCAGTCGATAGCAGATAGTGCTGCACTAATATTAGAGATACGTGCGATGTGTGTCTGCCAAGTCAGTGATGAGAGATCTATTGACTTAAATACTGTCGGCATCTATGGCTTCGACTTCACGAAGGAAGGGACTACCGCCCTCGCACCATCTCTTCTTCCACGTAGATACTAACACCCTTATTCCCTTTGAGCTTGGAAGTCTCCCCGTCCGCAATGACAATGGTCAATCACCAGATATATCTTTCCGGAGTCATGCCTCCTATATGTTCAACACGGTCCGGTTTCACTTCGACCATCTCTACCAGCTCTTCGACGATAGGAATGTCTCCAGAACCTACACGAGTTCTACCGCGACGCAGTGGCAAAGATCCAGAGATCTCGACTCTAGTATGTACAATACCTCATCATTCTTGCATTCGCTGAAGCACTGCTGATACCTGTGCGCAAGATATCCAATATCCCCGCATGGACCAAGTACTTCCCCCGTGCCATGTCATTATTACCAGACACTACCACGCTCTGGCAGGATCCAATTCTTGCAATTGAAGTATTGGCCTTGGTCAGCCTGTATCTTCATTCGGTCGCCATGAGGGGTTCTGCTTATTGCTATGTATGCTGTATCTTCCCACTCCTGGAGCTATCATAGATAACCAAATAGATCGGACGTGCCATGCGCATGGCGCTATTTGAAGGCCTTCATTGTGCCCTGTCAGTTGAACAGCTTGGTGGAAAGTATGTCGAGCGGTGCAGCAGAGTGTGGTGGACAGTGTACGCCCTCGACCGCAAGTTCTCGTCTCCAATCGGCTCGCCGAACTTAGTTAATGACGAGGACACGACTGTTCTGTAGGATCCTCGTAGTTGCTCCCAAGACGCTGCAGCGCTGAGCCTTCATGTAAAGATTACACAAGTAAGTACAAGGATAGCAAGAACCCTCATTCAAGCATGTGTCGATTTGAAGCCCATGACCGCTCTGCAAGATCAGAATTCCCTGGGTAGGTAGACTGCTAGTTTCAACCATACCAGCTCACACATTCTGCAGAGACATTTCTCCCCTTTGATCTAGAGAATCTCTTCTCGTCATTCTTCCTTCTCTCCGTACTATCGGCTATCTTACCTAATATACTTCCGGATTTGACCTACCGCGAAATGGGCTTCAGTCTGCTCGATGACCTGATTGCCGTGCGCAAGTCGGAGATAGAGTTGCTGGAAGAGTTGGCGTAGCTACTCCACCAGCCCAGTCCCTACAGCCGCACTAAAAGAGGATCTGCTCTTTGACTGGCGAGATTTTGGAGTGTCCTTGACTCACATGCTCTCGGCGACGGATCAGTTGAATGCTTCGAATCTGCTGTAGGAGGGAGAGGACCACATATTGTCAACCGATCCTTGATTATGGGCTATATTCTGTTCAATAGCCTATATGCTTGCTGTCGAGTATGTTATGAACATAACGAAGGTGGATGATATGAAGAAAAACCGGAGGATGCTGTTCAATCGTAGACAGCCTCATGTTTAGCAGATTTGGGTCCATTTATTTTGGAGCCTCCTTTTGAAGCACAACCAGAAATTGGTACTTGACTTCTCATGTCTCTGGTTATTTGGGGGGAAGGGCGAAAACACCGGATAGTGATATCGCAATGTGGCCCAAATGTTGACGTCCATCGTCGAATATTTGATGCACCGCGCGAACCCTCTAAAAACCCAACAATAGACAGGAATCACAAGGACAAGGTATCCTGCATATGCCCTCGAAGGTTTCTATTCGGAATTACAATCCTGACTTAACCTTTCTATCGAGATCGAGTCTACCCATGCTGGGTATAAAGAATGAAAACCTCTCGACAACGCCATGGCAAGCCAAAGCATGGTACCACCTTGGCCAAGTGGCTATTCTGCGAATCATAGTGACACCATCTCACTGCTCCATGTGGTAAACAGGATCTAAACATTGTTCATCGCTGGCATCCGTGGTCTAGAATGGGGGAGAATGCTGACAATGCAAGGGACATTGCGCATAGAGGAAGGGTGGCATGTTAGTACCTGGATGGAACTTGGAACGCCAACAATCAGCAGTAATCAATTTTAAGGATTATGATCTTCTAGGCTACTTATATCAGTCGTCTTGCTTGCTCGCGTGGGCTCTGCTTCTGCTATGTGGTTACCCCAGATGTCTTTCTGCCAGCTGAACCACAAACATGATGAAAATCCTTTCTTCTTCAATATGAACGTTCTTTACTCAGGATGATTATCGTGTGTCTTCATGTCTTCAAACTTCCAGTCACTCTGTATAAGACAATCAATAGTCGACTCTAGACTGCCGTTCTTTCGTATTCACACTTTGAACATTGGTTCCTAAACCCAAAATCATTCCTTAAGCTCCTCGAGAGCGTCCTCATTCGTCACTCCTTTCAGCTGGCATCAGCCTCACAGATATTGCGCACCTAGGATGAAGTGGGAGTCGCTCCTTTTTATCGCCATCGCTGCTGGCTCGGCACTGGCTCGAAAGCATGACATGCGTGATCATGTCCATATTCATCATCACCAACCGGTTTTGAAGGCTAGATTGAGAGCTAGAGGACTTGAAAATGTCCCCAAGAGCCCAGATATGCAACCTGAAATCCACATGGAATCCGCCACAGTGCACAACACTGTCTCCAAGAGTCAGCGTACCACAAGGGCCTATATTGATAGCTCTCGGCCCCTCGATGTCCTTCCAGTAAGAACAAGGACGGTACCTAGAACGAGCAGAGTTGCTGCAAGGAGTACTTCCGGGGAGCAGGCCAGCTGGATCATGATCCCCTCCAACGGAGTATACCGTACGGCCGGCTTCGGCGAGCGCACCCGGCCTTCAGGCTCCGGTATCGATTACAGCGGTAATGTCGGGAACCCGTGGGGCAGCAACATCATCCAGATTAGCGAGGACTCTGCTTGGCAGTACCAATACGTTGTCCAGATCAGAGGGAGCAGCACAAGGGAGTGGACAGTCGTCTTCTGGAACAAGATCGGCCCCGACGGCAAGATGGGCGGATGGTATGGGCACTCGGCGCTGACCTTGACCCTTCCCCCGGGGACAGCGATGTATGTCGCGTTTGACGCAGACTCCCAAGGCGCATGGGGCGCTGCAGAGGGGCGCTCCCTGCCCACGGATGCGTTTGGAGGTTATGCGTGCACGTGGGGAGAGTTTGATTTTGGCAACTCGGGGAATGGTGGATGGTCCGGGTGGGATGTATCGGCGATCCAGGCGCAGAATGCGAAGATGCCGGTACAGGGGATGAGGATCTGTGATTATACGGGAGAAAAGTGCTCATCCGTCACGACTAATGCGGCGAGTGTGGTGAATGCTTATACTGCAGCTGAGGCCGCTATTGATGGCATAGGAGGAAGTTTGAAGCCGGGGCCTGTCAGGCTTGTGGTCGAGTTGGATTATAATGGGTGATGGTGATGTATATACTATCAAACCTGCAGTTCATGACATATACGATAATGGAGCTCACAGTTGTACTTCTACAGTGACGGTGCGCTGTTCCCAGTCGGGCTCAAACTCCATCGATTCTCTCTGTACGGCGCGACACTCTGGACAGATGCCATGGACATCAACATCTGACCAGAAAATAGTCTTCTCTATTAAAGATAGTGTTTGTTTGATCTCAGCATACTGCTCCGATGCATGATGTAGCTCCTCCAACCACTTACCATGCAAGTTGTCTGGACACGTTGATAGCTCAGTGGTGTTCCTTATACAATTCCTCTACGAGCCACCTCTGGATGCCACTTGGAATGAGCAAGAGCAATAGTACCTCCAGAGTTAGTAAGAAGACATAGCTTTTGTGGCCATCTCGAGAATCAAAATATATACAGCGTCTTTGCTGAGATGGTATTCTTTTGCTCAACTGCGAGCTCATCCACTGCTTGTGGAAGAAGTGATCGGCGAAATACCATCATACTACTGTTGCAAGATGGTAAGATCCATTTATGGGAGATGCTCAGTAAGGATTTTCAACAGAATACTTCAGCCTCTTCGAGAGTTTGGCCGTCGTCAAGATTTCAAAGCTTGCTTTTAACCTTCAACAACCAGAGGAGTTTGGATGTTCTGCTTGACTGTTTCAACCAATTCAAGAATAGAGGAAGATCCCAGAAACTAGCCAGCTGGCGAACTGTGTTTCCTCTCGGTCGTCCGATGGGGTAAAATACATTTCGCTCAAGTTTGGTGGAGGGAAAGCTGGGGCTCAAAGCCAAACAGCTGCTAAAGGATGAAACAGAAATATTAAAAGGAGTAGGACACTTAGTTTAACTTATTTCTCTTGGGCTTATAGTTGGCTGTAGAGTGGCACAACCTAACTGCTATACCTTCACCATAACCTAACCATAACCACATAGGTAGGTTAAGGTATAAGGATCTATCTATTTAGATTAAACTGGGATGCTGTACTCTCAACAACCTGGACAATGTCACAGTGCATGGCCACAGTATGGCCGCTCCCACACATGACCCCCTGTGACCACAACCTCATGTTGATTTCCGCCCTTGTTTGTAGCTCTGCAAGCTACATCCTGTCTATGTACCTGAGGATAGCCTGACTGTAGCATGCCCATTTCGTTAGCTCCTAATCTATCTGTTCTATCTGGACCTGCACCTTGACAGACAACCTGGACGACGGTGCAGATACTTCGACCCGCTCAGACCCTATTCCGTAGCCTTGGAATAATTATGCGCCGGTTGAGTATGGTACATATAGAGATTCTTTGTGTGTTCTTGTTGCCAATATTCTGGGTATATTGGAGCATCTGGTAGGGTGCCATATTCCTCTATCCCACACGCAGAATTTTTCAGGATAGTATAACTGTCATGTTTCTTTTGTTCAGCTGCACTACTTGCTTATCCTGCCCTCACTCCCCTAGCCCCTTCATCAGCCACTCGTCGTATAAGAGTTCCAAAGCCGTCGGCCGGTCCTCGGGATTCCACTGCAAGGCCATCCGGAGCCACCGTAAAAACCCTTCTTTGTCTTCCCCTTCAACCTTCTCGGCCAGGCTCTCAAGGGTAATATCTGGAATTGGGGCTACTTCCTTCCAGTTGCCCAACTCATCCCAGAAGACCGAACTGAGGTGTCTCTGTTCCCGGAATTCAGGTGGCGGAGGGCCTAGCACGGCAACCAGTTCTGCCATATGGACCCGGTCATCAAATACGCCATTTGAGTTTTTGCCATTGATAAGGGTGCGCGGGCTGACGATGTCCCAGGCCTAAATATACCAAAATATCAGCATTTTCTTGCTAAGCAAAAGTTAGAATATTTCCACTCACGACCATGGCAACATTCCATATATCCACCTTGTAACCCCAGCTCGACCTCAAAATCACTTCAGGAGCTCTATAAACGTTTGGCATGATATCATCATCGTGCTCCTCATCGCTCAATCGAGCTTCCCCAAAATCAGCGAGAATTGGCAGCCCACCTCTTGGAACGAAACCTAAAGTCTTGTAGATTATTCGGTCTTGAAGCATCTTTCTAGGTGATGGGTCTGTAACTTCAGCTTCTTCGAATCGGGAAAGATAGCTTGTCTCTGGTCCGGGAAGTAGTAGGTTCTTCAGCTGAAGATCTGTGACAGCGTTAGGCCTATAATATAAGGTCTTCAAGCGGATTAAGCATTACCAGTATGGATGATATGACAATCTGAATGCAGGAAATCCAATGCGATAAGTAGCTGTCGGATACCAGGCTTCATATCATCAAGGGTCATTACATGCCCAGGAGACATCTTCACCAGAACATCTGCACTCATTCCAAGAGGCTCATGAACAAGGCAGATGTGACGGCCATGAGGGCCTTGGATATAAAAATGGTCGAGGAGTTTGCGAATGAAGTTTCTGCCAGGATGTTTTGTTTCCACTAAATTCATGTGCTTGTAGATGTGCAGCTCTCGCTCATGGTCCTGATTTTGGCCTGTTACATAAACTTTTAAGACAACTTATGTTGATGCACTGGTTTAAAGCATGCTATTAGAATCACCAACATCTAGTTAGACTGAAGAGAACCCACCGCACCTACATCAAGTCTTTCGCAAGCCAAACTGTTGAGGTTACTCCGTACCCTATTTTGGCAAGTGTTTGATACCGATCATTGAATACCTCACCCTGGTTGACTGGGTAGTATTTCTCAGGTTGGTAATTTGGCAGTGTCTCCTCCTCAAGCTCGATGGACTGGTCAAGCAACTTGAATCCTGAGGTGGGAAACACTCTCGGGGTGCACGTCCACTGCGGCGACGACAGAACTGTTTGATGCGGCACAGCCGTGGCTCTTGGACTAGACCGTAGGGACATTCGGCGACAGCAAGAAGTGGAGGGTAGAGACTTAGTGAAGCCCCTGTGAGCACTTCGGATACAAACAGTCCAAGAGTTTCGCGCGGCTCGCTGCATCATGAAGTTGAGCGCAGAAGAGGCCCGGGGCAGCTCGGGCGCGTAGGCTAAGGTGGTAAAGCAAAGTTCAGAGGAGAAAGGAGTCGGGGTGGATTCAAGGGTACCTACCCAGGTAGACACAGCGCTGAGTTAATTACCTAAGCACTCATTATAGAATCTAATTTTTATCCTAAAATATTAGATACCTATACTAGGGATGCTATAATAGCTTCTTACCTCTTAAAGACCTCTTCACTAAAGATCTAACTACTTAATAAGATAATAATAAGTGCTAATTAATAAGTAAAAGGTACTACCATAAATTAGATAGTAAATAGGCCTTATATACCTATAGATATTAGATATCTAAGAGTATAATATAATCTTAGGCTATAACTAGTTATAGAGTATAAACCTATAGATTAACAGTAGTTTGAATCCAAATAACTGCTGAATTAAAACCAAAGGATTCCTCTAGGTTGGGATGAACAGTCTACCTAGGGGGGGGGTCTCTCTAGATATAGAATTATATAAAATAAAAGTAACTATATAGATCAGAGTAGGATAGGTATTAGATATAGGTAGTAAGAGGATAATATAGGGGAAGATATATAGCTTAGTAGTAGGCTACTTTAGTTATAGTAATATTTATTTTTATTAATATTTCTTATATCTTCTTTATAGTTATAAGATTCAGGTGTATAGATACTAGATTCCTACTTTAACTAGCAACATGCCTGCATAGCTAGTTATTCCAATAGATAGGCTCTAACAGGTTAATAGAATCTTGATTGATTGATTGATTGATCTTATTGGGTATGATGCGGTTGGGGGTTTGCACTTCATTAGCCGAAAGGATGCCCAGGCCAAGACCCTTGGCCAGTGAATTAAGCTGGAAGAGGTCGAGTACCATGTGCAACAGGTGCTGCTAGTCAATGGAGGTAATTATTCAGTGTTGGTGGTGTTTGTCTGTCCTGCTACAGTGGCGGATGCGGATGAGGGCCCTGACAATAGGTTTCATGCCCTTGACCTGAGTTCCTTCCCATATTATGATCACTCAGAGTTAAGCAGTTGACTTAAGAGTAAGTTGCCGTCGGCCATGGCACCATTTGTCTACGTGCCCATGAATCACATTCCTCTCAACACATCTATCCAATGTTGTTTTCAGTCGCCTCATCTCCGGAAGAGGAGCCACCCTCAGTGTGACTAAGGATACTCCCCCCACCACGAGGTCCTGGCCTCTATCCAGCAGTAACAGCTCAATGAGATGCTGTTTGAATCCACCGTGCTGTCACATATTATGCGCTCGTGCACAAACTGTTCAGCAAACACAACATATGGCTCCGTTTTCTAGTACTAGAATATTAAGGAGAACCAGACAGCGACTTTCTCTGGCACACCAGTCTAATTAGACATCATACCCGTGGAGTTTCGACCGGAGCAACTGTGGGTGCTTATCAAGCCCAATAGACAGGGGCTTAAGGTTACCCTGTTCTATACTACAGCTGTTATGGCTCAAGAGCAAGTAGAGCTACTTAGGGATCAGTTTTGTCGGTATGTGGAAATAGGGGAAACATAGAAGGAATGTAGATGTTGCTTGCTGTATATAGATTGACCAGCATGCACTGTTTTAAGACCCTGTGTTAAGATGAGGCATACATATGAAAAAGGCAAGAGAAAGCATATCCACACTATGTAAGGCATTGCCAGCACCCACAAGAATTTCAATGTCCTCAAACGAAGGTGCACCATGAGCAACAGCTATGGTAAACAGATCCTGGTCAAGATAAAGTCCAGGGGAATGTTTTAGAAACAAAACACCACCATGACATCAGTGTCATTCCTTCGCATGTCCCATTCCATGCTTGGAATCTGCTTAACACACCTTTCGCTTGACAGGATCCTGGCGGAGAAGAAAGACAGTGATCTTATAGTTGAGGGCCTTCCAAAAAGCCCACAGAATGAGACCATCTAATGAGTGACAGGTTTCTCCATGTTTCATGCCGAGGTGAATTTAATAGACTTTAGCTATCCCACCATCTCCCACACCCTTAATGTGAACGTGATGCTGCTGGTGTCAAAGAATGGAGACGGAAGATCTAACCATGAGTGATTAGTGTCGTTCATCCGCTGTGGGTTCAGACCCTTTCGATCCAAGACCTTATCGAATACCATGCGCAGTTTGGACAGCCCATTATGACCCCCCAAAAGGTTTCCGAGGCTGTGGTGAAGCAGCTAATCAGGGGGAATGGAGGTCAGGCCGTGGTCCCCTCATCCTATGGCGATGCGGCTATGATCCATAGGCTTCCGAGCTGGATCCAGGAATATGTACTTGCGAGATGACTCCTCGCAACAGTTCCTCCAATTAAGACGCCCACTGCCCTTGCCAACGATATGCTGCAAGCCAGGCGCCGATTCTTTGTAGCTAAACGTGGCTTCTTGTTCACCCAGCCTGCGTGGACCGCCTATAGGCTTTTAATCGGTGTTTCTGGACCCAGAGACGTTCAGGATTCGAAGGCTTGCTCTTCGGAATTGTAGAAAACGGCCCTGAATTTGCTTCAATTCCATGCAGACCTAATCTTTGTGATTGGAATTCTAGACATGTCTGCGCATTATAACAGTTTGAAACTTAGCATCATCAACCCTTCATATAGAGAGGTCATTTATTCATCAAACCCGGGGCTTTTCTAATCCACAAAGCAGCAGCTCATCCTGCTCATATCTCGCCTCTCTAAATACCTTAAACCCACACTTCTTCAGCACCTTGACGGAGCCAATATTCGGCTTCTCACAGATGGCAAAGATCTTCTCGACCTCTTCACCATTCCCGGAGCTCTGTTGCTCTCGACGAGGTAATGCCCACCACGCCTCGAGAAACTTCCCCAAGGCCTCGGTAGCGTATCCCTTACCCCAGTATTCGGGCTGAATGCAGTACCCGATTTCTGGACAGGGAACGAGTTCATTCAGATAGACTGCTCCGATTACTCGTCCATCACTTGGCGATGCTTCCGAGGCAGTTCCTGAGCATCCTCGTTCGATAATTGCATAGGCGAAACTACCGCCAAGGATGTCTTCGGGACCCTCGGTGAAGATCTTTGACGCCATCCATTCCCGGGTATCTTGGATGGACTGGTGGGGCGTTTTGGGATGGCTAGGATATGTTAGGCCGAAGTAGCTGACCGAAGGTAGAGAATACATACTTCATTGCCGCAATTTCAGGTCTTGAGCGGATGGCGAAGAGATCCTCGACGTCCGAGTTAACCATGGGACGCAGAACCAGCTGAGGAGTCTTGAGCACGGGGAGAGGATCAGCGAGGATTACTCGAACACTTTGACTGGGGAGGAGATCCATTTTGTATGGTTTGAGGTAGAATTTACGCCTGGAGAAGGTCTTCTTAGTTGAGGGGTTGGAAGGCATCAACTCTCGAGAGTCAACTGTGAAATTTTTTTAGACTAGCGTGCTGACAGCTGACAGTGACAAAATCAATAATAATATGAGAGACGGGATTGACTCTGCTCTGTACACTAACGTGCGATCGCCGCTGGTTTCTCTAGTTGCTAGCTAAATATGCTCGTCGTTCATCTGTCCATCTTCAACAATGCTGATAATAATATCTATGGAGCAACATCGTTAGCAATGATCTTCTTGCATCAGGTTTTCAAGATCATTTTGCCGAAATTCGCCGTTAAGAACTCTCCTGAGCATTGTTACTCTCCTCAAAGATGTTATCCCTCCTCGTGAAAATGTTCAATCCGTACTTCTTACCCTGTCGAACCGGCATTCCTGCATGCCAGACACCAGGATGCCCGGTCCCATTCTCATACAGATTTCGCCAGAAGACCGCATTGCCACGGAGGACCTTGAACCCGACACCACCCGCTTGCCGGTTGTCCTCGTTATCTTCGCAGTCAATGAACCGGCACCAGTGCGCCGGGAACGAGCCTCGATAGTGCGGAAACTGGGTCGAGCCACCGACACAGCCATCGCATTCCAGGTATGCAAAGATAGTGGACACGCGCGGGTTCTCCATCCCGCCGAACCAGTCAAAGTGTGGTCGGAACTGGTCGTTGATGCCGTACTTGACAACCTGCAGGTCTTCCAAACGGTTGAGAGATTGGAAGCCTTGGAAGTCCATAGTACGCTGCTCGATACAGGCAACAACAGGGTCACGAGGGAGAACTGCAGACTGTGAGGACCGGATCGAAGTGTCGTACTCGTCAAGTCTATAGCCCTTTGAGACTGGGGACTCCATGAAGCGAGATTCACTGGTATGAACGTCAGTATGTTTCGCCGATCTCTGGAGGGGAGGGCTACTAACGCCAGGTGCTGCAGATATACAGTCTCGTCGTGGCTGAGATAATCCTCGATGTAGACTATCAAAGGATCTGTCGTGAATATATGTGTTTGGTACTTCTGAGCCGGACACTGAATCGAATACTGTTTGTACATGGCTTCAAAGGTTCTGCTCTCATTCTGCATCTTACTGAAGACTTCTGAGATGCTGGTCAGGGGAAACTGGATTGTCTCTAGCGAGCTCTTGAAGAGTTCGGGATCCAGTTTCACTGCGGCAATGCTCAGAAGACTGATTAGAGCCGCAGCAACTCCCCAGCGAATGCTTTTGGTCTTTGGCTCTGTGGGAGCGTCTCCCTTTGTCCGCTCCGTACTCATTGTGGCCTGAGTATAGAATAAAAAAAAGACGTACGAGATCAAGAGATCGGATATTCAGGACGAGGTTGTCAAGCAGAGATGGGACAATCCAAGCTTATCCATATATACGCAGATGTCTGAGCTTAGCCCCTCATCCATTCTGGGAGTATCATTGAGAAGAAAGAAAAAATAAATAAGGAAAAAGCGAGGCATGAAGGCTGAGACCCTTTGGAGAATAATACCGTATAAATTCTCCAATGCAAGAATTGCCTAGAAGAAGTGAGTGGTTCGAGAGGCGTAAAATAAAATTACTCTTGGTAAATTTCAATCATCCATACGCACTGCTCGTCCAGTTTCCTGGGTAGTAGTATATTATGAACATCATTTCTCACACATTTCTCACACATGGCCACTCGAGTTTCAATAAAAAGCATATCATATACTCACCAGACAACTGCGGATTTGACTGAACTCAAACACTGTTGTGTTCTATAATCATGGTCCTGCAACACTCTGACCGAGATTACGACAAGAACTCTAGAGAGTCATCCTCCACTCTACTTCAACACCACGAGGATGGCTTTTCCGGACAGTATGCGCCTTCGGGGAGACTCAGAGAGTACGCTGGGCCGTCCAGAAGGTGGCAAGACTGGATCAAATGGAGCGTTATCTTTGCCAACACGGCACTATTCATTGCGAGCATCACATTGTTTGTCAAGAGTGTTTCGGTGAAGCAGGACTGTCCGTCCGTTCATAAGCCCTCTTGGGCAGAGCAATTCGAGCCTGACTGTGAGAACATGCACCTTCCATAGAGTAAGCTATGGCATTGAATTAACCGGACTACGACTTCTCCAGTGCGATACGACAGCCGGGTGACCTTTCAACCACACTCGTACTTCGGCGGTCCGCCATCTAACGAGACAAACGAGATGTGGCAGCGACTGTCTCCTCGTAAGTCTAACATCCTCTGAGTCTGCCGAAGGACGACTTGGGCTGATTTCTACTAGCGGGAGATGGAATTGTGGAAGTTCCTATCGAGTTGGCGAAGAATCTCCCGGCTTCATTGCCTGCGCCAAACAATCCTGACACAATGCTTGTGTATGGAGTCTCGGTATTTCATCAGCTTCACTGTCTTGTGAGTCAATTTTCAAGATACGATGCCTGCCAATAGACATATCTAAAGAGTCTAACCACTGCAGAACTTCCTTCGCTTTGCCTACTACCCAGAATCCGTGGTCGATTACCCTCCTAACGAGATTGCCTTCCACCGAGACCACTGCCTCGACTACATCCGACAGGCATTGATATGCCATGCCGACGCAACCTTTGAGCCTCTGACACAAGTGGGCATCAATGGAATGGGCGCTATTCATCAGTGTCGGGACTTTGAGAAAGTCTTTTCCTGGGCATACGAGCATCGCTCAGACAAAGTACATTCAGGATACACTGGCGGAAAGGTCACCCATACACCGGGTCACCGCAATGACTTTGACGAGGAACAAGGGACTGGGCATCACCATTGAGTTTGTTTTTGTGATTTTCTTGAAAAACAAAAAAAGTTCAGGGTCACTTGAGTACAATGTACTACGCAATTTCATGGTAATTTGAAGATCTGGTCCGGTTTTGTAAAGCATCTGTTCCCAAGGCCTTACTTAACGTGCTCTATTTTCAGCAAGCGTGCCAAGTAAGGAAATGCCTTGGCCATCATCTGCTCTGAAGATAGGCAACCAAACGGACTTTGAATCAGCAACTTCGCCTTGCAATCAGTTCCGTCGTTTATCTGCAAGAGAACGAGGCAACCTTATTCGACAACCTTGCGTTTGAAAGCAACGAGTCGTCACTAAGCCGAAAATATCCTCAATGAGGCTGTAAGCGGCATAGGAATTCCGACTGCATGCATGTGTATGTGGATTTTAGGTAATTAGTGTATGGGGGAATCTCCTTCGAAAAATACAAATTCTAGCCACCGATGTTATACAATACCAAGGCATGCGTCAAATGGATCTGTCGACCTAGAGGCTAGAGGGGCTGTCCAAGACGAGCTTTCGATTGACATGTTCTGCGACGCAGGATTAATAATGTAGCAGTATAATCTCGCTGCTCCGAGATACAGAGGGTATGAGGCCATTATCCCAGAACACTTCTGTCTGGTGGTCTTCCCAGCCCATCTCAGCTACTCTTTCTCATTCCTTTCCACAAGTCCTCGAGTCTCGCAACTCACAACATGGCAATCTTCAAAACACACAAATCCGAGTCCACCTACCACGCGGTACAAGGGAGCGACGAAGAGCATGACCAGGCCCCCGTGGCAAGGGTAAACTACAAGCAGCCGAGATATCTTCTTCTACCCTGTCTCGTACTTTTCCTCTCCGTTGGGTGGGCAGTGACCGCGGTTTCATTCTGGAAGTCCATGAAGAGCAGTGATGGCCCGTTACATGTCTATACATTTACTCCCATTCCCAAGGACGTTTTTGAACCGGTGAAGAAGGTCTTCCAACCAGATGATCGATACATTGGCAACTCAATGGAGGTTGACCACCACTGGGATGCGCTGGTAGCAGGTACTTACCCCGGAGAGAATAGAGAACAGAACTTGCAGTGATTGACAACTCTCGCCTAGGACATGACGCTGTCTGGATAGAAGATCCAGCAAAATGGAATCTACCACAGGGGATTGTTGCTCCCTTTGACCACCCAAATGAAACAGATCCGCCGCAGCAGGATTTCTATGTCATATCTATCCTACATCAACTGCATTGTCTGGTAGGTACAAAAACTCTCGGGCAATTTGTCTTTGAAGACCTCTAATTATTGTGAATGTCATGACACGATACAGAACATGATCCGATTCCAGTTCTGGCAAGCTCGCAATGGGGTCAACCTCGATATTGAGCACGACGCTTTCAAATGGAACGTCCATGTGCTTCATTGCTTCGAATACCTCCGACAAGCAATCTCGTGCGGTGGAGATCTCATCATTGAAGGATCAAGTCCTATCAAGGTGGGCAAGGGACATGCTACTTCCGTGACGGGCTGGGGAGTCGAGCACGACTGCATCAACTTCGAACGTCTGAGACAGTTCCAGATTGACCAGGAAAGGAAGTACAATGAGACGTGGCAGAGGTAGATTTGAGATTACAAAATACTATCTATGCTCGTTAGAGTGCTTAGACAAACAAACCAATGCTGATCGTTCCGCGTACCTACTATCCGGGACTACCACCCGCTTGTATTTTGTTCAGACTACACAAGCGTACTCCGATATCCCTGTACTAATCCGTAGCCAAACCTTAAGCTTAAGCCGACATAGCATTACCTATCTTCGTTGGAGCTTCTGGGAGGGGCAGTTGTGGGTACCAGCGCCGGCAGGGAGTAGTGAGTACTATGAATGCAGTACAGCACTACTGCAGACCCCTCTATCCTAATGGGTCTCTTGGAATCTGGGGTGTACAGTTATCCTTGCGTCCGGACCCCTCACTTCTCTCTTCTCCATCCTACTATATGTCGACATCCCGTCCCTTGCTTTGATTCTTTCTTTGCTCTAAGATCCCGCGCCAGACTTTCAACCAAAGTCACTAATCCCGAATGCGCATTTTTCAATGCACCCTATCTCTTGGGGTCAAATCTATGCAGTCTTCAGAAAGAATGTGACCTCAGGCTCTCGACGAGTAAGATACGAAACCCATATGTCTCGTTTGCTCCGCGTTACTCGCCCCTCCGTCAGTGCTCAATGAGGCAATCTGTCTTGCATCTAGGGCTTATCGCCTTCAGTCAACCGCCTCATTTACGCACGAAAGGATGTTTACTAAGGGAAGCTGCCGTCTAGCCTACTACAAGCAGCACTACCAACTCGAGTCATGAGGCAATGCTATTATTGCATGATGCAGCTAATCTCCTCCCGTCTGTCTCAAACTATTTGACGGATCACGCTCTCAACGACAGACTACAGAGGACCGTCAGTGTTATGCTGGTGAACCACCATTGGCAATACAAAAAAATATCAAGAGATCTGCAAAGTACTACTTGATTGAAGCATGAGAACGAAGCTATGATTTTTTTTTTAAACTTGACAGCTCAATTGTATCTTTTTGCATTCTAACGCATAACATGTACAGGAGTTTTTCAGACCCCTCCTGTCCCGGTCCTTTTGATCGTGTTGGCTCATAAGATCACCCACATCATTTCTTACTCGCGCTCGACCACTTCGGCCTCAGCAACATCCCGCTTGGCAGTGGAGGCCCAGACGTACGCTGGTTCCTGAGTGTCACGTTTGGCAGTGGAAGCCCAAACGTACGCTGGTTCCTGAGTGTCACGTTTGGCAGTCGAAGCCCAAACATACGCTGGTTCCTGAGTGTCACGTTTGGCGGTGGAGGCCCAGACGTACGCTGGTTCCTGAGTGTCACGTTTGGCGGTGGAGGCCCAGACGTACGCTGGTTCCTGAGTGTCGCGTTTGGCAGTCGAAGCCCAAACGTACGCTGGTTCCTGGGTGTCACGCTTTCCGGTGGACTTTCCAGTAGAAGCCCAGACATAAGCGGGCTCCTGGGTGTCACGTTTGGCAGCAGAGGCCCAGACGTAGGCGGGCTCTGCTTGGGCTCCCTCGGCGGGGATTGCAACAGCAGCAGAGAGGGTTGCAAAGGAAACAGCCAAAGCGGCGAGAGTAAAGGTAGTCTTCATCGTGATGCTTGACGAACTGTCAGACCTTTGTGACCTTGACAGTTTCAAGAAGGAAGAAACTTACGTGATAGAGTTTTTTCTGAGTGGGGATATGTTTTCTGAGGGAGGTGCCGTGAGGAAGAACTTCTTATTGAGATTGTGAGTTGTGCCAGTTGGAGACCAAAAATAGAGGCGAACATCCCGGTATTTGTGCTTTCTGGGGCACGAGAATCTACGACCTTCATCACCTCATTGTAGGCTGCATAAGGGCTGGTTGACTTCTCAGCTCAACACAGCCTGTTGATCGTCGAGTCCGACAGGCTATCGCAAACCCCCTCCCCCTCCTCCGCGAGCTCAGGATTGCATTTTGTCCTGCACAAGGTAGTTCAGGATGTGGGAACCAAGCTCCATTGCTCAGCTTCTGTACGCTGATCAGGTGGGAAAGAACAAGGCACCAACAAAGGCAAACTGGAATGTGGTCCGCCTTCGTCCACGGATGTAGAAAATAATGCCTCTCCCACAGGATTCGGGATGAGGTGATTCACTGACTCCGTTGTCTTGGTGTTTTATCACGCAAGCTAGCAGAAAGCGAGGCGGCCATCAAGGGATATTTGCTGCAATGTAACGTTGAAATCAGTGGAACGGGCGATATCAGGTTTCTATAGGTCTTGAGGCATTAAGACCGTGGGTAGGAAGGCGGCTAGGGAGGAGTTTGAAGGTGTGTATACAGTATTTTCGATCTATGTCTATACCCAGAGAGGACAGGGAAAAGGTAGATTTGAAAATTTCACATATTTCTAGCGGTAACTACCAGCATGATACCGTAGTTTCTCCCCAAATGTCGGTATAATGGCGACTGCTGATATGTCAAGCTCCAGCGGCACGGGTCAGAAATCGATCTTCCTTCCCGGAACGAAAGATCCTTCGACAGTCATTTCAACTGCGGAGGACAAGGTCCTTCTGTGTCTGACTTCCCCATTTTCTGAGCTCTCAAAACTTCCATCCCTCTGATCTCTCTGGTCGCCGAAGTCTCCCTGTCGCAACGATGCCACAGGGGCAATTTTACTCATTCTTCTCGCTCGACAAGTCGAGAAGATATTCAGTGCCATCGGAGAAGAACCCCCGAGACTCAGAAGAGGGCCTGGAATCTGATGCCACACTGTTAGGGCCGTCCCATGATCCTCCAAGCCGCTCTCCTAGAACTATTGCAAAAGTAACCACCATCGTGATCTCCTTCTGCCTTGGTGTCGTTGTCGCGAACATTGCGGCCTACGTACTCCCCAAGTATCATTTTGTCTGAGGACTCGATATCAAGACTCCAGTGCCCGATGCAGTTTTCGCGCCTCGGGTGAAGGTTCCTTATGTGCCTGATTCACGGTACTACGGGAGCGGGGAGAGTGTGGACAAGGAATGGAGGGAGCTCACGAGGGGTATCATCATATCTTTCCCATCACTGAAAATGCCAGTTGATAAGAGAGTAACACTTTGATTTAGGAGGGGATGCGATCTGGCTCGAGAATCCATCAACCTACGGTCTAGCCAAGGGGATTGCAGATCCATTCGACAGGCAGTCCCCCGACGAGCGCTTCTACGTTCTGTCCAATCTACACCAGATTCATTGTCTGGTATGTGCACACATCATGTACCATTGCTGAGAATCCGTACTGACTGCGTCCTTTCAGAACGTCGTTCGAATGAGATTCAGGCAGTATGAGTCCCGGCAGGGGCAGGCAGTCAACGAATCCGAGGCTGCGATAGCAGACTGGAAGGAGCACACTGACCACTGTATTGAATATCTCCGTCTATCCGTGATGTGTGGGGATTTTATGGTTCTTGAACCGGACAGTCCCCCCGATACTCCCACCGAGCTGACAGCAGGTGGACTGGGTTGGGGAGTGGTTCACGAATGTATTGATTTTGAAGCTTTGACAAAGTGGCAGGCAGAGCAGAGGAGTATTTACGAGCAAAAGATAGTCCAACAGTAGCAGATTTCCCAATTTTAATCGTACAAGATTGCTGCTGATGTGCCAGTGACTTCTGTGCTAGGGTTAGCGTATGATAACGTCGAGCCTCAAGATAGTAAATAACAACCACAGAGGGTCGAGTTGAGGCGATCGGAATGGAAAGATTAGGACTCCGATGCCACTAGTTCTAGTCGAAGGCGATAAGATATTCTACTGCTTACTGATCTGTTAGTAGCAGCTATCCCTGTTTTCTTTGTTATATAGTTCTGAGACTCCCCCGCCTCCACTATCTTTCTATTTCCCCCCTCTACCGGTCCTGTTAAGGATATATCTGCACTTTATTCAAGTCCTTTCTGCTCTTTTCACCATTATTACTCAGTATCTATCTCTGAATTACTGAATATACTACTAAAGCCCAAAGAAATCCCATCCTACCATATCAGACCATGACGATCGACAATACCTGGTCGCCTTCCCCAACATTCAGCATCCCAACCGCACGCCTCCATATATCATACTTCCAGCCTGAGAACCCGGAACACAGTGACTTTCTTATCCGTCTCTGGAATACCGATGATTTTATCCAGTCCTGTGGCAAGACTGGCATCACTACACCTGAAAAGGCCTCTGCGTTTCTGCGCAACCGCGTCTTAGCAGACTACAACCGGAACAAATACGGCATGTTCCTCGTCTCCTTGAAACCACACGAAGGAGCCTCGCTTGCAGAGAGCAGATTGATTGGGACCGTCTCTTTGATGAAAGGCGAGCCGCCCAATGCATACCTAGCTCCGGATATTGGCTACGCGACTTTGCCCGAGGAGAGCGGCAAGGGGTATGCAACAGAGGCTGCGATTGGATTGTTGGACTATGCCCGTCGCGAACTGGACGTTGACGGGGTGTTTGGGTTCTGCAGCAAGGATGACTCTCGCAGTCGACGGGTGTTGGAGAAGATCGGCCTGGAGTTCCGAGGGGAGAAGAAGTTGAAGGTCTTTGGGGGGAATGAAAGTGCTGTGTATGCGCTTCCTAGTATGAGCCAGGATCTGAAGGAATATGGTATCGATGATTAAGAGGCGTCGTAGGCTTGGGAGAATGTTTGGGGGCTTGGAGGTTGTTGACTGATATCTTACTTCGTCTGCACAAGACGGGTTCTCCTCATCTACCCTGCGGGCAAGAGATGCGATATGAGAGGGCAAATCTGCATTAGGAAAAGGCGAAGAGCGACTCTATATACCAAGAATACTATTGTCTATCAACCTTGCCACTCTATACAGGTTCATAGGCTTCATATTATACACTATACAGTACCGCTGATTCATGAGATTGCATTTCATCCAGCCCACTAGCATAAGCAGATCTGAAGAATCCAGCAAGAGCCTCGGCTCCATTCTCCCCAAACATCATCCGTCCAGTATTGTATGTCTCCTCGGCCTTTTCTCCTGCACGCGACACCATATCCAGCTCAAACTCTCTCAGCAACGGTTCCAGCGCCTGCAGGAAGGACTCCAGGTCCCGCCCAGCAGTCCGCGCCTTGATAATAGCGCGACCCAGCAACAGCGCATCCCACATGGCCAGGTTGACTCCCTCGCCAGCCCACGGGCACATTAGGTGCGCTGCATCACCGATGATTGTTACACCAGCTTTATGCTGCCACGACACACCAATAGGTAGCATGTACAGCGGTTTGATATCCAGGACTGCCGCAGGGTTATCCGCCGATTCCTCATCGCAGGCCGTAGCGACCAGCTTCTTAATGACCGGGCCCCAGCTCCCAAGCAGCGCGTTATCATCTAACATCAGCTGCTTCGCGAGCGCGGCGGGCTTGCCTGCTAATCCCGCGGCAGAAGCAAAACGCTCGTCGGCCGAAAAGAGTATAATGTAGACGCGCACCGAATCGTCCGGTCCACGCTGCGACAGGACGCCGTGTCGGAGGCCAAGGGCAGCAAAGCTACCGCGGCCGACAAAGGCAGCGAGATCTGGATATTTGGCTGTGATATGGCGGATCGTGACGGTGATATTCTGCATCCCTGCATAGTGCGGTTTGACGTCCGACAGAAGAGTGCGGATTCGCGACCAGGCGCCGTCGGCCCCGATGACAAGGTCGAATGTCTGTGTGCCATAGCCATCGAACTCTAGTTCCGTCTTGGTGCTGTTTGGTGTTGTGAAGCGCGCTGAGATGAGTTTGTGGCCCCATTTGATCGCCTCGGCTGGTAACTGGGAGCTCAAAAGCTTTGTGAGTGCGTGCCGGGAGATCTCAGGGCGCTCACTCAGCTCTCCTTCATCTGCATAGAGTATTATATAACCGTCTTTATCGGCCACGATTTGTGCTTCTGCGCAGTCGCCGGTGAGCTGAAGGAATTCATTGTATAGCCCGCACTCTCTGATAGCTGCGAGACCGGACTCTTCGTGGAGATCAAGCATTCCAGACGGTTTGGCTAGATCCTCGTCGGTTGGTTTCTGGCGGAGATCCATGTTTATGTACTACAAGGCCCAGAGTCAGCCCGGCTGGGCCAGCGCCAATGATGGCGACTCTTGGGGAAGTCATCTCAGATCCCGATCAGGATGAATACTCTTGTATGTATGTTGACCACATGAATAGCGACCTGGGATTTATAGTGCAGTGTTTCTGCCTAGAATGCGTCCTGAAAAGCTGCTGCCTTGAATGGACACCGTCGTCGGCTTTTGGATCTCCGTAACGTTCGTGTTGGGATCGATAGGATTGGATCGCTTAAGGCTGCTGCTGAATTCCAAGTCATACATGTTATGTTCTAGCTCGTAGTGCTCGAGAAAAGGGTATCAGACATAAGATTCGCTTCCACAGGGGACCCCGATGATTCAAAGGGTTGTGCCATCCTGGGTCAGAAACAGGCAGGCTGGTTTACTTCATCCTCTAATACCCAGATTCCTAAAATCCTCCAGCGCATTCTCGTCGTCCATGTCCACATCATCATCAAACTCTCCCTCTTCCTCGTCATCGGACCCGCCGAGGACCATCTCGTAGAACATGTCCCGAATCAAGTCGCGCATCGCCTGCTCATGTCCATCCTGAAGTGCCATCAGATCCAACAAGCGCTGCTTGGGCTTCCACTCAGTTACATCGGCCCCGTCGACTTCAAACAGAGCTTCGGGAAGATGCATCCGGAAGTAGGCGAGCAGCATCGTGCCCACTCCCATGACATACTCCGTCGACAAGGAGATACTGTTCTCGTCGCGATCCAGTCTCGTCGCTAGCCCAGCCACATCGCGCGCCGTCAGATAGTCAGTAAAATCGGCCTTGGGAAGCTCGGCGCCCTCCCGGCCGCAGTACTGAATAAGCTCGAGGGTCTCGTCCCAGTCGACCGTGTGCTGATCGCACAGCAGCGCCAGCAGGAGGTACGTCGGACATTCGCTGAAGGCATTCTGGCCAAAAATCACCTTGTTGAATGCCTCGGCCTCGGCCTCGAGACGTCCGTTGAACGGCTTCCAGAAAGCCTTGTGCCATGGATCGGCAGCCTTGGCCGAGGGATGGGACGGGGCATCCTCCTTGACGCTGGCCGGGAGGTACTTTTCATAGCGCGCAAAAGCCCACATGTCGTGCAAGTTGTCGAGTTCTTCGCCCATTTTGGTCTTGGTGGCCAAATCGAAGCACAGACGGGCGGGTCCCTTGCTCTCTATTGATTTTTCGAAGTTGTTGATTTCTGCGACGGCACTCTCCCGTGCTTGTGTGTTCTGGGCGGCACTTGGTCGCTCCATGAGAGTCTGGCAGGCTTTGGTGTACGCCTGGAGCGACCTGTAACATGACTCCGGTGCATTCAGACGCAGATGGAGCCTTATTGAATCCGCAAAGTTGATCCGTTCCTCCAGTTCTTCGCTGGTGGTGGAGCTGGAAATCCCCGTGAACGGCCGCGGAGGGGCAAGGTACCGAAGGGGATTCATCTTTCCCCGGGTTTTTGAAGTACTAAATGCTGATTCTATGCTAGCAGATCCGATCCGATGGCCTTGGAATATCAGTTCTTTCCCATGAAATATGGCGGGTGGAGAGGGTGAAATCTCTTCTCAGCACTCAATTGGGCGTTTGGAGCTAAGCCATCGTTTCCCCACATCTCCATCCTGTAAATAACTACTATGTATGGTCTAGATAGAGTCTATCCAACAAAGCCTCAGAAGAGAGGATACATAATTGCTAATCAGTGCTTCGCCGTAGGTATCGGCACCTCGAAGGCCAGAACAGTGCATAGAAGAGAAGAGGAGAGTGATTGTAAGATAGGGTCGCAGCTTTCAAGACTGAGCGGCAGTGTGGTTTCCCTTACATCGGAATAGTCGTCCCTGATAGGCATACTCAACGCTTTGGCGTCTGGCGTATCAGTGACTGCTACTCACGGATCAGTCTGTTGGTTGGCAGGCGAGATAGTTTATCTCAGTGCTCAACTTCGAATGTACTCTGTAGTTGCTCGGTAAAAGCAAAAGCAATAATGGCAATCAATCTCCCCCAAGCCCGCGTTGGCCCCTCAGAAGGATGATCAACTCCTTCTTCTGCATATCATTATCATCTCACACCAGTTGATTTGCTATCATCGCCAGGTTCCGATGCCCCCGCTGTGGGAACGAGGAACAATGCACTGCTGCGGTGGCACGTTCAGATTGGCCGATATCGACTAGGATGACAACAAATTTTAGAAGACAACCACAAAAAAAAGACCCAATTTTGTGATTCTTACGCCTTGGAGTGTCATTAATCCATCAATTAAACCGGATTCTATATGTACACCCCCAGTTCATCGCAATATTCCCACAAGATACATCTTCCCCCCCCCCCCCCAAGGCAGTTGACAAGACAGACCAAGCACCATGGCACCATCGCTCAACGATGAACAAACTAAAGGGAACAACACCACTCAATTAACCCCCCTCGAAGCCATTTCCCACGGCGGCCCAACTCTCAGCGGTCCTCCCAAATTCCCCAGCTTCGCCGAACAAAGAACTCACCAACTGGCCCATCTGGCAGGCACGTTCCGTCATTGGGCGCGCCAGGGCTACGTCTTCGGCTTCTCAGGCCACATCTCCTACCGCGATCCAGAGTACCCGGATGCCTTCTGGACGAACCCGCTCGGCGTGCACTTTGGCCTCCTCAAGGCCTCGGACATGATTCTCGTCAATCTGTCCGGCGAGGTGATCGGCGGGAATCGGTCGAGACCGGCCAACACGGCGGGCTTTCTCATCCACGCTGCCGTGCACAAGGCGCGACCCGATGTTCATGCGGTCTGCCACTGCCACAGTCCGGCAGGGAAGGCGTGGTCGACGTTCAACCGCCGGTTAGACATGATTACGCAGGATGCGTGCAAGTTCTTCCGTGACGCGCATGCCGTGTATGACTCGTACGGCGGGGTGGTACTGGCGGCGGAGGAGGGGGATCGGATCGCCAGTGCCCTTGGGCCGAAGGGCAAGGGATGTATCTTGCGCAATCATGGGCTGTTGACGGTGGGACAGACGGTGGATGAGGCGGCGTGGCTGTTCGACGCGCTGGAGCATGCTTGTCGGGATCAGCTGGCTGTTGAAGCGGCGATGGCTGGGGGTGCCGTGAAGAAGGTCATTATCGAGGACGAGGAGGCCGAGTATAACTTCAGCATGGAGGCGGATCCGGCGTATTGCTATGCGGAGTTCCAGGTCTACTATGAGTATGAGAAGTATATGAGCAAGGAGGATTTCACGGCGTGAATCTTCTAATGACTATGTGCTAGAACCAGGTTACTTTCTTCGATTCGTGGTTCGGTTCTTGAGATTTATGTAAGTCAAGCATCTAAGTACTACTAGGGTTCTTCTATTCGAAAGAGGAATGAGGGTGGATTTAGTGAACTCAGCGCAGATTGTCTATCTATCTACTCCGTAGTATTGACCGCCATTTCGTGGGAGGCTACTGTAGGGTTCACCTTCGTGCATCGCATTCAATTTCCAATTTATGGGAAGATGCGGTGAACAGTCCAGGATCCCTTGGGAAACCAGTAATCCGATGAGCACGCCAGGTACACGCTCCACGTATTGGTCAAGGAGGATGACACTTCTTATGGGGCATGCAGGTGTCTGCAGATCTGTCCCCGTGTGATGTGATAGATCCAGAGATTGATAATTTCGGCTGATCCATGCTACAGGGAGAGTCGTTATTCCTGATTTAGAATAGCTAGATAAACTACTCCATAAGTTCTCAAAAAGTAGATGAATCTCAGATTGGCACGGCAGGGCTCCCCCTTGGCAATATGTATGCATGATGATGCTAGTTTGTATATCTCAAAATTGAGTCCAACTGTCCAAGTAATACTGAATACACAAAATGCAATTGTAAAACAAACCAGCCGCTTTCTTTTCTTTCCTTTTTTTTTTCTGACAATGAATTCTCAGAGACAATGGGCTTGATTCGGCGGCCTATCATTTCAGTCCCGCTCAACAATAGGGAGATCCACGCCGGATCCAAACACCAAATATTCGGAGCTTGGCAGATTGATTGATCCATCGCAGGGATCACTGCATAGCCACCTCAAACTCGGACTCGTTGGGAGAAATTTTTTTCACGGAAACCAGAGGGGAAACTCCATCGGCATGTCCAGATGCGGTTTGGGAGAGTCCAGATGTTCCGAGATGTGGCCCTTGGTGACAGGTTTCCGGGTGAAGAAAATCAACATGTCTCGCGTCGCTCGCACCCGCGGGTCAATAGGCTCGAGGGGCGAGAGACTGTGTTTTCGCTCGTTGTCCACAATGATGAGAGTGTCGAGGAATTGGAGATGGTGTACTCGCCCGGCCATGTGCTTCGCCGTCGTCTCCTCGTAGTCGATCCCGGTCTGCTCCTCGTTGTAGTGCATGAAGGTCACACAGCTGCGAGGGTCCATGTTGCGGCTGCCCAGATATGTGGTCATGGTATGGTCGACCCCGTCGGTGTGCACGCCTTCCAGGGCCGGCTCTCCTAGAATCTCGGATGTAGTCACGGTACGCAGGTTGAAGACGGTCGAGATCCACTTGTGGCTGTTGTAGTCGAGCTTCTGTCTGAGATGAGTTTGCACCCCGTGGAAAACCATGAACTTGAACAGCAACAGAGCCTGGAATACTGTATTCAACTGCAGGTCGTTTCCGATTTCCTCGAAACGCCGTATTTGTCCGGAATCATGTCGCTTAAAATCTTCTTCGACGGATAGAGCAAAGGGTTGGAACTCCAATCGGCGCACAGAACGCGTGTCAAGGTCGAAGCAGAACCGTCCATTTTTGGACTCGCGAAAGGGTAGAGTTGGGTCGGTGCGAAGGCCATCGCTGACGGTCTGAATGGCTTCAAAATGCTCATCTTGCGCACCGAGCCCCTTGAGGATGGGTACCATCGCAGCACTCTCGACGAACACGAAGCGGTCTTTGATGTATCGCTCCCTAATCTCCACAATCTTTGAGATGGCTGCGTAGTACTGGGGCGCATGGGTTCTTTCATGAGGGTTGAGATTCCTATGTTCCAACCCTGGGTTGGGAGCAAACTCCCTCGGCACAGCTACGGCTGCCGCAGCCATTGCTCGCTGGAGAATTGGCTGGACAGAGAAGCACCTGCATTGTGACGCTCGAAAGAGAGGGACTTTTGTATAGAGACTTCTGGACAGCATTTTGTTTGGTCTAGGGGGCGGAGGAGGCGGTTTTTAAGAATTGAGGCTTTCGTAGAGGCACGGGGGACATGACAGATTCGTGGTGAGTGTCGAATTATAAGGGACTCTTGCTGCCTCAATCAATACCTTGACTGCATGCATATCGATCTTCCTAGGGTCATGGCTTGCATCGTTCAGCCAGCCAACTGCAATAGTGTACATGCCAGTGCCCAATAACGGGACGCAACTGGCTCAATGACTGGAATTTCAATACAAACGTCTGCGATAGTCTGTATTTCCTTCTCTAAAACTGTGGTTCTAAACCCTTTCGCACCGAGAATTGACCAAGGATATGACATCGCATGCATGACAGCATGACGCCATGATCCCACCTGTCACCCAAAACAACCCAAAGTTGAGGACTCCTTCCTGCAGATGCGTGATATGATGGTAGCTCCTCTCGCAGATTGACGTGGCAGCTTCAGAGGCGTTTATATCCGAGACTCATTGCGGGCCTGCAGCTGTAGTTGATCCTTCATGCTGATCCTTGCTGCTGAATCTGGATTGTCGCTTGTTTCATGCATGCAATATCCATCGGGGCGGGGTCCACAGCTTGGGCCATCCATGCTAGCCTGCTATTAAATGCCAATACTAGATATATAGTAGCTGCAGATTGCCCCGCCTCTGATGCCTAGCAGGAAAAGGATCCCTGGAGCACGATCATCACAGCTCCATCCGATATCAGGGGGAGCATTCACTTCTTCGGGATGAACCACTTTTCTTTCGATTCCGGAAATCCAAGACCCGAAAGAAGCTGTTGTCAAGATGCTTCGTTTAACCGAAGGCTCACTGACCAGAAGAATACAATCTACACAGTATGTCTCTTTCCGAATGTCTCTATAACCATATCAGGACTTCAGTCTAGTCTGGAATAGCCAAGCTCACGTGTGGAACTAAATGATGGTGGCCTAATTGACAGATTCCTTGCCAATCTCACTCATTTCCACTCTTTGACAAACTAATCAGCTGTTCCATATCAGCTTCCTCATTTGTCCCTGCGTCTATATCTTCTTGAATTTGAAGGGAGTGGGTTGAGAGCCAACAAGGGAAACTCCATCGGCATTGCAGCTTGTACACTGACAAGCAGACGGCCATCTTGGCTTGACTCGAACATTTTAGGAGTGCTACGAAACCTGGATTTTGCACAAACTATTCTCCCTCATACTCTCCAGGTGAACTACAAGAATCCTCATGGCTAGTATCGGCATGAGTGCAAGTCTTGACTCTGTTCTGCACGTAGCGACACAGATCGCTCAGCTGAGCTGCATCTATCCCTGCGATGCCCAAGTCCCACAAAAGACGCAGAAGCAATATCTCCAGGATGTATCAGCTTTGATAGAGGCGCTCGCTTGCATGAAACAGACTGTTACCCTTGAGACGGAACTCTCCCGTCTTTCAGTTTCGCGCTTGCCCTCTTCAGACGATGGCATCCTGGCAGAGGGCTATTGAAAACTTTCGCATCTGTATCCTGATTTTGCTTCTCAAGCCGTTCCAGGACTGTGAGCTGGGATCGTACAGTGAGATGCTCCAAAAGCTCCGAGCAGCCTTTGAGGATGATCTGTCCAGCTGGGCTCAGTAGATCTCACGAATATCTTCCATGCGGCACATAAACTGACGAGAGAATAATGCAACAGACAATGGCTCAGATCAAACAGGCTCTTTCTCGCTCTCTGGTATCATGATGAGGCATTGCATGGTATCAATTGCTGATTGTTAACTAGAACAATCCCGCAGTCTCCTGCTCGTATGGCTTCCTTCGCCGGAATCCTCACTCCGAAACAGAACATTGGCTGTACCAGGTACAGGACAATGGTTCATTGAAGTCCGAAGCAGTGCAGTCATGAGTGAGAGGATCATCCATGCTATTGTGGTGTCATGGTCAGCGCAAGTACTTCAATGGCGAAATCCCAAATCTCGTGGCTGACAGATCTCCAGCTGGAGTCGGAAAGATCCAGCGCGTAGGTAATCAACACGAAAAAAATAAACATAAAATGCATTAATCAAATACTGAGTATATCCTCGCTGCAGCTCGGTTCTAATCGATTATCTGAAAACCGAAGAAAATGCTTTGGATGCATACGTCTTCTGCGGTTCAGATTCACAGAATAGACATACGACACTGATGCTGTTAACTGGACCGACAAAAGAGGCCGCCCTCTATCACATCTTGCCGCCGAGCATGGGGACCTTTGCCTTTTGACGGCTCTCTTATCCTGCGATGCCCGAGTGGGTATCGCCGACAATGATGACTATTTTGCTATTCATTGCGCCAGTTTTACACAGAAAATTGATGCATTGCAGATGCTTCTTCCAATGACCATCACGGCATGCTCGAACGACAACAGTCACTACTGCCGAGAGAATCTTCAACAGAAACCATGAAAAATATCCGACAGGAACCATGTTCAATCTCGCTGTCATCAACAACAACCTCGACATGGTCTCGCTGCTTCTCCATGGTATGGATCCCAACGTCTTGGCAATAGATTGGGAGAAACGCCATCCCGCCCTGGGATATGTAGCAATGACAGGATGCCGCGAGCTCGTCTCTCTTCTTCTCCGTCATGGCGCCAACATGAAAGCTGAGGATTGGTCCGGCTGGCGCCGGCTGCATGCTGCGTGTTTCGCCGGCGAAACGGGAACTACCAGGCTCCTGATCGAATCAGGGGCGGATGTCCATGCATGACCAGAGAATGGAATGACCGGACTGTGAAGCCTTCAATGCCCTATCAGGGTGATCCCAGGACTGGCCAACCGCTTCATTTGGCCGTGGCCATGGTGAACGGTATTGTCCGAAGGTACTCCGAGGCCACTATCATCAAATTTCAAGAGTTTCCTAAACTGCGGGATGCACTTTTAGCTGGTTATTCACAGGATAAGCCGAGTCAGGCTACATAGGCTATGAAGAAAGTTCGTGTAGAGGAATTCCTGCGCCACTACATAGCAGAACATGTACTGAATAATCGAAAATCCACGTATCGTCGCAATGATGATATGTAGATAGTCCCGCAAGTGAACAAGACAAAATCTGGCGCACCTCCAAGTTCTCCCAGCTCAGGCACACAATGGCTGATATAACCTGAAGAAATTAGTGGACTTTGGCTCTTTCAAGGGCCTGCGATAGTTGTTACTCCTAAGAAGTGGTCAACAGCGTCCATATATCCTACCATGGGTTGTCCACCAAGGCCGTTTGGTATGACGCCTATGCGCTGGTCGTTTGTCTCATTTGTTCTCCCTCATAGATGGTAGCAGTCTGTGTCTCTCTAAGCACATGGCATGTTTCAGTTTATATACAAAGTCTTTGCTACGTCTGAGTGTTGCCTTGCATATCGACAAAGGAAGGTTTCAAAGAATCCATGGCAATGCTACTCGCGACTACTAATGACACCACCTCTTGCATCAACTATAAAAGCCTTGGATCTTTCTATCTTCTCGCTTAACTCACATCCGCATAGTACTTCTGTAGGATACCTTTCGTTAATCTAACGTTCATCTAGGAAGTAACATTTACGAGGGTAAAGATGGACACTCTCCCAGAGGACTTACTTCGGCCAATCCTCCTGGAAAAAATGACATGCACCGTCCCCTTCTGTATCCAGGATTGGATTAAAGTGGTAAAGCAATGCCAAGGTGAGATACCCTCTGCAACGGTCAACTGATGCCTATGCATTCCTAACAAGCTTCTCAGCGGCAAGAGAGAAATCCCCCGACAACTTCCAAGATACTCCCCTGGAAGACCAAGTTCTGGAAAACGTCCATCCAAGTCAGGTCCCCCACTTGAGGGATTGGGCCGCCGTCAACGCCCTGCCCGAGGGACTACAACGAGCCGGAAAGGAAATCTTCTTTTCCAACAAGACATTTGCCATGGACGGTGACTTCTCCCGCCAGATGCAGGAGCTCCAGGTCAGCAACCTGACGAGCGAGGACCAGCAGATTGCTCTTCGATGCATTCGCCATGTGGTCTACATCATACAGTCAGCGCACACGCCCAGTAAATTCGTGGCCATATACCCAAGTCTCTCCAAGTTCACGAATCTCAAACGTCTCGATATGCTGTTCGTTAACCTATATGAAGTGCTGGACACGGCTTTCATTGTGGAAAAACCAATCGTCGAAGAAACGCTTTGGCCGGAGTTTATAGACGCCCTTGAGGCCGTTGGCTTTGGCCCTGGAAAGGTGCAATTCACGGTGTACAAGGTGCAGGAAGATATCCCTCTCATCATTATCAATGGGGAACGGGAAGCTGGGCTAGAGAAATATCCCACCAATTTGACTCATCTCTTGGACCACGTCTACGCGATGCTAGTGTTAAGAGCTAGGCTTATTGCGAAGGCTCGCCAGAATGCATTCGGGAGTGTTTCCATGGACGTTATTGATGATTGAGGGGATACGTTATGCAGGATATCTTGTCATTAACTTCGAATATCGTCTCGGCTTATCATTATGATCTGGTTTGTGAATGGACTGTATAGGAAGATTAGGGATAGGCACCATTAAAGATTGCCATTTGACCCTGTTTTCGACCAGTTTTAAGTGTACTAGACAGACGGCCAATAGCAAATAAATGAAAAAAGGAAGTTGGTTGGGAAGGACAAACAAAAAGAAAAGAGAGAAAAAAAAAAGAAGCGTCCCCGGGAAGGCTCGAACTTCCAACCTCCTGATTAACAGTCAGACGCGCTAACCAATTGCGCCACGGAGACAACTTGTTAAAGAACGCCCACTATCTTAATTATATATACTAATTGCATTTCAAGCCTCTTTCTGCTCTTCCCATACTACATGCTTCACTGTCCTCACGTATTATTATTACTGTTGTTGTTCGAGATAGGGAGGTATATTGATGCAAATTAAGAAACAGGCTACCTCCCTATTTATCAAGCGATTAATAATGTAATTATTGCTGGTGGTCGGTTTCATTCTTTCTTTGTCGTGGGTGTACCTAAATGTATATATGTCTTCCAGAAGAACGCTATCATCAAATTGTTATTACCTCTAACTCACTATTACCCCGAAGGTAGATGATATATATCCAGTCATCGCATCTGGATAGTCCATACCAAAAACACATCGTAATACTCAGGTCAGCCCTGCCTGACCCATAGTCATGGCGATATTGCCACAGATTCAGCTTCACTCGAACAAGAAGACGGTAGCGATCTGAAAGATTTCCCTGCCCACCTTCGTACAGGTTCTGAAAAGACATATTCATAGATTTATCTTGGGGACATTTCCTTTCTATGACTAGGTTGACGCACTCATCCACGACATGGATCAACAGCACACATGTCTCCTTCGCTAGCAGGTAGTCCTTTAGCCCACCTAGTCCATCTTGCATGACTGCACAGATATTGACCACTAAGCCTTGATATGCAAGGCCAAAGCGGCCCTACAGCCACTAACTCGAGCCTAGATTACCGAAATCCCGTTTTCTATCACCGTTCTTGCTGGAATTCGCCCAGAGTGCTTGTCGCCTGTCCTAGGATTTTAACCTAGCGTGTCAAATCACCACCGGAAAGATTGAGGACGCATTCACGAGTATGATTAGCCTGATTGTTTGCAGGCATTCCCTAGTTTCAAGGACACTGGAATGTCCATGAAACCGGGCTCATGCTGTCTCATTTGTTCTATCAACATCAATTCCCCGACTCTTAATGCTGCCAACAGCAGTTAGGTCTTGAAACCCGAAGGCGCAAGTCCGTGATCGAGAAGACCGAAGAACAAGACATCGTTAAGACACCCTCATTGACCACGCTGATCACTTCTATCCATAACCATCACCATCCCCATTTCTTTCGGTGCCCCTTCCACAAACCCGTTCTTTGCATATAGTCTTCTTCCCGGTGGATCAGCAAAGAGATTCACATACGGATTCCCCTCGGGAGCCTCTTCCCGGATCTTCGCCAGGAGTGTTTTGAGAATGACATCTCCCAATCCCCGTCGTTGGTGATCAGGCAGAACTGCCATGTCGGCGATGTGGAAATACCACCCGCCATCACCGATGATGCGGCCCATGCCGACGGGGGTGGACGCCCCCGAGTCTTTGTCGGTATATGTCACGTAGCAGCCATACCAGCTTCCGTTGGCCACAGCTGCACCTTGAGCGGCCGTTTTGGGGCTGAGACCCGAGGTAGCGCGGAGATGGAGATAGTCTGCGACTGCGGGGTAGCCTTCGTGAAGTTGGTAATTGGGGGGGAGTGACAGAGAGGAGGACATCGTGAAGTAAGTGATGATTTTGTTTAGGGAATATGTATGAAGTCGAAGGGTGACTTGAAGACGAAGAGATATACCAGGCATCAACTCAACCAATGAGCGTCATAAGTACTAAGGAAGAGGTGCAGAGTCATCACAGTGAATTCTGACAACACTCCTGCTGCCTGTTCATTAGTTTCAAGTGCACGTGTTCCTTCTCACATCGGCTGCTCGTATTCTTATCATATAGCTGGTAATGATCCATGACCATTTCCTTCAACCTCGAATCGTGATATCCCTAGGCTAACAGCTACAAGTCATCCTCATCGTAGGCACATTGTTACCAATGTGCCGAGTTATCGATCTAGCCCTAGTATATCTTCGGCATCTTGCTTGATGCAATCATGCAACGCAACCCTAGCTGCCATCTAAAGTAGTGACAGACAGTCGAGAACAGCTAAAACCGCCACATCAATCATCGTGCAATGCTTGATTGTGGCTCGTGCATGACTGGTGCTTCTTCAGCTGCGATCTTGCGCGCTTAACCTTTGCCAAAGCAGCAACAAGACATGTTTAGCGCACAGGATCCCGTTCCGGCACGTAAAGGTACGGCGGGCCTCAAATCTATGGTCATGAGCATCTCGGTGCAAGCGAAGACTCAGACAGATTGATCAAACTGAAAGAGGAGTCGGCATATGATCACACACGGAGCGACATTGACCGGGGACAGACTGGAGGATAGGCGGTTCTATGAATAATGGCGGTGATAGGGAGGTAGTTTCTAAATTTACACGGCGTTTGTTGATATATAATCACTTCGCAAAGTGCGCATGACTGCATGGCATTCTGTCCATGCGTAGAGCCTTGCCTGACCCAGAGAGCGAGAGATCGATACTACATGCCTTGGTCTCTAGTCTCTACTCTCTACTGATGTTATAGCTCTTTCAAAGTTTGGTTCTAACAGCATCTTCTATTATTATACAGCATTTCGGGTCACCTGCGCTATATTAAGCAAGACATAGGAAACGCCTTGCTATCCGGCAGCATTGCCGTCGTTATGGATTCTTCTGGTGGCGAAGCGGAAATCAACCGAATGGAGGCACTAAACAACTTTTCAACGGATACGCTGATCCATGAGCACTTGCCACACGGGTAGCCCGAGGAACTGCGCCTACTCGGGGAACAACCGATGGAATTGCACTCTTCGAGTTCGAGGTTCAAAGGTACTGACTCGGGCAAGTAGTGGACCCTATCGAGATTTCCAGATTTCAGTTGTACAGAGTACTGTGTGCAAACTGCAGACTTGAGAGTTGAGAGTTGAGAGTTGAGACTAGAGGAATTCTTCTTTAGTGTCTCCACTAGCATGTATCCAAAACCAAATTAAGTCATACTGTACGGGAATGGCTGGGCCAAAGTGCAGACTATGGAAACTAGTAGGAATGATTCCATGATTTGGGTTGACAGAGTTTTCTAGTTCTTTTCCACACAGGCACTGTGGCACTAACAGTTCATAATAATTATAGCCCGACCTTGGTAATTATGATCAATTAAGGTCCTTTTTTTTTTTTTCTTTGTCTTCTTCTTTTCTCTCCTCGAACCGTAGATACTCGTATAGGAGTAATACTCCGTAGTTGCCTTAGCTTTTGTTATCAATAAATCTGTTTACACTGTACCACCAAATAGCATCAAGATGAAGTAAATCATGCACAGGCTGAGTAGGTGTTGTTAGATCTCTGTATATCCCTAACTCTGTAATTCATTAGAGAACTCAATAGTCAATGCCCCAGCCTTCCAGGGGTTTCCGATCTCTGATTTCTACGGAGTACGTACTTTCTGGCCCACTGTTTAAGACTTGTTAACTGTGTAGAGCCTAGTTGACTCGGTAGTCTTTCTCTCTTGTGGTAATTAATCCTGTGTAATCCGATAATTCCGTGCGTGAACCATAACTAGTCCATCATAATCCCCCGTCTCCACTAGGATGTATTACGGAGTAGGATCCTCCGTACGAAAACCTGAATCATAGTTATGATTCTCGTAAAACAGCTGAATGGAGTTGACGAAGACGCGGCAACCCGACACTTGCTACGCGAATCCTGCAAGGCTGCCAGCCGTGTGAGTCTGACTTGGACACGGAAACCCGGAAACGTGGTGATGGAGATTGGGGCTACCATTAGAGTCTACTTTGTGATTATCTACTTGGAGGCTTGAGGGCTGAGGCCCAAAAGGAGCCTCTTTTGAGCAGGCTGCAAGCCGTTGGGCTGGTGACGGATGATGTGACCAGTGATCGAGGGGCGTTTGGATTCAGTAAGGATAGGCAGGTAGACTGGATCAACGTCTATCCACCAGGGCCTGATCTTGATAACTGATGCTCTTGATCAGCTTGATAGTCGTGATAGGATAGTGAACCGAAGTATCTCCTGAATGTGGCTGTGAGAAGTGTATTACTGGCTATTGATCAAGAAGCAACACGAGAGGAACTGGCAGATGGATACCACTGGATACCAGTGATTCAAGCTAGAGGCATCCTTGGTTTCTGCTGTTATGATAGGGCTGGCAGAGCTGGAGAGTAAGACATGGACTGATAATCATGGGATGTCTCTGCTATTTATAAGTCCTAAGAAATAATACCATGAAATCCGAGATAAATACGGAGTACAGAGTATTGAAGTATTGATATAAAATATCTTTCTCAGCCTCTTTGCCAACCTGGTTCCTCCTTCTTGCCAACAAACATCTCACCACTGTCGTTCGTTTCTCCCATCTATATCTAATTGTAATATCTGGATAGATTGTCTGTCACTTCCAACAACAAAGAACAACTTCAGTTTCAAAAACGAACTCTCAACATCCACATCAATCACCACAATGCGTTTCACTCTGACTCTCCTCACTGCCCTGGTTGGCACCGCTGCCGCCATCTCCATCACCTCCCCCAAGAAGAACGAGGAGGTCGACCTGAGCCACAGCACCAAGGTCGAATGGACCACTGTCAAGTACATCTTCTCTCTATGGGCTATTTCTATCGCCGATCAAGGACTAACAGAAGCGAAGCACTGATCCCTCGTCGTTCGACATCTACCTGGTCAAGATGAACTCGTACCCCCCCGTCAACAAGCTTGTTGGTGAGGATGTCAAGGCCAGCGACGGTTCTTTCACCATTCAGGGTGTCACCGCCGCCGAAGGGTTCGTGGCCATCCAGTCGATGAACGAAATCCGTCCACAAAACTGACAGCTCGCATCAGCGCCGGTTACCAGATCAACATCGTCTCGAACGATCCCCTGAACAGCGGCATTCTGGCTCAGTCGCAGCAGTTCAACGTCTCGGACTCTTCCGCTTCCTCTTCTTCCTCTTCCTCCTCCAGCTCCAAGTCTTCCACCGCCACCGAGACCTCTTCTTCCACTTCCTCCACTGCCACCAGCACCGGTAAGGCCACTACCACTGCCACTGATGCCTCCTCCTCCACCGCCGCTTCCACCACCCTCTCCTCCACTGCCGCTTCCACCCACCTGACCTCTTCCGCTTCCACCGGCATTGGTGAGCAGCTACAATCGCCCCCAGGGAGAAGGCTTGAATAAAATTTACTGACAATGCCCACAGCCTCGAGCACCGGTACCGCCACCTCCAAGGACAAGCCGAGCGCTTCCTCCACCGCCTCGGGAACCACCAGCCCCAGCGTCACCCTGTCCAACAGCGCCGGCGCCCTCGCCATCCCCGCCGGATCCATCCTGCTGGGTCTGGCCGCCCTGGCTCTGTAAAGTGCTTGAATAAAAAGAGCATTTGCAGTGTGACAATTTTTTTTCTTTTACTTCCTAGGTGAACTAGGGTATGGCTTTCTCTCCCTCCCCCCCACGCGGAAAGATATGGAAATTCTCAGATGAATCGCCGCCGGGGACGTTTGTTTATATGAAGATCTACAATGCGCATTAGACCTGTCTTAGTTTCCTACCATTCCTATCCAGTTATTTTTTTAATGTAATGACCAAGCCCCTTCAACAACTCCACAAGTTCAACTTGATTGTTTCCCTTGTTCCCCTGCCCCATGCTGGTGCATGCATTCGATGATCACACAAACTGGGGGGCACTGGGACTAAGTTTTTTTTTTTTTTTTTTTTTTTTGGTTTCGGGGTTCAGGGATAAAAAACCGGTTTTGTGTGGGTGCGGGATCATGTAAGGAGCATGACCGTACCAAACATCCCATGGATACCAGCCCATGTAAAGTACGAAACGGCTTCCCGTAACCCATGTACCGTATTCATACGCGTCTGGTACTCGCAGCCTCGGCCGGTATTTAACGACCCACCGATACGAGCACAAATACGGGGGCCCCCCAGGCGTACCAAGCCAGAAGGGACAACGAAGTGAGACACGGAAGGAGACAGAGCCGATTGGAGGGAGTTGACGAACTCCGTATCCAGGCTCGCTGATTCGACCATTTGGGTCTCCTCAATCGGGCAAAATAGTCGAGGGCTCGTGTTGCCGGCTTGCGGGAGATGAAGTGTCCCTGTCAAAGTGTCAACCCGTGCGTGAACTCTCCCCCCCCCCCCAGGCTAAGAAAACTGCAAGATGCCAAGAAGGCCGGCGAGATTGACATTGGAATATGCTTTAAGCGGAGGAGGCTTTGAGAAATAATACGAGGTGCCGGTGTGGAGTGGTCCAATAGCAAACTGATGGATTCGGCTGAATTGATGATGTGGAGGAGGATACTTGTGTGCCTGATGGGACATAGGTAATATATAATATATATATTCCGTGTATGTGCGTATATATAGTTGTAAGAGAGACTCCCAAGTGCTTCGCACTTGGGCATTGTTCTGATGCATTTACAATGAACAAAAACATTACCATAATTACACTCGCCAGTCATGCAGAAAACGCATTGGAAGCAGAGAAGAAGGAGATGAAGAAGAAGTGAAAAAGAAGAAAAAAAAAGGTATAGACATCAAAATCAACTCAACACCGCAATAGCTATTGACATGAGAAGCGAAAACAGAATCGTGACAGACATGCTCCGTACCGGCGCCACGGCGACGCCGGCCGATGGTGATGATACGGTTGGCGACTTGCGCCCCGTCTTCAGCTCGACGTACGAGATGTTGGACTCGCTGTACCCGCAGAGCCCACTGCCGGCCATGAGGTCGGCGGGGAACAGCACCTGCGGATCCGCCGTCTTCATGTTGATGGTGATCTGCCCTACGTCGTTGGCGGTGTAGTTGACGCAGCTGATCACGTCCATCGCTACGACTCCCGGGTTGTAGCTCACGGGCAAGGCCAAGTCATACTGTCCAGTTTGTTTGGTGCCCTGGGCCGACAGAACCATGACCATCTGGCGGCCTTCGATCCCCTTGCGGAACGCGAGCTCGCTTTCTCCCTGGTAGATCGGGATCGTCTGCATATTGAACCAGTCCGGGTCGAGATTGTACGCGTGCTTGCGGATGCGGTTCATCGTGCGGATGTGCTTGTACAGCACGGCGTCTCTGTTGTAGCCGGACAGCCAGACAGCCTCACGGTTGCTGTTTTGGTCTTCGTACGAGCCGTGGAAATGCTGCTCCTGGCCCTGGTAGATGATTGGGATGCCGTCGAAGAGGATATTGAACGTCACCACGTTCTTGGCGAGCTAGATGGATTTTTTTCCTTGATCAGCTCGGAGTGCTTTTCCCATCTACTGAGGAACCGGGTAGGACCTACCACTATGTCGTCCGTCCTGTTGGCGAACCGTGATACATCATGACTCTCAGTAAAGAGGGTCAGCCCATTGGTGTCCTGGCAGCTGTGCTTCATCACTTCGATGGCGTTGGGTAATTCCTCCATTTTGGACTGGGTAAAAACGTCGATCACCGCATAGAAGATAGGGAAATTCGGCACGCTGGTAATGTAGTGGTTCTTGTAGTCGCAGATCATATCCACCGAACTATCGTACACCTCGCCAGTCATGAAGGTGTCGCCGAGCGCCTTGCCAAAGTTGTAAAGAAAGCCTGTGTTAACGTGCTTGGCCGCATCGATACGCAGCCCGTCAATGGAGTATTTGGCGATCATGTCCTGCGCCCACTTGATGAGCGTCTGTTGCACCTCGTCGTGCTCAGTGAAGAGATCCGGCAGTGGTACGATGTTGTCGCCAGTCTGACAAGTCTGGTAGTTTTGAGGATCGAGCCAGTTCGTGATCTTACAATACTTATGGAAGTAACTCTCGCTATTGAACGGCTTGAAGACGGAATAGTCGATGCTGGTGGCCGGGTCGCTGCCGTTGGTGATATACGCCATGTTGTTGATGATCGTGTCCATCATAAGAAACATGCCGCGCTTATGTACCGCAGCACTCAGATCCAGCAGATCCTGTTCGGTACCAAAGTGTGGGTTGAGTTCATAGAGGTCGATGGGCCAGTAGCCATGGTAGGCCTCACCGTACTCGACCCGGCCCTCCACGTTCTTAATGACGGGGGAGATCATGACCGCGTCGAACCCCATGCCTTGGATATAGTCGAGCTGGTTGATCATCCCGCGCCATGTACCGCCGCAGTAGATTCGCTCTGAGGACACGCAGTGTGCTGTGGTCGAGCCGTCGGTGCGGGCGAAGCGATCTGTCATGGTCTGATAGATGGCTCTGGGTTTCCATTGTGATGTGTTTGCTGCCCATGTGGAGGCTATGAGAAGAGAAAGACATACGGTGCGCAAACATCGTGGTAATACCGAAGGCGCACTCATGATGTGAACATTGATTAGGGCTGACTTGAATGGAATCGGGTCGGGGGTCTCTCGTGTCGTGCAACGAATGGCAAGACAGCCTTGGCGTGGGATTGTGCCTGTCGATTTTCGGGAGAATAATACAGGAACAGTCCCACAATTCAGATCAGATCCGTCCGGATGTAGCACGTTTTTGAGACACTCTGTCGAACGAGGCCGCGGAACAAAAATGGTTGCTAATGGGTTGATATCTCGTGAGATCTCTTTTGAGGGATATCACGTTCGAGGACCAGGTGAAAATTAGAAGATGAAGAATAAGATGGAAGAACCACGCAAAAGTCGGCTTGAATGAAGGGTAAAAGTTAATGAGTGACAGGCCTGATCACAGGCGGGATATAATGAATGACGATGGTGGGTGGAGGAGCGAAAGAGAACGGCGCCGACAATCAAGGAAGAGAGAGAGGGAGAGAGAGAGAGAGAGGGGAAAGGAAAGAAAGAAAGAGAGAGCGAGAGCGAGAGAGACAAAGGATTTCCTGAGTCTTGTCTGCAGAATGCCCAAAGTTTACCTAGTCAGTTTAAAAAAAGAGTGGAATTGTGGGGGAGCAAATGGTAAGGACTGCTACATGGTTAATCTACTGTGCTTTAGGTCTCTACTCTCTCGTCCTGACTCCAATGATTGCCTCTTCACAGGGCCAGGACATTTTCGAGGCATGTGATCTCTTTTAATCTACGGATTTCTGGTTATGACCGTGGAAGTGGTGACGATCGTCTTTTCATGATTTCCCCCATATTTCCAGACAGAGCACACAAGACTACGTAGTACCGTTCTTCAGAGCTGCAAGCCTGCAGTAGTTTTGAGTTGGCAAACCATCTGATCCCGCGAGTACCCGGAGCAGAGCCAGTTCCCCCCCCCCTGTGTCGTTCGACCATAGGAATCTGCGCCGAACAGTTGAAGACTCAAGCAGGGGTTAGGGCTAATAATCGGGAGGTCTCCGGCACCGAAATCCCGGAACCAGCAACTTTTCTAAGACAATTCCTGTCTGGTGCGAAGCGAAGATCATAAAGAGGACTATTTATTATTTAGAATAGATACTAAGTAGTCGACTGTAGTAGGAGTATTGGAGGGAAAATCTTAACCCCATCAGGCGATCAGAGGATATACCCGAAATCAAGGCAAGTCCTATCAGTCCACTCGATCAATCCTACAGCGGATGGACTACGGAGGACATACTCCATCGTCGATAGTCTACTCCATAGTCATGGTTCAAGTGGTCGAACTCTCAGACATGTGGCCTCCCAGTGATTGTTGCTGTTGGCCATGAACGAGTTCGCGTATCTCCAAGCATCCACAGTGGCGAGGGAAGAAAGTCAGTTTTAGTGCCCCTGGGCCCCTTGGGCCTGGGGGTCATTCCCCTGGTACCTGGCTTGATTCTGACTTTCTGGAGAGGGGGGAGAGCGCAAGAGAGGAAGACAGACTCCAGTGTACTATTGTACCTGACTGATAAGCAAATCAAAAGGGAATGAATAGACGTTGTGTCACACAAGTGATCATCCCATCACACGGAGCTTGACCAGTTCAGGGACATGAACAGCAACCTTGGTTCAAAGGGACTTGGCATCTATCCATGAATCGAAGAGACTAGGCGTAAGAGTCTAAGACACTGGACAGGGCAAATATGTCTCAGTTGATTAGTCATGGTAGAACCTCTTCAATCTTCTCGATCAGAGCCAATACCTTGCAGCGGGGGATTTCAGGGGGTTATACTGCTCTTTATATAACCTAGCTATTTGGCTGCTCTAGACTCTAGAGGATATACTCCGCACCTGCATTGGGAATGGATCATTGAAATGTCAACTCTCATCCATGCATCCCATGGACTACTGACGATTATTATTGATTATTGATTATTGATTCCTCCGTAGTATATTGATTAGTTATTATATAAGTTCGTGTGATTTGTACTTAGTACAGCAAAGTATCGACTGGGGGGATTCATCCGATCCAACTAATAATAATAATAATAAGGTACTCTATAGGGAGTTGGTCAGTATTGCAAAGATACAGCCTAAGCTAGATCGGGCGTAGTGGGCCGGACTCCTGATACGATTGATCGACAGTACGGAATACGGACACGGTACGTTATTAGAGGATACAGATCAAGTGACAGACCGGATACCGTACATGACCAGGCAATACCGTACGATTACACGACATCCCATTACCAGATATCATAACTCGATTGTTTCGGGCGGGTTCCAGTCCTAATAATAAGGCATCCTCCGATGTACTATGTAAGGAAGCAGCTCTTGGTGGCCCACCAATATCCGAATCAATAATAAGAGATTTCTTCACGTCTATTCTCAGGACTTTGGAGTCTTCCATGATTCCAGGAGATATATTGAATCTTTGATGTCTCCATAGTCCATACAGAAGGTCTTGAAAAGCAAAACTGACCGACTCTGAAGCCACCGTCACGCCACAGCCCCGCTAGTGTCTGATAACAATTTTATTGTGACCACTAGTCTGACACTATAAACATCCTAAGAAATCGTCGTTGGATTGAGAGTCGGATGAGAAAGATATTGCATAAACATTGGATCATTATGACTTATCAGTGACCCTGCATTGTACATCAAATGGAGGAGGAAGATGTGGTCTATCTACCTGAGTACAGTTCTATCTACATACTGGAGATGATCAGTTCACTTCACTATGGGGTAATAATAATATAGAGTACATCAAGTATAATCATCCAAGCTGCATGAATTCGGACTCCGGCATGCCCCCCTGACCAAACCATGAGGACACTGTTGGGCAGTTTGACTTTTTCCTCCCAGATGATTCGCTGTCGGTGACATGATAAATAAGACACCTCAACCTCTCTTCTTCCTATCAGAATGGAGTACCTCTGTGTCTAGAATCCGGTTCCCCAACTGGTGTGCTGTCCATGGGCCAGTCTCACTGGACCATCGGGGGAATCATTGTCATAAGACATGTTTCGTACGGACATCCTCCGTCGGTGCAGTAAGGATGAGGAGATTTCTCACATTTTCCTCCGTCGACTGGACTTACATAAATAGATGTTTGCGACGGAGGTATCATCTTGACCCTCTCAGTTCAAGTCAATTCGATCTTCAAGGACTCAAGACTAGTTGTTCGAATTGACTGAGGGTTGACACACGGAACGGCCGGAAGAGCCAACCCCGATGACAACTTCTGGCTACCGAACACGGATTTCACCGTAGAAAAAAAAAAAAAAAAACAAGCCAAGCAAAACCCCCCTCAATCAGGTATTTTTAGCCGTTTAGTTACCGGACGGAGAAATAAGAAACTGAATCTGCGCCGTATCAGCCGTGGATTATTGGTGAGACGGAGTGGTCAGCGATCCATCGGTGACCATTTGGACCAGAGTTATCACCGTTCTGGTTCCACCATCACTCAAACCACAGGGTCTGGTTCGTTATCCGGTAGAGAAAACCTACACTACTCCCGTAGATTGGGGACGATGGGTGTGGTCCGTGGCTCGTATCTGCCCATTTTTCCTTTTTTCGCTGCGTTCTCAGCCTCAGCCTCAGTCTCTCATCTCCATTGATGAGACTCTGTCAGCATGTAATGTGCTCGTATCTTGGGATCTCGACGCTGCTGCCCAAACTCTTTTAGGGGGTCCTCGGAGCCTCTGTCTGGTGGCTCACCAGTCAAGTCACAGCATTCGAAAGACGGTTGGAGCCGCTTCAATACCGTAGGTCTTGGTATCTGGGTCCGTCCAATGCGTAGGAATCCTCCACTCTACGGAGTACAGGGTTCTCACTTTTCCAACTGTAAAAACGGAAAAAACGTGGGAAGGGAAACGCCAATACGTAAGGACCAAAAGGCTGAACGAGCTGAAAATACATGGGAACTTTGGGAAGAGGCAACAAGAAACCGACGGGGGAAGCTGGATCTTATATAGAATTGTCGACTGGCGATATCTATCTCTCTGGACTTATCTTTGAGTTGAACGGCAGCCTGCACTCTGCATTGTCCATGTGCGACACCCCTCTATTCTTATTTCTTTATTTATATCGGGCTTGGTCTATCTTGATAACCGGGAAATTGACGGTGATAAGCCAGATCTACTAATCTACTAAGGGGAGAGAGTCAGAAAGGACTAGGACGAAAAGCAACGAAGAGAGGAAAAGGGAGAGCAAAGAAAGCGAGCAAGACAGACAGAGAGAGAGGCAGGGAAAAAAAGGGAAAAAAAAAATAACCACCAGAGACTAAAGGGTGATAGAAGTTACTACTATCAGTATCTTAGTTCGACATGATATTAATAGTCTCTTGACAGCAATTTCGCTTGGTCAGTGTGTCTTGTCTGTCTGTCTTCTATTCCTGTCTAGCCTAACCCCAAAACTAACCCGCTATTCTCCTGATTTCCCTAAACCTCGTGTTTTTTTTACACCTTTTGGTCTTCTTCTTTTCTCTCTTCCTTTCGTTTCCCTCTTCCATCTTCCCTCTCACCTCTTCCTTCTCCCCTCGTTGTGCTTGGTCTTTCGTTACTGTCGTTTTCGGTCGTTTGGGAGGCGAAGCTTACCTTGATATTGACGGAGTAGATCTACCTCTCTCTCCAGCCTTTCGTTCGATCCAATCTACCCTTTTTTTCTTTATATATATATATATATATATATATTTTCTCGTTTTTCTTTTATAAAACCCACCGTTATCGCCCGTGCCGATCGCTCGTTATCAAGGACATTCGCTCAAACTCGCATTTCGATAGGAGAAAACGAAACAGCGAAACGACGAAGACAAGAATCAGCCCCAAATCATCCGAATCTCGAGGATCTCGGCATCTCTTGCATGAGTCTACCTGATATTTAATCACCGAAATCCCACGATGCAGTGGGGATGGACCGGGGCGTTGCTGGCCTGGTTCGCAACCACCGCATCCTGCTGGCCTTACGATGAGAAGTTCGTTGGTTACAACCTCAATGAGAACAAATCGGCGACCAATCCGGTCGAATATTGGGGCGAATGGCCGGACCATCAGGGGAAATACTTCCCCTCCCCGGATAACTGGCGGTTCCCCTTTTATACTCTGTTCCTGGACCGTTTCGTGAACGGGGACCCCACTAATGATAATATCAACGGCACACTGTTTGAGCACGATCTCTCATCCAACCAGATGCGTCACGGTGGTGATGTCGCTGGTTTGTTAGATACGTTGGACTACCTGCAGGGCATGGGAATCAAGGTAAATCCTTCCTTTTTTTTTTTTTCTTTGGGGGGAAGGGCTTGCGATCCGGTGCTTGAAAATTTGAAGCTGACTCGTTTAGGGCATTTATCTCGCCGGAACGATCTTGTTGAACCAGCCTTGGGGCTCTGACGGTTATTCGGCCCTGGATACTACGCTTCTGGATCAGCATTTCGGCAACCTTGATCTGTGGCGTAAGGCTATTACCGAGATCCATCGTCGGGGAATGTATGTGGTGTTCGATAACACCATTGCTACGTAAGACTTTCCCTGGCAAAAAAAAAAAAAAAAGAACGAAAAAGAATGTGGACTAATTCGAACAGCATGGGTGATTTAATCGGTTTCGACGGATATCTCAATACAACCACTCCCTTCACGGTCAAGGAACACAAGGCTCTGTGGAAGACGAACCGTCGGTACGTCGACTTCGACATCGGCAACAACTACAATGAGACATGCGATTACCCCCGGTTCTACTTCGAGGATGGAACGCCGCTCGACGCTAAGGATGCCAATACTCTGGTGGGCTGCTATGACAGCGATTTCGACCAATATGGTGATATCGAAGCCTTCGGTGTCTTCCCGGATTGGCAGCGTCAGTTGGCCAAGTTCGCCTCCGTGCAGGACCGTCTGCGTGAATGGCGGCCCAGCGTGCGCGATCGTCTGATCCGCCATTCGTGCATGATCATCCACCAGCTGGATATCGACGGCTTCCGCTACGATAAGGCGACGCAAGCCACCGTGGATGCGCTCGGCGACATGTCCATGGCATACCGTGAGTGCGCTCGCAGCGTTGGCAAGAAGAACTTCTTCATCTCCGGTGAAATCACCGGAGGTGATTACTTCGGTGCCATCTACCTGGGTCGCGGTCGGCTAGCGCATCAATGGCAGAGCCTTTCACCAGCCCAAGGCCCGAAGATGACGAATGAGTCCGAAGCGCAGTATTTCCTGCGGGAGGCCGGGCATGAGGCCATTGATGCCGCTGCCTTCCACTATTCCATCTATCGTACCCTCACTCGCTTCCTGGGCATGGACGGCAATCTTGCGGCAGGCTATGATGTTCCCGCGGACTGGGTGCAAGCATGGAACCAGATGCTCCAATCGAATGACTTTGTCAACGCCAACACGGGCAAATTCGACCCGCGACACATGTACGGTGTCACTAACCAGGATGTCTTCCGCTGGCCGACCATCCAATGGGGTCGGGAACGGCAGCTGCTGGGCGGTTTTGTGACTACGCTGCTGCTACCAGGTATTCCCCTGTTGCTCTGGGGCGAGGAGCAGGCCTTTTACATCCTCGATGCCACGGCGGGCAACTACATTTACGGTCGTCAGGCCATGTCTCCTGCCACCGCGTGGCGGGACCATGGCTGCTTCAACTTGCAGTCCTCACAGTACTACCACTGGCCCATTGAGAAAGGGCTCCACGGCTGTGAGGATGACACTGCCGCGTATGACCACCGTGATCCCTCACACCCCATGCGCAACATCTACAAGCACATGTACCAGCTGCGCACGCAGTTCCCGGTGCTGAATGACGGCTATTATCTGGAGACTCTTGATAAACACACCGAGGAAGTACTGTATCCCGGTTCCAACAAGACCACCACAGAGACCGGCATCTGGTCCATCAGGCGCGACATCAACTCAGAAGTCCAGAATTTTGGCTCCGCGGACAAGAACACCCCGATCTGGCTGGTCTTCCATAATGTCAACCGCACGGTGCCCTACACCTTCGACTGCAAGACGGCAAACAAGACGCTGAATTCCCCTTTCCCTTCGGGCCAGAAAGTCAAGAACCTGTTCTACCCGTTTGACGAACAGACTCTGGTAGATGGAGTGTTGCACCAGGGAGGCAACAAGATCGGTTACCTGAATAAGACGGTTACGGTGGGCTGTCTGCCCCAGATCAGCCTCGACCGGTACGAATTCCGGGCCTATGTCCCCATCGACCTGCATGTCAAGCCGCGACCCATGATCACGGGCTTCACCCCCGGTCATGATGTAGCTCTCCATTCCAAGGTGGCGCCCGATGCCTCCGAAGACGTGGAAATCGAAATCTTCTTCTCCGAGGAGATGGATTGCGATGCCGTGACCAAGGCCATTTCCCTGAAATCCTCTACCGAGACCCGCAATGTCCCCTTCATCAAAGCCAATTCTGCCACCTGTGGGGCTGTGAAGCTCGTCAAACCCGAATTGACCGGCCAGATTCCCAGCACCTGGTCATGGAAAGCCACACTGACCGGTGTCTACAACGGTGTCCACAAGGTGACGGTTGGTAATCCCTCCAACAAGAACAACGGGACCACCGGTGCCGTTGACCACTTCCTCTTCCGCACGGGGCAAATCGATAATCCGATGGTCTTCTCCACCGCCAACTACTCGACCAGTTTGCTGCACGAAATGGAAAATGGCACCCTGTTCATCCAGCATCACGCTGCTGGCGCCGACATGTACCGTTATTCGACCAACTGGGGCACCACATTCTCAGACTGGCAGCCCTACGCCGGTGGTAATGACACCATCGATGTGCTCCCGTGGTCTGGCACCAAGACCCAGGGGTGGGATGGCAAGCATGTGCGCGTTGAATACTGGAGCGGCCTGACAGGCAGCAGTGACTATTACCAGGAGGGCGACGTGGACTGGAACACCAAGGTACCCCGTCGGTTCCCGCACATGTTCTTCAACGGACCGTACAACCAGTTCGGTTACGATGGGGGCTTGGACAATCGGATCCGGCAGGACCCCAACAGCGGTCTCTGGCGATTCCATTTCATGTCGGAGTGGCCCGCACGCGCCCAGGTGAACATCTGGGGTATGAACCCGGACGGCTTGCCAGATCAGAGTGCTGTTCTGGGTGACCTCGACGGTGACCTCATCCTGGACCGCATGCCTCCCTCGTCGTTGGAAGCGACGCTGCTCAACGTCTCCATCCCGCCCGCCCCCCATCTCGCTTGGGAACTCTTCATCAACGATGGCACGCGGCGCTACCAGTTTGTCCCTGTGGGTGACCAGTCCGCCCAGATGGCCCTGTACGTTCTTTTCTGGATCATCCCGCTGCTCACCGGTTCCGCGTGCGTCTACGTCTTCATGAAATCCTTCTACCAGATCAAGTTCAACCAAGTCGGTGTCAGCGAGAAGCGCTCCTTGATCCCCCTGGCCCTGCGCCGCAAGTTGAAACGCGCCCGCAATGGCGATGGTGAGGCGATGAACCCGCTCATGCGTCTGGCCAACAAGTCCGGTTTCCTCCAGAGCTCCACCGCGCTGGCGGGTTCCGCCGCCGTCCCCAAGCGCCGCATGGTGCTGATCGCCACGATGGAGTACGATATCGAGGACTGGGCCATCAAGATCAAGATCGGTGGTCTTGGTGTCATGGCGCAGCTGATGGGTAAGACCCTCGGCCACCAGGACCTGATCTGGGTCGTGCCCTGCGTCGGCGGCGTGGACTACCCCGTCGACCAACCGGCCGAACCAATGGTGGTCACTATCCTGGGCAAGCCGTACGAGGTGCAGGTGCAGTACCACGTCCTGCAGAACATCACCTACGTCCTCCTGGATGCGCCCGTTTTCCGCCAGCAGTCCAAGTCTGAACCGTACCCACCGCGCATGGACGATCTGGACAGTGCCATCTACTACTCCGCGTGGAACCAGTGTATCGCTCAGACCATCAAGCGGTTCCCCATCGATCTCTACCACATTAACGATTACCACGGTTCCCTGGCGCCGCTGTATCTGCTGCCTCAAACCATCCCCGCCTGTCTGTCGCTGCACAACGCCGAGTTCCAGGGTCTCTGGCCCATGCGTACGGAGAAGGAGAAGGAGGAAGTGTGCTCCGTCTTCAACCTGGACAAGGAAGTCACCCGCCGGTACGTCCAGTTCGGCGAAGTGTTCAACTTGCTGCACTCTGGTGCCAGTTACCTCCGTGTGCACCAGCAGGGCTTCGGTGCCGTCGGTGTGTCCAAGAAATACGGTAAACGGTCGTACGCGCGTTACCCCATTTTCTGGGGTCTGAAGAAGGTCGGCAACCTGCCCAACCCTGATCCGTCCGATATTGGCGAGTGGAACCGCGAGCAGGCCCTGGCCAAGGGCGAAGACCCGCCCGTCGATGAGGACTTCGAGGCTGGACGTGCCGAGCTCAAGCGCCAGGCGCAGGAGTGGGCTGGTCTCGAGCAGAATCCCGATGCCGACTTGCTGGTGTTCGTGGGTCGTTGGTCCATGCAGAAGGGTGTGGATCTGATTGCCGATGTCATGCCCGCTGTCCTCGAGGCCCGTCCCAACGTCCAGCTGATCTGCGTTGGCCCCGTCATCGATCTGTACGGCAAGTTCGCCGCCCTGAAACTCGATCGCATGATGAAGGTCTATCCCGGCCGTGTCTTCTCCCGTCCCCAGTTCACTGCTCTGCCTCCCTACATCTTCTCTGGTGCCGAGTTCGCCCTGATTCCCTCCCGTGACGAACCCTTCGGTCTGGTCGCCGTCGAGTTCGGCCGTAAGGGTGCTCTCGGTATCGGTGCTCGTGTCGGTGGTCTCGGTCAGATGCCCGGTTGGTGGTTCAATGTCGAGTCCATGTCCACGTCGCATTTGCTGCACCAGTTCAAGCTGGCCATCGAAAGCGCGCTGAACTCCAAGCCTGATGTCCGTGCTAAGATGCGCGCCCGTTCCGCCAAGCAGCGTTTCCCCGTTGCCCAGTGGATTGAAGATCTCGAGATTCTGCAAGGCACCTCCATCCGCATCCATAACAAGGAGGCCACCAAGTCCAACAACCGGCCCCTGACTCCGACCGGCCCTACGACTCCGAGCGGTCTCATGATCCCGCGGGGCTTCGGCACCGTGGCCCCCTCGCTGCCAGGCAGCGGTGCTCAATCCCCTGTCGGCCCGGACTCGCGTGACGCCAGCTATGTCAATCTGAGGCAGCTCTCCGAGGTTGGTCCTCAGCAGCGCGATACTTTTGTCTCCTACAGCAAGGACACTGGCCGCGAGATGACCGAGAAGCCTGTGCCCGGATTGAGCCGCAAACTGTCGCTGGGTGTGCGTTCCGGACCGGGCCATTTGAACCGGCCCGGTCGTAACGGGCAGCAGGGTCTTTCTGCCCCCAATCGCACCGACGGCGCGGATGTCTCCGACATCGAGGAGGAAAGCGATGATGACGACTATATCGATGCCTACTACGGCGACGATGAATACACCCTCACGCCGGAGCAGGCCGAAGAAGGCCGCCGGCTGCAGAACGGCCAGAACCGTCCCGAGAGTGGCCGTGGCACTCCCCGAGAGCTCACCCGTTCGGCGCAGTTCCCCACCAGCCCAATGGCCCCGACTGCGGACATGGGTCTGGCGCCTCCTAGCCGCCCCTTCCTGGAGCCCGGCAACCGCATGAGCAGCGCGTCCGTGCTGTCCGTCGATTCCATTGTTGGGGACAAGAAGGACTTCAAGCTGCAAAAGGTCGACCCGTTCTTCACCGACAGCCACGGCGAGTACTCGCGGTCGTTCGAGAAGAGTCTCGAGGTGCTGTCCGGATCCAACTCCGAGTCGCAGCTGTGCATCGAGGAGTTCCTGGTTAAGAGTGAGAAGGAATGGTTCGACAAGTTCCGCGACGCCAAGCTGGGTCGTTTGAACTCGCCGGCGCCGTCTGTCTTCCGCGGCAAACGGGGCCCGTCGCCTGTCGACTCGTACTTTGGCGACGACGCGTCCTCGCGCATGAGCCCGGACAACGACGAACGCTCGCAGGAGGAGGAGGACGACGAGTTCCTGCTGGGCAAGGACTACGTGCCCCCCACGGGCTTGCGCAAGTGGATGCAGCTGCGCATCGGCGACTGGCCTGTGTACTCGATCTTCTTGGGCTTGGGTCAGATCATGGCGGCCAACTCGTACCAGATCACGCTGTTGACGGGTGAAGTTGGTCAGACTGCGGAGAAGCTGTACGGGATCGCAACAACCTACCTGATCACCTCGATCCTGTGGTGGTTCGTCTTCCGGTACTTCAAGTCGATCGTCTGCCTCTCGACGCCCTGGTTCCTCTACGGCCTGGCCTTCATGCTCATTGGGTTCGCGCACTTCGAAAAGGACGAGTTCACCCGCGGCTGGATCCAGAACGTCGGCAGCGGCTTCTACGCGGCCGCGTCCAGCAGTGGTTCCATCTTCTTCGCGCTCAACTTTGGTGACGAGAGCGGTGCCCCCGTCAAGGAATGGGTCTTCCGCGCCTGTCTGATTCAGGGCACGCAGCAGGCCTATGTCATCGCCCTCTGGTACTGGGGTTCGACGCTCACCAAGGCGTCCAGTCAGGGCCTCCTGAGCCCTGAGGACAACATCGCCAACACGTGGAAGATGACGGCCATCTGTGCCCCCATTGCCATCCTCCTGTGGGCCATCGGCCTGCTCATGTTCTTCGGACTGCCCAACTACTACCGCCAGAGTCCCGGCAAGGTGCCCTCGTTCTATCGGTCCGTGTTCCGGCGCAAGATCGTGCTGTGGAATTTCGTCGTGGTCATCATCCAGAATTGGTTCCTGAGCGCACCCTACGGTCGCAACTGGGGCTGTATGTCCTCCCCTCCCTCCTCATTCCCTTGGTCCCTAACCCGATCCCATGCTAACATCTGAACACAGTCCTCTGGGGCTCCGCGCACACACACAACTGGCAGATCGTCATTCTCTGCATCGTCTTCTTCGGCTTCGTTTGGGCCGCCTTCCTCTTCATCCTCAGCCACCTGTCCAAACAACACAGCTGGATCCTGCCGGTCTTCGCCTGCGGTCTGGGCGCCCCTCGCTGGGCCCAGATCTGGTGGGGTGTATCCGGCATCGGCTACTACCTGCCATGGGTTGGCGGCGGGTCCACGGCGGGCGCGCTGGCGTCACGGTCCGTGTGGCTGTGGCTCGGCGTGCTGGACGCGATCCAGGGCCTGGGCTTCGGCATGATCCTGCTGCAGACGCTGACGCGTATGCACATGTGTTTCACGCTCATCGTGTGCCAGGTGCTGGGTTCGATTGCGACGATCTGCGCGCGGGCCTTTGCGCCCAACAACACGGGACCCGGGCCGATCTCGCCGGACATCACGAAGGGTGCGTCGGCGCTGGCGAACGCGTGGTTCTGGATTGCGTTGATCTTCCAGCTCCTTATCTGGTACGTTCCCCTTGTATAACAGCAAGTGATCCCTCCTTACTGGACCCGGCATGCTAACCTCCTCTTTTAGTGCTGGCTTCCTGCTCTTCTTCCGCAGAGAACAGCTGTCCAAACCCTGATCTCGACGATGCTTTCCTATATATCTTTCTGTCAATTTGCATATACCTGTTTCTTGTATAGATACGACCATTGCATATAGATGTGCCATGAGTTCCCCGTCGGGTCTATCCCTTGGCTTGATGTCCGGAGTCTCCACGAGGGTATGACCATGTGTTTATAGAATTTATTAATATTAATCATGACTTTGATTGATCCAATCATTTCGGTTGTCCATAGTGTGTTTCAATTTCTCCAGTCTGGAGTGAGTTTGTATCAATTGGGAGTCGTTCTTCATCAGCGAGACCTTGAGTGATGCCTCAGGCAGCGAACACCACAACAAGACTCGATTTCTGTGTCTCTAATGATCTTGCACTTTAAAGCAAGAGAACCAGAACATCTAGATTCTTGCAGAGACAGGGCCTGAAGGTCGTTTCAGGGTGCAAAACCCACTCTGATCCGGTTCGTTTGCCACTGGAAACTTGTTTACCCACTTGCAGAACAGGTTTACCCCACCATGATGCTATCACTGGCATCTTTGACATCGTGTACGACAGACACCGCACTACGTATATAGCAAGCTGCTCCGTAGATATCTGAGATCGTCATTCATACTACAGTCTACCTAGAAAGGATCGGTACTGTAAGAAACAGCAATATCAAAAACAAACATCATCATGTCACACATAGGCAAAGACAACACCTTCCAGCCTCCTGGGCAGCCCCAGAGCCAACCGAAGCCTGGGTACGGCCTCCCAACTTAGCCCAATCGCCAAGAGAGTTTCACTGACAATTGCCAGCCTCGAGAAGAAAATGGCGCCCCCTAGTGAGTCTACCAAGCTGGAATCCCCCGGCGGGTTCACCGAGTACGTCGGCTCGGGGAAGCTCAAGAATAAGTCGGTGTTGATCACCGGTGGAGAGTATGCACACACTCACTATATACATCTGGAATCGCACCCCCCAAAAAAAAAACCCGTCCACTGACAATGACAGTTCCGGAATCGGTCGCGCAGTAGCAGCAATGATGGCCCGCGAAGGCGCCAACATCACCATCGTGTACCTGCCGCACGAGGAAGATGACGCCCAGTACACCAAGAAGCTGGTTGAGGCGGAGAAGCGCGACTGCGTGCTGTTTGCGGGTGACTTGAAGGATCGCGAGACGTGCCGCAAGGCCGTCGAGACGCATGTGCAGAAGTATGGAACCAATGTCAGAAAGAAAATCAAGAGAGACAGCCGGCACTAACGCCAGCTAGATACGGTCATATCAACGTCCTCGTCAACAACGCCTCGAAGCAGTACATGTGCAAGGACCTCGCCGAGATCGACCTGGATAAGGTCGAGGAGACCTTCCAGACGAACATCATCCAGATGATTGCGATGACCAAGTTTGCGCTGCCGCATATGTCCAAGGGTGATGCGTACGTCTCCCCCCCCCCATATTTCCATCCTTGATATATGAAGATCAATCGCTGATGTCCAATGGCATAGGATTATCAACAATACCTCTGTCACGACCTTCCGCGGGTCCAAGAGCATGGTCGACTACGCTGCGACCAAGGGCGCCATCGTGGGGTTCACGCGGTCGCTGGCGGCGCAGCTGATTCCCAAGGGTATCCGGGTGAACGCTGTTGCGTGAGTATCCTTCTTTCCCGGGCAAATAAGCTAACGATCGCTGACGCGGGTGCACTCCTAGTCCCGGCGCGGTCTATACTCCCATCCAGGTTGATACACGCGAGGCGGAGGAGATGGAGGACTGGGGCTCGCAGAAGCCGCTGGGTCGACCGGGTCAGCCCAGTGAGGTAGCCACGAGTTTCGTCTTTTTGGCGAGCGCGGATGCGTCGCTTTATTGTAAGTATTCTCTGCTTCAGGAATGCTTGGTGTGGTGCTAACAGTGGGAAACAAGATGGACAGATCTTGCATTGCTACCCGCTCGGGGACTAGATATGATATGATTGATGATTTCAGGCAACACTGTTGTTTTCTATTATTCTTCCGGTGCAATCTCGACGCTGTATCGGCTCATATTATAATTAGGATGAAGTATTTTATCTCCGATGTGGTATCACCCGCTGAATGTGAAGACTGTCGTGAGGTGGAATGGTGATCAAGGTGTGGGACGAGTCACTTGGTATATCTCGTCTTGAGGCACCAGCTCACTAAGTCATTCTCCACATAACTTCTATTTAAATGCTATACTCCGTAGTTTACGTGAACTTGAGGGTGTTGGAGAAACGGTGAAGGATCGTAATAATGGCTTGTCATTGGAGGAAGTGCAAAGACCATCTCGTATGCGGAATAATACGGTGCTGCCTGGTCTCCAAACGCTTGTCCAGACTCTCCCTCAGTCACACTCAAACATTCATTCCAACGAGTTGGATATTGCCGGAAATTGGTTAATGTTGCCAGTAGTACCATATCACATCCTCATGGTCTTTCGTTATGGCGCAAAGAGAAGCAGCCTCGAGCAGTGACATGACTCTTTATTCCACCTCTGGCAGCCAGGATCAGTCAGACGTCGTGACGAGACAAAAACGACCACATACCAAGTCCCGCTGGGGTTGCTTCAATTGTAGAGCGAGAAGGGTAAAGGTACCGACTAGTCTCGACATCCATCCACGCGCGTCTTTGGATTGACCACTCGCATATAGTGCCAAGAGACCCAGCCAGCATGCGAGAATTGTGTTTACAGAGATATGGAATGCGTATATCCATCCAAGGCCAGGAAATGGCTCGGTCCGAAGAGACACCCGACTCCAGCATCGAGGGACTCATCCTTGATCACCTCCCCGGCAGGAGAACTCCCCATGACGGCTTTCAGTGGCGATGACATGCGATTCTTCCATCATTTCCTAGTGGCGGCCCATCCGCATCTCCCGTATGGCAATGAGCATTCATGGACAATGCGAGTACCGCGATATGCACATGCGGTATGCCTCCTTTCGCCAAGAGACCGGCCGCTCCAGACTAATAATCTGACATAGTATCCCTGCCTGATGCACGCCATCCTGTCTCTCGGAGCAACGCACTACGCTCTCCTCGCGCCCAATGGCTCGCAGTACGCTTCGACAGCCATCATTCACCGCGGCAAAGCCCTGAAGGCACTAGGAACGGCACTCGGCAAAGGCCCGGAAGCCACCAACACCGAGATGGATGTGATCCTGGCCACCTGCTACACGCTCGTCTTCCAAGCCTACCAGATGAACGACGGCCTCGTCGACTTTGCCGTGATGGTCCGTGGCTGTGGGATCGTGACTGGCTGGATCCTGGAACGGTTTCAAACGAGCCAGATGTTCACGCTGCAGACGGAATCCGATGTGGATGCGCTCATTGCCGGGGAACTTTCCGATGAACCGCTCAGCACCCCGCACAGTATAGAAGCGTTGCTGGTCGCGATGCATAAGCTACCGCCTCTTCTGAACAGTCCGGCGCATCACCGCTTCTTTCACGCGATACGAAATACCCTGGCTGCCATGCAGATCTCGATGAAACGTACATTCGTCAATCTCACGTCCATCTACGCGGTGTGGTACCAGATGGAGAATAAGGAATTCCTCACCTTCATCGCACCGGCCAACCACGTTTCCCGGGCATTGTTCCTGTTTTTCCTGGCCGTCGAGCTCATCATGCAGCCTGTCTTTCTCAAGTTAAACGGGTTCAAGGGACATAAGCCTCCTGTAACGATGTCGCTGGTGCACCAGTGGGCAGACACGATATATGGCGAGCTGCCGGCTTCGGTCAGAGAGTATGTACAGGTGCCGACGGAGATGATTCTGGCGGATGGAGGCCTGAGGGCGGTTATCTCTCAACGAGCTGCATTTTCTGATCTGCATACTCTGTTCTCTGATGTGGAGGGGAGCACATGGCTTGGGTGTATGTGAAAGGAATTAGGGATGAAGAGGAACAAACAATAGATACAGTAGATCCTAGAGACAAACCGAGACCCATCACCCCCAAATGACAAAACATCGCAGAAGCAAGCACATGCAGGTTCTATACCAAAGAAGAATATCAAGCCCCTAACCAACCACCGCTAATCGCTCAAGTCTGGCTTGGAAACTGCTAAACAAGCGCCTCCGATTGGCGCATCCGTACCTTACCACCCTCCCCCAGATGATCCGCAGCCAACCATTTCCCGGGGTGAAACCAGCCCAGAGCCATCAAGGCGATGAGCATCGGAATTGCTTCCAGAACATACAACGGCCATTCATGAGTAAAAGTGTACGAATCAATACCCAAGGCAAATTCAAACACTCGATAGATTGAGCGGACCTAGACCATCAGCCTGCAACAACACCTCAAAGGATGGCCAAAGCATACCATGACAAAGAACCCAGCAATGTAGATCCCCTTCAAGACCATCTTGACTCCATGTCCAAGCGATCCTCCTCTTGTTGCGCGGAGGTGAAACCAGCTTACGATGACAAGAAAGCAAGCGAACGTGATAACCTGCAACACCAACCCGGCGATCAACACCGCGATCCCGGTATCATGCGACGAACCCTCCCAATTCCCCGAGGATGCGATCCCACTCCCCGATCCCTGCGTGAGCACACTAATCACGTCCAGCGTGACGAAGATCCACGGCAACCATTTCACGGGGAACCGGCCCAGGAAGCTTGCAGGTGTCCTCGTGCCACCATCTGGAGCATTCGATCGGAGCCTTCCAAGCAGCATGTAGAGACTTGCGCAGACGAAGACGGGGGCAATGACGATCACGGTGATGGAGACTGCGTAGAGAGGGATGCTCTGCGGCTCGCGGACACTGGCGCAGCGGATCCCGTATCCGGCTACTTCGAGGGCGGCACCAATGACAATCGGGATGAGGTAGTTGGCTCGGGGATATCTACCTTTCCAAGGGAGGATGATGGTTGTCCATATCTGATAGGCAAGTGGGATGATATAAATGATGGTGAAGAGGATGGCTGCGGCGAGGGAGGGGTCGTAGAAGTAGATTTTGTTTTCCTTGTCGGAGGCCATGGTGAATCTTAACCTCGATATTGATGAGATGCCTTGAATGGCTAAGATCGACTGTATCGTGCGGTTTATGCTATTTGAGGAGACCATATTGCGATGTATATATATATATAACTGTATTCTGCAGGACTTTGCTCTTGTGCGGTTCAGACTCAGCCGCCATGTTAAGAGCTGCTGCCTTGAAGCTGATATCAATAGTAATTGCCTCGTGTTCGCATTCTCGCATTTCTCCCCCAGAAGCATCGAGCTTCATCGTTGTCTACGGAGTACTGCGCGATGATCCCATCTTCTGTGCGAGGAATGCGAGGAATTGAAACCTATGCTAACCAGATCCGATTAGCTGTAACAGCAGGCTGTTTCCTATCATCTGCTAGAGCACAAACAGGTTAGCGCAATCTTGATAGCTAGCGTCAGGGTCTGTATACTAGATGTGGAGAGTAATTGTGGATGACTCTGCGGATTGGAGGCAGTGCAGTGAGGGAGAGATAGATACGGCGGACTATAAACTTGATTGATAATGATAACAATAATGATCCTCACAGAATGAATGACTGAATGAATGACTGAATGACAACACCAGGGAGCGCAGGCAGGAACCAGAAGCCTGATTGTTGTCGAGACGCTCCTGCGAAATTTTCCCTCAATAACTATCTATCTATCCTTGCTTGCCATCATCTTGTACGCACCTTCCTCTTCCTTGTCTTATTTTTGCAGAGTCGCTGCCTGCACCAAAATGGCTTCTTCAAAAGACCCCAGATCCTGGCCATCAGGAAAACTCTCTTAAAGCCAGCATTGCAGTCACTACAAGTGGCTGAAATCCAGGCTTGCAGAGTATCTAATGAGCTGGAAAGAGCTGTCCGACGAGCCCAAGGTAACCCTTGGCATTTTGCAAAGATCAGCGAGATTACTTCATTTTGACGATGACGTTCGTCACCTGTCGTCGCCAAGAAACTCAAGACGGGGGGATCCAGGGACCGAATGCAAGAGTTGAGAAATGACATGAGACAGACGGAAACCGAGACAGTGCGTCTTCGACGTCAGCTTGATGAAGTTGTTGCCAGAATTGCAGAGAATTTCGGGGACCCCCAAAATAGTTTCCCTGATCTGCCTTTGATTAACGAAATACCTCTCATCAGTCAGTTCGATATTATGAAGGAATTTGATGCTGTCATGGAGCAACACTCGCTTCCTCAAGACCCCTTAAACGACTCAAATATCTCAATGCAAGTCTTCTCAGCCGGAGATGATGACAATAAACAGCCGGAAGAAGATGAGAGTAGTGATAGTGAGGAAGAGGGCTTCGCCATAGCCGCGAGGGGAGGCTTCCGAGACCCTGCTGATCTTGAAAAGAATGGTTTGCGGCCGGTATGGAGCACCTGGGATGGCTATCCTGGGGAGATCCCGGATGATATTGCTGAGTATCTCGATGATGATGGAGGCGCAGGTAAGTATCTCAGCCGTGAGATGATGACAGAACTCACAGCTAACTATCACTAAAGCCTTTGTTCTGCTCATAGGTCCGATCAAAAGCCTCTTTTGGATTGGCGGCTATGATGATATCGTTGAAGCAATCGACGATCCTGCGTTTGTCATCCAAGACGAAGTCCAGTTGGTGCCCTTCGGAGCCACCGTTGGATATCTCGTGGTCCGCTATTGGGAGCAGGGTAAACTACCCGAATACATGATGCTCCGAGAGATGTACTATGATGCTTTTCTGGGCTTTCGGCACAATTTTACCGTCTTCCCGGCGCAAGTGAACAGAATCCCAAGCTCTATAACGAACGACCCCCGGACACACATACTACAGTCATTGTACCCGCTCAGTAGGCCCCAGTGCCTCCCTCAAGCAGTACAATGCTTCCGAGTGAAGGGGGAGAAGAACGAGGGCAAACAAACCAGAAACATTCGATCTTTGACTTCCGATCTCTTCGACTCAGATGATTTGTGGTTTCGCGGTCTCACCTTGGCTGCGTTGACATGCACACTCGCCTTCTTTATTCCTGCACTGGCAACGAAGACACATGAGAACGAATTCGGACCAGGTATTTACACAACCAACGACTTTCGATATGCACTCACATATTCTACTTTCACGGGGGCTGTAATGGTCTTCAAAAAACCCGATCTTCGGGGGCTCAAAGTTTGGGAGCCAACCGTTGATCAATGGAATCAATTGATAGCGATGTGGACCTGTTTACCTCTATCTGGTGTAAGCGACAAATTTCCACAGGAATACAAGGATGCAGACTTTATTCGTGGACCGATTTCTCAATCAAACAAGAAGAGCAATTTCCGCAAGAGATGCGACAAAGACCAGCTTGTTGCAGTGAGCTACAAGGGGTGCGCGGTGTTGTCTGCGTCGCTCCACACAATCATCTACATTGAACCCTGAAGGCTGATTACAACCACCCTTTCTGTCTTGCAATCCCTTGAAAATGATGCTATTGCTATTGTGGTTGCTGTTGCTATTGCTATTGCTATTGCTTTATATCCGAGTACCATTCGTATACCCCATAGTTTGCTAAAATAGAGATAATACCCATAATTCAGGATTGCCCATTCATTCGATAGCATGACTAAATCATGTCAGTAAATAATAATTTAAGCATTGCTCAATCTCCTCAAGTATTGGAGGCATGGTGATATGTATTCTGTATGTATATTCAAAAAGATGGGGAGGTATACGGACGGAGTTTGTGTGGAGGAGAAAATGCCTCGTCGAATCCCGCCGCCGTCACAGCACATTGGCCGAGCATTGAGGACTATCAACTCTTATCTGGATGAGCTGAGACTGACTACTTAGGTAGCTGCCTTATCGATCCAATTACACGTGGGGTAAGCCCATGTGGTGATGTTCCTAAGAGATCTGATCTCGTAGCTGCACTGTTGCGGGATTTATTCCTCCACTCTGCACCTTTTGTCATATCGCAGGTACTACTTTTCTTTTTCTCATCGTCCAGAAGTATATCGATTTTGTTTGATAGCAAGGTTATCCGTTATCAAATGTAGCCCATCAGTAGCGACAATGCTAACCAGAGCATTCTACGCCGACGGGGCTAGGAGCTTTACGATGGCCTCCTCGGACCAAACATAAAGGGATTCGACCCCCCTGGTGAGAGCCAGAATCGGTCGTTGCGTTTCGTGTCTACCTGAGCAGAATCAGGGCTCTCTGTAATGGCAGACATCAAAGTCTCTAGCGATAGCACCGAGGCTGTCACCCCGACCTCAACTGGTGGCGTCGTTTCGTCCCGTCCAACCCATCAAGGCAACCCCCTGCAACGCAAGTTTACTGCCGACAAAAAGGTGGTAGATGTTGAGCTGGCCTCGATAGCTGATGCAGAGTATGTGGATGAAAGAGACTTTCACAAGAAACAGGTCAGTCACGGTCCAACGGCATCACTATTAATGCTAACAGATATCTAGGTATTCACAGGTTGGAGTCTGGCATGGTTAGTGTACTCTAACGTGATTTGATTGAGAGAACTACCCTTGCTGACCTCAATGACCCAGGCTGTCGTATCAATCGCTTGGAGTCATCTATGGCGACATCGGCACCAGTCCCCTATATGTCTACTCCTCCACCTTCAGCAGCGAGCCAAGCTACGAGGACGTTCTCGGTGCTGTCTCCTTGATCATCTGGGCGCTCACAATTACGGTCACCATCAAGTATGTCTGCATTGTGCTCAATGCCGACGATGAAGGGGAGGGAGGTACCTTTGCCCTGTACTCCCTGATCTCTCGATACGTATGTCTTTGATTCACCCACGATGCGAGGATAACCCTGCTCACCAAAGTAGGCAAACCTAGTCCGCCGCGATCCTCGTCACAGCAATATGGTCCGCATGCAGCGGCATGACACCGACGATCTACAAAAGCCGAATCTGATGGCCCGCAATATGATTGAGCGAAGCACCTTCATGAAGTGGGCATTCAAGGTGCTCGGTGTTTTTGGCGTATCACTCCTGCTGGCTGGTATGAACAATGATCGCGTGCACCTCGGCAACGAGTGCTGATCGAAAACAGATGGCGTTTTGACACCGGCTCAGTCAATCCTGGGAGCGATTCAAGGGTATGTGTGCAACTGCCACCATGTGTAAGGGCAGCGACTAACCTGCCCAGCATCACGGTTGTCAATCCCGACATCTCATCTTCCACCGTCATTGGCGTCTCTTGTGCAATTCTAGTCGTCGTCTTCCTCATCCAGCCGCTCGGGACAAGTAAGATTGCAAGCACCTTTGCGCCGATCGTGATAATTTGGTTGTTGTTCAACCTGAGTTTTGGGATCTACGTAAGTCAAGAAACCATCATACCCCTTCAGTCAAGTAGTAACCGTCGCAGAATCTTGCCATGTATGATGCATCAGTTCTGAAAGCTTTCTCGCCCTACTTTGCTGGCTCATTCCTGGTTCGCAACGGCAATGCAGGCTGGCTGCAGTTGGGTGGCATCCTTCTTGCTTTCACTGGCGTTGAGACGCTTTTTGCCGATTTGGGCGCTTTTAGTAAACGGTTTGTATTCACTGTCATCTTGATTGTTTGAGAACAAAGTGCTAAGCATTTTGTATAGAGCAGTGCAAATATCCTGGCTGTGTTTCGTCTACCCATGCCTTCTGATAGCGGTTCGTCGAACCCATAGCCATTTTGATGCCATGTACTAAGACTGCAGGATAGTATATCGGGCAAGGGGCTCACCTAAGTCGTGTCCCAAGCGCCTATGCTAATCCGTTCTATTTGACTGTGCCACCTGGTATGCTCTATCCGAGTCTCGTGGTGGCCATTCTCGCCTGCATCGTCGCTAGTCAGGCGGTTATTACAGGTTCATTCCAGGTATGATGAATCTCATCCTTTCTTTTCAGAGAGACTGACCGAAGACAGTTGCTATCGCAAATCATGAAGCTTTCCTACTTCCCTCAGATCAAGCTGTATCACACTTCCAAGACGTTCCACGGGCAAGTCTACATCCCAATCGCCAACTGGCTGATGATGATCGGCACCGTTATCGTCACTGCGGTCTATAATAATGTAAGTCCCTTGTCCCTCCTGACGAACGATTGCTGACATCGATCCAAGACAACTGCCCTGGGAGAGGCGTACGGCGCATGCGTCATCCTTGTCTCCTTCTTGACCACCTGCATGGTGTCGGTAGTGGCCCTCATCGTCTGGAAACTCCCCATCTACCTCGTCCTCCCCGTCTTCCTCGTCTTTGCCCTCTGGGATGGCATGTTCCTCTCCGCCGCGCTGAGCAAAGTGCCCCACGGGGCCTGGTTCACCATCATGCTCGGCGTGGCCCTGACCCTCATCTTCGTGCTCTGGCGATACGGCAAGGAAGAACAATGGACAGCCGAAGAAAGCGACAATGTCCCGCTGTCGCGCACGACCGTCCTCCGCGACAACCAACTCACCCTGCACCCGGACTTCGGCAACTCGGCCATCACCCCCATCCGCGGACTGGGCATCTTCTTCGATAAATCCGGCAGCCCCGCCACCACGCCGGCGGTGTTCCTCCACTTCGTCCAGAAATTCGGCGCCGCGCCGGAGGTATCCGTATTCTTCCATCTCCGGCCCCTCTCTGTCCCGACCGTCGCGCCCGACGAGAGACACGCCGTGAGCCGGTGCTATACCTACGGCTCCGGGCCCGGAAAGCAGCCAATCCCCAACTGCTTCCGGCTGATCGTTCGACACGGCTACACGGACGAGATCGTCACGCCCGATCTGGGGGTGTTGGTGCTAGACCAGCTCCGGGATTTCTTGATCCGGGAGCGTCTGTCTGGGACCCCGGCTGCGGATGCAGAACTCGATGCGCTGCACCAAGCCTGGAAGTCGCAGGTCATTTATATCGTGGGCAAGGAGCAGCTGCGTATTGCGGCTGAGACGCATATCTTGCGACGGGTGGTACTCTGGGTATTCCTGTGGATGCGGGATGCGAGCAGGACGAAGGTGCAGCAACTGAATGTTCAGGCGGAACGGCTGGTGGAGGTTGGGTTCGTCAAGGACATGTAGGGACGTGCTTGTTTTCATGGTATTTTGCTTGATTGGGAAATGATATGGAGTCACCTGGAGTTATTGGAGGGTCCCAAAATACACATCGAGTGGAACAACAGTGTCCACCAGTATGTACAAACATAGGAATAGGACCGTACTAGCATCAATCAATCAAAGTCCTCGACGACCGAACCCATTTTGGAACAAACTTCAACAAAGACAAGGAGCTAGTATTAAACCAGCAAGACATCAATATTCAACTCATCCGCAACCAGCCTGCGGTCCACACGGATCAGCCCCAGATCCTGCCCCGTCTCCTGATGTAGTCGTTCTCGCCTTCGCCATACCTCCTCAACAATTCGGCGTACGAGGATCCGATTCCCAAACCCGAAGGAGGTTGCCTGATCTAGCCATGCACGCGCCGACTCCAGGTCATCACTTGTCGACGCCTCCACTGCAGCGATAAACGTTGGCCACAGTGAGTAGTTTCCGTCACTGGTCCCCCGGAAGGCGGCGAGACTCTGGAAGGTTAGCGAGACGTAGTGCGATACCTGGCGTGGAGGGACATCCAAAAGAGTTCGGTAGAGATAGATGTAAGTGGCGTAGGTGAAGCCGTCCAGTTGGTAGCGAGCCAGATCGTGGAGGTCTTGCGCGGACTGATGGCAGGCATCTAGCATGGACGTGATACGAGTAATGATGCAATGGACTTCATCTGTAGTCGGTCTATCCGATGACCATATTCGTCTTCCCACACTAGTGATGGTCGATATACATTCCAGGAGTGTCTGCTGAGCTCCGATAGTAAAACCGCAATGCTTCGTGGAGAGTATAGCAGAGACCACCTGCGCTTCAGCGGGCTCAGCTACAGCCGGAGTGCTTCTATGACTGGCTGAGGAACACGTAGCGCCAATGATGCGGATGATCAGGAGACTCTGCGTGGAGAAGCATGCGAAATTGGACTCGTTCCAGAAGAGCTTCCTGCGGTACGTTAGGAGCAGGGCCCACGCACCCTGCAAATGGTAATGCCACCTGCATGACTGCCCGCTGTACACCTCGGCCATCATGAGAGTCATGATCGCGGCCAAGGTGGTACTGCTCCTGTGGTTGGGTTCCACGGACTGAAGCACCTGGTTGAGATGTTTGATCGAGGCATTGTAATGCCACACGGCCAGTGCATCCATTGTGATCCGGCCGGGACTGGACAGATGTGCCAGACTGAAGGCTGCATGGGCGAGGAGAGCGTGATACATCGCCTTTTCCTCTGGGTTGGAGAGCTGCAAAGCGACAGAAGGATAGTACAACTTCCAAGGGTTCAGAGGATGGTCAAATGGCATCATGTGGATGGCGACGTGCGTGACATAGTGATGGAAGAGATAACAATCCCGAGGCCCAGCAGGCATCAGACCTCCGCTTTCCCAGCCTCGATTGAAGGTATATGGCCATGAGGGACGTCGGCGCTGCTTCGCAGTTGATATGACAGGGAACACGGAAAAGGGGTTGTATTCGACGGCAAGTCGCCCGCGACGAGAAGACGGTTTTTCAGTGTCATCGCATTCGGCAATAAGTAGATCTATCCAGTCCGACGAGAAGATAGGGATGTTATCCCATGTTCGCTCTGTCCGCAATGTCAGATACAATCCCTCAATGACACAGCCCACCTATCTCCTGCAAACCCACCACAATGCATATCTCGTCGCCCGTTGGATCGATATGAGTGCTGATTTCCCGGCCGTAGCCACACCAGTCGAGCCGTAGATTGATCGCATGGAAGACCGAGCCTCTCGCAAGCCGAGCATGGTTCTTTCTCGTCGCATTTGATTTTGCGGGCCCGGCATCGCCAACATCCCTGGATACCGCATTAGCCTGACTGCCCGAGAGTGAGACAAACCCACAAGAGATGGATGGGCAGCTTACGGTAAACTCCCGGCGTCTTCTTCGCGACTGATTGAGTAGGCTCATCGATAGCTGAAAGTGGCTGCAGAGGGAGTATCTTGTATCGATCCCCAGCGACGTCGCAGTCGGATATTGCCAGAAGGCAAGTGATGGCGAGCCTTTCTTTGTCTCCTCTCGCCGCCAAGGCCGTTCTACCAGATTTGGAGCTTGATGTCGATTCCGTTTCCGATTGGTCAGAACGAGAGAGGATGAATCATCCCGTGTGGAGAATGTAGAATTTCCTAATCGGGACTATCTGAAGCCATCCGTTTGATTGTATACAAGCAATTTTTGGGAAGACGCAAAGGATAGTTGATGGGTCTTCAATGTTCGGTTCTCTGGAGAGAGAGAGAGAGAGAGAGATGATAAGTTGAGCTGCCTACTTACCCATCTATCTATGACTTCCATGGTCCATTCAGCTCGCAACGCCACTTCAACTGACTGGCGGTGCCCCATCTATTGAGCTCCAGTGTCCGGCTCAACAAGTGCTGATCAATCTCTTTCTACTCGTTGCCAAAAAATCAAAATGAATTTTCGTGTAGTACATTGATCCTTTGCCCCATATGATGAGAGCCCAGCAGGTGGTTGTCTGTATCATCAGAGCTGGCGGATAATGCTAGATCAACCATTTCGAAAAGTGTGCCACAGCACCGATTCAAGCTGTAATAACAGATACATTCCTTCAGCCCTATATGCCAGCTTTCTCTTCTCGCCTGAGGAGGGCTAGATTAGAAACCCAATATAACAACGATATAGCTGTTTCCCACGGGATGTCATGAATCCAGCCAGACTAGCGCGCTGCAACAGACCGACTGGAATGATTCTTCTTGCGCCTTCTGTTCATCTCTCGCCAGATTTCTCCTCCATGGCTTTATATATTCAGGAAGATCGATGAAGTGTCGCTAGCGTTAGACGGTGTTGAGAATCTCGATGTCCCTATTCCCCGGCTGTTTGGATACGGGTTGTCGACAGGACAGACAGCATGTATCTTCATTTGCCAAACTCTTGCGCCGTCGGGTACTGAATCTTCTCGGACGCCCGGTGCCATCTTCTTATGTTCGTCACAAAAGCGGGTGCACTGCGAAGACGCTGGGTCTGGGTATTGGATACCTTCTCATCGAGTACGATCACATACAACACGATTCTCGAAGGGGCGTTCTTCTGCATCATGATGGACCATTGGTCCATTAATACGTTGAGACTACTTCGACAAAAAGTGGAAGACAAAGAGCAGTACCCCTGGCTGTTACTCGAGGCCTTTCAATGATCCCGAACAACCTGAATAGTATATCCCTTTGGTAACCAAGCACGGCAGGACATCTATACGGAGTAATACTGCACCCGCGTTGTACCTTGTCAACAGTTGCGTCGTAACTCGAATCTGATCAGCGGGTCGCCCATGATGCAAGACTGAATCGCGTCCAAAAAAAACAAAAAAAAAAGTGCATCTTGTCGAGTCAAGCGAGGAACACACTCGCTGCAGTATCCGACCATCACGGCCTCCTCCTTCAGTCTGCAAGAAGGATTCTCTCCACCCAATGGGTTTGGGAACACCTCATTCCACCACCGGAACACGTCGTATTCCTTCAAGGAGGAACATCCATCCGATCGGCGCAACCCCAATTGCCGAGTTACTGCTTGTCCGCGTTTCCTCAAGAGAAGGTCATCTTCGTCAGGATGCAGAATGGACTGGTTAAAGTCTGATCTTCGCGCTGTTCCTGCCCATCAGCCCATGTACCCCTCCCAAAGCGGAACGTGGCCGTACCTTGAGAGCATTCTTATTAGCCAAACCTGTACTCCATACTCCATCCTAATTCCTACTACTACTTTCATGAGCAGCCGTGCAGCATTATGATTATTATTTGATTATTATTACTCGGGAGGATTTACACCCAAGGACGTATTACAAATCATCTTCTAGACGAGGATAGAAAATGCTTGGTAATCGTGGTGGAACTTCTGGTTGTGCTCGGGATCGATGGCGGGGTTCAGGTTCAGCCTCAGCCAGTATGATATTTCCTCTACTCTGTACGGAGTAATAATATCGAAGAATATCGCCGAGGGCGAGTATAAATACCACCCTGCTGACTACCTTCAAGAGAGCAATCAGAACAGCCCAATCTTCCTCATCCTGAACCTCAATTGCACCATATCCCTACCACCACAATGACCTCCCCCGTCTACAGCTACACGGTGCCCACCTTGCTCAAGGGCCTGGAAACCCTAACGCTCATCCTCCAGAAGGCTGAACAATACGCCAAGGAGAACAACATTCCGCTCTCCGACTTCGTCGACGCCCGTCTCTGCCCAGACATGAGGCCCCTGACCTTCCAAATCCAAACCTGCAGCAACACCGCCAAGGCCTCCGTCGTGCGCCTCACCGGTGTCGACAACGTGTCCATGGACGACAACGAGACGACCTTTGAGCAGCTGTACGCGCGCATCGACAAGACCATCGACTTCGTCAAGGGCGTGGATCCCAAGCTGTTCGAGGGCAAGGACCATGTCGAGTTCCAGACCAAGCTGGGGCCGAACGAGCTGACGTTTACGGGGGAGTCGTACGTGAACCGGTTTGGGCTGCCGAATTTCTTCTTCCATTTGAATATCGCGTATGCGATTCTGAGGCAGAAGGGGGTGCCGATTGGGAAGATGGATTATTTGAAGTACTTTAATGCTTAGTTGGGTTCTTGGTATTAGGATTAGGGGAACAGGGGTTCGTTGAATGAATTACATGTCATTACTCATTATTATCATACAAAGGCATCGAGAACAAGTAGAAGCACGGTATCATACAGCGATTGAGAAACGAAGAAAATGCAACGACGCGTGAGACGATCATGAGGTCATTTAGTGATGGCCTATCACTATTGTCAGTTAACATCCTTGAAATGAAGATAGATACAATACATACGTCCAAGAGGCTTGGCTCTCTTCGAGATTGTTCGAGCCTGATGCTGCTTATGCTTCGCCAGGCGGGCCCTATCATTGCTAGGGTTAAACAACAGCATCTACATAGGCTACAGTTAACTTACTCTTCCGTCGCCTCGGTCTCCAAGCGCTTGACGTGCTCTCGAGCCTCCCGCACGGCCATACGAGATTCCCTCAGGGCCCGATCGGCGGCTTTCTCGGCAGACTCGGCGCGAAACACCTGGTCCTTTGCTGCGGAGATCGAAGGGTCTTCCTGACGACGACTGAGCAGACCGCGACGGCTACCCCCTCCGCTCGAATAGCCCCCGGAGGAGCGACGAGAGGAGTGGGAAGACTGCGAGTTACGGCCCCCGAAGAGCCCGTGGCTGCGGCGCTGACTAGGCTCCTCGATGCTACGGCCGGAAGAGGAGGAGCTGGAGACGGAGTCGCGATGGAAGAGAGGCATGTTTTTTCTGATAATAGACGATGGTATAGAATAAGTCGTATGTCGATATTATTGCTAATGATATTGATGGGAAATTCATCCTCTCGACGGGCAGATCTTGCGACATCTATATAGATCGATGGGTACTGAGCGTGACGTCAAGCGATGATCGCGCGACAGCCACCGCCATCATTTCGAGGTGTACAAGCCGTGTTGGTGTGGCCACTGCGAGGGCGATGCAACACGAGTATTCGCTGCTCATTTGATAGCTGTGCGCTGTATCATTGGAATGATATCGCCAATGACCTCAAGTTAAAATGCCTGCTCAGGCCCGTTGCGTTCTAGTTGCTCAACATTACGTCTTGCCAGTTGCTGAACTCCGATGTTTCACTTGTCATACCAGACCATTGGCCTAGGGAAGGGTGGATTTATCGGAGAATTAACGAAGACAAGCAATGATCCGAGCAACGAATGTTTATGCATGCCACTGTTGGAGTGGTAGATACTAGATAGGAGTATTGGCTATGTCGACGCTGCAGCGAGAATCACGCTGATCGACAAGATTGCCATCACAGGAGGACGATAGAATCCACCGATTGGAGAGACATAAACCGTCCGTCCATCCTCAGAGCGGGAGCATTTAGCCAGTGGGAAGAAGACACGAGAAGATGCTGAGAGAAGAAGGAATAATATTCAGCTAAAAGTCGGGAACTCCTGACGCTTGTCGGCCTGATGCACGTGACGTGTCTGCCTGAAGGGCGGATGAAATGAGGCTGGTCAAGACTCAAGACTCAAGGCAGACACCGTTGCCTGGGGAGCTTGGAGATTCGAGCTTGCAATTTAATTCTGAATACGAGCTCGTGAATCTATATAAGATGACCGGACTCTCAACCACGGGGGATCTCACTCAAGCATCATCTCCGCTCTGATCATGGCCTCAAACAGTGCATTGTCCCAGACCATTCAGGCCCTGACCCTCAGCAAAATCCGCGAGTTGGAGAAGCTGCGCAATGCCTATGAATCGCGCAAAGCTGAAATTCTCGATGGCGCCAAGAATAGTCCCGATCAACACAAGAGGTTGAATCATCTCCTCGCGGGCACTAAGGAGCTCGATCCCGGCGCCTCTCGAGATGTTACGATCGGCCATATTGAACGGTGGCTGGATCAGGCCCGATACGACTCTTCAATTCCAGCAGATATGTTACAGCGTTTCGAGAAGACCCTGATGGCAAAGCTGGACGCCCGCAGTCGCAAATTGACTCTCGCCGATCTTTACTCCCGCCTGTTGACTGAGTGGATGAATCCACCTTCAAGCACGGATGGCGACGACTCTGCAGACGAGGAAGACTTTCTCGTTGTGGAAGAGCGACAAAAGCAACGTCTTCGGCAGCTGTGTGACCAATTCGAAGCGGCCGTCTTTCGACCTTTCGAAACCAGTGAGGCCAACATCCACACGTTCCTCGAAGATCTCTTTCCTGCAGAGGAACAGCAGGCTGCACTCGACCAGATTCGCAGGAAGGTCAAGAATGAATGTGACAGCCTCTGGGAGACTGAGGCGCCCTTTAACCACACCTCTCTGTCCCGCTGCATTCAAGGACTGCTGATGGAGGAGCTGCTGAGTGATGCGAAACGGACGGTTCTCAAGGGCTTCCTCGAGAACAAGGTGGCCATGACGGAGATTGCGGACGTTTTGAACATGCGTTACGCCGACTTGAAGAACTGGGACTGGCATGCAGGAGAGGACGGTATCCCCGTTCTGCCGCGTCAGCAGACCAACGGGAAATACCGCATCTGGGTCGATGAGGACGTGCTACAGACCATCTTCGCGGAGTTTGTCGCCGTTAAATTTTGCAATATCCTCAAGAGCACCTTCAAGAGCACGCTTCTTGGCAGCGATGGAGTCTGGAAGCTGACTCAAAGCCCAGTGAGGATGGAACGCGACAACCTGCGTCGCAAGTACTACCTGACCGAAATCTTCCGACAACATAATGTGGAAAAGCTGCGCATGGAAGAGTACCGCGACACCTATTTCCTCTCCCATATGCCGATCTCAGACACGGCATTGTTCGAAGGCCGACCATCGTACGATGATGCGAGTGACGACGAGGACGAGAAACCAGACCGCCAGACTGGCCCGAAGCGGAACATCAAGCAGGAGATCCTGCGCCACGTTGCGACGGAGACTCTTTTTCATCAGCATTTACACGGCGAAGCAGCCGTGATCCAATCTGACATGAAGTGGTACGCAACCGGCCTTCCGCACAGCACTCTGTTCGCCATCATGACATTCGTCGGCTTCTCCTCGGATTGGATCAACTTCTTTACCAAGTATCTCCAAGCGCCGCTGAATATGGACCGCTCCTGCGATGGAAGGACCCCAATGGGGCCGCGCATACGTCAGAGAGGTGTTCCCCTGGCCGGTGCAATGGAGAAGATGATGGGCGAGCTGGTGCTCTTCTTTATGGACCTGACCGTCAACCGCGAGTCCGGCATGCTGCTGTACCGCATCCATGACGATCTGTGGCTCTGCGGCAACCCAGCCAAATGCGCCCTGGCATGGGAGGCGATGCAGAAATTCGCGAAAGTCACTGGGCTCGAGTTCAATCACTCCAAGACCGGATCTGTCTACCTGGCCAAACCCAAGGACGCCGGGATCGCCTCGCGACTGCCCAACGGTCCCGTCACCATCGGCTTCCTGACCCTTGACCCCGAGTCCGGCAACTGGGTAATCGACCAAGAGAAAGTCGAAGAGCACGTCCAGCAGCTGAAGAAACAACTGGACCGCTGCGACAGCGTGATCTCATGGATCCGCACCTGGAACAGCTGCATTGGCCGCTTCTTCACGAACAACTTCGGCCAGCCGGCCTACTGCTTCGGTCGCGACCACGTCGATCTCATCCTCTCCACCTACCAGAAGATGCAAAACACCCTGTTCAACGACAATGGACGTTCCTCGACGGTGACAGAGCATCTCAGGAAGATGATCGAGACCCGATTCAGGATCACCAATGTGCCAGATGCATTCTTTTTCTTCCCCCAGCAGCTCGGCGGCCTTGGGCTACGGAACCCGTTCATCTCGACGCTCCTGGTCCGCGACGACCTGGAGTCGACCCCCGTCCAGCTCATGGATGAGTACAAGGAAAGCGAGAGAAAGGCATACCTTGAGGCGAAGAAGACGTTTGATGACATGAACGAACGAGAGCGCCGGCGGCGGTATGCGGCGGTTCACCCAGATTCCGAGTCAAAGGTGGACCCAGTCATCAGCAAGACCGAAATGACCGCCTTCATGTCATTTGAGGAGTTTACTCGCTTCCGGGAAAGCTCGGACTCCGCCCTTGCGACGCTGTACAAGAAGTTGATGGAAGTCCCGGATGAGATGGACGTGGAGCTCACGAAGGAGGTTTCGGGTGCACTGAGGAAAGTCAGCTCGCAGATGGAGTTCCCATGGGAGGACAATGAACTCAAGTGGATCCTGCAGTTGTACGCTGAGGAGCCATTGAAGTTACTTGGGGGGTTGAGTTTGGTCGACAAGCGATTCTTGCCTGTGGGGGTTTTGGCAATGGTCAAGGGGAAGAGGGTTACCTGGCAGATGGTGTTGTAATTTTTCGAGATCTTTCGGCCTTTACTTCAATTATGAACTTTTCCTTTTTCAGATACGAGTAGGAAGCTGCTCCCTTTGCGTTCTGGCCGTTTTGTACATTCAGGCTGCCGTAAGAGCGGACGATATCTACAAAACGGCCAGAATGACTTCATGAGAGTACTCAACCATGAACATCAACCACCATTGATACGACACCTCTATCTGCAGTCTGCCGCCTTCTCACTATACCTTTGAAACTTCCCTACCATCCGTTGATGAGGTCTCTGAACCCTCCTCGTTCCCCAGCTCCCCATCTTCGGCCATCTCCTTAGCCCTGAGAGAGTTAGCTTAGCGCTCGAGTCCCAACTAGATCAGCACTCACCTCGTAGCTTTCTCATTGTTGTCTAGACGGACGGTCACGAGTGTCGAAACAATCAGTATCACCGACAAGATCGTCACCGTAATAAAACCTTTTTGGTACCGAGGCGCATCAATTTGCTGCCAGACGACCAGCGGCAGCCATGCCTGGAACACATATGCTATCTCATTCATGCTTCCCACGACCAGAGCTCGCTCCTCATTATCTGCGGAGCAGATCTCATGCGCCCAGCTGGTTGTAAAGTCAGTGGATATTTCCGAAAGGAGCGGACCGGGGCAGCAACATACGCCATGAGCAGACCGCTGAGGCCGAATCCGGCTCCCGCCATAATATAGCACGCCCAGTGCCAACCTACGGGGATATCCCAGATAGCAAGCGAGACGTATGCGATGATGTTGACACACTGCGACGTAAGAAGGCTGGCGGCACGGGGGGGTTGGGTGGTACTTACAGCGCCGAATATCACAGGTGGCCATCTTCTGCCGCCGAGGATGGAATCGGATGTCCCTGTTGCACTTAGATAGGTTCACGTGGAGACTTTATAATACTTACAGGCGTATATCAAGGTCGTTACAACCTGGACTGCACCGGTAGTGGTGGGATAAGAGTTGATCTGTCCGATGGAATATTTAGGGTTTGTTGACGCTTTGAGCCATCTGCAAGAAAGGCTTTTAGTATCTTCAAGTCCTAATGGCAGGGCAGCATAGCTCACTGTTGGAATATAGGCTGTGCTCCGGCAGCACCATTGTTGAACGCCCTGTAGTTCGTCAGAGACCACCATCATAGTCGCAGCCTGACGAACATACACGTATAGCAGGGTCAACATGTATATATGCCACGAGGAGAAGACCTTTTTCAGCTTCGCTTTTGTGAACGATCCTCTTTTCTTCCGTCCTTCCAGCTCCATCCGTTTCTGCGCGAGAGCAACTTCCTGCACGACTCTGTAAGTTAGGGCTATAGCTAACAGCCATGTTCACGCCACACACCTCTTTCGTCAGATACCACGGGTTCGAGATCTCCGGGACGTCAGGGAGAATCAAGAACCCGCTCAATGCGACAGGAAGCGAAATAACGCCGTCGATGATGAAAAGCCTGGTCTATCATCAGCATCATTTCTTCCATTTGAGAGTTTCATGGAAAGGACAAACCATTGCCATCCCTTGAAGCCACCTCGTCCACCAAGGCGATAAACTCCGGCCATGAGATATCCGGAGAACATGCTCGCAATTCCGCTACTTGTGTGGAATATGCACGATCGCTTCGCCAGCTCGTCTTTACGATACCAGGAGCCGATGATGTACTGCATACCGGGGTAGAAGGTGCTCTCCGCAAGGCCTGATGCTGTTAGAATTGGCTGGCTCAGTCTGGTCGGGTATGACCTACCAATGAAGAAGCGCAGGATATAGAACTGATATGCCTTGTCGCAACGGGACGAGGCGAAAGTCAGAACGGTCCATAGTAACTATGGACAATCAGCAGCAGTTTATTAAGGAGCCCAATAGATAGAAGTCATACATACCTCCATCGCTGGAATCCAGTACCGAGGCCGGATGCGCGTCAGGAGCAAATTGCTGGGAATCTCGCCGATTACGTAGCCCACGGTCCAGCAGGCTTGGATATAATTCAGTTCGTTCCCGTAGAGACCGAGATCCTCTTTCCTGTGATCTTGTTCAGTGATGCTCAAGTAGTGGCTAGGGCTTAGCTCACATTCCAGAGACAAAGGCATTGTTGATGTTAATCTGATCCAGGTACTTGATCAGATATCCTAGGGAAAACACGGTCAGTTCCATTTCCATAAGCTCTATCTAGCTACCCACCAAGAGAAGCAAACGTCAGAATTGCCGTATCCAGTTTGAAAAGTAACCTGCGCTCCTCAGGCGACTTGTCGAAGGTGTCCCAGATGTAGCTGACCCATTTCCGCTTTGGTTTCTGGGCAATCTCCCCGGCTGTACCGACAGCCCTTTCGTCGACGGTAGCAGGTGCTGGCGCCATTCTTGTAGCGAAAGTGATCGCGAGCCAACGTCTAAGGTTGAAGGGATCCAGTCCTGGTTCAGGTTCTTATCTTGGGATTCCGCTTCTTTAAGACTACTCTGTCTCCTACTTGTAGGGGCTTTCTACCTCTATCTGACTGAGATCATAGTATGGACAACGAAGCGGGGAGTCGTGATTCCTCATCGTCGGCAGGGCTTGCGCGATCTCCAGCGGGCGACTCGCTAGCGTTCAGCATATCGGAACTCGACCGAATAGGCAGTGGTTCGACGGCCGCTGGATCCCGGAGTTGGCATTCTACAGTCGAATCACAGTATGACAGTCGAAGTTCGCCATCAGATCGTTATATGATGTGCCATAGGGCCGCCCGCAGACACTGCTTAAGGTTAGGTTGCACCGAGCGTGGGGAATCCGACAGTATAAGATGTACGATCAGTGGTGGGTGCTAGCTTGGTATAGGTCCTTGGCTATACTCCAGCAGGTAGGCTGGAAGACCTGGCCCAGTGCTATGAATGCGAATCGACTCCAAACCCTAGATACAACCGGCAGATACTCTATAGTTTATGCTTCATTCAGCTACACACATCCAGCACAGGGATCTCGCCCACGCCACTGTCTCTCCTGTTCCCGGTGGCAAAGAGTTGTTTTAGCCGCTCCCTTTGAGCTTCCTTGGCCGCGTGCCATGTCTTGGTATGCCCTTCAATCGCAGGAAGTCCATGCGCCGCTCTACCCCTGTTGACCCAGTTCAGAATATCATCCACATAGTGCTCCTCAACATCTTTTAGCGAGTGAAATGCTCGCCCGCTACCCTTGGCTTTGATTCGGCCGGTATACTCTGCTCTCATCTTTTCCTTGGACGGCAGCTGCGCAGCTCCGGAGAACACGGCGGCGACCACAATGGCTTGAAACTCGAATAGCGTAAACGTTGCCGTGTAGTATGAAACTCCTACAAACACGAGCGTTGGGTCTGGGATGTAGAAGATATCCTTGTGCAGATTGTGCACTTGGGTGCCGTCTGTCACGAGAACTGTGTTGTTTGCGTCGGCGGCGGAGGTCTCGTCATCGTGATACTCCCTGAGAAAGGGTAGAGTGATGTGATATCCCGTGCAGATTATGATGCCATCAATCCCGCAGAGCCTCTGTCCTGATTTCAGGTGGACGACCAAAGGCAGAGGCGCATTGTCCAGTATCTGAATCCCACTTTGTACTTCAATTCGATCGATCTCGCTGATTCTCAAACTGTTCTCGGGGAGCATAGACGAAGGGAGATCGAATTCGCCGTTTCGGGTACTTTGATATACGGTTTTGGCAGTTGATCCTATCTCGCGTGCAATGTCCGTAGCGGAGACCCCTCCGCCGATGAGCAGAATGTTCTATCATTGTTAGCATGCATCCCTAAACAGTCGGCAGACACAGCTAACTCACTCTGTTTTCGAAGCCATCAGGCTTCCTATACCCCTTCGAGTGGAAGATACGAGCCGGCCATCTTGCTTTCGCGTCTGATAAGCCAGGAATATCAGGAATTCGAGGGGCATGGTAGTGACCGGAAGCAACAACAACGGCGTCAAACGTCTGCAGAGATCAGCCTAGCCAGGAATTCTTTCTGAGTTAGTGACGCTCACAGAGATATGATCCTTCTCTTCCACGAGTCCACTGTGTAATCCTTCAATCAAAGTCGACCAGGTAAGGTCCCACCGATCGTCCTTTTTCCGCAGACTTGTCACCCTCGCACCATAGACCGTTGCTTTTTCCACCCCGGCATTTGCAGACGTATCTTGAATGTATTGCTTCATGACCACATGACTTACAAAGTCAGGGGTGCCGTCGGGCCACGCACAGAGCTTCGTGCGCATCAAGGGGGTCGAGACATTATTCCTGAGTCCATCGTAGCACGGACTACGCGATTAGCCATGTCTGCCGCGATCCAAGGACCAACTTACCCTGGCGGCGCATGCTCCAGCCTTCGCTTATCGTTTCCCTCTGGCAATGGGTCATCGTGTCGCTCGGCTTGAGAGGGCTTTGTGGATGGGTAAACGGGGTCAAGAGGTTTGCGCTCGTCGTGTAGCCTTTCAATCAATGTCAGTGCTGCTTTATTGAACCTTGCCAAGTCATACAGACCAGACTCCTCCTGCGGCGTCGTTCCTTTCGAAAACCGTAACTTCGATCCCGGCAGCGAGCAGATGCGCAGCAGACACAACACCACTGATTCCCGCGCCGATGACGGCGACTTTCTGTACTGGGCGACGAGTCATGATATTTGCCGTGGAAGGATGATCTCCTTGTAAATTCTGGCTGGCAAGGGCTGCTTATCAACCTTGACGCAAATCAATGTACCGTCATCAATCGCACCATTACCGATGTTTATAACGATCGTGCATGAACCGCAAGATACGGCAAGTTCCGACCTCGGAAGCTCGGATATTGTGCAATCTGGGTCTTATTCAGCCCAGGCAGCAAATGAGGCATTGCTTATAAACGTATTTCGGCCTCGCAATCATATGCCTAGATGATGAATCCGGATGTAGCCTGTCAGGTGGACGCGTCTGCTGCGACCGCGGGGCGGGGAGCGATAAGACATGGCGAAATGAGGGGAAGGAGTCTCAGAAGCCTGTGGCATCTTGAGATGACATCGAGTTATAGATGGTGTGGTTGGCGTAATGTGCGGTGGTGATGATGTGATTGCATGGGCAGAACTACCCCAGTATGCTTGTTGCGGACAAGTGGGATGATGGCAAAATGTGTTATAAATAAGCCAGAATATACGCAGTCTTGGCCTCGGTATCACAACTTGTTCGATTGTTCTAGTTTGTTGAAATAATTCCATCATGGCTCCAGTTGCTATAGATCCCCGTATTGTTGACGTCGCGGAGCCGAGAAAAGAGACTCTTCCTCTCCCCCCGGCCGCTCGTGATAGACTCGAGAAGGCGGGGATCGATCTGTCGAGCGGATATCCGTATCGTCCTGCCCGGCCTCTTTATCTAGACGACGTTTACAACATCCGGAACTACGATCGTGAACACATTGACCCAGGAACCCGCGCCGACCCAGAGAAAAAGGCGCTCCTGTCAGCAGCGAAGGAAGTGATTCACCTTACCAAGCATATTGGAACCGAGATCGTAGGCTTGCAACTCAAGGACCTGAATGACAAACAGAAAGACGAGCTAGGGCTCCTGATTGCAGAGAGAAGCGTAGTCTTCTTTCGGGACCAGGACCTCTCACCGCAGCAGCAGAAGGAACTGGGTGAGTGGTATGGCGAGATTGAAGTTCATGTACGTCTTCCTCCCCTACTGTTGAGGTAATAGAAAGTCTTACTGATCATCGTTCAGCCACAAGTACCGCAAGTACCGGGCGTCCCCGGTGTCACTGTCTTGTGGCCAGCGTTGGCGGCGGCAGAGAGATCGGCAGCATTTCGTCGACCTGGCGGAGCAGCGCACTGGCATTCGGATCTTGTCCATGAGCGCCAGCCCCCTGGAGTGACCCATCTTCACAATGATACTGTGCCCAGTATCGGGGGTGACACGCTCTGGGCGAGCGGATATGCCGCTTATGAGAAACTATCCCCTGCTTTCCGTCAGATCATCGACGGCAAGACAGCGATCTATCGCTCTGCTCATGCGTACTTGGACCGCGATCATCCAGAAGAAGGGCCGAGACATGTGGAAAGGGAGCATCCTCTAGTCCGGGTCCACCCTGCGACGGGATGGAAGGCGCTCTGGGTGAACCGGGGCTACACGACTCAGATTGTAGGCTTTGACAAGGCCGAGAGCGATGTCATTCTAGGGCATTTGTTTGATGTTTATGAGAAGAACATTGACATCCAGCTCCGCTTCAAGTGGACACCCAGAACAAGCGCCTTGTGGGACAATAGGTGAGTTTCGTGTATGACCCATACTATCTCCGCTTGCGGTATCTGACCATGCGAAGAATCACCATCCACAATGCTAGCTGGGATTACGAAGGACGCGAGCCTCGTCATGGGACAAGGGTAACGTCACTGGCCGAGAAGCCCTTCTTTGATTCGAAGGCACCAACAAGGAGAGAGAAGCTTGGTCTTCTGGGGCCGGATGAGATCGAAGAGTTGGCGAATCACTTGGCCAGGCAGTAGTACAGACGAGATCTTGCTCACCTCTTCTCCAATGGACAATATCTACGTGTTCCGCAAAAAATCGTATCTAGGTGATGAATGCACAGGGTCCATAGTTTGAACTTCCTGCAAAGGCGCTTCATTGCTGCAGCATGGAGATGGTCCAAGGGACCGTGGTGCAGTGCAGATCTATTGTATTACTGGATGCTGGCTCGTATATCGATCTGATTGAGCAATAGGCCAATAGATCGAGGCTCCTGCATTATCTTGTTGACTCTTTCGCTCGTGCAAGGTAGTCTGGAACGATGGTCATGTTCGTCGAAGGACGTAAGCCCAGTGAAACACCTCCGGAGTATACGCGGATGTGAACGTTTCACCTTTTGGCGCTGTCATTGGCGTCCGTGATACTAGATTCCAATACTTCCCGGCATAAGTGAGATTGTCGAAGCGAGTACTCGAGTATGAAAGCGCGATCCAAGTTGCGCCCTCTAGTGTCAGTGGGACGAGGTGTAAAGCCAGTAACTCCACTGGTGATAGTGTGAGTTCTCCATTCCTCTCCACTATTTCCCTTACTGACGGGCACAAGGAAGCTTTATCAGATAAGGCAGATAAAGTCATTGTTGGGGACGTTGCAATGGCATCGCTCGTGCTTTTGTCGAGGAGAACGTCAAACGGGCCATGGGGACACAAGCCGGCGACATCACCCCAGGACCGTAAATCAACCTGGATCCATTTCATTGCCTGGTCTTGTTCCTTCCTCGCCTCCTGTTCTCGACCAAGACGGACAGCTTCGGCAGAGAAATCCGCATTCTACTCGACAGGGTTTCAATCAGTTCAATTCCTAGAACACAGCTACCGCAGAGCACTCACCACGATGCAGCTCCCGGGCCACCCTCTCCCCTGAAACAACTCACACAGTCTCGTACCCAAGGTAGAAATACCTGGACCAAGGTGCAAGACGCGCGGGGTCGCGTCAGGATGAGGGCGACGGTTCAATTCGGACAACGCAGCATCGATAAGGATGTCCCCGGAATTCAACCATTCACCGGCATCTTTCCCTGTCGCAAATTTGGTGTCCCAGTATGCGGCTTCATCGTAATCGGCGGCGCCTTTGATTCTCACGCGCCCTCGTGGTGCTGAAGTGCTCATGATGTCAGTCACATTAACAAAGCACGCTCGTGTCGCGGATTGAGTTTGAGATAAGGAGATCACGTGATATTGGTCGTTTTCCAACGCTTCAATTGCAGCATCGCAGGAAAATTATCGGAGCCGACAATAAGTATGGAGTATGTCAAGATGTCCTATTGTTAGGCTGACTTAATAACAATAACCTACGTATACAGTATGTTAGTATGATGAAACTGAAATCTTGGTTGATTTCAGTCTATCAGCCGACGGTGGTGGATATATATTTGATGGTCTTCAAAGCACATGAACACGAAAGCATCTCCTTTTCGTGCGACTGGTGGAAGCTCCATTCGAGAAATTCTGTGAGGTAGTGCCTGCTATTGATATTGACTGAAGTGACTAGCCCAACGTTTCTTTTGAGAATCTCTGATAGTATCGAATATGTCTCCTGAGCCTATTCTCTAGTGGGCTATCTGAGATACTACACAGGAGAGGGTCTTCCAATGGATGGATCCATAGACAGTCAATATTTAATAATGCGGTTACGTATGTTCAGCACCTACTGCAAATACCTTGCTAAATCTTGTCACACGGCATCTAGAGCCCTCAACCTGCGCCTCCAAGGGTAGCTTGTACACAAAGTTTCATGAAGACCAGGGGCGAGCTGCAATGGCATGATGCATATAGAAACAGAGTAAAGCGCAGTTGAACAAGCTTTGAACGTGAATAGTATTAGTATCAATAATATTGATATTGCCAAGGTACTGAACAGAAGCGCTATTTCAACCAGTGTGATGATTGGCCCTTTGATAGACAGGATAATGACCCGCTGAGTTTCGTACAGAGCCATTCGACAACCACCATCTGGTAGATACTATCATACTTGTGCTAGGCAAGCATGGACTACTTCTACCTCTAACGGTTCTGTTGCATAACTTGATTAGGTAGCGTTGTCGCAATATCCATGCGATGCCGGTGGGTACATTCAAAGACCTTCAGAGCCAGCCTTTGTGAATATGCTTATGGATCTAACTATGTCAATGATGGTACCTCTATCCTTGGTAGCCTGAGTACTGTTATAGCCACAGCATGGGAGAAAAACCTATCATAAGCTCTGATCATCACTGTGCTGGCTCTTCAACCTAACCTGAAGCCCTGTTACAGGGCAGTACTTTATTCATGGCACTAGGAGCGCTAATACTCATGGATCATGCAGGATTGTCATATCCTATTGGCATACTAGTCTCGCATTTATATGAGGTGTCCTTGATGGGCGCATCAGCATCCTAGATCCTCTACCCGTCCCCAGATTGCCACTGATAGTCGAGGACGAGGCCCAATCGTTACCAGCTTGCAGGGTTTGGAGGGCATTTAGGCAGACAGGGATAGGCGACTGTCCATGGGCAGTGACTGCACAGAGTCCATCCATAGCCACCAGTCGTGTACATCCATATTCATTGTCGCAGTCCCTGTCGTGTGACTACCCCGCATCAGGATGACGAGGGAGAAGGAGAAGGTATAGATATATATAGAGGACAACGGACTCTTGGTACTCTCTTATGTATCTCGCAAAGACGTGTCATTCTTCTATCTACCACAAACCAAAGTGATCACATCTTCCCCAGCACCATTTCCGGAATCAAAATGTCGGCAACGCCTATCTTCCAAAGCCTCTCGTCCATCTCCTCTTCTGTCTCGGGCTATTCCAGACAGCAGCTGGGTACTCTACGGAACAGACTCTTCAAGACAGGTACGTACCTCGCTGCTTGAGTAGACGTAAAAGCGTCGTCTCTACCCAGACGACTAAGACCTTTGCACCCGACAGAGAAATCCAGAACCAGAGCGAACCTGGTGCAGACCTCCTTTGCTCTGCACAGACCCGTCTGGGTTACAGCAGGAGGTGCCATGTACACGACCATGGGCGCGGTATACCTCACCCTGCGCTACATGAGTCGGCTTCGATAGTTGGGCGGTTACTTCATGATGATTCGTACTCCTGGCGAGAGGGGATTGTCTATTACATTGGCTGACGGAGTACACGGATGACCTGTAGCTAGACAGAGTCTTGCTTTCTTTTCTGATGACTATTATGATGGTTGCTTTTCCTTTGTTTGGGCGATGGACTTGGCCTGGATGGTCCGATCATTGCAGCTGTACGCTGGCAGGGATGGGAGTTTTGTATATGTGACTTGTCACCTTTTCTTTAATAAACGATGAAGGAATATTATTTGCCTATATCTGAGGGGTTTGGATGGTCCTGGGATGTAGATAGTCCGAGCGTGGGCTGTGCCTCTCTGACCTCATACGTTACACCTATCATGGAGTTCACTGCAGCTGAAAAAGGGAGGGGAAGGGCAAGTACTAGGTTTGGGCAAGGAGACGCAGCCTACATCAAGCCACATAATTACTAAACCCGTCTACCAGCACGAGATACCTGTTCATTATCCTTGTAGACCCAGTATGAATGTCAAATAATAGTAAGGTAGTCGAGGAAACGCCCGTTATTGTTGATATCGAAGAGCTTCTCTTCAGGAACATCGCGGCCGGGGCGGGTCTCTACCCCAGATCCACCAGGGCTTCGGCCGGATCTCCCAGTAGTGACTTTGGATGTACCTTAATTAACTCCCTAGTAGTTAGGTACCTAAGGGAAGGACTACCTTCCATGTACCTTTCGTCCTTTTCGTCTTCTTGTGGGATGTGCCTAAGTAGTGTGGAGTAACACCATTGGTCCATTCAATGCAAGTTCTGAGAGTCTGTGTGCCACCCCCCACTGGACCACCAGCCAATCACCAGCCATAGCTCCCCACCCTCCTGAAGCTGTGTAACGCTAACCCCGCACAACTCAAGCCAGTCAGATCCACTTGCCGCCCCCCTTGATGCCCGATCCTGATTGGTGGTGTGGAAAGAATCCATCCAGATGAATATGACTACCTTACTAGGTAGTAGTAGGTACTACCTAGGTACCTACGAAGGACGAATAAGCAAGGCTTTATCCACTTCACAATCCTGGATTCTCTGGGCTTGCCCATCGGGACAATGACGGGTTCTTGATGACTATTTGGTCTTGCTACAGGATCACATTATCACTCCAACAGACTGATTCCAGCTTGGTCATGGTATATCTTCTGGCACCAATACTGTGACAGTGCTGTTTCTCGATAAGACAGACTCGCTGCAGCGAAATGGCGCCCATGTCTGCAAGGTGTTAAAACTCTGTTGAGTCCAGCTAACTCTATACACACCGCTCCGATCAATAGCACTCAGTAAGAGAGACAAGCCGAGACCAGACGAGATGAGGGGGGAAGTGAGTCCAGATAGAGTTACGTACTGGGAAGGTTTGATCACTCGACGATGGTACATGACCACCAGCACGAGGGAATACCACCACACCACATCGAAGAGAACACCGTTGCTTGGAGAAATCAGATACTTGAAGAACCCATCTATAGCAAGCATCAATGCAGCCGGAGAATGCTCATACGGATCTTCTATCTCTTTGCACGGTCTATTAAACAATACACTAACGCCGAAACAGAGACACAAACCCATCTATCAGAGCCTGCAATTTCCATGAGAACCCTCAATGTTGATCACTCTCGTTGACCATGCCCAGCACATGCGTTTCTGATACAGGCGTGCGAATCGTCCCCGGAAACCACACGGCCATGTTTAACAATCGCCGTCCACATCAACAGCGAGTCGAAGATGTACAACGTCCACTCGTGACTGAGGAGATACACTTTCTGTCTCATAGCATATTCAATCACCCGAAAGATCGACCGGGCCATAATCAGCGCACTGGCTGCATCAAGGACATGCAAGTGCGTCTTCCACGGTACGCCCGCATCAAAGATCTGACCACGCGAACCGCGATTCATCCGCAACTGAAACACGACTGAGGTAACCATGAACAGCCCAAACATCACTACCTGGATCATCAGGCCTCCGATGATGACGTTTCCCCCTGTGGTGGGACTCGATCCGCTTGCCATCAGGCCGGCCCCGGACCCCTGAACCAGGAAGGAGAGAACATCGCTCGCGACGAATGTCCTGGTGGGCCAGTTGATACGGACGATCGAGTATTTCTCCGCCTCGATGCTGCGGATAAGACGGCCGAAAACCATGTATACCGACGCGGCGAAGAGGACTGCTGCGGATATAGACGGCAGATACACCCATAGGTAGTAAACTCCCGCGTATGGTTCGAGTTTTGCCATTGCTGATATGCTCAGGTGAAGCAACCATCGCCAGGGAAGCGATCAGGTTGTGCTGATGAACCGAGCCATGGTGGGAGTGGGCGTGCTAGATTATATTCTTCCAAGCTCTACTCTCCAGGTGCGAGAAGAAAAAGGGCAGCCTGATTCAAATAGCAATCCAGAACTTGTCAGAGCGATGGAAACATAGCCATGGTGCTCTCTTGGACCCTTAGTAGGATCTGAATACGCGTATAGAGTCAGCGGTGGATCATCTTTTGGCTGTCTGTGCATACGCGCACTGTCTGTTTTCCGGTTTGCCGCTCAAGGCTCAGCACCAGGCAGTGCCAATTTTCATCTCTCTTAAGGGCAAGGACCACGCTGGTTTCTTGTACAGAGACGGCCGTCCCATTCGTCGTCAGGAGCCTAGAACATGCATCATGTCGAATTACCATGCCGCGAAGAACCCATAAGAAGTCTCGTAACGGCTGTTTAGAATACAAACGGCGACATATCAAGGTACGGCTCGAGTCTACCACGTGCACCGGAACGCACTACTTCACCGAGACTGATCCTCTCGTAGTGTAACGAAGCACGCCCGATATGTTCAAACTGCTCGGTCTTGGAGCGCGTGTGCGAGTATGGACTCAGCGTGACTCGCGTCGCTCGGACGGCAGATACGCGCAGTCCTTCAGCAGCGTGTCCTGCAGTATCCGTCCCAGTTCAGAATGATTCCGGCTTTGCCAGCCCGGGCCTGCATCTGGGCACGTCCCAGGATCCACCCGGCAATGTGTTGCACATTGAGCTCTCTCATCACTTCTGCACGGAAATTCTACCCTCGCCTGATAAGACCGAAAACCAGGAATCGTCTTTCGGTATCATGCCGTACCTCATTTCGTGTCCTTATGTGGTCAATGCGATGCTTGCCTTTGCCGCGCTGCATCTGAGCATCAAGCGGGCGGAGCGACGGGAGTACTACCGATACTATGCCGCTTCACTGCAGACCCATGCATGAGCGATGTTCGAGGGAGAGGATCTAGAGGTAAACGAAGAAACATATGTCCCACTGTTTTTATTTTCGGCTGGTCTTGGGCTTCATACACTCTGTGACGTACTCATCTACAGAGAGAACGAGTTTATTCATTTTCCCGACAAATTTGTGCACTTCCTTCGGGTGTATCGCGGGCTTCGTGCAATATGTGCCAAGGCCTGGCCTCTTTTGAACAGATCGGTCTTGCGGTCGATGTTATCGCATGGCCAAATGCTGTACAAATTCGATGGACACCTTGGGCCGTCGTATAGCCATCTGCTGAGACTTGTCAAGGCCGTGAAACTGGGCCTCGAGCTTACCAGTGTCTACGAACAAGCAATCGAGTCGCTGCAGACCGCCACGAATGCAATACGCGCCACTCAAAACTATCCTGATAATATCCATGGAACAACTGCATGGCTCGTCCTTGTCCTTCCGGAATATATTGACTTGTTGATGCAGCGCCGCCCCGAGGCTCTCATCATCCTAGCTTATTATGCCATCCTTCCCCACATGGATGTTTGGCGACGGCGGCTGGTTCGTGTTTGAATCTGTCTAGGAGTACCTGGGCCCGGTTTGGGCCGAGGGGCTAGAATGGCCCAGCAAGGTCTTGACCGGAGATGTGAAGTCCCTACATGAGCTATTGTAGCCTATCGCTGAATGAATAAAGAGGTTTGGTATTCTTCAAAAGACCACATGAGACACGCCTCTGGGTAATCACCAATCTTCAGAACTCCAAAGGGTCAACAAATCGTCGACTCCAAAGGACTTTTCCCTCAGTTGGGTCCAAGACGGCGGCGAAATGAGTCATCTCGTTTGTGGTAGGGTATACGGCGGTCCAAGCGATAATCTCATCCGGCGAGGCGGTCACCTCTAGCGATTCGCTTGCATCAACCACAGTCTCTTCAGATGTGGTTAATGGCGAGGTGACCGATGAGCTTGTTTCATGCAGTCGAGATGATCGTGTTCGTCGCAGAGGATCATGACGTGCAGCTGCAGTTGTCCTTTTCCGACTGCGAGCTACTAGCTGCGCCTGCGCTACCTTTTCATCCCAGCGCGCTTGCACACATGCTCTCCTTTCCTTACTATCTTTAATGAAATCTGCCATCGTTATGGCCTCCCCTGTGCCCAATGCCGCACCGAACAGCATCTCGGTATCTTCGTCCTTTGATTCCACCAGTGGCGTCAGATTATCACTGTTCGTCGCCACGATGAATGACGAACTTGAGTCCGAAAATGCAGTCCGGTGATCCTTCTCAATCACAGTGGCTTCGCGCCCATCACACAAAATAAGATACGCTGCCGTGGAGGGGGTCTGCAGTATCTCGTCACAGATACTGCGCAGCGTAGGCCACATGCCCCCCTGTGACGCCTCCCTCACTCTCCAACCCAAAACCCTTCGCCAATAACCCTTCCTCATAGCATCCGTCGGTACGATATACCCCCTCAACACCGACGAAATCGACCTCCTCCAACCGAGCAACACAAGAGCCTGACTCCCATAATACCTCAGACCCCTCAGCCACCCACTATCATCATGGTTCGGGCGGAAATTCAACGACACGCTCAACCCCCTCCTGACCCCCGTCAACACACCCACAAAGCCAATGTACGTGATACTCGTCGCCAGCACGCTCTCAACGTCTGGGGCCCGCACATACTCGAACTGAACCAGCACCCGGCGCAGCGCATCCATACCCCAGTCCAGGGTCCGGAAATGGAGCATGCGGCGCGCCCCGTCGCTGCGCTTCGACAGCGCCGCGCCGCTCGTGCAGCCCATCATGACGTCGAGGAGGACATTCAGCGCAATGATGAGGTACATTTCTATGCCCGTTACGAGGCTGATGCCGCGGAGTTCCTCTGTTTCCTCGGATGAGTAGACGCGACGCAGGAGGAGGCGCGCGACGCCTTTCACCCAGGCCAGAGAGACATTGGGCGCGATGCTGGTCACGAGGCCATCGAAGATGCTCGTGAGAGCGACGAGGTCGTCGCGGTGGAGCGTGGCGACAGCCTTGTACCGTTCCGCTGGTGGCAGAGCGAGATCAATCCTGTATGTTGGTAGGATGTCTCCCAGCTCGAGGGCAGAGGCCATGTTGAGGCTGCAGGTCTCGCCTTGGCGGGGTTATTGTATTGATCTTCTACGGGTGCATTTCGACCCGTCTCGGTGCAGATTCGATGAGGACAAAAACAAGAGTTGATATAAATCGGACACTGTAGATCAAGAGGGACGGATTTGTCGATTGTTGTTGTTGTTGTTGTTATTTATGTTCTAGGATGACACTCCAAATTACAGAGTGATGCCTTAAGGGGCCAAGAACCCCACAAGACCCAAACATACACGTGATCCGGGTTGCTATTTTCCCTCAAGGATTCATGTATTATCCTATTGAATATAGATTACATAAACAGCTCATAAATGTGCAAGAAAATCGTCTCGGTCGTATGCTGAGAGATAGTACATATGGTACACAGAACCATGAACCTCCACCAGCCCATAGGAAAATCCGTTGGTTCATTACTGCATATCATCCAATGACAGATTCTCCACTGACAGAAGCAAATCCTCCACCGTGCGTGCACTTGATTGAGTATCGTAGATGATGCAATACTGACTTTGCAAAGATCCAAGGAGTGATTTCTTCCAAACTTTTCTGGTGAAGTAGCGAAGAATCCGATTGATTTCGGGAGAGAGCTCTGTATCGACGAATCCTGCGGCGCAGAGCGCGTGCTGGATCGCGCGGAGCAGGTATCTGCACACGGGAAAGGAAAAAGAGATATACCAGAGACCGTTGATGCAGGTCTCCAGCGAGCGACGCCAGCGGTCGTCGGTCTTGGCGAAGGGGATGGCGTTGAAAGCGCCGTAGCAGAGAGCGTGGTTAAGGAAGCTGGAGGCGGACTTCCAGCCGAAAGTCTGCTTGAAGAGAAAAATGATCTCACGAGTGGCAAGCTTGGCACTGTCGGAGATGCTGATGACGGAGGGGTGTGGTTCGGGTTCTATTTCTGGTGTGAGGAGGGGTTTGCAGAGCCCAGCCACGCTGAGATGATAATGGAGGCTAAGAAAATGAGCAATGCGATACAATATCCTTAACGACGCACACTTACTGCATCATGAATACACGAGGCGGTGCATCTTTCGAAGGTTGAAGACCGGATCTTAAGTCAGTCAACCATTCTGTCAGTCTAGCATGCAAGGACATGAAGACATCCGTCGAAGGTGCGGCGACAGGGGCATCGAGAATGAACTTCGTCACTTCGTTGATGATAACACTGAGCTCTAGTCGGGCTCTACTAGTTGAGAAGACACCTGAGGGATAGACGGGTACACGGAAAGGATATGGATGCCAATAGCGGCGCTGGTCGAGAACCTCGGAATCTGAAAGGGGAATATCATAGAAAGGTGCGTTTTGCACCCGAGGAGCTTCATGAACCACGGCAGCGGCTACTCTGGAACAGTATCAGATCCGAGCGAAGAAATTTGGAGAAAAAATGATAGTTACGCTTGCCACTCAAACAGACCCCAAGCTGTCGCCGCTCGTGCTCTATTCCACGGATCAGACCGATCGTACCCGGCGCCAGCGGCAGGAGACAGTGGGTCGTATAGCTTCAACTCATTTGCCATGCGAATGGCGGCTCCCAGGCAAGACCAGCCAATTTTGTCTTTGCCCAAGCAGTTATAGGTGAGATTCATCACCATCAATGCTTGGACGGTGGTGAGGCTGGGCTGCGGATCAGCAATCCGCAGCCTTTGTGCTTCTGACAGAAAACGAATACACATGTCCATCTCCTTGAACCGATCCCAGGGTCTTCGAAGACTATAGGAGTAAAGCTGAGGGGCCCGTCAGGATAGGTGGGATCAACGGAAACAAAAGAATATCCTCTTACACAAGCATGAGCTAATACAGCATTTACAAGGAGTTGGGAGCAAAACCTCGAATGACAACCTATCATATCAGCTAGAAATAGACGTTGATCAAACCAGTTATAACAGGGATAATCCCAAGTAAAGTATAGAGACAGCAGATGCGACACTAACCGATCACTACTCGTAATAGTGGTCCATGGCCTTGCAGGCACGGAGAAGATGGGTTCTTCGCAGAGAGTCGGAAGTCTCATCGAGTTCATCAATTGATATTCTGTGGCTAGCTTTGTCAACCCAACGTGGGCATCGGAAAGTTGACCCAGAGCCGATTCTTGCAGATATTCGGCTGCTGATCTTGGACTCGTGCTACTGCGGATCGCATTAACCACCCGTAACAGGTCCTGCGGCGCGCAGTCGCGGACTTTCTGATACAAAGCCAAGAGGATGCTCCAATCCTCTTTTGACTGATCAAGGGAACCATCCTTAGGTACTGAGACCAAATCGGTCACGACTTCGAGTGAGGAAGCTGATACTGCCTCTTCGCTCGGGTTGCGGACACAAATCTCACTGTCCTGATCCTCGACCAAGACGTGGTTGGTCTGAATAGCACCGATCGGTGAATCCGGGCGTATTCCAACCTGCGCTGTCACCGAGGTAGGTAGATGTTGTCGAATCGAATGGATCTCATTCTCAAGTGACTCCACCCTCCGTTTCAAACAGAAGTTCTTACCCTCCATCTCTGCTAGACGGCGCTTAGTCCCTAGTAACCGGCGGCTGGTCCCTTCCGCGTCAAGTAAACACTCGATGCCCAATTGTACACAGGCCACGCAAGGGCTCGTCCCACTGCACTGGGGGGGAGGGGAGCAAGAAAGAGTCAACACCGCCCGGCGGGTGTGGGTACATTATTGCGGAACCTACTTTGCGCTTCTTGGCGCGACATTCCAGACAAGCAGTCACCGCGATATGCCGGCGGCGTTGGGATGTAAACATTGTCCCGACTCGGCGATTGCCACGAGAGGCAGGAGCAATCACCGGCAACCTGAGTGCATCGCCCATGGCGCCGGTGGTGCGCAGAACGTGACTTTTTAAACTGCGCGGTGCGCGACCAGATACAGAAACTCTAAGAATAGATGATGGTATGCCGTCTCCGCATACCCTGTCTCCATCGGGCCCAGTCGGGGTGGTTCAAGCAGTCTAACCGGCGACCTGGGTGGCGTAGCTGATCAGGAGTGAAGGTCGATCTGAGGCGATCTGAGGGTCGATCGAAAGATCGAAGTTATTGGGAAACAGGCAGATGGCACGGCACGTGCAAGACTTGGAGCCTCCAGGGATTGGCTCGCTTAGTATTTGTCAGCTAACGGTGATCCCCACTGATCAAAGATTTCGCGTTCCGATGAGACAAGTTGACTTGATTCCAGGGGCGATGGATGGCAGAACGCAGCACGCGTGCTAGTTAGTAGCTGCTGCGGGCCTACAACTAGAGAATGCTGGAATGTCCATCATCCTCGGGACCTGGTCACCACTTTGACTTGGAGCAGCGCCAGCAACACCAAACTCGGTCACGTGATTTTTTCTTCCCCCTTGAGGCCTGAGGCCGCAACGCTACCGCTTGCCTGTTGCCAGTGGTCTGGAGTCTGGAGAGGTATAGCCTACACCTTGGGCATTCCAGCAGAGAGCCTGGTCGGTCGGAGTATATTAGAGCGGGTAGGAATATTGAAAGATCGCGAAGAGTTTGCCCTGTTGGGCACAGGAACGAGAGTATCTACGTAGTCACGTGCAACGCTCCTGCTGTAGCTAATCCATCAAGCATGCATCGAGAACAGCCCCTATTGCTCCTTCAGCCATGCTTCATAGGTAGCTTTGCACGAGTCTTTCGCCGAACGCTTGTCCTGCAAAGGATTCTCATCGTACAAGATCCATCTGTAACTCAACAGATGAGACTAGACGGCCGCTGGAACCATGTCACACAAAATCGTCATCCCTGATCACAGCGATAATCAGAACGATGAATGTAACGGAGGTATTTAAACTTATTTTCTACCTTACACATCATATTCGGTCTTCCACCGTCCGCACCGGTCCTATACTCTGATCTCCCATATCACTACCCCCCTCAGTGTGCACAATAACCTCGGTCGTGCGCAGGATTCTCTGCGATGAGAAGCGGTGAACATGTCTCTGCGCCTCCAGATTCTCCTCACTCCCCCTTTCCGATGCTGACAGCGACGACTGAATTCCATCGATGCGGACATTGTATTTCTGCGCCTCGTGATCGATCCGACTGCGTGCCATCGAGCCCATCGCGTGGCTGGAGGAGTGTGCGTAATATGCATTCGTGGTGCGTTTTCGGGGGCGAGACCCGGTAGCTAAGCTCCAAGTGCTGCCGATGACGGATTTGACGAGGGGTTTGATGGTAGGGAAACAGGCTGCGAGGATCCCGACGTTGAATTCGATACTAGAATCCGTTAGTCTTGTGGTTGGCAAAGAGAACAATCGTTCGAAGGCGGACCAGTTCCAAATCAGGAATTTGGCAGTGCTATCATATGCGACTAAGGTTAGAATTGCAGTACCGCGGAGTGATGGTGCACGTACCGGAAAGCATTGGGATCGTCAAAGACCCGCGACTGGAAAACAGTCTTCGCAATCGCAGCACCACAGGCACTGGTTACCGGTCAGCTCCTCTGATGGCGGCATGAGCAATGGATTATGGGTGGGTGTACAAGTATCCGAGGCCGAGAATACCCATCAGGGAAGCTTTAGTCCGCTTGTTCACCTGGATGTTCCAGAACATGAAGACGGGGAGCGTGGCAAAGGCGAAATCCGTGATGATATTGATGGCTGTATGAGACACTGTGTTAGTCTGATCGTTTGCTCGCTCGTCGAGTTTCACGTACCGCTGTTGAATTGGCCGACGGCGAGATAAGTCTGCATGGAATAACAGGTGGCTGTTTGTTTTTGCGCAAAGTCCCATGCCGCGCTGACTGGATAGCACTGGAATACTATGCTCAAGCAGCAGCTAATCGTGAAGATAACCAGGAAGACTGCTAAAAGTGAGCAACCAATGTCTTCCTTCTCTGTATCGGAAACTCACTCAGAGTCCCAATCAGGATCTTCCTCAGGACCTTATTCTGCGATGTAAACCGCAGTAGAAAGAACCCGAGCGATATCTTGACTGAACTGATGCCGGTCACAATGATGATGGCGTGGAAGAACATATACTTGTTCAATGGCATCCGGTCATTGAGACCTATGTCTGCACTGTAATGGCCCAGTCCGTGTTCCGTCTCACCGATGAAGCATCCTAAAACACCAAACGCACAAGCCTCCAGGAGTCGCATGAGTATGAAGAAGGCGGCCGCCTGACTGAGAGCACACAAAACTCACCAGCGCGAGGATCATGATCCAATCATCGATGTCGAATCTGCGAAGGATGGCTAGTCGTACATAGCAGCGCAGGACGACCAACAAGCCCGATAAGCCAGTCAGAATGCCCACGGTGGTGAGGATCTGAGGTGCCGTGGTATCGCCCCTCGTCTCAAGAACCATTTCCGGCATCTGCCGTGGCATCAAGCGTTCGAACGCCTCCATGACGGGACTTATCTATCCCTCCACGCACGGTACACGTTCGGGCTAGATGATCTGCTGTTCAAGATCTATCTAGGCAGTTCCCATCTCGTGGGTATCATTCATGTTAGCTTGAGAAGGGATCAACAGGAGAAATAGACGATCAACCAACAAGAATTCCAAGTCGACGGATACAAGCTTACGGGCGACCAGGGGCAATAAGTATCTAGCTAGAGCCTTCAATGCATAACAAGCCCAGTATGGGTGGATCCGGGGCCCTGGCGCTCTTATGAACAGTACTACAGGGCAAGCTAGAAACAAATAGGTCCGGACATTGACAAGTCCTGAGGATGCGACAAGAGATCGCATGGAAGACTTGCGGCCCGTATAAACCACCCTTTTCCTGATTAATCTATATGCGCCAAGGCTGCAGTAACCGAGAAAACTACATGCATTGTGCAAGGTTGTGCAAGTATGCCGAAAGGAGAAACAGCCAGAATGCGTGAGGAAGCTCTCTCTATCTAGATAGTTTCGACGCCTATCCGGTTTGCGAGTCGTTCCTGGATTCTGGAAGGTAGCATCGGTCATTAAGCCGTGGCCTTCGCATGGTTGAGATGCTGTCTGCATAGGCACCACGGATAATGATAGGAACATGGGCGAGTCCTCTGACGGCGGATGTGATATGAGAGTGGGATCCTCCCTCTCCCACCAGCACGGAGAAATGACTTCGTTTTGGGTAAATGTGGGAAAAAACATGTCGCATGGAGCGGACTAGATCGACAGGGATTCCAACTGCAAGACTGCATAGGCCATAGAGGAAGTTAGGTTAATATACAGCATCTTGGCGTGATTCATGCGTCGGGCTTGCGAGTGACGGTTGCCGGCTTTCGGCCGCATAGGAAACCTTTTGCAATTTGCGCTTGTAGGATCATCGATAGTGCGGGAGGTAAGGATAGACTCGGTGGAGTAGTAGTGACTAACTCACTGTCGTATGATAATTTGATCATATCTTGTGCTTTGCTTTCTCCATGAACTGGAAAAGGATGATCGTGGTGATCCGGATGCACAGTCCAAGTGACTCCATGCGGGTCCTCAGCATCGACTCTCCAAGGACGACTTCTGATATGCAGCAAAATCGAGATGGATCGACTGCCATCTAGCATTCTCGCTGTCTAGAGAGTGGTCCAGTCGAATCCGAGGGGTCTCATCCGGAAGAAATCTCTTTTCTGTCCGGTAAAATAGACCTTCCAGAGCCAACGGGCTTGGTGGTTGTGTTGTCCGTACAACAAAAAGTACGGGATATGGCACGATTAATCAAAACGCTGTTGCTTAGGTGCAGTAGTTAAGTTTGAGATAGATGCCGCGCCAGGCCCAATTGACCAGTGGCGAGCATTAATTTGTTTCCATTGTGACCCCTAATGTCGGACCGCCATACTGCGTTCAGTATAAGTGAAGTTTTAGACTCACTTGGCGAAAACTCACTTAATCGCCCACGGGCCACGACATTATTACACTTTACAGAGATCAAATTCTGTCCACTACTATTAGCTAGATCAGGCTAAATAGATCCCAAGCGAGTCAAGCGGAGTCAAGCGGGCCCATTCCAGGTCCAGCTAAATCTCTAGCGATCTACTACTCCGTAGATATCTAGTCCCGACTCCAGCCAGCGGCCCAGCTCGTCCGGATTGACTAGTGTCAAGATTGAGTGAGGCTTCTTGGAGCCCCTTGGACTTGGAGACGGACCAGAGAGCCACGTAGTTAGCCATTGAGGTCATCACAGTCACACAGGGAGCGATGGGACGCGGGAACCGCCGCCGAACCCGGTCAATCCTACCAATTCTTTGCGGGCGTTCAGCCATTTCCATCAATACTCCGAATTCTGTGAACTTTGACGTTAGCTGTTTGCCAAGAATGCCATTGTCAATGTCTGCTGCATTCTGGAAAACAATGACCATGTAAAGTCCGCCAATATGTCGTATTACAAGTGACAACCCAGAAGGCCAGAATCAGACCGATTCCTCGCGGATATTAAACGGGCCAGGAACTAAAATGTTATTAGCAGTAGTACGCATGCCGTGTCAGGGAGGGGATTCGTCCCTCCAGGAAGCAGGGGGACCAGGCTACTCCCCAACCCGTCCCGGCGTCCCCTGTCAGTGTATCTAGTGTTTCTCCATTCAGAGCCGTAGTCTCCTGCTCAAGATTCAGCTGTGTGCCGAAGCCCTAGAGCGACCAGGGAGTCAATCCTGACTCAATCCCAGCTCTGCCATTGCTGCAGCTCAACGGTTGCATAACAACATACAATAACAATCCTATAAAGACATTGTAGTATCTAGTACTCAGGGTATCCTTGGAAAGTCGTGCATTTGTGTTGCATGCGTCCTTGTTTAAACTAACCGGTCTGCTTGCCGATAGTTTCAAGGCTACATGCTTATCCATGGCCCCATTCAACAGAGCTAATTCGACCAGTTCATCCCCTAGGTTGAAGCGAAGCTGGCACCGTCATGCTTTCGGCTCAGACTAACCATGCAGGTCCGGCATTGTCTGCTGTCATAGTCTCATAGACCCCGTTTAAATAGGAATGTTGATGACAGAACTCTCCCTCGCTTTCTTCCATTCTCATCCAGTTTCACTATTGCTTCTCTGTTTTCAATCACAGCACGAGGATGCGGCTCTCAATTTTCTCTGCAGTTACAGCATTGGCTGCTGTGACGCCTACTTTGGGCTTCAACATCGATCAATGGGATCTGTTGGCTGGAAAGGCTCTGGTCAACCAGGTTGTCTACCACTACACGAACCCCGAAGCCAGCAAGACATGCACCCCTCTTACTGCTGCAATTCGAAGAGAATGGTATGGCCTCTACACGGCCCTAATAAAAAACCTGTCATCACTTTGAGACCTGATCATCTGTAGGGGCTCGCTTACCAGAGCCGAGCGGAAGGAGTACATCAACGCTGTGAAGTGTTTGGCTTCCAAGCCCTCCAAGTCGGATCCCGCATTCGCTCCTGGTGCGCGCAACCGCTACGATGACTTTGTCGCCGTCCACATTAATCAGACCTGGGTCATCCACGCCACTGTACGTGTGATTCCTCCCGGATGCAAGTATTTTTTATTGATGAACCACTCCAGGGAAACTTCCTGACATGGCATCGCTACTTCACCTGGGCCTATGAGCAAGCTCTACGCAACGAGTGCGGCTACACCGGCTACCAACCTTACTGGGCCTGGAACAAGTACGCCGATGACCCGCTCAACTCGCCCATTTTCGACGGCTCCGAGTACAGCATGTCCGGCGACGGAGCCTATATCCCCCACGAAGGCACCGAGGCTGCGCCGGGTATTGTCCTCAAGCCCGGAAACGGTGGTGGCTGCGTCAAGGCGGGCCCATTCAAGGAGTGAGTATTTCTCGCGCACTGCAGGAAGCATTCATCACTGACAACTGGAATAGCTGGAAAGTCAACCTTGGCCCCGTCTTCCCCAGCCTCAAGGTCCCCGGCGTCGTCGCCCAGAACGGCAGCGGTCTGGGATATAACCCCCGCTGTCTGCGCCGCGACATCTCCAAGGATGCCGCACGGTGGACCACAACCAACTACGTGGTGGACTTGATCACCAAGGAGAATAACATCCTGGACTTCCAGAATACCATGCAGGGTGACTTCCCCAACGGCTTCCTCGGTGTGCACAGCGGCGGCCACTACACCATTGGCGGTGATCCGGGAGGTGTACGTATCCCCTTCCCTCCCTTTTATATTCGAAAGGACAAATTTTTTTTTCGCTAACATGGCATCTGCAGGATTTCTTCGCCTCTCCCGGGGACCCTGCTTTCTTCCTGCACCATTCCGCCATCGACCGTGCGTTCTGGACCTGGCAGAACCAGGACCCCGCGAAGCGCACGTACGTCGTCGAGGGCCCGACCGTTCTCCCCGGTCTGACTCCGGACCCTCCCAATTCCACTCTGAATGATATCGTGGATATGAGCAGTGCTCTGGCGCCGCCCAAGAAGATCAAGGAGCTTCTAGACACGACTGGGGGGCCGTTCTGCTATGTTTATCTGTGATGCTTCTCTAGTGTCGTCCTGTGGCTGGGTGAAAACCTCGTAAACCATTTCATGTAGATTTCTTGTATTAAACTTGTTGATAGTATATATATATTTTCTTTCACCTTGATCAGCTTCAACGCGTGGATGTTCCTGGCTTTCTTGATGGGGATGTTCAACTTATTAGTGTTTTTACATGGGAAGATGAAAATATGATTTCATTTGAATCAGAGAAACCCATTTATATTTCTACTCGAGTCCTGATGAGAGTATTCTGTGATGCCTTAAAATATATACCATGCAAGGATCAAAACACCACCACACACTTGTAAACAAATAGCGCACAGGGGATACCATCTTCCTCATATGAATTCTTCCACTACTCAATATAGATATATCTCTATATATCTGTATATAGATTAAATGCTCAAATCTCATCAATATAAACCTGATTTTCACCATCTAAATTCAATCTCCCAGGCACAGCCGCATGACGGCCGATCTTCCTCCACAGCCGCTTTTAGTTTCAGTTTCAGATCTTATCTGGACATCTCCCAACTTGTCCCAAGTCCCAACCACACCTCTCCATCATCGAAAAGACCCCCGAATCCATACAGCATGGATCAAAGACAGATGCCGGGAGATTTCCATCACGATGGTAGCGATGTCTCCCCACAACCACCCCCAGAACCTACCCAGGAACTCCAGGCTGTCGATCTTGGCAGGAAGCCACCTAAGCGGCATCCCGCCGACACCCTAACCCCGGGTCTCGCCAACGAGGATCTCTGGCTGCTCGTCCGGCGGTTTAACAAGGTACAGTCGCACCTATGTTCCATCACCGTGCAGCCTGGCTGGCTAACGGTTCAGCAAATATACCATGTCAAAGCCGCGCCCAACACCACGGAGGAAGACCTCGATCTCAACCGCGCGGAGGACGAGCAATTCCCTCCGGAGAAGCTGCGGATGACAATCGAACGGTTCTACACCTCGGTTGTGATCGGAGTGATGGGGTTTTGCCGCCATGTGGCGCGATTGCGTTCATGGAGGGAGCCGCGACGCACGGCGGTGTTTTGTACAGTAGGACTGGATCTACAGGTTCATGGACCGATCGGAATCATCGTGGCTAACGACTACAGGTTTATTTTGTTGCGTGGTGGCTTGATATCATTCTTCTTGTGTTCTCGGGGCTACTAATTGCGTTGATTCTGAGCCCGCGACTTCGCCCGCTGCTTTTCCCTGCGATGGCTACGGTTCCTGCTGCGGCCGGGGCTGGGGACAAGGACAGTGTGACTGGTGTGCCGGAGCGCTACAAGGGCGAAGCTGCCGAGCGGGAGGCGCAGAATCTCGTCAACAGCGTCGCCACCATTGCCGTGCAAAGCGCAAGTGGGAAGTATGGTCAAGCTGTGCCGGAGGATGCGGAGAAAGTCGACGAGCCGGAGAGTATTGAGGATGTCGTTGATGCTGCAGCTGCGGCAGATGCGGCGGAAGATAAGACGCAGAAGCCGATGAAGAAGAAAGTGGCACGGGGTACAGACCAGGCGATGAGGGCGATCAGCAATATTACGGATGTTTACGAGAAATTCGGCAAGTAAGTAGTTGTGTTTTCCCCCATGTTGAGGGGACTCGATGCTGACGCTGGCAGTGTGTTTTCGCCGACATCCCCATTTCTGGCGATTGTGCCGCGTCTACGCCTCGTGGGCATTCTCGTCTCTATTGGCCTCGCCTCTGTCATCGTGTCCAGTCATCTTATCATCAAAGCTGCCGCCTTTGCAATCGGATTGGGCTTCTTCGGGGGTCCGATCATCACACACGCCGTGGATTACCTCAACCGCAAGATTCCCAACTGGAGAGAGCACCTCGACTTGCAAAAGTATGTCTGCTGCTCCGCGATCGATCCTGGCTAACAAGGAGTAGGACTCTTCTGAAAGGTGTTCCCACCAATGCACAGCTGACCTTGACGCTTCTTCGGATTGGAGAGATCAATTCATCCCCACTGCCTCCGCCACCCTCGTCGGAGGACGTGTCCTCATCGCTGATCGGCCGAAAGGCACAAAGCCTCATCACGCTGGCGGAAAACAAGCTGGATGCAATTCCAGTTGCTTCACTCGATGTGACTTCTGACAACCCAACTCCTCCAAGCCGACCGAAACGCAGATGGCTCTTGAAGGTGCTCAAATTCGTCCGCCGCACGATCGCAACGGCGATCAAGAGCCATGTTGCATTCGACCGCGCCATGCGAATCGCAAACTCGGCACACACGCGGAATCTGATCGAAATGCTCCAGAAGAAAGTCTGGGTCGCTGCCCCAAGTGGACCGCTCAAGTTCGAGGCCAAGTTCCAGCGCAAACGGGGGACGGCGGTGATTGACTCGTCACAGGAGCCGCCCGTGTTGTATTTTACGACCGTGCAGGCTTCTGCGATAGATGATCTGAAGCTAGAGCATCAGAAGAAGAGCGCTGTCCTGTTTCAAATCCCTGTGTCGGAGATACACGAGCTGAAGAAGACGGAGGGGCTGGGGTGGAAGGGCAAGTTGATTGTGGAGTTGACGGCAGGAAGCAAAGAGGCCGCAGATGGACTGGTCATTTCCGGAGGAGAGAGCGAGGAATCGTATCATTTGACAGGCATGAGGGCGCGCAATCAGCTATTCAATCGGCTGATCGCGATCGATGCACAGTTCTGGGAGAGTCGTTGAGCGTGCAGGCAATGAGCCCATTCGGGCAATGGACCTTAACAAAGAAATATCCGAGCAACGAGCAGCGTACAGATCCAGAAAAGCTTGTCTCTGTCTGCAGCCTGGGTTTTGAATGGTGGTGATGGCAGGCAACAGTAGGCGACCAGGCTGCCATTCATCCATCCCCCCCGCCTTGCCTTTTCCCTTTTAAAAGAAGCGCCAAACTCCCCCCCCCCTCCTCTGGCGATGATTCCGATCCTCACTCTCTCCCAACACCATGGCCGAACCATCTGTCTATCCTCCCAATTTCACATCCTTTCTGGACCAAGACCAAAGTTCCCTATTCTCCGTCCTACCGCCCGAGATTCGACATGAAATTTTCGCCTACGCCCTCGCGAGCTTCGAGGATACCGACCGCCCGTATAGTAGGGAGACATACTGGACACGACCAGGCTATACGGCCCCCCATCGTACTTGCACAGAACTTCTCCGAACATGCAAGCGGATCTATCGTGAGGCCTGGTTCCTGCCTTTTGCTAGTGCCGAGCACTCGTTTTATCTTACTTCCCACGATCGACAGCCCGACGTACGATTCTCATTCCAGGACCATCTAAATCTGATCCACAGTATCCATGGCGAGACGAGTATTGGTCGGATCAGGATATTTGCGCAACTCTGGGCCCTCGAAGATGGAGTTCGGATGGAGTATCTTCTCAATATGAGCCACTTCGCCCCCAGAAGCATCACGCTCACGATCCGCTACACTGATTTCTGGTGGTGGGAACGTGATCAGCCGCTGTCTATCCAAGCACCATGGGTCAATCGAATTCGGTTGCCGGCGAGTGTCACGCGGTTTGCCATGGATTTCGAGAGTATCGAGCGCCGCAAGGGGGAGATCGATTACATCGCCAACCAGGCGGCCGAGACTTGGTTCTTCCGTCGCAGGGACGGGCAGTTTCTCACGGCGGACAAAGCCGACATGACCGTGTCGAAGTGGACGGGGAGCTCTATCCTGGGAAAGCAGCGATGGCTTCGCGACGAGGTCCGTCCGGGTCAGTTGGACTACCATGTCGTGACAGTCGTGTGGCGGGTGTCTCCAGGCTTAAAGGAGGAGCCGCTCCCGACGCCGTGCCCGACGGTGCAAGTACCACCTGATTTTCAACGGCCAACTCCTCCTTCCAGACATGCCAGCTCTGTGTTGGTCGATCACTTGCAGGCGGCCCAGATAGCACCCGACCTGTCGGCGGAGGAAACCTTCGCGGCCCTGCAGGCATACCACCGCAGACTAATGGAGGAACGGCTGGCGATCAGACGGCGCTCGACGAGGCGGCCACGATCTGTGAGTCGACAGCAGCTGGATGAGTGAGCTGGTGTCTTTGGGGCTATTTCGAGTAATGAGAATTAGGACATGCATGCGCCGGAACCGCGAGACGCAAGGGGCGATTTGATGGAATTCTACACTACATACCGCAGTGAAATGGGCAGACGGCCTTGTGATCTCTCCGCAAGATGTCAATCAATTGTTCCAGTCCATTCGGGCAGTCCTTTCCTTTTGTGAGGAGTATGAAGATCCGCCTCTAAGTAATTTAGTGAGCCCCGTCCATACCCGTTCCTGGAGTCGGGTGCGTTAATCTGCCCCAATCAGCGCGAGGCTGACTCCTTCATGCTGGAGCTGACGCCCATCACGTCGCCCCAAGCCGTGATTAGGGGGGAGATAGGTCAGCACACCCCTGCAGACAAAGGATATAATAACGCGGACAGCGCCCTCCCACGATCAACGCCGAGGAAAGAGTCACACAGACGTTCAATATGCCTGGCCAGGATTGCTCCCCCTCCCCTCTAGAAAGGTCTATCTACCAGATAAACTGGGGCCAATTGCAAATAATTGCATAAAGAAGGCGGCATAACCTCCGCAGTCCATAACGTCTGCGGTGTTGGCGGAAGAGGTGATCTGCAACGGCAACATAAGGCATCACGAAAGTTTACTGGACCATCAACAGGGGCGGAAGCGTGCGAACACTTAAGATCGATCGATCGATCGGTCCTCTTCGTCCGAGAAATGTTTTTCTTGGAGCTTGTAATATCAGTTTGTCCGGTATCTATCTACGGAGTACATACCTATCGGGTTAAGTATGTGGCGGGAGTCAGGCCTGGTTCGAATCTTGGCCGAAACATAAGTAGATGCCCTGCGACGTGTCTCTATCTTCCTGGTGGCGGAATTGTGTGAGTGGTGAGAATTTCGTTGCACCAGAAGCAACAAAGAAAACAGGAAAGGTGAGCCCGGGGGGGCGGGGGGGCCTGTGAGGCCATGAATTGCAAGGAGAGCAGACACATGTGGCCTTGTCTGGCTGGACTATTGCGATAGAGGGATAGTTTTAGTAGATACTGACTAGATAGATAGAGGACATCCCAGTCTGACAGTACATGAGCGACGCATCATTCACTGCATTAGAGCTTTGATCCCCATGGATATTGTGCCTCACAGTCTCACAGTCTCACACAGCCTGGCTGAGGAGAGTTAGCAGAATAATCAAGCAAGATGGAGGTGTCTATTGTTTCCCGTCGTCTCTCCGTTCTTGCTGGAGGGGTGCTTGCATGGCATCAAACCTTTTCCTTGATCACTTTGTTGAGTTTAGATGTTGATGTTGATCTTGCCTGAGCGTTTCTAACGAATGTATCGTATCTTGCTATGACTGGGAAGAACATCACATGGGCTTGTCTTCTCTCTCAGTCCTGAACCTGACAAGACGGGATCCAACCTAGTCCGTCTTCCGGATGTAAGGGTTATGACCAGTAGTGCATTTGTACCCTGCTCCAGTCTACCCTCTTTTGTTTACCTATGGAGAACTTCGCAATTCTAAGATGGGGAATGCCAGGGTCTCGGAGTGGGATAGAATCATAGAGGTCGGAGAAAGGATCCGTTCCAGAGCGTTAAGGCACATGTTTGTGAGACATTGCCAGTGACTTTTTTTTCCTGCCGATCCTTTCACCCTCTTTGAGAGATTAAATTGAAGGGATGCAGTTGACCACGGCTAGAACTTTCGGCCGGGGTTTTCTAACCTTGGCCAACTGTAAGCCCTTGTACGCTTGTACGCTTTGACTTCATTACTCTATGAAGACTATGATCTACGGAGTATGTCGATCAGGTCAACTTAGTGTATGATCTTATCACTTCTTTCTCCTCGAATTCTGCCTCTCCCAACTCCCAATGCGTCACACTGCATTGGATACCATGCCCAAAGCCCACTAATCGGGGCTCGGGCTTCCATATAATTCGCCTTGTTTCGCTTTCTCTCGGCTTTATTCCGAGACTCTGACCACAGTCGGACTGTGACATGATCACTTTGGTCCACATAGCATAGTTCTCTAGTGAGGTGATTTGAATTCCTTACTTGATAGTTCTGTGGGCCATCGACTTGTTCGACGGTCGACAATCGCAGCCAGCAGCCAGCAGCCAGCACTGGCCGCCAGGCATGGCCGCAGTATTGGACATTGCAGAGCCAGTTGATTCCCGGTGGCTAATCTGCAAAGGCTGACTTCTTCTCCTTGTAATGGATTGAGTGTTCCACCTGTTCATACGGCAACAATCTAATTTGACGGGGAGTCCCCCCGGCCGGCATTGGCGTGCAGCAGGAGTCTTAACGAGAACTGCCCCAGATGTCAGAATCCAACACTTAAACAGCAAACACCCGATCTTTTCGCAGGTACTTTTGTGAGGTTCCTCTTGAGGAAGATCATCAGTTATCGGCCGCTAGTGATGCTGCGGTTCTAACTTCCATGACTGCTTACGGCCGATGGGAGGCTTTGCTGAGGGAAACCCTAGTTTCGGTGAGCTTTTTCCGAGAATTCCAACAGTATTGCCTTACTGGGTAGGGATCTTCGAGCGTGTGTCTGGAGGAATCTTGTGAACAATGTACGTACATGGTGCATGCCATCATGTTGAATGCAATGCAATAATGGCTTCATTTAGCCACCAGTCACCCTCGAGTCGGATCAACAGATAGATCGACTCTGCTAGTGGAATCCGGGGCTATAATGGCGCTGTTATACATGTTGATTTTATCCATCATTCTTCCAGTGTATGTAGTAGCTCCCCCCGAGTCCGCAAATATGTCTTGGTAACGAACCTCATCTTCGGCATCTGCCAAAAAGCGATCATGACGCACCCCCCCTGTAGAATATCACATAGCTAAGCGTACAGGCAGTGTATAGACGTAAAGCCCAGACATATCGGAAGCTCAGTCGCCACTGAGGCCCGGCGTGGAACCAGCCCTATACAAGAGAGGTCGAATAATCTAGCCCTCGTCTCCCTCGAGGCTGGATACCTCACAAGAGCTCGATCCCCATGTCTTGGGGACAATAGCCTTGGTAGCTAGTGTAATGCATGCATACTCTAGCAACCGTCTATCAAAAAGCAGTCGGCGACCCAAAAGTCCCACGGCCGTGCGCTGGCACCAGACCCCGAACTATCATATACAGCTTCAATCCCGTACTCACGCCTCAGCTCAGACATTGTCATCAATCTCAAGCCCAAGCCAAGCTCCATCCAGCGCATCATCCTGACCAGTCAGTACGGATAATCATCCCCATTGTATCGCGGAGCAATATGTGCAAGTTCAAGTGCCCTGGCCGCACTGCGGAAAGGTCAGTACTGTCTGTCTGTCAGCTTTTCTTTTGTCTCATGCTTCCGGGGTGCACTCGCATAGTCTAACTGACACGGCTGGATAGTCTTTCAAACGCAAGTCGGACCTCGGTCGACACCATCGTATCCATACCAATGAGCGTCCCTATCACTGTACCACTCAGGGCTGCGACAAGAGCTTCGTGCAGCGCAGCGCGCTGACCGTCCACCTGCGAACGCACACGGGCGAGCGTCCCCATGTTTGTGACTTTGACGGCTGCGACAACGCGTTCTCTGATGTATCCTCCTCCAATCCCCCCCTTCCATCGTATCCATTGTCTTTGGGGAAATCGTCCCTCGCTAACGCCCACATCAGTCATCAAGCCTCGCCCGCCACCGCCGCACACACACCGGCACGAAACTCTACAAGTGTCCCGAACGAGGATGCAACAAAAGGTATATGCCAGATTAGAGCTCCCCCACCTAAGCCAACGCAACCAAATCAATCATAGATACTAAAACGAGGGAGCCAATAGCTTCTCCCGCAGAGAAACCCTCACAAACCACCAACACCGTCATCATCCACCTCGAGCCCCCCAGCAACAGCACAGTCACACAGCATGCGCCCCCTACACATCCTCCCTCTCCCACTCCATGATTCCGGTCCCGGGGACCTGTACCTACCTCCCCTCCCCAGACTACGCCTTCTACCTGCAGCACAACCTGCCCCTGAGCTACGCCACCGTACAGCCCGACGCCTCGCTCGCCCCGTCCAGCGTACCCGTTATGGCGATCAACGAGGTGCAGTACTGCCAGTCGACGGTACAGCACCCGTATGCGCAGTCCGCTCAGCCGTGTGTGGGGTTTGCGGTCCAGGATCCCTACCGGTCACCGTGGGTGTATGAGTCGGATGGGATGGAGATGTGCTATCCGTTCTGTGGGTGATTGCGGCGGGTTGGGATGTTTGGGACTCTTCTGGGTTGGATTGATTTGATCTGAATTTTACTCGGCGTCGGGAGAGGAGTGGACGGGATTTTGAGTTACTTTGCTACTATACCTCTGTTGTGAAAGAATTGGTTTTGTGGGACGCATAATTCATAATATCGATATTTGATACTTGTGGGAAAGACGGATGCCTCCAGGCGGACTCTTAAGAATACATACGGCTACTGCCCGGTAGGGATGGTGTACTCCGTACAGGTGTATGATATTCATTTCTCTCATGACTGGGTACTGACCCTTGAATCTGAAAGCCTCGATAATTGTTTATAAACATTCAACTCCAGTCCAATTTGTATCGCTCTATATATCATTAAACATTTACTCCATTTCGATGGTGGCAGGAGGCTTGCTGGAAATGTCGTAGAGGACACGAGACACTATGGCATCGTCAGAAGGGGGGCTACCCATAGCCAGAACGAAGACAGGGGGCACTGGACTTACCACCGTGGACCTCGTTGATGATGCGGGTGGCGCATCGGCTCAGGAATTCGTTGTCGAAGGGGAATGCACGCGCGGTCATGACTGGAACCGGTCAGCAGGGATCCTTGAGGGAGTATTTCACAAGGTCAAACTTACAGTCAGTGGTCTCGACGGCGCGCAGAATGATGATCTCGGCGTAGACACGCTTGTCACCCTTTGGAGACGGATCAGTATCTTTCCATTTTGCATCAGACGAGGGAAGATCCACGTACCATGACACCGACAGCCTTGCTGGGGTCAAGAGCGGCATAGGCCTGAGAAATCTGGTCATACAGACCAGCTTCACGGATCATCGAGATGAAGATATGGTCGGCCTTTCTGGCAATGTCGACGCGCTCGGGGGTAACCTCGCCCAAGACACTGTAATGTATTAGTCTCCAGCCACGGGTCCACTTTGTATCAATAAAACAGCTGGTCTGAACCTACCGAATGGCAATACCAGGTCCAGGGAAGGGATGCTATGATGCGTCAGCTACTCTGTCGATATCCGACTTGGCGGAATAAAAGACCCACTCTCATGACGAGTTCGTGGGCAATGCCCAACTCTCTACCAAGCTGGCGAACCTCGTCCTTGAAGAGCTCGCGGAGAGGCTCAATAAGCTTCATTCCTTGCCCCTCGATCATGCGCTCTGAAACAGTGGTCAGTCACTGATGCTGTGTGATTACGTGAAGAATGTTCACTTACTTGGCAGCGCACCAACATTGTGATGTGTCTAACGACATATGAGCGATGGATATCACAGCAGGGCGGGGATAGGACAAACCTTGATGGTAGCAGAAGGACCTTTGAAGGAGATACTCTCGATCACATCGGGATAGAGAGTGCCCTGGAGGAACCACTTGATCTTGGCACCGGAGTGCTCGGCCTCAGCCTCGATCTTCTCGGCCTCCTCCTCAAAGACATCGATGAAGGTACCACCGATGAACATACGCTTCTTCTCGGGATCGGTGACGCCCTTCAGGCCATCCAAGAACCGCTTCGACGCATCAACAACAGTCAGGTTGATACCAAGGTGTCTGTTCAGGGTTTCGGCGACGGTCTCGCACTCGTTCAGACGCATGCAGCCGTTGTTGACGAGCACGGCGTGGAAGCGATTACCGATGGCCTCCTTCATGAGCTTGGCGGCCACAGTCGAGTCGACACCACCGCTGACGGCACCAAGGACGTGGTCGGTCTCACCAACCAGCTTGCGAATGCGAAGAATCTCCTGGTCAACGAACTTGGACATGGTCCAGTTGGGCTGAGCACCGCAGATCTCCACGGCGAAGTTGCGGAGAAGCTTAGCGCCATCCGGGGTGTGCTACACGTGATGTTAGATATATGTACACGGTCAGCGATGGCGGGGATAAAAGGATATCATACTGTGACTTCGGGGTGGAACTGGATGCCTATCATCTCGTTAGTTGATGCAGGTGGCTAAATGTGTTCGCTTGTCGGCGACTCACCATATACAGGCTTGGTCTCGTGAGCGATACCGGCATACTCGGAGTTCGAGGTGGTGGCAATGGTGTGGAAGCCCTCCGGCAGCTTAACAAGCTTGTCACCGTGGCTCATCCACACCTTCATGTGCTCCTCCAGACCAGCGAACAGCTTGTCGACATGTCCCTGGCTGTCAAGTTTCTTGGCGTTGAGGTCGGCGTGACCATACTCGCGAGCGGTACCGGCGACAACGTTATCCTTGCCCAGTCTGTAGGCAATTTCCTGGAGGCCGTAACAGATTCCGAGCACAGGGACACCAAGTTCGAAGACCGCGGGGTCGGCGTGGGGGGCGCCTGATAACTGCTGTTAGATCGTGTGACCGATATTCACTCTAAAGTACTGCGCATACCGTCCTCATAAACGGAGTAGGGACCACCGGAAAGAATCTAGGAGGTTCATTCAAGTCAGACTGTGTTTCCCAGATCCACACAATTGATGCATGACTCACTATTCCCTTGGGCTTGAATGGAAGGTCGGCCAGCTTGGTGGTGCATGGCAGCATTTCACTGTACACACCAATCTCACGCAATCTTCTGGTAATGAGATGCGTCTAACAATGTCAGCTATCCGTCAAAACTGAGATCGCAATGCTCGCTCACATATTGAGATCCGAAATCCAAGGTCAGGATCGTATCGAAAGTGGCCGACGGCATCTGTTCCTCAGCCATTGTGACGGTGTTTTGACGGACAGGGCCGAAAGAGGCGGGTCTTGTTCAAGTGAAGGGATAAGGACCTGAGGAGTGATCACAGTCCGGATAGACTGATTTCAAGATCAATTGCCCGGAGCACAGCTGATGACTCTGCCGATACCCAACACCAAGAAGGGATGCAATGCAATGACTCGGCGGAAATTTTTTTGGTCGCGAGAGGCGGTGAAACTCGCGGGGTTGCGGGACAGGCGGCAGAAAAGTTTGCTATGGTCAGCTATCAGTGACAGGCCAATCAGCGCGGGTTGATAAGAAAGGCGGTCTGGAGTGTATCGCTGAAGCGGAATGTCGTTCTGCCTGTCACGTGATTCTGGAACTATACAACATCTTCGATCCATCACTAGCTTGCAAGCGCTTGGAAGCTGAACGGTGTCCCTACTCCCTACCCCTTTCTCGACGTATCCCGTACGTCTCAATCGAACCAATGATCGAGAGTTCTACCTAAATGACGGCAAATCTATGCCAGGATAGAACCCACCGGATAATCGGTATTGAGGCATCGAATAACCCCCCGCATTGTCAACAGATGTCGGGGTGCCAGGCGGCGCCAACCTGATCCAGCATGGCTTATTGGCTTGATGTATCGATCCTTTTTGCTCCTGCCAACCACTATGCTACATAGCTGGGAACAACCTAGCCGTGCCGTTCTATCCAGGTGGACACGATCAATCGATTCCGCACTGGGGTAAGGCGGGGGAGAAGAAATGACAACTTTGACAAGGCTCTGGAAAACATTTGTAAACGTATTGACTATTGACACGGACTAGATATTTAGAAACTGTTCGGATTCTGAAATGGATCACTGAGTAGACAGTTCTGTAGCATCGCGTGCTTTGGAGGGAAAGCACGTTTCATTTTCTTGTCCCCAGGTTGAATGTTCTATTCACTCTCCAACTTGCTACCCGAAAAGGGCCACGGGTACGCAACATCAAAATCAACGACCAGAGGAATACCCCTGATGTCTTGAAAAGAAATAGTAGAACTCCATTCAACGCACAATTCAGCGACATGGACCACGGGAAACCGCAGGGCTGGTCGACCAGTTCCTCTGATTTGGAGAAGAATGTCATATTCCACGAACATCAGACCGCGGATGCAGTAACACAACGTGACGCCTCGAATACAGTGGACTGGGATGGACGCGATGATCCTGCACGTCCAATTAACTGGAATGGCAGAAAGAAGTGGGTGAACGTGGCGAGCGTTGCCATGCTCACGTTTCTTACGCCCTTGGCTTCGTCCATGGTCGCACCCGCCCAAGCACTGGTCATGGATAGCTTCGACATCACCAGCGATACCTTGGGCAGCTTTGTCATTTCGATCTATCTGGTTGGCTTCGCGGTCGGTCCACTCGTGTTGGGGCCACTGTCCGAGATCTACGGCCGTCTGCGGATCTATCAGATGTGCAATGTCGTCTTCATTATCTGGAATATCGCGTGTGCAGTGACTCCGAATGTCGGCTCACTCCTTGCTTTCAGACTATTTGCTGGTTTAGCTGGGAGTTGTCCACTTACCTTGGGTGCTGGATCTATCGCCGACTTATTTATTGCGGAGGAACGGGGAGCAGCCATGTCAGTCTGGTCAATGGGTCCCCTAATGGGGCCAGTGGTCGGTCCTATTGCGGGGGGGTATCTGTCCGAGGCAGTGGGATGGAGGTGGATCTTCTGGGTCATTGCCATGGCAGTAAGTCACTGGATAAGACGCTCTGTCAAATGCATCGCTGACAGGATATCGAGGCCGGCGGGGTGTTTGCCTTCTCCGTTCTCTTTCAAACAGAAAGCTACGAGCCGGTCCTTCTTCAGCAACGAGTTGACCGGCTGAGCAAAGAAACCGGAAATGCTGAACTGCGATCAAAGCTGGCCCCGAACATCAGACCACGAGAGAATTTCATCCGGTCCATTGTCCGACCGACGAAGATGCTGCTTCTTTCGCCCATCGTGTTGCTCTTCTCCATCTACATCGGTGAGTGACGATTCTCTCCCGCAGTCGTTGCATCGACTAATCTCGTTCAGCGATGGGCTATGGCTACCTCTATTTGCTTTTCACCACTATCACCTCCGTCTTCATGACGAACTACCACTTCTCCCAGGGTGCCGCCGGGCTCACCTATCTGGGCATCGGCATCGGCTCCCTCGTTGGCCTCCTCGTCTTCGGCTCCGTCTCCGATAGAATCCTCATCTACCTCACCAAGAGAAACAACGGCGTCGCGGAGCCCGAGTTCCGCATGCCCCCCCTCATTCCAGGAAGCCTCTTTGTTCCGATTGGCCTCTTCTGGTATGGCTGGTCCGTCGAACGACAACTGCACTGGATGATTCCCATCATCGGGACCGGGTTCGTGGGGTTCGGCATCCTAGCGGCCTTCCTGTCCACGCAGACATATCTCGTCGATGCATTTAGCGAGCATGCAGCTTCTGTCACAGCCTCAATGACGGTGATCCGATCGTTAGCTGGGGCGTTCTTGCCGCTGGCGGGGCCGGCGATGTATGCGCGGCTAGGTCTCGGGTGGGGGAATTCGATGCTGGGATTTATCGCGTTGGCCATGTGGCCGCTTCCTGTGTTCTTTTTTTGTTATGGGAAGAGGATTCGGGCGCTTCCGTTGTTCAATGTGACGTTTTGAGGGCGCGTCCTTGTAGCAGTCGACTGGAACTTCAGTCATAACCCTGGCTATACATGACCAATCATGCTGCCAAATCTTCCCTGAAGCGTATGCAAGGCGCCCTTCGTAAAGAAACATAAATCCTTAGATTTCTTTTTTTTTTTTTTCCATTCAACTAATGTGATTAGCCCAAGGAAGGATTACCTTTGACCAACCTTAGATACCCGCAAGGCCATGCGCCATTTTCCTTCGAACTTACTTGGACAGACCTTCTTTAGTCTTGCTGCATGCTAAGCTTCGAGTGGCTTGCTGATGGCAGGGTGAAGGAACAAAGGAATTGTATCCTCGGGCGCGCCAGGGTCCAGATCCTTTGGCGTCAGCAGACGAGTCAGACACTCGCGATCCCTGGTAATCTCGGGATCGAGGTACGTCTGTCGTCAGAGAAGATGGGAAAACAACTCACGGTTGGGCTTACAATTGCAAGGGTACTCATGGCTCGTCCGTACAAGGATGGCTGACTTGGTCTCCCGTGGTTGACTGTCAAACTCGATGAGCACAGGGAGTAAGGCTGTCATCAATCCTCGGTTTCAGGCTTCCAGAGCAAATTCTTTTCTGCGTCAGCGCCAATGATGATATAATTCCTTATTTTCATCATCTGACGAGCGTATGCATTGGAGAGATGGCGTATAGGGGAGATGCTATTCTTTGGCAATGAAGGGGTCAAGTGAAGAAATAGTCGAGGTCCAAATATTAATCCAAGTAGGCATTGCAATACCCCGAATGTTCCAGTACAACTACAGAGTCCAGTGGACCAGGATCACGATGTGCTTCTCAGTAAAGAGGCTTAGTGCTGGACCATGCAGCTCGCTTAGAAAACTCGACAAACACCGACTTCCCACAGACACAGAAATAGAGCCGTTTGCAAAAATCATTTCATTTCATGTTATTCGTAATAATCATATCGTAAAGCAGTCTTCCCAGAAGAACTGCCAGTCGAGTGCTAGCACGCAGAGGTCACTACCCAAATTCACCCGAATACATGCAAGTATCACATCCAAGCCACTGTGCCCAAATGTGTACTCTGTACCCCTCACTGAGCAAAAGCGCCGATAGCATCGTCAAAGAGACCATCGACCCAGACCTTTCCACCTTGAATGACACCCGCATGGGTGGCATCGACGATCTGCTCAAGAGCGTCGGGAAGCTCATCAGACAGAACCTTGAGAGTCTGGAGGGTGTGCAGCATGGCGTCCTTCTTGCCAACCTGGGCGAACTGAGTTTTCTGCAGAACAAAAGAAATCAAGATTAGCATCACCATAATCGTCACCAACAGCATCAACAGCATCGCAAGAAGGGTATCATACCTTGGCGACAATACCATTCAGCAGGTCAGCCATGAAGTTGGGGTAAGGGTGGCCCAGAGCCGCCATGACATCCTGGCTCCCCTCGTCGGTGAGATGGGCAGAGGCACGAGCCGCCGCAATCGAATGGGTAAGCGCCACCTCCACGGCAGCCTCGCGAGCCTTGACAGTGCCCCATTGAGCAGTCTGTCCGCTGAAAGCCTGAACAGCGGCGTAAAAGTCGCCGTAGCTGGCAGCAGCAGTGTTGAGATTGTTGACCACCTGCTCAGCAGTGTTGGGAGTGGGGATGGCATTGGTGAAGCCAACGATGGAAGTGGCCACGAGGACCTTGAAGAAGTTCTTGATAGCAACCATTTTGGCTGTGTTTATGTTGATTGAGTGAGTGTTCGGTTGTCAGAGAAATAGGTATTGAAGTTGAGTTGTTAGGGAGGAGCTTGAGAGAAGAGAGATTTGTGGATGGATAAGAGCACTCAGCGTCGAGGGGAGAAATGTGAGTATTTATAAGTGGTGATCTGGAAAGACGTGAGGCTAAAAACTCGCTTCTGGAGCATTGAATAGAGCAGAGACGAGGCAGGCAGTGACCAGTATGACATGATACGGAAGTACCGTCTATGGATGCTGATGTGGAAGAGACGATTGTTCTCGCCCATTCTATGATAGTGAATGTGATCAGAAGCTAAGCGTTGGAACGTAGCATGCACGGAGATTTCCATTGTCCATTGGGTAATAGACTGCCAGTGAAACAAAAGAAAATAACTCCGAGCAAGGTTAGGTGTAGTATAGAACTATTGAGATTCATTTGATATCCCTAATTCGTGAATGTGATTGAATGGTGGCGCGAATGAGCACACCTGTCATTGATATCGACTAAGCTATAAGAACCGTGATATGACCTGCAGCTAGCATCTTAGCCCCTCTTCCTTTTCCCACCGTTCGATCCTTCGGCAGGGCGCCTCTCACGCGGAGCGGCTGTGTAGAGGCCCTGGTTTGCTTATGCTTCTCGTTAGCAGACACTTGTCAACGTCCTCGTTCCTGATTTGGCCTATCTGCCAGGGATCGCCAACAGCCAAGGTGTGCTCATTCCAAAAGGGATGTGAGCGCAGAGCAAGACCAGTCATAGACAGAGTTAACTGTTGGTTAGGTACATAATGTCTGAGATGGAGTGTTGGTTGTTGGTTATGAGGTATGCTTTTTAAGCTCTTCCGTACTTCCGTTGACTTACAACGCATTTTCTAGCTTATTCTTCAGTTTGGCAATTAGAACCGACACGGTATCTGTCAAGCGCGAAATATCCAAGGAGGGGTGAGCCTATCCTATTCTATACTACGGAGAGAAAAAGGTGTTGACTTGAGATGCAGGTTGTGTGCTCCAAAGGCCAGGATATCTCCATGCAATCACTTACAGCGATTGCATGTTTGTTTAGATGTAGGTGTTGGCTTTACAATCGATTAAATTAGGTGTTATTGGCCGATAAGTTCAATTTGCTACTCATTCTGATGAGACTGTTACTATATCCGGCTTCGAGGACTTTCTAACACATTGATATACAGGCAGTTCCTTGTGTGACAGCGAGCCCGTCTTGGGGACAGAAGAACATCGAGAAAACGCTACTCAGCCTCTAGATCGTTGGCAATGATTACCCTGGACGAGTTCTATGCACTGATGTAGTGAATCTCAGCACCACGAGCGATTCCAGGACTTCGCAGCCTTTCAAAGCCAGGATACATTCCCAATCCAATAATCATTCCTCTTATCGACACATGTTTTCATCGCCTTGCTCTCTGCTAAAAGAAGGATTGCACTCGTGTTTATCTCGCATCATCAGAAGATCGTCATGTAATCCATCTATCTAAGTCTAACATAGGGGACCAACGCTCAACCGGTCGGCACACAAGAGATCATCGAAGGTTTTCAACATAACCGTGGCTATCTAGCCCGTTCCCTTGGACTCGGAGAAGAAAGGAAAATGGATATTGAACATGCCGAGCGCAAGCGATGCCACTGCACATTGGCACTACGTTACCCATCCCACAGATTGATGAAGGAACATCACTTCCACCAGTAACTCTCAGCTGCCAAATCCTAATTCTTGTGCTTCTCTCATGGGTGACATTGCTGGGGGTAATGATCGGCTATAGCTCCGGGCATCCCGGGTCCATATCCATCTCTGGGACACTTTTGAAGACGGACGCAAGATGTCCAAGCTTCTATCTCATCAGAGTCGAATGTTTAGCAGAAGTTTGGCGTCTTATCATGGTTCTCACCAGCAATAGCATGGCTTCTTTAGCCTAGATGACAGCCGGTGGCTGATTTTATGGAGCCGTGGCCGTGCAGACGGTGGCCAATATCGACATCTCAAGAAGCGACCGGATCTAATGACGAAGTCTGTCCACTCATCGCCGACATACCAGGACAAGCCGCAGAATGATCCGTTGTCTGGATGGCCTTCGATATTCGACGACATTGCATCCACTGACAGATCTCGGAGTCATGTCGCTTGATTGATTACCATCTTCGGCCATGGGCTTCCCTGATGTCTTGGACATTGGAGACCAGTGCATCCAGAGACTGTATTCACCCTCTCAACCACTCGGGATCTATCGAATCCCAAGCGTGTGCTTCCAACAAAGCGCCGCGCAATATCTCCGCTGTCAAGCCTGCCTGGATGGTCTGGCAAGAGTCCATAAACTGGTCTTCCACAGGTCCGGGAGTCGGATGTCTGCCTTGGTGAAGCAAACATTACACATAACGGCCAATTATGCTACATGTTGCTAAGTTTCATATAAAATCGGTCAAGGAGGACCATTCATACATGTCGACAAGATTGATCTGGGCTCGAGTACTTTGTCAACTTTACCAGTTGATTGGGTCCTTATACTCAGTGATCCGAAAGTCTTTGGGCTCGGCGTCAGATTCTCTGCCTTGAACAAAATGATCGAGATAAAATGGCTGCCTAAACACTACTTTCGGCTGACATTAAAATTCATGTCATGGTCAATTTAATGTATGATTATGGCAGTCTTTTCATTGGACCAGGAAAGAGTCCTGACAATGCAGTGAAACAGCTGGATAGTAATAGTGTAGTGCCTTGTTGAATCTTTCATACAACCCTTGTCCTGAGCGATTTCCTTCTGCTTCTCTCTAATCCCGTGCGCAGCAATGCCGCTTTTTTCAAGTCCGACCTTCTAACAGGTCCATCCTGCATGATGGCTCGAAGGATCAATTGTCTATCGGACTCTGGATCTGACTGTGCGAGCTCTGCGCCACTTCCGCGGTCAGGGCTTACATCAACATGGCTCAAGCTCTCTCGTCAAGAATCGCCTCTTCTGGATTCCTGAATCTCGACGATCCCAGGCCCACGGGCTCTGTTAAGACCAAGCTTAGCTCTTAAAATGCATCCAATCGATCTACAATCGCATCTTGTTAAGTCTTTGCGACCCTTTCCACTTGGTGAACCCGTCCAATTGTCCAATTGTCACTAGTGCTAAGTGCTCACTAGCATCTAACTGATCAACAGACATCCTAGCTCTTAGTGACGCGCCACGGCTCACTCTCTGCAGCCCGACGCCATTTCAACAAATAACGGAGGATGTCTGGCGGAACCCAGTCCAAGGACTGTGTAACATCGCCTGTTGTCCGGTTGAGGGGCCATCCTTGTGTAAAAGATGGCAGTGTTGGCGAGAAGAAGAAAAAAAAAAAAAAAAAAAAAAAACGGAATCATAAAATGGGCGGACGCTTCTCTTGAGAAACTTTTCTTTCTTTTCCTTTCTTCCTCTTGTTGTTCTCCAGCTGAATTCGCTACAATCCAAAAGCCCTTCCTGATTCTGATCATCAACCTCAAATCTCTACAAGATGCGGTTTACTCTTCTCCTCGTCCTCGGCGCTCTCGCGACCACTGTCTGCGCAGACACTACCGAATTTAAACTCTTCAGAGGCGGCGAGACCGTCCTCCCCCTCCCCCTTCACGGCATTGTGGCTAGTATCATCGACGCCGATGCCACCGCCACCACCCTCGCCTTGAACTGCAAAGACCACTGCGACTTCATTAAGCCCGCGACAATCACCCAGGGCCCGTCGACCTATACTGTCAGCGCCGAGTTCTCGACCAGCAGAGCCGGTGCCTCCGAAGCGATCACTGTGGTGGAGGGCTGCGACATTACCTCGTCCACGCAGCGGGCCTATTGCTCGGCCTCCTTCGACATCGACATCTCAATCATGGGGAACACGGCCTCGACCTCATCAACCATCACGACAACGCTCGCCCCGGACGAATTCAATTACGTTGTGGTGTCCGTGACTGCGGGAGCAGAGAAGTTGGCTGCGCCCAAGGTTACAGCGTCGGCTAAGACGACAGCGACGGGGACGGGGACGGGGACGGCAACAGGAACGGTGGCCGCGACGGCGACTAGCACGACGACCTCTTCAGGATCTGCGAACACAAATGGTGCGGTGGCTGGTTCGGAGCAGATTGGGCTGGGTCAGGCTGTGGTGGCGGCTTTTGCTGCTGCTTTCATGGGATTTTTCTAGGTCGGACATGGGAACGTCCTGAAATCCTCGAGATGCAGTATTTGATGATCCTTTCTTCATGATTAGTTATGCTATATGAGGCAATGTTGATAATGAATATCTGCATTTGACGGCCGTCACTGGATTGTCTACTTGACGAGAATTTCTCTCTACCCGCGCATTCATGACTATTTGCGCAATAGAAAGAATCTCAACTTTGGTCCTCAGATGACGGGCTCTGCGCCGAACCCTGCTAGCGGCCTCCATCCTAGCTTTCTTGAGGAACCCAGGGCTTATTTCATCATAAATCTAGCGAGACACCACCACTGGTCGACCCCGTTATGTGGGCGTCTGGACTGGTGACCCGGCTGGCACCAGACAGATGATAAACAACGATCGGAAGGCCGGGGTTGCACTGACGGGTAGATTCCCTTCTTCGCAGGTCTTATTCGTCTCCGTAAGTAACATTCTGGATAGGCCACATTAATTGCCCAGTATCACTCATATATCTTGACAAGGATGAAGAGGTCAGGCAGCCACATCATCGCTCCAATGCAAACACTTGTAGTACGCCCCGAAAGAGAAGCTCCCTTGCACACTGCTCAGAGCCCCAGACATCAGGCAGATCATTCCGTACCCACGTGAGAACATGACCGAGCGTGAAAGGCGCACGCTATGGCCCAGCCTCCCAGCCTTCTTCCCTGCGGATAGCGTGCAGATATGTAAGGAGCAATGTTCCGGGCTAACAGGGACAGCATGCTGCGAAAACATGCTATAGCTCGTTCCCCGCGTCCACCAGTTACTGGGCAAGAAATATTTTTGCCTTGGTGCCACTAATTCTGTCAGGAGTTGGGCTCAATATGCAGTTCTTCGGGTGAGGCACTTGAAGAAGCCTCGAGGAAAATGTCTTAGGTGGGTTACAGAAGGACCTCCTCCAGTCCTCTCATGGAGACTGGTTTGTTCACTGGTGATATTGAGATTTACAGCGCCACAACTGGTGCGCCGATAAAAACAGGGGACACTTGGCAAAAGGAGAAGAATAAAATCTGAAAAAAAAAAAAAAAAAGAGAGAAGAAATAGAAGCTTCATCTCCGATGACTATGAAAAAGCAATAAAGCGAAAAGGCAAAAAGATGGACTCGCGGGGAATCGAACCCCGGACCACTCCCATGCTAAGGGAGTATTATACCACTAAACCACAAGCCCACTTGTTGAAGACCTTAAGCATACTTTTGCTATATATCGATGTTTAAAAAACAATGCCTTACGCAATCAAGTCTGTGATCTTCCAAGAATCTGATCACTTATCTTCATTCATCCTCTCAGAATCGTCCCTGTTGTATCTTGTTTTGGAGTTTTCTCTTCTGGTAATGCTATATAATCATGGTTGTTCCCTTTGTAGTAAGGTCCTTTTAGTTTTTCCTTTGCATATTGGTGATCACGAAGAGACCATCCAAAAAATATATCTTCCACTTAATCATCATCCATTCCGAGACACAGGCATGGAAAACTGTTCATAAGAGGATCTTTTCTTCTTTAGTCTAAATCTGCTTGCTATGAACGCTTGGAGACTAATAAAGCTTAATTTAAAATAGTAACCATTCTTGCTTAGACTACTTTCATATCATCACTGCCATCACCTCACTATACACGCCATATCACCCACAGACCTGTTCATTGTATAGTATCTCTTGTCTACTTGATAAGTCTGGACTATTCCAGCCACTATATATATATGTATGCTACTCTGGCGGTGGGAACAAAATGAGAGTTGGTCCTGGGCCATGAGACTATCCCACCCCAAGAGCATGGATTTCGAGGTAGACTCATAGGGTGCACCAGATATTGGTGACATTGCTTGACCATCGCAAAGAGTGAAAGATTGAACAGGTGGCTATTGCATTGATGGGGTATTCTAATCATATAAAAAATTCAAAGCCTTTTGTGATAGCTATTCTCACTGATCCTCACTGCGACGCCATCGGCTCAGAGCAAAACACACCAAGTGTAGCGTGAAACCAGGTGGGCTTTTAGATTCTATTGTGTGGGAATGACCTGGCTAAATGTTATTCTTCAGAATCATTCAACGGTGGAGGAATGTGCCGTATAATCAAACTTAATTTGTTGGCGCGGCTCCTGGATGCAGACGATAGAGCATACCTCATGTTTCCATTCCTCCTCTATATTTCCTCTCGGGTCTATATACATAGTCCCGCAGTGTAGTGTAGATGTGCCGTGAATTTATTGAGCGATGGCTTTGCGGTCGAACTTGCTCAGAACCCGGACGTGTTCCTCCTTCAACTTCTTGAACTCGTCATCTAGCTGGTTGTGCCACGGATATAGGACGAAGACCTGGAAGGCGAGGGCGGACGACGCAACCGCGAAGTTTACAAGCGAGATTCCGCGCGTGATAAGCATGGTGGGTGGAAGTGGTTGTGTTATTAGATGGAATCTGAGTCGCAGTGAGGATAGGAAGACGGTTTGGTATGATAAGTCAAGAGAAGACACCACACACAGCACTAGGGACTAGCAAGGGATGAATAGGTTGAGAAGAATGGGATGGGTGAACTTTTTTGGAGGAAGGGAGAAGGTTTGGCTTTATAACTCAGAAACCAAGGAAGATCATGCTTGCCCCTTTCACGTGTGGAATATTCTGGGGATAATCCGGCCTGGCTCGCGCCAATAAATCTGAAGTTGACCGTGTTCGTGAGGCACTGAAGGACCGACCGGGGTCTTTCTTTTGAACTTCCACGCTCCACTGGGAGCGATCGCCGACAAATCGCCTTCGAGAGGGTTCCTCGGCTGGACATCATATTGGCTGTTTTCACTTGTAACTGGAGCTTTCTGAGTCAGTGAAATGCTTTGCTTACCGAACTCTGCGCGAGAATGGCAGCCAAACGATGACGGAGTCCGGAGATCGTTCGTATCTGTCGGATCCGACAAATGGTCATCTATGATTGGTTCAAATGGACGGCCCCGGTTTTCGGCGTTGTGCTAGCCACGTGACTTCGATTCCCCCACACTCTAGAGACTTTAGGGAGTATAGTCTCGGTATATATATATCTATATATATATATAGATATTTAGGCAATCAAGTATCGAGTATCAACAACAACTGATACCATGCAGGAAATACATCGCCATGTGGCTATCTATATATTGACTAGACCCCCTGTACATCAATCATGCCTGTCTTCAGCAGAGTGACTCTCGGGAGACCTATGAAGCATCCAAACTGTGATCTCACTAGCTAGAGACATACATGGTAAGTTCACTCATTATTTTTATCTATTAGATAATGCAAAGCCTCCAATTTAGATGCTATCAATTTAAAGATAGGGATACGATCGTAAAGCAAATTATTGAGACAGCCATGAGGGCTAAAGATCAGAAGGGGAAATGGATGACGACCACAAAGTTAGAGACTGAAGTCAGAGCCAAGCAAGGGTGAATCCATATGCCCTGAATTTACCAAGATGAAATGATCCATCATTTTTCATGCCACTGCCGAGGCGAACCTGAATGTCAATGCGTATAGATGTACATATACATGTAATGTGACGACTTTGCGACCTACGGAGCACAAACAAGAGATAGACATGACATAACTGGTAAACTGTCCTCGAATACGAACAAAGAGCGCAGACCTTGATCACAGAAAGAAAGCATAAGATCACTTTTTGTGGTTGTGCTGAATGCTGCATAGCACTGAAGCTGTGATGTATCACATTCGACAGCTGATAGATCCACCGAGAGTATCTAGCCTTGCATTAACCTTATCGCTTTGACTTTTGACTCAAAAAGAGGAGCGCGATTAACCCTATGCAAGTAAGGGCTAGATACTATCTAGATTCTAGACAGTAGTGAGTACTAGATGCGTAATGAAAGGGACGGACTGACAGTTCCTTCAGCCCACCCTTAAGAGGACAAACTTCTTGGTACCTGCAGCATTTGAAACCTGTCAAGTCTCGACACGCATGAATGACAATCGACATTTCCATGCTATGTGCCCACTTTGTTGTCTCCCTTGATGGTTCAACGGTCTGTTTGGTCCATGAACCATTCATTGACTCCAGAGATTTGCCTACCTCGAACCCAAGAGGACTTCGCTAGGGCGTGCTGTCTATCGCCTCGGTGGATGCTACTCTCACGTATCTGGGCAGACTCCACGACACAAAAATGGCTTTAGCACTTCGGCTATGTGATATGTGAACGCCCAAATATTGAGTTGTTTAGTCCTTACGAAGGTTTGAGAGCTGGAGGGGATACGATCATGACAACGCTGGCAGCTCTGACAGCTTCGCACCCTGTTCCACGAAACATTTATTATGCAGCACCATTTCCAATGTCGGACTGACTTTCGTTGATTCCAAATACCTATAGCTACCTGTTCCACTCTTTGACAGTTGCTTTGCGTTTTTCTCCGCTCATTGATCTTTCTTTGTCGGTTGCTTGCAGAATTCGATCAGATCCTATGCCATGTCGCTCGATCAGATATCGAACAACGGCGTCCCCGGCGACTTTGAACATCCCAACCAGGACCTGCGTCGGGTCATTATCATTACTTTATACTTTGCCTTTATTCTATCGACTGCGGCTGTTGCATTGCGACTCGTGGCACGAAAGATCAATGGGACAAGACTATACCTGGACGACTACCTGATTCTTGTGGCATTGGTAAGAACTGGCCCCTGAGAAAGCGTCTTGCCACCACGATATTGATAGCTCGTTTAGCTATTTAAATATGGGTGTTCTATTGGGGTTACGATCCGTGAGTTCCACGTTTTTATCAGTGGCTTGGGTCCCCCTACTGATCTGATATAGTTCTCTTCAACGGTCTCGGATCACATATCACAATGATCCCTCAGAAGAACCTTGAGGTATATTTAAAAGTGGGTAATCAACTCCAAGATAACTTGGAGTTACTAATTTGAACAGATCGGATGGTCCAACTCATTCGTTTATACCGGATGCATCCTGTTCATCAAGTTGTCGATCCTCGCCCTATACAAACGACTTTTCTCCATTCCTCGCATGATAATTGCTGCCAATCTGATTGCCGCCTTTGTCATTCTCTGGGCTTTAGGTGTCTTCATGGTCGGCGCTCTGTTCTGCCTGCCCGTGCAGAAGTTTTGGAAACCCGAGCTCGAGGGAACCTGCATCGATTCCGCCAAGTTCTACTATGGCCAGCAGATTCCCAACATCCTGACCGATGTGGTGCTGCTCATCATGCCCATAAAGGTTGTCTGGGCTCTGCAAATCTCGAAGACGCAGAAGCTCCTGCTGTCGGGTGTATTTGTCGTCGGTATACTGTACATCTCTCTCCTTGCTCGCCTGGTGGGGAGTATCTGACTCGTTGTAGGACTCTGATCTTTGATATTGTGCGACTCGTGGCCATGATCCATTTGACCAAAGTTGGTCCAGATATCACCTGTAGGTACAGCCTAGGATACATCCGTCTTCTCCTCTGCTAATCAAGGTCATTGAATAGACAACCAAGTCCCTGTTGTTGTCTGGACTTGCATCGAGGCAGCAGTCGGTATCACAGCAGCATGTCTCTCCAACCTGAGACCTCTCTTCAAACTAGCTCATCGACGCTTCTGGACTCAACCTCGATCTCCACGTCCAGAGTACAAAGATGAGCGTCTCGATGAATCGCACGCGATGTCCGAGGCAACCACTCTCTTTGCTTATGCGACTCAGTACAGCCATCACACCGAGTGCTCCAAGGCATAACCCTTTCTTCTCTCTTTGCCCTCCTCTCTTTTTCTCCGTCTATATTCATTATCCCATATGTTATTTTTTATTTTTTATTTTATTTTTTTTTTATTCAAATACGCCTTGTCTGCAGACAGAATTCATTGCCGCCCACCGATCTTTCCGCTTCCTTTCTCTCTGTCTTCCTCTTCACCATGTACATTTTGCCTGGAGCATGTACAGATATCAGCTCCTACAACCCTAGACAGACACATTTAAATTCAATGCACAAAAATGGTAATCCTCAATTGCCCGGAAAATAGTACCTAGTATGGATTGTTGTTGGAGAGCACGGCATTCCGAGTTGGGGTCTATTCCACCTGCCAACCATCCATTGTCGGACGAGGATGTTAACGAATCCCTTGTTCCATCGAATATACTCACAATTGACTAGATTCAACACAGCATTCTTTGATGGTTCGTTTTTTTTTTCTACTGAACATTGACCTTCAATAACGATATTTATTCCTGCTTTGATAGTCTACGTCATTGCGATGTCATCTCGAAGCTGTCCTATATAAGAATTCTCCCAGAGTCCCAATCCCCCTACCCTTTATCTATCTATCATCTGCAGATCAGATTTATCACGAAAAATAAATTCGTTACAATGTCCTCGAAAAAGATCCTCATCGTCCTCAGCGACGCCCACTCTTTCCCCTTGAAGAAAACCTCTGGCGCCGACGCCGGCAAAACAGTCGAGCAACCATCCGGCTTCTTCCTCATGGAACTCGCCAAACCCCTCCAGAAGATCCTCGACGCAGGCTACGAAGTAACATTCGCCTCACCAAAGGGCCAAGAACCCGCTCCGGACCCGAACAGCGAATCGCTCCTCGCCTTCGCAGGCAACTTCTACGAGCGCCGACGCGAGAACGAGCTCATCGAGCGCATGAAGCGCGAGAATGGTTTCGCTAAGCCCAGGCCCTTCAGTACCATCAGCGATGGGGAGCTGGATTCCTTCGCGGGAGTGTTTATTCCCGGCGGACATGCACCGCTGAAGGATCTAGGTGCGGATAAGGAGCTGGGACGGGTGTTGCGGCATTTCCACGAGAAGAGCAAACCGACGGCGGCGATTTGTCATGGGCCGTATGCGTTTCTGAGTACGAAGCAGGCGGGGGATGGATCGTTTGTGTACAAGGGGTATAAGATAACGTGCTGGAGTGATGCGGAAGAGAAGGTGATGGAGACGCTGATGGGCGGAGAGATCGAGAAGGTTGAGTCGAGGCTCAGAGATGAAGGCGCAGAGATGGTCGAGGGAGTCATGGAGAAGATCGGTAGCATTACGGTTGATCGTGAATTGGTCACTGGGGCCAATCCGATGGCGGCGAATGTGTTGGGAGATCAGTTCTTGAAGATGCTGAGCGCTCACTAGATGATCCTGGGAGCGTTTCATTATAACGTAATCTATCATCCTCTGGGGGACATAATACCATGCGTTCAGACAAATATAGGCTGGATAAAACAGGTGATTCTCGAATACTTCTAGTTCCAATTATTGTTTCCATCTTTATCGTTGGGTGGGTCTTTAATGGATACTCAAAACCAGATGGGTCAAGGGAGAATGAGAATGAGAATGAGAAAGCATGTCAGATCTTCGATTTCGCTCTCAGGATTCTGTAAGCCTCCCTGCTTTAGGGCTGAAGATAGCGGATGCGGAAGAATGTATCAACAATAGATGTTTTGGGTTAGACACAAGTATCAACAATAACAAATGTAGCACATTAAATATGCCTTTTTTTTCATTTATCTTTCTTGGGGTTGGGCCCAATACCAGGAGACTTGGAGAGCTTGCAGGCCCGAATTATTGAGGAACAGTCCCTAAGATGCACTTCTCTCGTAGTGCTACAGCGATAATTTTGCTAGCATCAGCTTCATGTATCCAGTCATCTCCTGTATACACAAACCATTACAAAAGAAAACCTCTCAGCATCAACACATGGACACCGACGCCCTTTGCAAACCCCACTCCGGACAGAATCGCTTCCTCGCATGTCTTCGAATTGACCAAGCTGGACACAAGGATCAACTCTCGCAGCGTTGCCAGTCTCAATAACCCACCGCACTCAGGAAAAGCAGACGTGATCTCCCTCGTCGAAGGAGGCGGCTTCGCGGCCTCTATCACAGTCGGCAACCAGACGCTCCAGGTTATCGTCGACACGGGATCGAGCGATATCTGGGTGATCTATCCCGAGTTCAAGTGTGTAGACACGAGAAGCAGAGAAGAAACCGCCCAGTCAGAATGTGCATTTGGACCTGCATACTCAGTCGACGGCAATTTTCGGCAGGTCGAAGGGGAGTATCTCGACATCAAGTACGCGGACGGAGAGATACTCTCCGGAGTAATTGGGACGGAGACGGTCACATTGGCTGGAATCACACTTAACCAAACGATTGGACTGGTGAATTATGCCGGATGGTACGGCGACGGGGTGACCTCAGGACTCATGGGTCTAGCGTACCCATCTCTGTAAGTGATGGCCTTGTATCCGCATCCATAAGATTTACCCATGACCTGATGGACAAGTCAGTGCGAGGGCACGCTCAAGCCAAAGCAACCAAGCGCCTGTTTACAAACCCATTTTCACAAACATGTACGAGCAGGGCCTGATTGACCCGGTCTTCAGCATGTACATGACCCGCAAAGGATCCAATGCACAGGCAGCCGGGTATCTGGCGCTGGGTGGTCTGCCACCCGTTGATATCAAGGGTCGCTTTACCTCTACACCTATTTTGGTCACCCAGATCGCAGGATATGCACAAACATATGGCTTCTACACTATTGAAGTCGGAGGGATGACCGTGCAAAATCGCTTGCTAGAGTCAGGTGGTGGTCCTGGAACCCAGTATATTGTACGCATATGCATCCACCAAACATGCACTTTTCGCGTCCACTCACGCTGTTTAGGTCGATTCGGGCACAACCCTCAACTACTACCCAAACGCGGTAGCGGATGCCGTAAATGCAGCGTTCAACCCGCCGGCAGTATACAGCAATGATCTAGGAGCTTATGTGGTGAAATGCGATGCGAAGCCGCCTATTCACGGAGTTATAATTGGCGGGATGTCGCTCCATATAGGCCCCTTGGATATGATTGTACCTGCTGGAACCGATCGCAATGGAAACAGGGTTTGTATTAGTGGAGTGAATGCTGGTAAAGTCATTGGGGAAGGGATATATGTCCTCGGTGGCACGTTTCTGAAAAACGTTCTCGCTGTGTTTGATGTCGGCGCTGCGGAGATGAGGTTTGCGTCGAGCAGATAGTAGCATATTGCAATGGCGAACTTCAAGTATATAAGTAGTAGTATTCATACCCCTTCAGCATGCCTTCCATGAGGCTACTGCCCTCCAGGAAGGCAGTGCCTATACTCGCCTAGCTATATGTACTTATCTTTGGCTGCACCAGATAATTAAGTCGTCCTATCTATACAATCAAGTTCATTACTAAATCTCTTTATTTAGGGTTACTAAGGAGCCTATTTAGGCTTATATAGCTAACTTCCTTCTCTTTTAGTCTTATCTAAAAATTTTACTAGAGAATCTTACACTTAGGGTACACTATGAATACTAGAGAGAATACTGCAAAAAGAAGAAATTTAAAAGATTTTTTAGTAGGAGATCAAGTCTGGATCTTTGTAAAGGATACATTATCGATTTAGCCGAGTATACAGCTAAGACTAAACAGGCCAGAATGGAGTGATATGAATTTACTATGCCACTGCCAACTCGGTCATCTCCTGATAGCCAATCCCAATAGACAGGTCGTTACGATCGAACCAATTGCATGCACTTATTCAAGGGGCCACATGTGCCCCGGAGATACCCTGACATAGAATTCTCCCCCGACGTACGAAGTTCACGTTTATCATCGCAACCGATGCGCTATCTCGATGGTTCCATCTTGGCGAGGCTGCAATTGGCCATCCAGATATGATTCCGACTCGAATCAAGGTCAATGGGCATGACAAAACCTCATAATAGCCGTAATCCCTGTCTAGCTGCTTGCTCTGCTGCCTCCTACTTGTTTAAATGTTGGTGTTCGCTCGCCCCCCCCCAGTCACTGTTTAGCATCGCTGTTCCCCGCCGCATTTAAGTCCAGCACCCGACAACATGACCACAGAAGCAGAGGCAGAAGCAGAAATTATCGTCGTAGACTCGGGAGAGGAATACAGTTCCAACTACACCTTCACTGACTCCGAAGTGACATCCCTCCGCAGCAGCGTCGTCGACTACATTTACGAAAACGGTCGGCGGTACCATGCCTACCACGCAGGTGCATACTGGGGCTCCAACGATGAAAAGTCGATAGACGCCATGGATATTTGCCACTTTATGTACAGTTTGTTGTTGCATGGCCAATTGTACCTCGCTCCTATCGGCAGCCCCGAGCGAGTCCTGGATGTGGGTACGGGGACCGGAGCGTGGGCTATGGAGTTCGCCGACCTGCATCCGACGGCCAAAGTCATTGGCACGGACCTGTCGCCCATCCAGCCAAACTTCGTGCCCCCCAATCTGACATTTGAGATTGATGACTGCTGTGATGAGTGGATGTACCGAGATCCATTTGACTTCATCCATGTGCGCGGGTTGTACGGCAGCGTGGCCGACTGGGACAAGTTCTATGAGCAAGCCCTCAAGTAGCTGCATCATTCCTATCATCCAAGTGTCTCATGCACTGATCAGACAATAGACACCTCAAGCCAGGCGGATACCTCGAACAAGTGGAAATGAACGTCGCGCCAACTTCTGACGATGGCAGCACCAACGGCACCATCTACGACAAATGGGGACCGGCCAACCTGGAGAGCGGCGACAAGTTCGGGAAGTCGTTTCGCATTGTCGACGAGTCCAAACAGCGCATGATCGATGCGGGATTCGAGGATGTGGTGGAGCGCAGGTACAAGCTGCCCATCGGGCCGTGGGCAAAGGATAAGCATCTGAAGACTCTGGGACGGTACTTTCGTCTGGTGTGTGAAGAGAGCCTGGAGATGTGGGTGATGATGCTGTGGACCAAGGTGCTAGGAGTGAGTAGATGACCATCAATCTGAACATTATCAGTACTGACAAACGCAGTGGCCGAGAGACGAGGTCGAAGTGACACTGGCGGAAATGAGACAGGCGTTTCGCAACCCCAATCTTCACGCCTATGCAAATGTCACGGTCGTCTATGGTCGCAAACCAGAGAAATGACTCCTCGGTAGGAAATATCAAATATGTTCGTATAGATGTGTGAAGAATGTCCACAAAGAATTTATGACCAACAGCAGTATCTCAATACTGGCGGGTGATTGATTCACACCACTCCCAGAATTTCTCTGCGCCTCCTGTCCCTCCTTGATCAGCTCTTTTTGCAGCTATCTCGACATCCTTCCTGACGTGCCCAATTCGACCCCAAGGCTTGATGTAGCAACCACTGTTCGACAAGCTGATATCGCTAGACCAACCGGCATATAGTTCAGTATATGCTCCATTGATAGCAGGGTACATCAGCATTTCCTAGTCTGTCAGCTTAATCTCAACTTCAGGATGGCTACATACCCAAACAGCCCGTTTGACCGGCTTAAAATCGCGCAGCAGTTCCGTTTTCAGATTCCCCGGATTCCATGCCTTGATCGATGAGTACAACAGGTAATATGTCTTGAGGTAACCAGCGAGGATTAAGCTTCATACCACTGACACGATCCCAGCATCATGATATCTCCTGGCCGTCTCAACTGCTAAAAAGTAATTCCCTGCCTTCGACTGACCGTAGTTGGACTCTTGACTGCGATGCTCTCGCGGAGATCCATTTGGGTCGAACACAACTCCGTTTCGGGGCGCATATAACTCGATCGTAACGGACGCTGCCCAGGTTATCCGGACCGATCCTGGAGGAGATACGGCGGCGGTCTGACGAAGCACAGGAAGAAGGCACTGAGTGAAGTGGTAAGGACCGAGACAGTTGGTTCCTAATTGGAGTTCGAAGCCCTGGACATGTCAGCGAGTAGGCTGTACCATGCGGATAATAGTACCTGAGTAGTCTTCGATCCCTTTGGAGGGATCATAACTCCTGCGTTGTTTGTTAGGACATCGAGCCGGGATTCTCGAGCCATGAACGTCTTTGCAGCTTGACGAATTCCACTCAGATCGGCCAGATCCAATAACAAGAACTCCACCCGCCCAGTAGAACCGGGATGCAGTTGCTGGATAGTAGTGATAGCATTCTTGGCCTTTTCTTCGCTTCGTCCGGCGATATACACAACCCCATTGCGCTGGAAAAGGATGCTGCTCAACTCGTAGCCGACACCAGTATAGCCACCGGTGACGATGAAGACCTGTTGGTGGGACGTTAATGCAGTCAGATCAAGTACAGTCAGTACTCTGCTCACCCTTCCGCTCTGATCTTCGAGGTTCTTCTCAGTAAGAGGCGCTCTGGGAATAAACAGAGACTGATTAATGGTGTTCATCTTGAACTGTTGATGAAATAAATTGCTGAGGAACAAGAAACAGGATAAAAAAGATCGCGTTCGGTGGGAATAAGCTCACTCTGGGAGTACGCAAGGCATGAAAACGACGATTATATGCATCTCATGTCACATGAATCATCAGATCATACTGCAGATTCCCCATCCTTACAGAATGTATGCACACTTGACGAGCCTGGCGTGGCTGTATGAAGACCAGAATTAAGGCCTTTTGTTACTCTCCTGTGTATAACATCATGTTTCACTTATATGCTTCTCCAACCAAACACAATCCCATTATCTTCTTTTATCAGAGTGATTGGCATCTCCCTATGCTGCCCGGTTTTTGTTCAACACATCTGCAAATTTCTGACCGAGGTGCTCTTCCAGCATCCGCTTATGTCCCTCTGAAACCTTTCTAGAATCTTTCAATGTTTTGGCATACTTGTCGATCAGCTCATCCAGGCTTTCCTCCTCGCCCCAGTCGTCCTGCGTTGCCTCTTTCGCGGCCACTGCATCCTCCCACACATCTTCCATCTCTTCTGTCCAGCCCAGGATATCCGCCAGCTTGCGCACCCCATCGTCGCAATCTCCCAGAATACACAAGTCATTTGGTCGCACACCAACGTCTCCAGCCTTCTCCCGGTTGATCAAGACACGAGGGACGCCCTCCCGAACCTGACCGGGCAGACGTGAACATGGCGCCACCTTCAAGCTCGTCCCCATCACTATCATTAGATCCGCTTCTGGTACCTTCTTCTCCTCGTCTTCAAATTCTGCAGGGAGAGACTGTCCGAAGAAGACAACATCCGGTTTGATCGGACCCCCACAGTCGGGTACTTGACAGTACGGCACCACTCCTTTAGCGATGGCCTCTTTCATCAGGTCATCCGGATAGGAAGTCTTGCATTTCCAGCAGTGCTGCGTGCGCCAGCTCCCGTGCGCATTGAGTATTTTATTCTCGGGGACCCCGGTATCGCGTTCTAGTCCATCAATGTTCTGAGTAAAGAGGAAGTGGAGCAGATTTTTCTTCGCCAATAGCGCGAGAAAGGCGTGGGTGATGGTAGGTTTGAGCGTGCGAGGGTGTCTAGCCCGTGCGATCGCGTAGAATGGCTCTGGGGTGTGTCGAAAGTAGTTGATATGGAAGATGGCCTCGGGATACGGCAGCCCCAGAGGCTTGAGACGGTCATAGATGCCTGTCTCGGGCGATCTGAAGTCGGGGATGCCTGCAGCAGTGGAGATGCCAGCGCCCACCAGCACGACGATGCGACGGATCTGGCCGGATTTGATCAATGTGGCAATCTTTTCAATTTCTTCCATCTTGAACGGTATGAGTGGGACGAATGAGGAAAACAAGCAGGAGAAGAGGGGTTATGGGAGAAGAGGGGTGATGATTGATGCATGTTGTTGGCCTGTTGCTTGCAGTATCACCAGGGCAACCTTGGCCGTCTCGATATCTTATAATCAGCTCTACATAACCACCACCGGTACAGTACCTGTGAATCTTATTTGAATCCGGTATGATTGTTGTCGGAAAACTGCCTGGCAGATAAATATCCTGCCTGTGCCATCTATCTACATGTTGGGGAATGAATCTTCAATGCACGGCATACTCTGCGGCTGCAGACTTGTCTAATAACAAACGCATAATGCCAGAGTTAGAGTCCTCAAGCGTTCTTGATCTGCAGTTCTGCGCTTTCTTTCCCCATCGGTTGATACGGACCGACGTGTTCTGCAAAACTAGGATAGCCACAGATGTGGATGGCCTTGATGTGTTACTGACGCAGTAATGCCTCAAATACTTCCCATTAAGAGTACAATCAGAGACTAGCAAAGCTCACTGATATCCACAGCTATGGTTCGTTGCACTGACAGCAAGAGAGCCGGATACGAGTCATTATGAGCAAACAAAAGCCCGTTTGGTGGTTCCGGGTCAGGCAGACGTCAGCGAAGATATTTCGTCTTATAGGACTCCAGCGACATCTTCCGCTCCTCACAGAGATATCTGAAAAGACACCTTGCACTCACTGCAACTATGGCAGAGCAAATGGCAGTGATACAGAAGCTCAGGCATAAGCTACAGACTTTCTTGCCACTGAAGTCCCCAGTGACCATGGAGAACAAAGGAACACAAACCGGAATCCTCCCTAAACGCGAATGGCCATTTCTTACTGCTGAAGAGAGGGAGCATCTGGCACTGAAATGGCAGGACTGCGATACCATGGAAGAATTTATCGAGCTGGCCAGAATGCCTCCCAATACAGCTGAGTGGCTTATAGCTTTGACATTGACTCCCCCTGGAAGACGCCACGTGAAACTGTTACTAATATTGTAAAGTTCCATGCTGAGACATTCCTCAGCAACACAAAGAGACTTTTAGTGGAAGAGAATTACAACAGGGATATCTCCTGGACTAGTAACCCTTTTCTTCGATATGATTGGGATCTCCGTGTGCTTGCCTATGTGGATATGGCGAGAATAGCAGATTATTATGGAGGAGTTGACAAGAACTGCGGTTATTCATATTGGATATATCTCAGGACTCGATGGCCGTCAAGAGAGGAAACAAACCCTCGTGTTGACTCTCGTTACCCTGTTGGTATTATGTTTGGGGCATGACCCTGAGAATTTCCAGTGATATACCTGCCTGGCAATATCTCAAGGAGCACCGACCAGCAAGCAAACAGCGAACCCAGTATCTCGATCACCCTCGATACCGATCGGTCAATTGCATGGAGAATGATCCTAGTTACAAAGAGGGAGAATGGTCTGCCTGGCTATTCTCAGAGCCCTGGAGTGAATGGCTCCCCACCGAGTTCCTGTATAGATAGCTCATTCATTAGTTGAAAAATCCACAAAAGAGTCAATAGGCAACACATCTTGCTTCTATTATATGAATAGCTCTTTCACTGCATCTATTGTCATCATTCACTGGGGTCTGTGGTGCTTCACTCCATAGCCACAGGTACAGAGACCAGCTTCCATTCACACAGAAGCCTCCTACCATTGCCCTTGAATATCACTAAGATCCAGTGTTGTCTTTTTCCCCTCATAAACTTCCACTGCTAGCTAACAAAAAAATGCAGTCTCCACTGGACCCTATTAAACTAGGTCAAAATCAGCGTACCGATAGTAATGGGGATGCCGTCTACGCAGCCACGGTCAACAAGCCTTGGGGTGGCCCCTGGCCCCTTTAACCCGGCCCATGGGGACCAAAAGAATGGTCCACCTGTTTCCTAAACCCAGTTCAGGATGAGTTGGTGATCGGTCATGTGATCAAACAGGCCATATCTCAATCTCGCACTCTTTCTTCTTCTACCATCCACCAACACAGAAAGTTCCTCTACTTATTTTCGAAGCGCATAATTTCGCGCCTTGTACGTCTTCACGGCTCTCTATGTGCTTGTAGCGCCATCACCTGAGCACGAACAACGGGGTTGGTCAAGATACCTCCACCAATCGTCAGACCCATCGAACCCGTTGCTCATTTCAATTGTCTCTCCGTGAAAGTGAGCTATGCCTCCTAAACCTTGTCTTACTGGGGATGTGACTTATCTAAGAATAAGACAACGACTATTTCCTCGACTCGGGAGTCGCGAGTGTGACGTGACAATCGAGACTCTATTTCAAGTCACTGCCGCGCCCACTCCCAAGGTTGCTCTCACCTGAATAGCATGGAGCTTATGCATTTACCAAAAGAGCTTCTTGAGCATATCGTTGGATATACCTTGCCAGAGGGCTTCGAGAGTCTTGCATTAACTTGCAAGCGCTTTCATGCTCTATGTACTGCGTTTCTTGCGTACCACAACAGACTGCGCTGGCATTTCCAAAAGTTCCACTACTACAAGACAAAAGAGGTGGTGAAGAGCAGACTTGCTATACTCCAAATCCCTGACACAATCAGCTCAGCGTTCAACTTGATTGCGAGGATTGCTGTGGAGCCTGTTGTAGCGTGCTACATTCAAGAGGCGGATTTTGTAAAGGACAGTGAAATATCGATGGGCAAACCGCGTGATTTTGTGACTGACGGATCTCATGACGAAGCTATGATGCGACTGCTTGCTGGTTCTCCTTACCTAAAACAAGCAGGTTTGGACTGGAAGGAATACTGGGCTGTAATTCAGGAAGACCTCAACGACGGTCGTTATTCACAACATGCTGCAGCCTTTACTTTGACTCTGCTTCCGAATGTCAAGTTTCTCGGCCTGCCTAAGTGGTGGAAGCCACAAGCTGCACCTGATAAACTTATCGATACCATGATTTCGAAAGCTCGAAATAACCCTAGTTGCAGCACCTGCCTTGCTCAAGTCACGAGCTTGGTAGGCCATGGCTGTGCAGACGGCAGATTCAATCTAGATTGGGCAGCTTCTTTTCTGACCTTGCCACAGGTTCAATATTTTGGAGCCACATGGTGTAAAGGTGGCAGCGATAGAAATGCTACGCTAAGATACGAAGCACTTGAATCGGTTTCTTTTGTTCATGCTTCCATTGATGAGATTGAAATTGCGCGTTTTCTTCAGAACACTCCGCGTCTCAAGACGTTCAAGTTTTGGCATTCAGCGGAAGATATTGATCCTACGCAAGGCTGGGATCTTTGCCAGTTCGTCACGGTAATTGCGCACAAAGTCGGAGACCACCTCGTGGACCTTTCAGTACTCCTCGATGACGAGCCTCGTACCACTGTCAGTCCTGGGAGAGCATCGTTATGTGGGTTTAAAGGCCTAGAAAGACTCCAGCTTCCCCTCGAAATTGTATCATGCAATCTCATGGCTGCTGCTTCAGACTTGCCCGAATCACTCATCCAGGACCTTATACCGGCGTCGGTCACACATCTCTCTTTTGTGTCCTGTGGGACGGATGAAGAGGCAAAGGCTCTGGCGATCATCTTTCATGACTTTCCCGCTGTGAAGGCTCAGGCACCCTGTCTCAAAGAGATCCACCTGACATTGCCTGCAGAGGCAACTGAACTATATAGGGATCACTTTGCCAAGGTTTCCGCGGAGATCGAAAAGGCGGGCGTGGTATTTAAGGAGGAACAGTGGATTCAATCAGTTACTTGGGACGACGAGGAGGACTAGGCCTCACAATGCTGCTCAACCTTACGAATCATGTGGAAACGCTTGATTTTTTTTTTACCAATAGCTTCCGTTCCTCACTTCGCTTAGAGCACCTGGCAGAGGACTCTACCGCAAAACAAGCCAACATTGCCTGAGGATAGGGGAAAATCTATCACCACCCATTCTTTTGTAAGATAAGTACAATATTGAGGTATTTCTTCGTGGAATTTGAAGAGCTTGAACCTTTGTCTAATTTTGGCGAACAGTCCAGCGCGTATCCGCTCTGATATCTAGATGGGTCAATGGGGGGTTATGGCAAAAACGAGATCGCTAGGGCATACCTAAGAGCGGGAGCGATTGGGTGTGCTGACCGCAGCCGTACCAGGGAAAGACACGCATATGGTGTTGTTTTCTTGTTCCCGTTTGTTCTGATATTCAAGGGTGAAGCCACGCGTGCACTTCTTTCCTCAAGTCCCTTTTGGAAGTCTTTCAGGAGCATCTTCTTTGAAATGGCTGAACAGTGAGAAAATAAGAACAGAAGGCCGGACAGTCACTCCAGGGGTCATGTTTATGGGATGGGCTCAAGTCAAGGTAGGCGTATGCGTGGGTGAGAGGGGGTGAGAACTCTCACTCCCTCTCACCTTGTTCTCACCTCTATCATCCCAGTCTCCAGACTTCTCACCCTAGGATAAAATCTGTCGCCATTTTAAGGCTCAGGGCGCTTTGAGAATTGACCGCATACTATAGTCGGCTTAAGTACGGCTGAGCGGACGGGAAGCCCTGTTCTCAACACCCTGTGGTCGTATGTGACAGACGAAACACAAGGGTGCACTATGTATGCTCTTTTATAAGCGGTTTGAGGCAGGGTAAACGGCAGAGATGAAATTCAACCTTTCTGGGCAATCGAACCTTTCGATACGGCGCGGTTGAAGAAGAATGGCGAACTCCCCACAAGCTGCACACCACTGGATAAAGAATACCACCAAAACCTATTCAGCGCCGAGAAGCCACTCTGAGTTTCTCTTTTGTCACGTCTCTCGCTGAGAGACGTGAGGGATTTGATCCTGCAGAGCCTACCCGACTTTGAGCATACTTCTGATCCTGCTTCAAATGCCAGAACGCTTCCCGATGGGTCTCCGTCTCTGCGAGACCTTGCTCTGATGACTTATCGGATGAGTTTCTTTGTCAATCCTACATCTTTATGTGAACAGCTCGCGGCTGACTATCTCCACTACATTGCGACTATTAACGAGGACTGACAATTCAGCCCTCTGAGCCGATCTTGCCTTGGGTTGCCGCAGGAGAGATGATGCGCAACAACCGCAGCAAGCGACTGGATGTGGTTCAAGCATTGCTTTATCACACACAGCGTGGCGTCATCGCGGTGGGAGACATTGGCGAACTTGTTGCTGCAATGATACTGTTCTTCGCATTTGACGATGCGCATGGCAGTGGCCCACCCCATCCCATCAGGCTCTGCCGGTTGGTTGAGGCACTTCTACCTTCGGAAAAGGTGCTGACGACCCAGAAGGGGCTTTCTGGTCTCCACCAGATTCTTGTCATTCTCGCTCTTCAATCCTCTCTCGTGGTGTTGTATCTTTCTCTACGGTGGTTTGTGGAAGGGAGCATCTGTTATTAGATTCTGTAATCCTTTGAGTCAAGATACTGGTCCTACATGAGCCTACATGGGCCTAGTGGACTACAATCCTAGGACAGCATCAATCAATCAAGTCAATGAGAACATCTAGCCCTTTGCTATCCAGCTCAATTGCATTGTCAAAACTCAATGCATAATGAAATGTATCCAATGGCCGTTTGTTGAACATCAACTTTGCTCCTGGATCTGGCACACTGGAGTAAAATCCTGCGTTGAGGCTATACAGAGAAGCCCTCAGTAGGCAGGTAGCTCTATATTACATCATCCGGTCCATCACTATCACGCCTCCTGCTGCTGCCTCCATGCCGCATGCTTGCGGTAAATATCCCGACGGAAGGTCTGCTTCAGCGAAGCGGCCGCATCCATGTCCAAAGGAAGAGTGGCTTGGACAGCGCCGACGCCGCATAGTCCATTCTTTCGATCAATAAACCAGGTGAGCGTCATCCCGCCGCCCCAGGTCAGCGTCCGCTCCCCATACCAGCCTTCCTGATCCTCAAGCGTGAGTAGACCTCCCAGGCCATGACCGATCTTAACACCTGTATCGACGCCTATGCGGAAGGGAACACCCGCGGGAGACACCGCGGCCGCCTGGTGGGCCGCGCTCGCCTCGGGGCTGAGATGTTGCTGGAACATATCGTCGACAGTTGCAGGCTTCAACAGCTGGCCGTCGTTGGCGAGCAGCGAGTGCAGAATTTTGATATAACTGGCGCCCGACATGAACAAGCCGTGGCCGCCAAAGTCTCCGCGGGCGCGCTTGTTCATATCGCCGCCGCCGCCGAGCACGGCGCGGCCGAGCGCCTCCGGATCTTGCGGGTTGAGATCGACGAGGCGCGATCGCAGGTCGTCTCTCGTGACGGGGTAGAATTGGGCATCGTTGATCCCTAGCGGGCCCAGGATGCGCTGTTGTACGTACTCGCCGAGCGTGCGACCGGTCACCTCTTCCACGATGCGACCCGCCCAGTCGAGGCCCGGGCCATACATCCAGCCGCTACCGGGCTGGTAGCTAAGAGGATAGCAAAACAGTTCCTCAACAGACAGACCGGTTTGATCTTCTGAAGCACCAAACTTCTCGCGCCAACGGGCAATTTGTGGGTCGAGAAAGTGATAGGGGGTACCCGCACTATGCGTGAGCAACATTTCGAGTGTGATGGGACGGGCTGGCGGCGCAAGGACTGGAGTCTCGCCATCCTCGGAGAAGCCTGTAAGGACTTGCTTTTTGGCCAGTTCCGGGGCGACAGACGATAGATCACCGGTCAAGCTCAGCAGGCCGTCCTCGACGCACTGCAAGGCGGCAATGGTGGTGATCAGTTTGGTCGCAGATGCCAGAAACAATACATCGTCTAGCTGCTGCGGGCGTTTCTCACCAGATAGCAGGGTGCGTTCACCGAGAGCATTGTTATAACGAAAGCGCCCTTCGACGTCTGTGGCACAAAGAACAGCGCCGTTGATCTTGCCAGCTTCGATGGCGGCCTGATAGCTGGTCTCAATGTCATCGGCCATTTTGAGTGGACAACCGAGTTGTTTTCAAGTTGAAAATTGAAAAGCAGAGGGGCTGACGCTCACATTAGGCAGACTCTCTCTATACTTATATCACATCCAATGGCATGCCCCTGGAGTCTCAAAGCACTGCCGCCGTAGACTCCGCTCTTCTCAGCCTATAGACATCAGGCATGGCTTCGTCCCAACGTTTTCCGAATCCCTGCAATTAAAACTCCCTTACGGTGGGCTATTATTGCTTGACTACTGTAGTATACGTAGTATGGGCCACAGCTAAGCTTCTAAGCTCATGCTCCCCTCCTGTTGGTTACAACAGACCATATCAGCATTCATGAAATCAATTTTGACTATTATTTGCGGGGAGTTGGAGAAATAGAAGACAACGCCTATCATTAGAGCTTACTGTTGCATGGTTTTCGGTCAGAATATCTGGCATCATTGGGTTGAACGTCGCTAGGGCGTTCTGCCGGGGACTCTTTTAGGAAAGAAGAAAAATACCCAAGGTCAGCAAGGTCATCAAGGTCCAGTGATTGATTCGTTTGTTAGGCTGCAGCGATCGGATTCCCATGGCTTGAGGCGCAACGGTGGAGCTTAAAGAGAGCTAACATTATCCATGACGAGTCCCAACGTCGGTCCCGCTCGGATGGGTTGATCTGAAGGACCTCAGTGCGTGTGTAGAGTATCTCTATAATGTGGCATGTGGACGTCCATTTTTTTGCTCAGACTTTTCCATTGAATTGAACAATAGGAAAAAACAGATCCACCACTCCTTCCTGTCGGTATCTTCAGCAGTCGCAACAACACGAATCAACCCAAAGAACTCAAGTCACCCTAGCCCGGTCTAGAGTCCAGGCGTAGTTTCACCGGACTGGGAGAATTTCTCCTGCAGGAAGGGATGGGGTGGAATTGTCGGGTAGTTTCATCTCTTTCCTGCACTTCATGTGCCATCCACTAAGCACATGCTTGGTCTTCAATTGGATTATCTCCATCTCCCCTGGTTTTGATCGGGACACCGAGATTGTCGCCGTAAGCAAGTACGCCGACGGCACTGACGACATCGGTCTCCTGTTCCTCGCTGTGAGCCTGAAAGACACACCTGAGGAGGCGGAAGCAGCCCTTGCTCCCGGTCAGCAGTCTCGCCCAGCTGACGCTATCGAAGAATGGTTCTGTCGGGAAGACAGTCTATAGAACCAGTACATCAACCAGGGCCAAGCAAATCCTGAAGGCCTCGTTACTTGCTGATGCTCCAAAAGTGCTTGAGGAAGCTTTTACTACCCTTCCACATCGCAAGGCATGTGCTCTGTTGTATGCCATGAACCCTTGCAGTCGTCGGACTCTGCCGGACATGGCACTGAGCACGCACTCGGACCACTACTTTGCTCTGTACACTATGTGGAAGGAGGAAAAGGACAATGCCCGTTGCCAGGCCTGGGTTCGAAGTGTAATGCAGCAAGTCCAGCGACATTCGGTTGCGGCTTACCTGGGAGATTCCGACTTCCAAGAATGCTCAACGCGCTACTGGTCAGGGAGAAATGGGTGCCGGCTAATAGAGGTTCGGCGGAAGTAGGATCCCACAGGCAGGATCTGTGCATATCTAGACAAAGGAGATATCTCGGGCACAAGAGGGTTGGACAACATCCATGAATGGGAGTCGGTATCCGCCCAATTATGATGCGTTTTTTTTTCTATTTAGTTTGAATTTTTTGGGTATATGGTATGTCCTAGAGCTATAGATTTCTGTTTAAGGAGATTAGACCTGGTTCCCAGGCTCTGGCTTCCATTCTGGTTTCGGTCTCCCCAAACCTGGAGAGGCTGACACTGTGCCCAGTCGGCCAGGAACTCCCCAAACAAGTGATAGCAAGTGATTTGGAGGCAGGCAGAGAAATCAACACTCCAGATTACTTCTTTAAGCATTTCCTGGAGCGCTCAACGGGCAACAGGGACCGGCCGTTTCTCCAGAATCTCAAAACAGTCAGATTCATACCCGATCCCGACAACGATTCTGGGGGCTACATGGATCTGTACTATCAGGAGTATGATCTTTATGGCAGTTTGAACCTGGTTCGCCGGCTTCCAGCCATTGATTCTGTGCGCCTGGATGCCATCACGGATCCTGAAGAGAGTAGTGTTCGGCCGCCGTCTCGTTCGGCGAATTACACCAAGATTGTGATCCGCAATTCAAGCATAGACTATCACTATCTGACGGATGCTATTGATTCCGCGAAGCGACTCAAAGAATTCACATTTTCTGTGGGCGGTCATGCCTCAATCGACGGATCCTTCCGTCTGTTCTATCCAGATGCAGTGTTCGGATCCCTCCTCCTCCATCGGAATACTCTCGAACATCTAGATCTGGATGTGGATGGCGAGATCCCACTCCGGGAAAGCTTCGATCCGAGCCTGGGACAGTACTTTTTTGCTGATGATGATCCTGGTCGCAACGAAGAGGAATACCAATTTGAATGGGAAGAGGAGCCGGAGGAGCTTCGGAAGGTAGAGCAGAAATCTGCAGAAAAGGGCGATTCTCCTTCTTCTTGCTCCTTGCGAAGCTTCGTACAGCTGAAGCACTTGAGTCTGGGGATTCATCTACTGTATTACTTCGCAAGGGGTATTTGTGCTGAGCAGCTTGCGGACGGAGCGTTCTCCGTCGTAGATCAGCTGCCACCGAGTCTCGAATCGCTCTGCATCTATGGCTACATAAAGGGGATGAAGCCTCCGCTCGATGAATTGCCAGCAGATCTGTTCGATACCGAGATGGCGAAGTTGATGGCGGAAAAGGATCAGAAACTGCCTCTCCTAAGAGTCATTGAGGGTATCGACACAACGATTGAAAATGCGAAAACCATCGACAACCTCAACGAGCAGGAGAATGAGGTTTGGGAAAGAGAGAGCGACTGCGAATGGACGGATTATGAATATTGACAAGGTTGAACAGTTCACTCTCGCAGTCATACTGTACGTAATTTCACTCAACACATAGAGTGCCCAAGCATAGTCCCACTGCGCAGTCCACCTCCCATCGGATCCATGTTTTCAGGGCTGAAGAAGACATCTGCCATCTGGGCTTTGTTAGCAACGACTTTTCAGAGAATTTGTTGCTACGTACCATAAAATCCCAGTCCTCCGACATGTCTAGAGGTACATCCATATACGTCTGGAGAAGTGCACCTTGAATGTCCGTGGATTGTCCTTCCGCAGCCATCTTTTCGAGAACCGGTAAACATCTTTCTTCTGCGTCTTCGATAGCCTTAATCAGGACAGTAGATAGGTCTTCTTGACGAAAGCCACGCATGAGTCCGTCAATCTGTGCAGTAATAGCAGACGTAAGCACGAATCCCTTGATGTTCGTCGCCCCGGCCTCGATCCAGCGGAATACCCATTCCTTTGCGGCTTTGACGACAGCAAGCAAGTCCGAGCGTGGCGGGAGGGGACTTAGCCCGTCGTCTTCGAGTACTTCTGCTCTAAACTCGGCAATGATAAGAAGCACGGCTTGGATGGTGAGAATACGAAAAATTCCAGAGCCACAGGTTAGAAGACGGGCGAGGCTTGATGGCTCTGGACAAGGTCCTTGATCCTCCAGAGGAAGCACAGCGCTCGAAGCTGGAGAAGCGAGGTACCAAATTTTAAGAGCCGCCTCCACGGCAACCTTCCTGGAGAATGCGTACGATGTTTCTCGCATTGCCGGACCAAAGAACGGGGAGTGGAGGGCGACAATATAACCATGCAAGAGCAAATCAACCGCATGAGTAGCGAACCGCGGTGGAGATGGTCCAGCGCTTGAATTGCATTTCTGGAGAGTTCGACAGAGATCTTTGTAGGAGGCCCGGAGGGTTGCATCTAGCTGAAGGGTTTCATCATACGTACCCGACGAAGCAAGGTCATTCAGAAATTTGAGCACTGCGAGGCGAATGGGAAGCGTTTTCCGAAGAGCAATCGCGATGGACGTCTGGGTAAATGCATGGTCGGGTTTTGGTACAGGATCCTCGGCTACAAGCTGATCATCGTCGAAATGGGCCGGAGGCTGAGAGTCAAAGTCGTCAATGGAGAGTAAGGGAGGTCCGCCGGACGCAAGACTTGACTGTAAAGTGATCTCCAGAATGGTGTTCCAGAGCCTTCGGCGCATTTCGGCAACATATGTGCTCTCGACCGGCAGCCGCGAGGGGTCCCGGTGTAATCCCAGGTATATTGCCTTTCGGAGCAGGGCTCCCGCCGCGAACCAGACCGAATCTCCCCCAATGCCAACTATCTCGCGGGCAATCAGAAGCAAAATATGTGTCTGCAACGATTGAATGTCGAGTCTTGACTTGAACTTTGGCTCTGACAGCCATGTTTCCGCCTCATAGACCCAGCGCAGAGCCGATACTTGCAGAGTGTACTTCTCGTCGTATATGCATGCGCCAATTGTAAGTACCAGCTTGAGCTGCACCAAAAACCCCGTGTCTATCTGTCCATTGGAGACCCAAAGTGCTTCATAGTTTCGTTTGAAGGTAGGGATATGGAGAACACGAAAGACGGTTTCCGTCGTCCGTAGATAGCAGTCCACCAGCTCATCCGTTACATCTTTGGGCGGAAGATGGTGTGTCGGTTGAGCTGGCCACGGGGGCGCTCGTTGTGCCTTGATGATTCGAGCTAGGGCTTTGCACTTCTGCATGCCGATGAAGGCGCTCGATGTCTCATCGCGTAGTTGCGACTCGGTCGTCTCCCATATGTCTTGGAACTACGATCATTGGTTAGCTGATGGATCGGGGCGTTGAATGGAGGCCGGTAGGCTACCAGAACGATTGAATTGATCCAGTGGGTCTGCCCAAAGGTGCGCCGCTTATGCGTGGTACTACGAGTCTTGGCCGGTGGTTGACCCATTTCCCGGTGGACATGGAAGATCCCGGCCACGCTAGACGTGGTTGTCTTAATGTTAGAATCAGGAATTGAGACAACCGGTTGAGCAGGCCGGACAGATGCTTCACGGATCTGCTTCTCCAGTTCTTGAATTCTCTGCTTGAGTAACTCGACTTCTTGCGTCGACGTCCGACTGACGACCGTGGAAGCCCTCGTAGAAGCCGGCGCTAGAGACGTCGTCGACTGGTGGCTGGATGGGGATGTTGCCAATCCGCTGCGACTCGGCCCGGCAGGAATGTCTGATGGGACTGATTGCAGAATTGATTCCCCGGGTACAAGGACCGAGCGGAGAGGGGTCAGAGGATTGTCATAGACACAGACCGAGTTCTTAGACCGCGAGCAGTTACTGCATGGAGTCGCCCGATTGCATCGGATCTTGCGCCTCCTGCACAGAGTGCATGATCTGTACCGCCAGCCGTCAGCAGTCGATCACCAAGCCTCCAGCAGATCTTACAACATACACGGCGGGCCGCCGACGTCGACGCCCACTTTCCGACATGTTTCGCTATCCTGGAAAACACTAAGAAATGGTCAAAAGCATCAAGGTGATTTGGTGCTACTACTAGACAGCGGTCATCTCTGAGTGGTGATAAGTGAACTCGAAGAAGGGAGATAAAAGGGTGTGTGAGTGTCTGCTCGTTGGCCAACAGGCGGAAGAAGATATCGGCAAATGTGGTTTTGGTCCGTCTGGTCTTCCATTTCCCGAGGCTTATCTCCGAACACTCCGTCAATAGAATAAAAACGAATCGTTTCAGCGTAGAAAAAAACAAATTATGGTCCCGACGAGGGTCGAACTCGCGACCTTGGCGTTATTAGCACCACGCTCTAACCAACTGAGCTACAAGACCACTGGATGAAGGCTTGCCGACTTTTGCAATATGTATGCTTGTTGAATATTTAATTAATCATGTTTCTGATATCCTGACTCGATTATCCACACAGGTCTTAGTGTGGGTTCGAGTTGTGTTCCATGGTGTAGCTATCATCTCTATAGAGTAGATATTATGAGTATATTATAAAATTTATATATATACTATTAATCCAGTAAATAGTTGACTAGTAGGTATATTAAAGATATTAATAATAAATACTAAGGTGATCAAGAGGGTAGATTCCTACAGCAGCAAAGCCGCTTTAAATATTCTAGGCCTGGATGACCGAAATCAAGCATCTCCATATACAACATACAACCCCCAAAACCTCGATTCCAGTCATGAACTCACAAGCCCACAGCCAAGCTTGCACCCAGCACCTCCCCTTATCACACTAGCGAGGCTGGATCCGTAAGCGCACATTACCCAAAGGCGCCAGAGTAATCGTGCCTGCACTTTTCCCAAACAAGTCTCTCTCAACTACTGCCGGGTCCGATCCGGGGGCCAGACTCACGCGGTATTGTCGCAGCAAGGTCGCGAAAAAGGCAACGTACTCAGCCTGGGCAAATTTGCGTCCAAGGCAGGCTCGTGAGCCATCGGAGAATGTCAGAAGTGTGCCTTTCATTTGCCGGGTCTTATCGGAGGCAACGACATGTTTTTCGCCTTGAGAACTGCGCCAGCGGTTGGGATCTAGTTTGTACGGTTCTGGTCAGTATTTCGGGTGATAGTGGACCGCCGGAGCATTGAGGTAAACTCGGGTCCCGGCAGGCAGGTCGTAGGACTTTGGGGTTCCATCGGGCCCCTGAGTAATGATGCGTTCGGACTGGTGGATCATCTTGGTAATGAGAGTGACACCCGGGAATAATCTGAAGGTTTCATACATGAAGCCGTAAGTGTACTCCAGGAACTCGAAATCGTCCTCATACGTGAGCTCCGATCGGTTGGCGGATTGAGCTCGGGCGTGGGCACTGTCAATCTCCTCGATTACTTGATCCTGGATGTCTTGATGAAGGGCGAGAACAGCTAGCCCGTATATGATGGCATTGGCGGTGGTTTCATATCCTGGTCACCATGTCAAAGTTAGCCCATCAAGTTCAAACAGAGGTTGTTCCAGGTTTTGAGCAGACGCACCAGCCAACAGGTAGATAAAAATATTGCCCATGGTTTCATCCTCGGTGAAGCCCTGCCTTCTTTCCCCTGATAGTCTTGAGGACTTCGCCGACGGCGGTTCCGAATCAAACACCATCGACGCTCGAACCACGGCGGTAAGAAGATTTCCTCGAGATTCCTTGTCAGCGTGGTTAATATCCGCCGACAGCTTTGCCCTTTGGTCGCGAATGATGTCTCGCAAATATCGATCTAACTGAGCGTGCGCTAGGGCGGCTTTGTTAAGTATGATAATGAGCACCCATCGGGGAAAGAGGAGGATCGGCACCATAAAGTGCAAAGTGTCCTGAAGCGCATGCAAGAAGCTTAGTTGATAGCCAGCAGGAATGCCCTCATTTTCACCGTCCTTGCTCCATTCTAGCCGTCTACCAAAACCGGCCAAAGAAATTATAGCAAGCGTCAAAGCGTTCACATCTTTCTGGATCTCTATGGGCGGAGATTTTGCCCAGGCCTCCGTCAGGCGCTTCGTTTGGTGTATTGTCTCCCTCCAGACTAAGCTGTTGACGCCGGAGAGATCACCAAATGGGGGTGCCGTGATGCGGACATGAAACTGATACGTCTTGCCCTCGGCGGTAGCAACGTTCATGCCATACGGCTCGAGAATCTCTGTATCGATAATAGTTTTAAAAATACGAACGCTATATACGTATAGAAAGCCCGGGGGGAGGGGAGGAGTTGGGAGATCATACTGTACTTATCCCGCGGCTTCGTGAATGTGTTCCGGCGGCTCAAGACATCCCTGCCCATCGTCGCATCGGCGGAATAGCAAATAATTCCCTCCGGAGACACGCAGAGGAACAAATCGCCGAGATCGTCATGGGCCTGTCGTTTGTCCTCCCATGCCCAGTCCTTAACGAAGAAGCGGCACCAGCGCGGCCAGCCTTTGCCGCGGTCTAAGTACCCGCGGTATAGGTACCGGAGAAGAGGATTGAAAAGGAGTGCTAACACTTCTGTTTCAAGCAAAGGCGTGATGGTGTAGGGCAGACCTGTCTTGCGGGCGAGTCTGACGTTGTGCGCCAGGCGAATTACCTTATACAGAAATAATGCCGCCAGTATGGTGAACGCGGATGACAGTAAAGGGAGCATTTTGGGACATAACCGGGCCAGGCTATTCGAGAGAGAGCCTGGAATCAAGAAGAGCTTATGGCGTTTGATCCAGCCGGGATTTTCTAACCTTGTCAGACTCCATTCTCCCAGATTTCGCCCCAGAGCCGGGAGGTCACGGAGTTTGCCAAATTGGGCAAGTTCCACCTCCGGTAAGCTTAGCTACCTGCCTGAGTATGTACCTACACTGTAGTAGAATGCTTATCGTCGATCAAGTAATCTCGGCATGGCTCTAGCATGGTACATAGGGGAAGCAGAGCCAGCTAAGTGACAGGTCAGATCAGCGCAGCCACTCGGGTGTCCATAGACTTTGAACCTGCATCTTTGGTCAGTGTCACTCCATTACACCCACCATGGAGCAGCAAACTATGCCACTCGCCATCATCGGTATGGCATGCCAGTTCGCCGGAGATGTCTCAAGCCCTGAGAAACTCTGGCAGTTGTGTGCCGATGGAAACAGTGCTTGGAAGGCGATTCCTGAGTCCCGATTTGCACAGAAGGAATTGTATCACCCAGATAACCAGAAACAAGGGACGGTACGTTACTTGCAATGACAGATAAAAAGGAGCTCATACACTTACTGATTCAACGCCTAGACAAACGTGGAAGGAGGACATTTCTTGGAGGAGGATGTATCCCTCTTCGATGCCGCCTTTTTCAACTTTTCATCCGAAGTGGCCAATGTAAGCGTCCGTCGAGGGAAATCAGCTAACTCAACTAACCTTCTCTTGCTCAGACTATGGACCCGCAGTTTAGGCTCCAGTTAGAGACCGTGTATGAAGCACTTGAGAATGGTGAGTCCCTTGCAAGCTTGCCAATAAGAGAACGAGGGAATTGATCTGGGTTTCGGTAGCTGGCATTCCGCTGGACCAGATTGCGGGCTATCGTACTTCTGTTTACGCCGGCGCTTTCTTTCGGGATTATCACGACAGTCTGATGCGAGACCCAGCCACTCTGACCCGCTTCTTCATGACCGGGAACGGATCAGCCATGGCATCGAATCGGATCTCCCACTTCTATGATCTCCGTGGGCCGAGCATGACAGTCGACACGGGTTGCTCAACGACCTTAACAACATTGCATCTTGCATGTCAGAGTCTGCGTAATGGAGAGTCAGACGTTTCGATTGTTGCTGGATCGAACATCTTATTGAATCCCGACATGTTCGAGTCCATGTCGAGCTTAGGGTGCGCACACTCTTTTCCCAACTAAGTGAGAGAAATGTACTGACGTATCTATCAAAGATTTCTATCGCCGTCCGGCAAATCCTATGCATTTGACCACCGCGCATCAGGCTATGGACGTGGCGAGGGCGTCGCCACGTTGATTGTGAAGCCTCTGACCAGTGCACTACGGGATGGAGATCCTATCCGAGCCGTTATCAGGGAAACAGCACTGAACCAAGATGGTTGGACCCCGACAATAACGTCCCCTAGCCAGAAGGCCCAGGAGGAGCTGATCCGATTATTCTATCAAAGAGCTGGTCTGGACCCCCTGGAAACGAGCTACGTGGAGGCTCATGGAACCGGAACGCCAGCTGGCGATCCGGTGGAGGCTGCGGCTCTCAGTGCCGCTCTTAACACGAACCGATCGTCCCAGGAACCTCTACTGATTGGCTCCGTGAAATCGAACATTGGTCATACGGAGACAGCTAGCGGACTGGCCAGTATTATCAAGGTGACTATGGCTCTCGAAAAGGGCTATATTCCACCTAGTGCGAACTTTGAAAAGCCGAACAAGGACATCGATATGAACGGATTGAACATAGAGGTGAGGAGAAATAACGTACGACTTTCATGAAAGCCTGGCTGACAGGGTCTAGATCCCAACCTTATTGAGGCCTTGGCCACAAGCTCTTCGAAGGGCATCTGTCAATAACTTCGGATACGGCGGTGCCAATTCGCATGTCATTATCGAATCACCAGCGGTACTAACACAGCCTTCGCCAGCGATAGTTTCTGAGAGCGGCAGTTTGCAGTCCAGGGTTTTTGTCCTCAGTGCCAAGGAAGGGGCGGCAGTGTCGAGGATGGCATCAAGGATGGCAGAGCACCTTCGCGGCCTCACTTTGGATGATGAAAGCGCATATATGCGCCATCTGGCATTCAGCCTCGGGCAGCGCCGTTCAAACTTTCCATGGAAAGCGGCATACTTAGCATCGACTAAGAAGGAGTTGATCGAGAAGCTTGAGCAAGGCCAGGTCACTCCCCAGCAGGCCACTGAGCAACCTAGGCTTGGATTTGTCTTCACCGGGCAAGGCGCGCAATGGTATGCCATGGGCCGGGAACTCATTGAGGCGTATCCGGTATTCAAGGACGCCCTACTCGAGGCAGACCAGTGTCTGAAGAGCTTTGGCGCCAAGTTTTCAATTATCGGTATCTCTCACCCTCTTCAACTTCATCTTGTTCGCAGCTAATGACATTAAACAGAGGAGCTCAGTCGCGACGAGGCGTCGAGCAAAGTCAACACCGCCATGCTAAGTCTCCCGCTTTGTACAGCCGTACAGATTGCTTTGGTAAAACTCTTGCGGTCTTGGAACATTTCACCCATCGGGGTCACCGGTCATTCAAGTGGTGAGGTTGCCGCCGCGTTCACGGCCGGCGCGATCGACGTGCGATCTGCAATGGCAATTGTCTACATGCGAGGAGCCCTCACATCTAGTTTCCAAGAAAAGATTGGATCTGGCCGCGGAGGGATGGTGGCAGTAGGTCTTGGAAAGGAAGCTGCCGAGGCCTATGTCGCGAAATTAACGACCGGAAAGGTTGTTGTAGCCTGCATCAACAGCCCCGAGAGTGTGACAGTATCCGGGGACATCACAGCCATTGAAGAGCTGGAATCGCAATTAGTGGGCGATGGAATATTCGCTCGTAAGTTGAAGGTGGAGGCTGCGTATCATTCGCATCATATGCAGCCCTTTGCAGACGAATATTCGGCGGCACTGCAACAGATCCTCCGCGATGGCAAGTTGGATGATGACATTATCTATTCATCGCCAGTCTCTGGCACTCGCACTAACGGAGATGAAGTCAGTCGCGCAGAGCACTGGGTACAAAACATGCTCCAGCCTGTTCTCTTCCTCGATTCTCTGACCAACTTGTGTCTTTCCAGTGACTTGAACCAACAGGTCGACACAATCCTTGAGGTCGGGCCACACAGTGCTCTTGCAGGTCCCGTTCGGCAGACAATGGGTCTCCCTGCGTTCGAAGGAAAGCGCATTTCTTATCTCTCATGTTTGTCGCGTGGGGAAAACGCGGTTGAAACCATGCAATCCCTTGCCGCTACTTTGCGCAGTCAAGGCACTCGTGTGGATCTGAGTGCTGTGAACTTCCCCATCAATCAAGAAGGGCTCCGAGTCCTCCACGACCTCCCTTCTTACCCATGGAATCATGCGCACGGCTATTGGGCGGAGCCACGTTTGAACAAGGAGCATCGTTTGCGCCGGCAGAAGCACCACGATCTACTGGGCAGTCCTCTCATTGGAGGCAACGCACTGTCTCCAACCTGGCGTCATATCATTCGTCTATCTGATACTCCTTGGCTTCGTGCCCACAAGGTCCAGAGCAACATCATTTACCCAGGCACTGGGTACATATGTATGGCCATTGAAGCCGTACACCAATTATCGCAAGGCCAAAGCCACGCCATGTCGAGCGTCAGTCTGAAGGACGTCGAAATCTTGAAAATACTGATCGTCCCCGAGACTGAGGCGGGCGTGGAGGTCCATCTAACATTGCACGAGAGTTCAGATAAAGTGCTAACCGGCCAGCTCTGGCAAGAGTTCCACATTTACTCTTGCGACAATAGTGGAAAATGGAGCGAGCACTGCAAGGGACTCATCGCGCGTAATCAAGGCAACGAGGCGTACCAGAGAAATGCTAGCAGTGATGACAACGTCTACCTTCGACAACTCAAACCGCAGGAGCTTTATCGTACACTTCAAGCCAAAGGTATTTATCACGGCAAGGCCTTCCAGAATCTTGTTTCAATTCAGTATAATCCAGGTCGCTCCCTGTGTACTTTGCGAGTTGCCGATACAGCATCCTCAATGCCGTATGGTGTTGAAAAACCTCACGTTCTACACCCAACGACATTGGACTCGATTTTCCAAGCTGTATACAGCTCTCTGCCAACCAGTGCGCTCAAGGCCAATACCGCTATGGTGCCCCGAGCATTCAAGCGCATGGATGTGAGGACATCGATGTCTAGCACACCTGGTCATGTTTTCCAAGCTCAATCCATGCTGCATCGGGCCAATCCACAGGGAATGGAATCTTCTGTAGTAGTTTCTGACACCACCAGCAAAGATCCCGTCCTCACGGTGGACGGTCTATACTACCAGTCACTCGGGATTGTGCCAGAGGCTGATGGTGAGAAGAACGATAAACAACACCATTACACGTTGCAATGGGCACCGGATATCTCCTTCCCGACCCCTAGAACTCTGAAGGCAGCGCTCCAATTCGCCGCCGATTTTGATGAGATTGGAATCATTCGCGACATCCGAGAAGCGTGTTTCTACTTTATACGGCGCGCATTGGCCAATCTCGCCGAAGATAGGGTCATGAAACTGAATTGGCACCAGCAGCGGCTCTGGGCATGGATGAAGGTGCAGATCAAACTGGCCCAGTTGAACGAACTGGGGCCCATAAGCTCAGAATGGTTCATCTGATCGCCAGCGCATCAGCAAGATCTCATCAATCAAGTTCGGGTTGCCAGTGTTGACAGCGAGATGGTCTGTTGAATTGGAGAGAACCTTTCTTCAATTCTAAACAACGAGGTAGCCCCTTTGCAGCTGATGCTGAAGGATGATCTCCTTTCTAAGTATTATGTGTAAGCAGCAAGATGGAGGTGCTTGTACTATCAGGCCCAGCAGCTGACCTGTCTTTTTGCTCACAAGAGTCCCCGGGCAAAAATTCTGGAGGTCAGGGCTGGAATGGGAGGATGCACTGAGCTTGTCCTAGATGCACTCAGAGAGCAAGATGCACTTGGCTCGCGCTATCGTTGTGCCAGCTACGACTTCACCGACATTTCGTCAGGCTTCTTCGAAGCTGCCAGTGAGAGATTCAAAGAAGTGGGTGATGTGATGGAATTCAAAAAGTTGAACATTGAAGAAGACCCGTCAGAACAGGGATTCGAGAGCAACAGCTATGATCTTGTGATTGCCAGTCAGGTCTTGCATGCGACTAAAAATATCAATCGCACGCTGGCAAACGTCAGAAAGCTGCTTCGCCCAGGAGGAAAGCTCCTTCTGGTGGAAATCACTCGGGATGAGATCGATCTGCAGCTGATATTTGGAACTTTGCCTGGATGGTGGCTAGGTAGGCACGACCAACTTCGGAAGATCAAGTAACAACTACTAACATCAATTGCAGGAGAGGAGGCCGAGCGTCAGTCAAGCCCTTCGCTCACCATCCCTGAATGGCAGGCGGCAATGAAGAGTACGGGCTTTGATGGTATCGACATGGAACTACATGACTGTGAGGATGAAGACTTCTACGCTTTCAGCGTCCTTATGGCAAGCGCCGCCATCCCAGATCCAGCCATTTATCCACAGTTCACGATTGTGTACAAAGAGATGCCACCCCCCAAGTGGCTGCATAAGCTGATCACGTCTCTTGAAAAATTGACGACATTCAAGCCGGATGTACAACAGCTCGGTGCCTTTGATGCTGAAGGTAAAACCTGCTTGTTCCTGGGAGAGATGCACGAGGCTTTGCTCGACGAGCCGGGCTCAGCGGAGTTTGGTTTCATACAATCCCTCCTCATCCAGGCTGCCGGTGTTCTTTGGGTGTCCCGCGGCAGTACGATTCACTGCGAACGACCACATAACACTCTGCATACCGGTCTACTTCGCGCCCTTCGACTCGAACACAGCAGCAAGAGATTGGTCTCACTGGATATTGACCCCACCACTGCGAGATGGCCGGTTAGCGCTATTGCGACCATACTTGATATTGCCCGAAGACGCTTCCTCCTGGCACAAAACCCAAGTCATCTGGACAATGAATACGCTGAGCGTGGTGGGATCATGTGTGTCCCCCGTGTCTTTGAGACTGTCGATGAGAGCTCGAAGACCGCCCGTGGCATCGAGAGCCCCGGGACGAAGACAGAGTTGTTCCATCAATCCAGTCAAAAGCTACGCCTCCAGGTGAGCACCCCTGGACTTCTGGATACCCTCGGCTTCGTGGCTGAGCCCATGCAAATCAACCCAATACCAGAAGAATCAATTGAAGTTGAGCCCAAGGCGTTTGGGTTGAACTTCCGGGACGTCATGGTCGCGATGGGCCAGCTGAGCATGGATATAATGGGCTTCGAATGCAGTGGTGTCGTGACCCAGGTGGGCTCACTCGCGTCTCAGCACGGATTCAAGATTGGAGACCGCGTATGTGCTCTCATGCGAGGTCACTGGGAGAATCGTGTATGCCTGCATTGGACTAGTGTGGTCGCCATTCCAGACGGCATGACTTTTGAAGTGGCCGCCTCCATCCCCATGGCGTTCACGACCTCATATTACGCCCTGTACGAGACCGCGCGTCTTCAGCCGGGGGAAAGCGTGCTGATCCATGCTGCTGCAGGCGGTGTCGGCCAAGCAGCAATCATCCTGGCGCAGAGAGTGGGAGCTGAGGTGTTTGTGACGGCTGGATCACCCGAGAAGCGGGAGTACCTCAGCCGCCAGTTTGGCATCCCTGAAGATCATATTTTCTCCAGTCGCGATGCCGAGTTTGCCAGTCAACTCATGGAGATAACCGCCGGAAAGGGGGTCGATGTTGTGCTCAACTCTCTGGCTGGGGAGCTCCTCCAACGTACCTTCAACTGTGTTGCACCTTTTGGGCGATTTGTTGAAATTGGTAAACGCGACCTGGAGCAGAATAAACAGTTGGAGATGCACGCCTTCACTCGCCATATTTCTTTCTCCAGCGTTGATCTGATTGCTCTTGGGGAGCTCAAGGGAGCGGTGGTGTCTCGCATCATGAACGACATCATGCGACTGATCAAGGATGAAGGACTTCGGCTCATCCAACCGATTACCACCTACCCTATCTCGAGAATTCATGAGGCCTTCCGGATTCTTCAAGCGGGTAGACATATTGGAAAAGTGATTGTGATTCCCGGTCCGGATGACCGAGTGAACGTAAGTTCGCGTGTTCCGTCCCCTGTTCAGACAAAGACAATAATACTAATGCACAATTGCAGCTTCTTCCGTCTGGGTGGCCTCTTCACCTGGACTCCGAATCCACCCATCTGGTTATTGGAGGCATGGGTGGAGTTGGCCGATCTATCTGCGAATGGCTGGTCCAGCGAGGCGCCCGAAACTTGATTATCATGTCTCGGAATGCCGAGCAGCAAGCGCAGGGCAGCGCCTACGTGAACGCACTGCGGGCATCGGGATGCACGGTGGTCGTTGCTAGCTGCGATATCTCTGACAAGTTTGAGCTCAAGCAAACTCTAGACGGTTGCTTGCAGTCGATGCCACCTCTTCGGGGAGTCATCCATAGCGGCATGGTACTTCAGGTGAGCAAGCCCCCCTCTCTTCTGAACGCACACTTGGCATTTTATGGCTAATCGCACCACAGGATACCGTCTATGAGAATATGTCGTTGGAAGACTATGCCAGGGCTGTCCGGCCGAAAGTACAAGGTACCTGGAACCTGCATCAGGTGTTGTCCGACGTGGATTTGGTGTATTTCATCATGCTATCCTCCTTGAGCGGAATAACCGGCAACGTGAGCCAAGCAAACTATTCCGCGGGTAATACCTTCCAGGATGCGATTGCTCGTCATCGCAGCGCACGAGGACTGCCAGCGGTGGCCATTGACTTGGGAATGGTCCGCGAGGTGGGATATGTCGCTGAAACGGACGGGGTGGCCAACCGACTTGAGCGCATGGGCTTCCGCGCGGTGGATGAAGAAGAGGTTCTGCATCTCATCCAGGAGGCGATTTTGCGCCCCCTCCGCCATGCCACTGACTCGCAAATCCTTACCGGGTTCAATTCCCATCTCAGTACCGGTGACACGAATGCATTCTGGGCTAAGGACCCGATACTGGGCGGTGTCCTACGCGCAACGGGCACCAAGTCGACAACACGATCCAACCGAGTTCATGATGCGATGGACCTCCGCGAACAGCTGACGAATGTGCCAATCCCAAACGATCGATTGGTTGTGCTCGAGACCGCCATTGTGCGTAAGCTAGCGGCGATGTTTTTCGTCGAAGAAGCAGCCATTCAAGTGGGCGAATCTCTCGCTAGATATGGAGTTGATTCGCTGGTGGCGGTGGAGTTGCGTAACTGGCTTGTCGTCCAGCTCGGAATAGAGGTGTCCATTTTCGACATCATGCAAGGCGCGTCTGTGAAGCAGTTGGCTAGCAGCCTTGTCGCCAAATGGGCTGCTGCCGCCGCTTAAGCCTCGAATGGCATCCCCTCTGGATCTTGCTTGCTATTTAATACAATGGTACTGCTAGCTTGGCGGTTGTTGGTCATCGTTTCTTCGGTCATCCGAGTGCGTTCCAAGCTTAATTTCAAAGTAATAAGGCTAGAGAAGAAGAATAAATAAGATGGAATTCCGGTGTATGGTGTTTCGCATGTTCTAGGTGCTACAGCTCGACATATTCAACCAACGCTGGCTAAGTGTAGTCCACTGCTTGAACCGGATTATTGGTACTATATGAGTGGCGCAAGCCCTTAGCTATATCTCGCCCATGCACCTTGATATATGCTTCCCAGAGCTTTCTGCCCTTTCGCCCGCCAGCCACTCATCTGCCTACAGGTCTCTGTCTTTTCGTCGTCGAACCAGCACCTCCACCGTTTCATCCGGCATATTCTGCAGCTCGAATGAATAGTTAGCTGGTCGCTCAGTCCGATCTCCGGCAAATTGAAAATCATAGTTAAGCAAGAAATAGGCCATGATCAGCTTGATTTAGTTGGCTGCGAAGAAGCGCCCAGAGCATGCGTGCTTCCCGTACCCCCAGCTCAGACTTGACGATGCGTTGGTCGTCACAAACCCGGCCGTCTTCTCTCCAGGAGTAGAGGGGACGAATCGAAATGGTGAAAATGTCGAGGGTGATGGGTAGAAATCGGCATCTTGCGAGATCGCGTGGACGGGCACCCCGATGATCGTGTCCTTTGGAACTACTAGTCCGTCATGGAGGATACGGTCGGACCGGATGACTCGACCAAAGGTGACTATATATGGTTATATCGTCCTCAGTCAGTGACCGGATGCTTTTGTCAAAAAAAAAAGAAGAAAAAGAAATAGAAAGGAAGGAAAAGAGGGGGATTGGCGGGACTCACGGAGAGAGAGGGGATTGAACCGCTGAGATTCCTTCATTAAGCTGTCCAACTTGACCAGTTTACTCAGAGCGGTTTTGGTGAGAAGACTCCCTTCCTCACAAAGCACTGATTCGATCTCTTCTCGCAGCGGCGCAATATACTCCGGCTGGGCGCACAGATCGTAGAGCAGATGGGTCGGCACCGAGGAACTAGTGCGAATGGCAGCAAATGAGATAGCCAGGGCAGTATAGGCCATGAATTCTGGAGTCTGATCAGCCGGCCCGGCGCCGTCCCAGAGCATCTGCAGGAGGTCAAGAGGCTTTATGGTGCCTTTCTCAGATTCAGACCGCTCCTGCACAATTGGACAGATGAATTGGCGGGCGACGGTGAAGTGACGGCGCACCCGACTCATCTCAGGCAAGACGTGTTGAAGGATGGGTCGGAGCCATGCCGGATACCGTTTGAGTTGCTGCGAGGCCAACCACGTATCAGTGGTGAAGTTTATGGACGTATCCGTCCAGTTTCGGTTTCGGCTGAGGGCTTTACCCCCCAACATGCGATTCGATGCTCGTGAGATAATCTGGGTGAAGATGTCGGCCATCCGGACCGGTTGCCAATCTAGCTCATATGCTTCAGTGAGTTAATCATCCTGGTAGTATGGTAGTAGCATCAACCCACCGTCCGACGGTGTTCACAGAGACCGGTATGCGTGGACAATCTCATCGTATACATCGGGCATAATCAGCTCTATTAGCGCGATTGTGAGAGGTTGCATAGAAATAATCGCTACTCTCAGCAGCAGCAGCAGCAGGGATAACCATACCAAGGGATGTATTCAGGGACTGTTTGACGACATTCGGATGTAAATGCCATTTTTGCCCAATGGTGGTATATTTTCCTTCAAACATCTCCGAGAAGCTGGCGGTGAAGTCGACCTCCTCGTTCGCGGCATTCTTGAGTTCATCCAGATATTTGGTGGGAATCATCAAGCGCTCCCCGGCTGGCGATGGGACGTAGAATAGTCCCCCCTTTGTCTAGCATGACATCAGCCGATGGGTTGGAAATGTGTTCTTCCGGGTGAGTACCTTCTGATAGCCCTCGAGCATAAGGTCGGCGCAGCCGTGGATGAAGTTTTGGCGAGCCTGCGAAAGAGGAACTTTGCCACCGTTCAGACCCGTCACATAAACCCCGGGTATCAAACGGTTACGTCCACGGCCCGACACCCTAGACAACAAAAGCAAGGCCAAAGAAAGAAGAGCACTGGCCTGGAGAAGGAGGGCAGCGCCCCCGGTGACGGGGGACAATTCGAGAATCATGATGTTCGACAGTAGCCGCAATAACGTCTGAATTCTGTCTATGTCTATAGCTAAGCAGAACGGGATTTGCTATTGACTGTGAAGTATATCATGGAAACTGAGGCAGAATTGACCATCTTGTAGCGTAGCCAGCCAGATTAGGCAATACCCGGGGAATCCAAACCATCCCAGTTAGGAAATCCCGGCATCTGCCCCTTGAGGATCAAGTTAACTCCAATGTTCGCAAGTGTCCCAACGGCCGAACATCCATATTCATAGTCTGGATGATAGACTGGCCCCCTTTACACCCCCAGCTTGAACCCGCCGGGCGACAGAGTCTGGAAAACCCCGGACGGATCTGAATTACACTTGGTGGTTAGCAGAATCTCCGATGGGGGTACCTGGACGACCAAACGTACCGTATTTCTTCCGAATGCTCTTCAGTTTGCTAAGTGATTGGCCCTTCCCATATGTCTTGAACGGGACTTGGCTCGGGCCGGCATCGTTGAGGTTAACGAAGGGATAATGGACGTCAGCGGCCTTGGCCTTTGACTCGATTTCGGCAATGACTTTCTCGGAAAAGTGGGCGATTCGGTCGTCGTGGTCGGCGTTTGTCCACGTGTTGGATATCAACAGGACTCAATATCGTTAGTCGATCACGCATGCATTTTTTTTTTGACTATTTCGGTGCTTACCGAGGAACGCTCCGTCGGCGGGATCGAGATCGATGGCGTCTCCTCCTGAGGCACGCGCAGCATCGAGCCAATCCTCAGTGATGGTCTGGTAGGTAATGCTAGTGAGTAAATCTGACAAATCCGACACTTGCTCCGTCGCAGCCTTGATAAAGGTGGTGTTGGCGAGATAGACTGCCTCCGGTGTGGCTTTCACAGCGGTGGCCCAGAAGGAACGCCTGGTAAGAAGATTAGGGTTCAAGCCCCGGTCAGCCAAAGAAGAACAGTCGAATCCATGAAGGCCAGGATGACTTACCGGTTACTTCGGTCCCAGTATGCAGAGGAGTTCTGCTCCACGATAAAGTTCGTGAATGGGCGTAAGGAGGCGGAGTTGCTCGCGGCGCGGATGTCGGTGAAGGCCTTGAGTGCGGCCGGCTTCTCGACAGGGGCATTGTAGAGCAAGACGGCGGCGGGCTCAATCTGGCTGGTATTGGGATATATCAGGAGCAAGGGATCGGCTGCGGCGAGGGGATCAGCAGATCCTCCTTCCGGAGACGAGAAGTTCGCCACAGCGTGGATGTAGGCATCAAGCGAACTGGCTGGGTAGGCCAGAGTTCCACCCCAGACATCTTGGATGGCGAAAGTCTTCATATCATACCGCGTGACGATGCCGAAGTTTTGCGAGCCTCCTTTCAGCGCCCAGTAAAGGTCTGTGTTGGCGCTGGCATTGGCCTGGACAATGCAGCCGTTGGCAAGGACCACCTCAAAATTCACCACATTGTTCTTGGACCAGCCAACTTTGGATCCGTAGTAGTTGATGCCTCCTCCGAGCAGCAAGCCGCCGACGCCCACTGGGCCGAATCGGCCTCCGGCCGTGGTCAGGTTGTAGTCGGCCATCCAAGTGTAGACATCGTACCACCGAAGCCCCGGGCCAATGTGAACCACGTCGTGATTGGCCGTGAGCTTGAGCGTGTTCAAGCGAGAAAGAGAGATAAGAACGCCATCCGAGATCGAGTTGGCCCCGGGGTTGGGCATGTGGCCACCACTGCGCACTGCGAACTTGGTCTTGGTCGTGCGTAAGATTCCAATGGCGGTCGAGACGTCCTTAGAGGATTCAGGCTCGAACACGCAGTAAGCATCTTCCACACAGGTCTGGGACCAAACACTGTCGACTTTCGTGGTGTACGACGCTGAACCAGAGACAGTGGTGTAATCTGGGAAGGTGGCCACGAGCTGCGCACACGCGGACTTGCTGCTCGCCGCTATAGTACGAACAGCCAGTGCTGCAGTGAGCAGCGAGAGTAACGCATGGCGCCGGTAGTTTGACATCATTGTCGTTTGACAATTGGGAATCCTTGGCTATGGGTTGCAGAACGCAAACGGCACGGCTTAACGCCTTTATCTTGGTCTCTTCGGGAACTTCCCTTCTGAGCATCGCCGCCCCCGACGCCGTACAAATGCGGTATGCCCGAACTTCAATCCACTACAGCAGACCTAATTGATGGCGTACCTGCATGCTGAGGTTCTGGGCAGTTTTCTGTCACACGCAAGAAGTTCAGGTGCAGGAGTCGCTGGTCCCGCAGCCCCCGATCTCCGAATCCTACAAAAGGTACCTAGATGCATACCTACACTGGTATCATTTGGAAAGTGTAACACAATGGACCAGTTCAAAGGGCAGCCTGCATGGGTTCTCATTGGAGTGAGCGGGCTCATGGGAATCATGATATGGATAGCCCGACTATTGATCCAGGCCTTTGTGTCTCATCCCCTGGCTCACTTCCCGGGCCCCAGACTATCAGCTCTGAGTAATGTCCGTATCATTGAAATGCTTAATTTTCTAACTCTGGAAATGCTGATTGTTCATTCTTATATAGCTAAATTATTCATGGGCCTACATGGGCGGCCGGCAACCATACGATATTCTCAACTTGCACGCAAAATACGGTGGATATATCATCATCCTGCTTCTGTTGTGAAGATCCCGTTCTGACATCTCAGGGGATGGGCCTTATAGGTCCTGTCGTGCGTGTGGCACCGAATGAGCTTTCTTTCAACACACCGCAGTCCTGGAAAGATATATACGCGCCACGAAAAGGCCGGCCCACGTTCATCAAGAGCGACTTTTACGACGGTGGAAACTTCGCTGATCAAGCCAGCTCGGTTGTCAGCGAGCGTGATCCTGCAAAACACCGCGCGATGCGCAAGTTTCTTGCCGCCGCCTTTTCAGAACGATCACTGCGCGAGCAGGAAGGTCTCGTCACACAGGTCATTGACGACTTTATAGACCAGGTTGGTCAACGGGGCAACTCTAAGGAGGGTGTCGACATGACGATGTGGACTAATCTGCTCACCTTCGACATCATCGGCCAGCTGGGTAAGTTCAAATGCTCACCCTTTGTCGGTTTTTCCTTTCAGAGGCCACGCTGACCCTGTCCTCCGCATATACACTAGCCTTTGGGGAGTCGTTCCATGGCCTCGAAACGGGGAATCTCCATTTCTGGATAGCGGTTGTTACAGAAAGCATGGGACAAGCCGGTCTCTCTGACTTTTTGAAACGCTTCCCCATTATTGGCCACATCTTTTTAAAGCTCAACCCACGCTGGTTAAACAAGCTCATGGATGGCGCCATCAAACACCAAACGTATACGATCGACTTGGTCAAACGGTACTCTGCCCCATACGACACTCATTAATGCTGAAATACTCATGTTCAATTGTCTAGGCGAATCCAGCAAAAGACCAACCGGAAAGACTTCATGAGCCACCTGTTGGCAGAGCGCAACGCATCCCAGATATCGGATATTCAGTTAGCCGCTCACGCTTCGGACTTTGTGTACGCACCGATCAACTGCCCCCATTTCCTTGCCAGCCAAAGCGACGCTAAAAGGGGGCCACCACAGCATCGCGGGGAGTGAAACAACAGCCACATGTCTGGCAACCGTCATTTACTACGTCGGTCGTAATCCGCGCATCCTCAAGGCACTGCAGGAGGAGGTCCGATCCGCCTTCGGAAGGCCCGAGGAGATCAACGGACAATCCACCTCCTCGCTTAAGTACTTGCATGCGGTATGCCTCGAGGCATTGCGTATCTTTCCCCCGCTGGCATTGGGTTTGCCACGGGTGGTGCCGGAAGGCGGAGAGATGATAGATGGGTACTTTGTGCCAGCGAAAGTATTACGATATGAAGACTGTTTCCTCCGGCTTCTTCATCCCCTTTGGGCCTGACAACGAGAGAGAAAAAGACAACTGACTATTCTCATCCGTAGACAATCGTCTCCACAAACCCATTCGCTGCCAGCCTCGACCCGGCGAATTTTGATGCCCCGTGGGTCTTCTGTCCAGAGCGCTGGCTAAGACTGAGTGCGGAGGACCAACTGGAGGCCAGTCAACCCTTCTCAATGGGTTCACGCTCATGCCTGGGCCAAGGGTGAGCTCTCCTTCTCCCGCAAGCTCTTCCATGGAGGTTGAGGGAGTATCGCTGACAATGATTGGACAGGTTGGCCTGGTTGGAACTGCGGTTGACCTTGGCAAAGCTTTACTACTGGTATGATCTGAAGCTGGTGGACGATGAGCTGGAATGGCACGGGGATGTGGCCATGCATCTCTTGTGGGTTAAGCCCAAGCTCATGACGCAGGTGACTCCACGGGCCAAGTGAGTGGGACGGTGTAAAATGGAATAGATCCTCTCGTGTTACGTGGAAGGGCGTTCAAGCTAGTCATAGGTCTGAGCCTCCGAGGGTCCCCGGAATGTGCGTTGATGGATTTCTGGGAGTGTGTTGAGCCGACTGCTGTCAAAGGGTCTTTTCTAGGCAAGCTAGGATTTATTACACTGCAGCTCCTCTGTTTTGTTAAGACCTAATTTACAATATAAAGCCCGTGGAGCGGTGGGTATCCGCTGAACTGCAAGGCTCCTTGTGGGAAATTACCACCCCTCAGGTCAACAGATAATTATCTAGTGATAACATATCATGGACAGACCTAGTCGTTATTCTATGATATATCCAGTCTATGCAATGTTCTTTCAAGGCAACTTGTCCAGCCCAGTTCCTGCCTTCATTGCCCGGTCCTACGCGATACATATCAGTAATCAATTCATGTCGAAGAGAGATGGGAAATGAAAGAACCCAGGGGCACTCACTAAAACAGCTGTCGGCATGTACTTGGACATAAACCTCACCATGGAAGCCATAGCACCACGCCACACAGGCCCCGACGCTCCGCCCAAGACATCCTTGACAGACTCGCGAGCAAAGTCTGCCGGCGCGCTCTTACTCGAGACATCCTTCCCGACGCCGCGTGATTGGATCTCCGGGAGCGCCTTCTGGTAATGTGAGTTTTCGGGCAGGGTCAGGTCTGAATGCGACATGACATTTGTTGCGACAGAGCCGGTGACCAGGGAAATAACCCGGATGTTGAAGGGCTGCAGTTCCAACCGGAGAGTCTCACTCCAAGACATCAGAGCGGCCTTTGAGGCGTTGTAGACACCTGATGGGAATCATCAGCGGGTACTTCATGAATTGTCTATCGCGACCGCCGGGGCAGAGGAGCCTCACTCATCCAGGGGGCGTACAAGAAGCCCGAGATGGAGCAGACGTTCACGAGGGTACTGCCATTCTTGGCAGCCTGCAGCAACGGCATGAAAGCCTGGGTGACGGCGAAGACACCCCAGAAATTTACATCAAAAAGACGCTTGGCCTCGTCGATCGAGGTGTCCAGGGCGGGATAGACGAGAGATTGGCCGGCGTTGTTGATGAGAATGTCGAGGGAGTCACCATTCGAAGACAAATCCCGGCGGACGGTATCGACGGCGGCAGCAATGCTAGCCGGGTCGACGACGTCGAGGGCAACGAGAGTGACATTGTGAAGTTTGGCAAGGTGGTCCATCTTGGCTGGGGAGCGGGCTGTCGCGTAGACTCTCAGCCCTTGAGCGTGGAGTTCCTCCACCAGGGCCGAGCCGATGCCTCCGGCGCTACAGCCGGTGACGAGAGCGCAACGGGGCATTGTGAGATTCTTGATGAGAAGAAGGGGAGAAAGAGGGAGTGGAAGATGCAACGGAGAAGGGAGGGGAAAGAAAGGACTTTGCATTTCTTTCTTTGTTTTCCTTGCCCCCCCATCGCTAGGAAGGGAAAGTTCCGGAGTCGAGGAGAGGAAGAAGAAACACCTTTCTGGTTGCAACTACCTAGCTAGCGCCTCAACCCTGCTTTGGTGCCAGATAGACTGGGGCTCCCCTGTTTCAGAACAACCTGCAATTCAGCACTCGCGGGTTGAATAACCATGGGGACATCCCAATCACTCGCTGCTAATTTCTATGCGGGCCCAGAACCTAAGAGACTAATACGGTCTACCGAAGGAATAACATGGTGGGGGACGTAGTTACTACATGGAGCCATCGGGAGTATCTCACAACAGTATAGGATTGTAATATGGAAAGTCATTGAAGGTACTGCAGATGGTGTCAGAGTCACTTAGAGGCCAGCCACCGATAGTCCAATACGAAATGCCTCATGGGCATTTTAGTCCTCCAGCAAATGGCGAGACCTCGGCTGTGGGCATCCACTGCTTTCAAAACAGTGCTGTGTTTTCCCACTTGTTCGATGAAGATTCCAAATAAAACCCCTACGCACTAGCGGCTGCCTCTTTTTCAACATAGCGCAGGGTTGTCCGACTCCACAGCTCATTGCCGCTCATCTGATATTCCAGCCCCTTCATATAGAGCTTGACGGCCGGACGACATCCCATCGCGAGTTGTTCCGCCGTGAGCCGATCGTGAACCTGATTCCACTCTTCGACCATGGCCTGAAGTAGCCGCTTCGTCGCGGCGATGTCTAGATTAGTTGCTTCAGCCAGCACCTTGACACCCGAGCAAAGGGCTGATCCTTCCTTATGACCCGACTGCGACGCGCGCACTTCTTTCTCCCAGCTCCACATATCATTCACCACCGAGATCTGCTTCGAACAGTTACGATCGAGTGGCACCATCGCCGCTTGCTCCTCGGGCGTCAGCTCGAGGTCCATGGTGAATCGCATGAGCGCCGACAGGAGACTGACGATCGACGCTCCGGAGTTAGCAAAAGAATCACCACGCTAGATGGATCTTGACTCACGCCTTCCCCACATCCCGCTCCCGATAGACGAGGTAGTGACCTAACTCCTTGATCGAAAGACGGGCCTTGTCTGTCTGCGCGCGCATGAAGGTGAAGGTGGGCTCGAGAATGCCATCCGCTAGGATCGGGCTCGCAGCACGCATCTCCTCCCAAAGGTCGTACATCATAAACTCGACGGGGATGTCGCCTGTCTCTCTCATATCGCAGTAAGTCTCGGTTCTGGCGTACTTAACTAAAAATCATAGAAAAGTGCCTTACGGTTCGGGAGCACATCTCCCCGCATGAGGGGCATCAGATGGGCATTGTACGCCTCTCCGTCCTCCAAGGACATATCTTCTAGAATATCTGACCTACGGCTTGAGCACGGTTTTAACAGACAAGGTAAGGCGCATTCTACTTACCATAAATGAGAAATAGGATTGTTAACAGCTTGCACGCAGACAGAATACGGTCATCGCGCGCCAGCGGGAAGTAGAGGCAAGTGACTCGACCGAAGCCGGCATTGACGAAGGTCTCTCGCCTCTTCTCAGAAGAAAAGGGCCAGTGTTGCAGGAAATAGTCGTCATTCTCACGGCAGGTCTCATCGGCACGGGGATGGATCAGGGGCTTCCAGGCCGAACCCGAATGGCTTTTGATCGCCCCATTCAGCAACAGCTGAGTCGAAATGGCACCGGTGTCAATAGCGGACGGCATGACGTTAATCTGAATTGAACAAGTTGAACTTCTGGTTTCAGTACTCTCAAACCAACAATAGCCTTTTTTATTCTCATAGATGCCCGGCGAATTCGGTACTTTCCTAATGCGGTCAGCCCGAGAGGCTCCGGTGGGAGCAGTCCGCGACCACTCCGCTCCCATCGGCAACTTGACCCTCTTGTCGCGCGGCGAGTGTCTGGGTATGTATGGAAGAGGCATTGCAGCGAGTGGGAGATTCCTTCACCCGTCTATTCTCACAATCTATCCATCATTTGAGTGTCAACGGTCCCGAACCGTGAGGTCAACGAAAAGATGCATCAATTCAGCCCCCTGGACGCGATCATGCCCCCGATCTTCAACGCACTGATCGTGGGATGGTCATGTCCAGACGACGGTCATGATTCTCTGGGCTCGGTGCTGCAACGCTCGCTGGCCCTTGTCCTCGAAGAATGGCCTGATTTGGCGGGGGAGATCGTCGCTCCCCCAGCGGACGCTCCGCCACGAACACAACCCACCATTCGGCCCTTGGGGGAGCTTGGCTCGCCTCTAACCATTTGCGACTTCACCGGCCCCGACAGTCCTTTCCCGTATAGCTATGCCCAGCTTCAAGCTCAAGGGTTCCCGACTAGCAAGCTCGATGGTCAGCTACTGGCCCCCTTGGCTGGCGTTGCTACGACCCAGCGTGTCATGGCAGCGCAAGCCAACTTCATCCCTGGTGGCTGTCTTCTCTCGGTTGGGGTCTCACATCAATTCACCGATGCCTACGGGGTTTACCTGATTTTCGAGAAATGGGCCCAGTATTGCCGACAATTCCAGGGCCTCCCGGCGCAGCCTGCAGCGTTCCCTCCCGCGCCGTCTCAGCCCCAAACCTCCCTACCTCCTGTACTTCAGGTGTCCCATGACCAGGCGGCCGAGCAGTACCCGACGCTGAAGCAGCGGCCGGAGTTGTGGAAGCTGATCGGCCTCGACTGGCGCGGATCTGCCACCTCCCCACCACCTGAACCTCCCTTCCAGCTCGCAGCAGGGGGCGCGGAGACATGCATCTTCTCCCTCTCTGTTGCAGCTCAGGCGACCCTCAAGAGAGCAGCCTCCGCTTTCTCCTCCTCGTCTCCTTCCCCTATCTCAACCAACGATGCCCTAGTAGCCTGGATCTGGCGGACCATCTCCAAAGCCCGCTTTCCCACAGGCCAGCCAAATGCGCCGTACCGAGACAACTCCTACGTCTCCGTCGCCATCGATGGTCGCAGGCCCCTCTCAATCCCCGCTGACTATGCGGGCAACGTGGTTTTCTGCAGCATGACCAACATGCCGATTCACGAGCTCACCAACCCCGACACCCCGCTGGGCGAGATCGCCGCGCGCATCCGCCAAGAAACCACTGCCAACCGCGATCCAGCACGGCTTCAGGAGGCTGTCGCCCTGGCCGCGGGGATTCCTCACGTCCGCCAGCCCTTAGCCAATGCCTTCCCGAGTTGGTTTGCTGAAGATCTCGTCACCACTTCCTGGGTCGGGCTCCCCTTCTACCAGCTAGATTTCGGCCCGGCACTGGGGTCTTCCGGGCGCATTGATACCTTCCGGATGCCCCGTGGCCAATTTGCAGGCATTTGCAGTTTTCAACCACGCGCGGATGACGGGTCGGTCGAAATGGTCGTCGGATTGTTGGCGGAGCAGATGGAGCGGCTGGTAGCGGATCCGGACTTTGCCCAATTTGTAACCCTAGTTTCCTCGTAGTTCTTAACTTTCCGTATTTATTTGGGAAAGTTAATGTAGAAATACCCATCGTGATAGGCTTCTAAATAACCTTTTGTGGAAATTGCCTGTCTACCCCAAGTCTATCGCTGGCTCAACCAATCTATTTGACCCTAGGCGTGCCTCTCACTGGCTCGCTTCATGCGTATGAACATTGGATTATTTTCATTCCCCTCCTTTCAACCCGCCGAATCGCATATCCGTCAACTTCTGCTGCAACGCAGTCTTCTCCGTGTTCCAGGCCCCAAACCACCCTGCTCTCCGTTCCGCCAACGGCTCTTCAAGCTCGGTCCACTTGTCTCCCAGGGTGAGAATGACGCGGCCATTCCACCGGCCGGGGCCAAGTTGCTCGGGCCCATCATTCCCATAGCTTTCAACGCAATTTTCTTGCGAGGCGGTGGCGGAATAAACCACTGCAAGGGCCACATGCCGCGCCGTGCTGACGGGGGCCCCCGCGGCCATGATGGGGGCGGCCAGATTGGCTGGCAAGAGGCTGGTGATGGTAGCAGCGGGTGCAACGGCATTGATGGTGGTGCCGTACTGATGCGGCAGGGTGGATCGCAATGCACGGACAAGGCCCACCAGCGCTAGTTTCGTGGCACTGTACACCGGCAGACTATGCTCGGGCGAGTAGGCCGTGGCACTGGTCGTGAGCACAAGACTACCATTCTTGTTGCCAGCGCGGCGAAGCGCCGACAGACTCAGCTTGACGAAGTTGAGGACCGCGCGGTAATTCACTTCCAAAACCGCGTAACGCGGCTCTTCGAGGTTGCCCTCCGCATCCCAGGTGTCGGCGAAGTAGTCGCATTCCTCCGAGACCCCGGCGTTCGCGATGGCGATGTCCACCTGCGGGATTTCGTCGAAGACTGCCCGGAGCACTGGCCATGAAGTCACATTGCAGGCCCTGTAATGGATCCCGGATTCTCTGTTCTCCTCTTCCTCATTCCCCTGGTGCTCCTGGGTGGGGGGTGGATGTATATCGAGCACATACACGGTGGCTCCTTTAGCGGCGAGCAGTTGGGCAGATTCCCATCCAATGCCGGAGCAACCGCCTAATCCAGTCCGGGGTCAACGGGGTCTCACAACTGAACAGGAAGGCATTGGGATAGAAGATACCGGTGATGATGGCTGTCTTCCCCTCCAGACGGGGAATATCATCTACGGAAAGATTGAGAGAAGTCATTTATGTGTGTGTCTGCGTGCTTGGTGTGGGGGATGTGATTGAGTCTCATGCTCTACAAACACAACCAGCCCGAAGTCAGACATTAAAATATAGTCCCATTCGACCGAAATCGGATCAGATCTCATCATTCGCGAGTATTCCTTCTCCTCGACTGACAACGTCAACATGCCAACCCAGGTTAGTCCCCATTGCGAGCTACGGACATTACCCAATACGAGTATATTAGGCCATTGTACCTCAAGTTCTGTAGCTTACATTACTTGAAAGGGACATTGGGTCCGAGCATACTTAGCCTCCGCTAACTAATCCAGCTAGATTGGATATCGTAGATAGGTAGGCTGCCGTACGGAGTATACAGGCATCCATAACTGCCCACCCATTGTGTCTAACGATGAAAGGAGACCGAAGCCGAGTTAATTATTCTGTCGGCGAGTTTCAGCCACATATCAAGAAAGCGGTGATGAATACATACTGTGTAGTACTCCACGAGACAATATCTACTATGTAGGTACAGTGTCGGCGCCGGTGGGACCTGAGGATTGCTCGGTCACATAACATTGGTAATCACACACGTTTTCAACACCACGCAAATTCCTGAACATAGCCAATCATACTCGTGATAAGCTTCAAGCTTTCCTGTTTAGTATGTCAACGACTGCTACCTAATTGCTGACATCCAGCACCCCACATCTCAAGCCAATCCCGTTGCTGCAATGCACAGCCATGCTTCAAATTATATTAACACTGTAGGCCCAATCATACAAGTCAGTATCCTTCGAGCCGAGCCGAAGACGACGATTTGACGGCGACGGGAGGCCTGAATTCTTGGTCACTGATCACTCTGTTCTGCGGGCATTCCTTCCGAGTTCAGACCAATGACATGACTGCTACAAATTATCTTGGATCTAGTGTAGTTCTAGTGTTATTACACTAGAGCTTCTCTTTACTGTTAAGTCTCCTAGTGGTATATTCCCGCCCTTCGCACCAGTACTCCACTGGTTGGATCTGGGCCGCCAGGATGCGTTCCGATAACCCAAGGCTCAGCAGTCAATGCTTGAGCCTCCTGAGGTAGCTTATATCTCCATAGCATAGATGGAAAGATAAAACAGACAGTGGCGCGTTAGGTCCAGCTTTTCTAGCCAGACAACCTCGATCAGTTCAATCCCACAATGTTTGGAACCCTGCGCTACCTGCCTAAGAAGAAGACCGGGGAGTTCCTGAAGCGTGAATCAGGGGTTGTGGGAAATATAGCAACCAACAAACCTCAACACTCAGCCTGTGATAATTGCAGGGTAAAAAAGGTATGTGATCTCAAATGCTGAAAGGCGTAATGCATTCACAGCCCATGTTCAAACCAGCTAATCGGGACAAATTAAAACATGTCAAATAGATCCGCTGCAGCGGCCGAAGAGCAGGATGTTCGCGGTGCAAGACCCTTTCTGTACCCTGCAGGTATACCCACGTCCCCACGCGGAAATGCAAGAGGAAGCAAGCGCCCAGCTCTTCAAAAAAAGACAACGAGAACGAGACCTGTCTGGAATCTAGCGCGGCACCCGGCCGATCTCCCGCGAGGGACGCTGCCGCTACAGCTGCCGTGCAGCCGTCCCTGTTGACGATGGAACCGCATGGAGTAGACGAGAATTACATCGGGCTGGACAAGGCAATGCACCGGGTCCAAGCTGACCCAGACTCGGTCCTGGATCCGATGTTGAAGGGCGTTTCGACTTGGTCCAGTTGCCTCAATTGGTCTCCAGGAAGGGATGGCACCTTCATGCCGGACCCAGACTGTCCGATGGCGGGGAATCCACACGTCCCGGCTGATTCCTTCACTGCTAAGTATATTAACACCGCACTCTTGTCGGTCCTGGGACCGCGCCCCAGAAATAAAATACTGATGGACGACAGTTACTCTGGGTCGGAAAATACTGCACAGCAACCGCCGCCGCCGCCCGCCGCCAGTGGTTTCACACCACCGGGTCTACTTCCGACTCCACCGTTGACCCATATTCTTGCCTCCACCCTGAGCACAATCCGATCCATTGAGGATACCCCTGAGATTGCTATGGAAGAGCAATCGTCCTGTTCGTGCCTTAACTCGGCCGTCTTCCTACTGGACGAATTGGAGTCACCCCATCATGAAGGGGCCCCCGGCGAGCAGGGTCTCGACTCCATTCTTTCGATCTACCAGGAAGTGCTCTTCCTGTGTAAGCGCATGATCAGCTGTGACTCCTGCCGAGGGAAGTCGGAGAATATGATGGTGCTCACCATGGTGCTTAAGCGATTAGCTATTCTCTGCGGGGAGGTGATTGATGCTTTTATCGCGCAGAGGGAAGCAAACGGTCCGGGGGTACCGCCCGTACCCGTAGCCATGATGGAGAAGCAGCCTTTGGTCCTGGGCGAGTATGAGATCGAGGATGGAGACTACGAGGTCATGATGGGGGTGTTGGTGACAAGGCGGCTGTCGGAATTGGAAAGCTTTCTAGCCCGCATGAAGATGATCAGCTCCCTCACCCGCCGCGCGCACCAGCAGGCAAGAATGGCGCGCGTTGATCAACATATTAAGGACTTGTCTCGGAAGCTCACCTCCGTCTGCCCTCTTGTCACAGAATTGCGGGTCGATCCGAATAGGCCAGTGGTCGCGAATGCTGGGAGAAGCATGTAAGTTACGAAATATAGGACTATGGATTAAAATGATAGTGAAGACAACGTGCTCTTACCAGATATTTCTGTATGATGGTCCGAATGAAGTCTTTGATGCCCAACCCTGGATGGAACATCTCCAAGGTCATCGTCAATGAGCACTTGAACTGCCGCCTGCTGAGGTAGGTCCATATTTGCTGGGGTCTGTTTCTCACTTTTAGCTCATAGTTATGCCTGTCTCGATTGCAGTTTCTGCTCGATCAGAAGAAATCGAACGGGAGAAAGAAATCGTGGTGAAAGCAGGGAAGCGAGAGAGGGGATGTCATCCAACTCTCGGGAGTTGCCTATTTGGGCCAAACTCAAGCCGGACTGGGCTATCTCTGTCAAGCACGATACGCCAATAAACTCGGTTGGAAGTGGACAGGTATATATCACGAGAAGGTTTTCTGTCAGCCAGCCGTTGGACAGCTATGCCAATGCTGCCTTTGCTCCAGATCACCCTACGCAAAATGTCGGCGAGCTGGGGTTATGAACCAACCAGCTGGCTGGACATCTTCACAGTGGTGTTTGTCCTGGTAACTCCCACCTTCTTCTGCCTTTCCAGTTCAAAACAGGAGCGGCATGCTAATGGGACGGAACTCCAGATACTGGTCTATGTCAGCACGCAAAGTCTGTATAACATTTATTTTCATCCCCTAGCAGGTTTTCCGGGTCCCTTGGTAGCTCGCGCATCACTGGTATGTTTCCTCCATTCATCGATGTCTCCATGTTCTGTTTTCACCCGATTCCGACAGGCATGGAGGATTTACCATTCCATGGGTGGTCGTTTCCACCGAGCAATTGACGAGCAACACCGCCGATATGGTATGTGGCTGTGGCCTCTTCACAATGTTCTTCTTTCCTACGCCTCTTCTTAACTGATCAGGTCCTGTATTCCGGGTATCACCGAACGAGCTGTCTTTTGCCAGCGTCGCATCTTGGAAAGACATCTACTGTCATCGTGCCACCGGGCAACTTCCCTTGATTAAGAGTAAGTTCTACGATATTTACGGCGCAGGTTTTGGCTCCCTGTGCATCGGAAGTGAGCGCGACCCGGATAAGCACACGCGAATGAAAAAGTCTCTCTCGCCTGCCTTTTCTCTCCGTTCTTTGGGAGACCAAGAGGCCATTCTTAGCCAATGCGTTGATCGCTTTGTATCCCGGATGGGTGAGCCTGAGCTAAATGCTGGGGGGTTGAACATGACCAAGTGGTACGAAATGGTGGCATTCGATATCCTCGGAGAACTTTGTAAGCCCCACTGCCGTTTCACTGCTCTTCCGAAGAGTTACTCGAGTAGCCTAATCATCTAGTTTCTTTTAACAGCTTTTGGCGAATCCTTCCACTCTATTGAAGATGGTATGATGTCGACATTCACCCCTCAGAGCGCCCCCCCCCCCCCCCGTCACCCCTCTAATGTATTATGTTGAATTTTATAGGAAAACCACACTTCTGGTCATCATTGGTTAAAGATCACTTGTATTTTATTACTGTGGCAGATAACTTGCGACATTTCCCCGTGGTTGCTTTAATAGCCAAGCTGCTCTCGCCGTTTCTGAATGGCATCCGCAAAAAGCATACTGGATACACAAGAGACAAAGCGGCTCGGTGAATATACCTATCCAATTCTAAAATATGGAGGGTGGTCAATTAAACATTCTGGCTAGGCGCATTGGTTCATCCTCGGCCCGCAAGGACTTCATGGCCAACCTCATTGGCAAGCTAGAGTCCAACGAAATGGACCGGGAAGAGCTCACTGCCCACGCGTCTACCCTAGTGTGAGCATATCGTATCCCTTCTATGTATCACGATTTTCTGATTTCTGGAAATAGGATCGCCGGTGGAGAGACAGTGGCTACCTTCCTTGCTGCAACAACATTTTATCTCCTTCGGAACGACGCCGCGTACCAGAATTTGAAAGCAGAGATCCGCGGGCAGTTCAACACCTACGCGGAGATTACCAGCGCCAGGGCGCAAGCCCTGCCGTATTTGCAAGCTGTCATCAGCGAGGGACTGCGTATCTACCCTCCAGGCTCCCAAGGCTTTCCTCGGGTATCTCCTGGGGCCTCTATCGATGGGATCTGGGTCCCCGCCGGTGTAGGTGGTATTTCCCCTGGCAACAGGCCACATAACGCTGATCATCTATACGTTCTACAGGCCGAAGTCTATACAAGTGCGTGGACAGTGACCCACAATGAGGCTAACTTCCATGACCCCCACACTTTCAAACCGGAGCGGTGGATCGACCCAGACTGTGCTGATATCAAGGAGGCCAGTCAGCCATTTTCTCTTGGCACTCAAGCCTGTCTAGGGCGAAAGTACGTTATGGCAGCCACCTTTCGCAGAAGCATCGATTACCTCCTTCTTTTACAGATAAGTCGCTAATTGATGATCGAGCAGCGTGGCTTATATGGAGATCAATCTCATTCTCGCCCGACTGATTTGGATGTACGATATGGAAACAGTCAACAAGTCAATGGATTGGGAGTCGGAGAGTTCTTTGCATGTTATGTGGTCGAAGCCTGATCTAAAGGTTCATTTCCGCCAGGCGAGGCCTTAGCCAACGGACCTGGGTGCGAGGAGCTTGTTATTAGGTAGAATTGGAGCTCTCCATTGTGAATTTGTGAGTACATGTTCCACTGGAGGAAACAAGGGGATCTTCTCAGGTACTTGGGTAAAGTAAGGGATTGTGACCATATCACAGTGAATATATATATATTAAATAACTACTTATTCAGTTCTAAGTGTAGAGTACATAAAAGATTTCTTTCTATTACTTAGATTATTTAATTCTTTAGATTATATAACTTCCTATTATCTTAATTGGCCTATATTAATGCTTCTCCTTAAATAAATGTTAAGAGTTATACAGAGTAGATATATACAGGATAAGGATGCTATCCTAAGGAGGTATATTAACAAGGACTTTTAGCCACACATTCTGTGTGGCCTCAGCCCTCACTAGAGCCTATTACTTAAGTAAACATAGCCTAATTTTTAAGGCAGGCATAGTAAAAGAGGCTTTAATACCTTACTACTAATATAATACTAATTATTATTTTAACCTTTATCTATATTACCTATCCCCTAGACTATACTACTACCTAGAATTAATACTACCTAGATCTTAATACTACTATAGGAGCCCTAGATAACACCTAGATAACTTCCCTAGAGCCTCTACTTCCTGGATTTCATGCTAAGCTAATTTCCACTAGGTAAGTTAAGCAGAATAAATAAATAGCTAGATAGATAAAAGATTATATTAGTAATATTTATTAATAAAATAGGATGATAATCCCTAGGGCTAGCCTATCTTTATACTAAATATATAATATTCTTAATATATAACTCTATAGTGCTTTTTAGCCTGTATAGCTATTATATATATATATATTATAAGAATTATAAATATTAGCCTATATATATACTCTAGTCTATCTTAGAAAGGGTCTTTAGACCTAGCCTAGGACTAGGTATAATATATATAGGTACTAGTAGTAGAAGTCTCTTCTTCTAATATCTTTTAATATAGTATATTATCTATAGCTATTATAGTAGTAAGCCTAGCTAAAGGGCTTATAGAGTTATAAAGCTATTTCCTATACTAGGCCTCTCTTAATATTATATCTCCTATTTTTTCCTTCTCTATAAGAGTAGTTAAGCTAGTTAGTATTATATCTTTAGGCCTTATAGTAGACTATAATAATAATAATATTAGTTAATACTCTCTTACTAATATACCTAGTATAGCTAGATATTTAGAGGGGGCATAGCCTAATAAAGCACTAAAATATAAGATATATCTTATATCTAAGGCTAAAGACTACTAAATCTATATATATAGTAACTAATCCTTTTATCTATCTAGCCCCTAGTATATAGTAGTAGTAATAATAGTATACTTTAACTTCTTATCTACCTTCTCTATAATAAAGTTATCTATAGAAGAATAAATATTAATATCTTATAATCTAGTAGAGTCTGTATCTAAGTCTAAATCTAATAAATCTAAATTTAAGATAGACTCTAATAAGCTACTCTTATTATTATTATTAATATTATTAGAATTAGATCTAGATACTATACTATTACTATCTAACTTTAATATCACAGAGCTAAAGGCTCTAGGTAAGGAAGAATATAAAGAGAGTAGAAAAAAAGAAGTAATATTAATAATTATAGATTTAGTAGTCTAGCCTAAGGCTAGAGAGATACTATCTAGCTAAGAAGTAGAGGATAGGAGTAACCTATTTTTTATAATCTAACTTAATATATTATCTATCTTACTAAGCATCTTATAGTAGTACTTCTAAGATATAATATTAGCTATTAATAATATCTATACTATTACTAGAGCCTTATATAAGAGAAAGAATATTAATATAGTATAGATATAAAAATACTTCTTTCTACTAATAATATAACTACTAATTAAGTTATCTAATACCTAAATAATATAGCTAGAGTTTAGGATTAGGAAACTCTTTAGTAAGCTTCTTAGACTAATAATAACTACTACCTAAAAAGTAGTATATTAGTCTGAGGAACCCCTAATAGAAGTCTTACTAATAGTACTACCTACTATCCTAACTATATGATTATATATCATCAGCTATATATATAGTATCTAATATTTACTAATAGGTAGTTACTTATAGATAATAGATCTAATAAAAGATAAAGATAACTATATTATTAGTAGTATATAGTCCTTATAGATAATAGTATCTGGATTACTAGGCATCCTATTAGGGTAATAATAATAATATTAGTATATATATAAATTAAGAATTAGGATATATAGACTAGGGAAAGGTATAGTATAGAGTTAGATACTTAGTATAAATACTTAGCTTAGGATAGCCCTATATTAATATCTTTATAGATAAATAGCCCTAGCAGATTATGATACTATTACTAAGAAAAGATAGACAGAAGTAATTATAGTAATTAACTATAAGTAGGATTCCATCCTACTTAATAATTAAATCTAGTAGTAGCTCTTAAGGGCCCTAGGCAGATGCCTATAGGTAGATTAATATTACTATAGGGTTAGTAGGTATGGTATTAATAGTAAGTAGACCTAAAATAAAGTAATAGGTATAAGTAGGAGTTAATATAGTGATAGAGAGTAGATAATAGATAT